AGTGGCACTCGCGCCCGAGGTGGCATATTACTTAGCTTCGGAGGGCAGCGGGGCAAAGACCGTCTTCTACGCTTAGCCTCAAATATCCACCTTCCGCGCGCTTCGAATCGTATTCACCTTCAGCTCAGCCACAAGCAGACTTTCCTTTCACCCCCATCGACACTAATAGCAGCCTTCCGTCCTTTATTCTCACTCAGTCTTACTCCCTGCCCGTATCCTGAACATGGCATACGCGTACTATCAGTCCAGTGCCCCCCGATGGGGCACGCAAGATGTAAGCCATATCTTCATGTACCAACTACGCGTCTTCTGCGTCCTCATCCCACTGTGTAGTTCCAGTTCACGCATCCTCCGATGCCTAGATGGCAGCCGCAACCACACTGTATGTGATGTACGCACGCTTCGCGCGTACGCGGGCTGACCCAGTATCAAAGGGAGTGGCATGGATTACTATCGCGCCCATGCAGCATATGACGACCCGTAAGTAATGTCAGCCACATACTCAACGCGCGATCGCTGATCTGTTACGGAACGGCAACACAGCGGGCTCTTCCAATCCGTCATGGGGCGTCTCGCTGTCGCGATCGGCAGTGGATTTCATGAGGCGAGGCACTGGCATCGCCGTGTGTATAGTGGACAGGTGAGTCAACCTCCACAGGTGACATTCACGCATCCTGACCGGTTGTCCTAGGTGAATCTCGCCCAAGTGCTCCCGACCGAATTGGGAAGTGCCGCGGCGTACGAGGCGTACCGGCACTGGAAATACAATCACCCGCTTTATGAATCGCTTGACGGTGATCGCGAGCGAGAAAGGGATGCGATGATGGGCATGGCCGTGGCGGAAGGTGCGTCCACAGGGCACCATCACACCTGATCACTCACTGATCCCATTTACGGCAGCAACACACCTCTGGCAGTACACCGGCCGTCCGTTCGACAACATTAGCCTGCGGGAAATGTGCGAGACTGCTGCCGCGACCGCCTCGCAGATCGCCGACCGGGTGGGTCCCCCCATGCTTCATATATCCCGTTATAGCTCCACCGGGCTCACATGCATGCTTGTTCCTGATAGGTGTCAGGCTACGATGGCGATTACAGCGACTACGACGCAGGGTATTCCCAATCGGGGTACAACCAGCCGGACTATCACCGCTCGCGCTACGACGACGGCCACGCGCACGGGCATAGGGGACAGCGCACGCTCCGCCGCTGGTCCTCCGCCAACTCGATGAACGGCGCATATCTCTCCGGGGCACCCGCGTACAACGGTGCCAGCCCATACAACGGTGCCAGCCCATATAACGGTGCCGCCCCGTACAACGGTGCCAGCCCATACAACGGTGCTAGCCCGTATAACGGTGCCACTCCATACAACGTCGCACCCGGTGTACTCCCTCAAGTCGCGCAATCGGTTACACCCGGGTTCGCTCTGCCAGCCGGCGGGACTGCAGGCTATATACCGGGCGCTCCGCCCACGTACGGCGTGCAGCCCGCGCAGTACGGCACCTACCAGGCAGGCTATCCCGCCGCCGGCGGTATGGTCGCTCGTTCGGTCACTCCGAACGCGTATGGCGGGGCGTACGCCCCGGGCGTGGCCACACAGGGCTATGGTGCAGCGGGCTATGGCGGGTATCCTAGTCAGATCCCCGCTGGTTCGACGATCATCCTCCATCAGCATCAGCCTAAGCACCATCACCACCACCGCGCGCGCAGTGTGAGCTTCAGCAGCCACCGCTGAGCTCGTTCGATTTCCTCTCCCAATCCAAGTCGTCATTTGTTGTAAGGCTGTAAGATACCATGGCAAGATTCGATTCCAATATGTGTTGTGTATCTCTCGAAGCGCTGTATCGTATTCACCTCCCTGTAGGCTCTGTTGTAACTTGTATGTACGAACATAATTTTGGTATAATTACGAATCGTAGTTCAACAGCTTCAACATAGGACGCCATTCGTCAAGCTTCGCGGGAAGTCCCCTCAGCCCACAGCACTGGAACGCATCGCATATGACGCCGATGCTATAGAGTCGGCAGAGCACGCACACGCGGCTCGTCAGTCTCGACTATACTTCGAGGTACACCGAGTGATCTGAGAAGAGATGTCGGGAGAAGTTTCCCCGCAGTACACGTCCAAAATAGACCGTCTCCCCGCCGGAAGATCCACAACGACGGGGAGCCATATGTAACTGGTTCTGGGCCGGCACAAGGCAAGTCGCGTTACGGACGTCGACGCGGGACCAGCGCGCCGACGGTGTCCTCAGTAGCCGCAACCTCACCCGGGTCTCTTGCTCACCTGATCCCGATTACCGTCGATCTCATATTTGCTACTGTAACTCAACTTCCCTGTAAGTTGATTGATCTGCGAGTCCAGCCTGTACTTGGCTGAAGCCGTGAAGAATATAGCCAGCAGTTAGTACACCAAACATAATTCACCTCGGCGGCTCGACTCGGCTCGACGCCTCCACCGTATCCCTCCGCAACGCGCGGCCCATCACACAACAGACCGCGCCCATCGTCGCTTACGCCTGTTGGCTGGAGAGTTTACATGGTACGAAGCACTGGGGAAGCTTCTTTTGCGGCGCGTTGCCGAGCGTCGGACAGGGCTGCCGTCACTAGACTCTATACCTATTTAATGGCTCTCACAGATGCCGTTGAGGTGAGGGAGTTTCCGAGATGAATATCCCCCATGCCAGTGATGCCGCGGGACACCGGCCGATAAGCAGACATGGTTTTCACCATGAATGGGCCGACAGCGGGCATAGAGGAGCTGCCAGTGTGGCACGGTCGAGGACAGCGCCCCGAGTGGGAACGGAACACTGGTGGCACCGATACGGGCATTATGTGGACCGTACGCACCGAGTCTGAGCGCGCATGCGTATGCACCGAGCGACTGGCGATGTCGGTACTGAGTGCTCACCAAAAGCTCCAGCACGATCCATGTGCGTTCTCCGCAGTCCTGTACCTGTCATCACGGATGACGATGCGGGGCTGTTGTGCAGGATGCAGGTTGGATGCAGGCCCGAACTCAGGGACTCAGCCGATGATCCTCGCAGACAATATCGGCACTCACTGATTCGGAATTGACTCTAGAATCAATCAGGGCTGTGCCGTAATTTCATTTGCAGCAGACCTCGGCGACTTAGCATCAACACACTAGCCACAGGAACAGCGTCTAGCAGTGCAGTAACGGCATGTTCTTCAAGCTTTCTGGTCTCGTCGTGATAACGCGGTCACGTCAAACCGTAGATATGAATGGGGGCTTCAATAGGGACGCCAGAGACGTCACCCTCGCTATGACCGCCCCTTGATCCCGTGTCGATGAGTCGATGTCGAACAATGATTCCGTAGGTATCGGTATGGTCCGTATCTATGGAACGGGCTTCACGTGTGTGGTGTCCCTGACATAACCTAGACGGCTATCATGTATTATCATACATGGATGTATCCTTCGCGTCGAGCGAGGTGCAGACAATGAGAAAATAACTTAACGTGCCATGAGAGTCGATGATGATACGTGTGTTCTATGCGGTCCACTGGCAGGTGTACATTATCGTCACCAGCTGCCGTACCACGCTCCAGGTATTACGCAGCACAGTCTGCTCGTACTCGGACGTCGCCGTCCGCAGGAGCGATCCGTCGGAGAGACCCAGTTGATCCGACAAGATGCTAGCTTTCTGTAGGCACCAATAGTATGTATCAATACGACTGCATGCAGCAGATCTGTCATGAACGACATACCTTGACGTACGAGCAGGACTCGTGCGGACGTGCTCTCTTAGACTCCGCCCATGCAAGCAGTATGTAACCATGCAGCGTCTCTAAGGAAGTCGATTGTGGCGTCCGTGAGAGTAATGCCTGGCCATACCTGTCAGTGATGACGTTACCCCTGAGAAACGACAGGGAAGTTCACCTTCGCATGCGCACAATAGGCAGCTGAAACGTCGGCAGCGCCCCTCCGCACTACTTCCGGTAGATCAGAGTACCTAGAAGAGAATGATGGTTAAACTGCAATCTCTGAGATGCGTCAAGCCTACCTACCATGCTGCAAGCGCTGCGATGCCAGAAGCAACAAGGGGAGGTAGGGTTTGTTCCAGAAATTGCTTCACCGTCTCGTCGTAAGCTAGGCATGGAATCGACGAGCCATAGTGATCGAAGTAGGATTGTATGAAGTGCATCATCAGTGTTGCATTTGGACGGTCCGGGTAATGCGGATCGAATAGCGGTAAAATGTATGATTGCTGAGTAGGCTGGACATCCGAGGAACCGCCGTAGAGACTGGGGTCGTGGTGGTGCCCTCTAACTTTGGGTGTAGAGGGAAACACCGCGGGCACTGCATAATCGCTCGCGGCTTGCCTAGGCGGATGATCGAAGCATAAGCATGAGACCTCGGGACATGGTTACTACCGGCCAACTATTATTACTTACCAGGTCGGTTGTGGAGAAATGTAAGCCATTCGGTCGTCTGGGAGATTCGCCCATGGCTCAGATACGGGATAGCCAAGTCCAGTCACGTAGCGGGAGCTGACATGGGCGTCCGAAGAGGACGCAGACGAGCCGCCAGAATGCGGGCTGCTGGAATGCTCTCGCATGGGGTCGATGATGGACACGGACATTTGGCTGCCTCGGCGGCCTCCGCGGGGTGGAGAGTTGCGAGACATGATGCGGCCCCGCTCAGCAAAGTACTGCTCCCTGTCGTGGAAACGACACGCCACTCGGGCAGCCGAGCATGCCTCGCACTTTGACGAGTTTTGCGACTGCACGCATTTGATCTTTTTCAGACGACTAGTGAGAATAGGAGATGGTGCATGAGTGTCGCGCTAACGTGACAGGGAGGGCACCGTGCATACCAGTGGTCGCAGGAGGTTACGAGGCGGGCGCGTTTCTTCTTTGCGTGGCCCTCCTGGGGAGCCTCAAAGACGATGTGGAACTCATCCATGGTGGCGCAGAGGAAGTTGTGGACGAGTAGAATAGGCCGGGGAGGACTTGTGGGACATGGCCAGCTGGAGGGGCTATTTAAGCATCTACGGTGCCACCGGCATGGACGGAATCAAATCAAGAGGCGAGCGCTGAAAATGCTATCCTGTTGTGGGCGTTTTGGTGCGGAGACGTGGATTACAATTGCCATCAGCGAATCGAGTGCAGTCTCCCAGCCACAGACGCCTGCCAGATCCTCGAGCAATTGCTCTGCGCCAGATTACGTGGTATTTCCTTTTCTGGCAGCCAGTTGACTTATCTTCCCATTCAGTTCCTTGGCGGATCTTAGCGACCAGGAGCAGCTCTGCGTCCGTCCCACGCCCCGCTGTTCCCCAGTCACCACGTATGCTCGTGGGACGCCCTCAGTCTCACTGACTCGGAGCTCGCATGCCATGTTGCCAGGCGCGATAGTCCGCAGGCCATCACAAGTGTTCGCGTTCCTGCTTCTCTGGATCCCCCTGCGCCGCATATCTCGCATCCAGTGCTTGCACGTAAATCCTCATCACTGACCGAGAGCTCCCATCAGCTTGCCTGGGCGGTCGCGCCCGTGCACTGTGCTTGCGCCGTTCTGTCGTTGATAATGCGCGACGTCGGAGAGAACGTCCGACTCATGTAACGCCCGTTTCTTCCGCCGGTCAAGATGCATCTCCGCAGCCGCCGCAGATTGCAATTCTACTATCTGACGACATGACCTACTGCTGAAATTGCTCCCCAGGGACGCTCGAGAGGTTCCGTTGCTCGGACCCAAATTGCTTGAACATCGATATTAGTACCAATGCGACCGAGAACGTTGATGCGCCGGCGGTCATTGAGCGTCAAAGAAGACTTGCTCTTGCGATGTCACTTGTGGATTCCTGGGAGAATCTCCAGAAACCTAGGAAGCATCCACCAGGACGCTAGACAGGGAGAGGCTTGCGATGCGCCGGACATGAGGCGTGAAACTTGCACACCATCATCTCGTAGAGTGCCTGCCGGCCATCTCACGCGAGAGTACGCTGTCGTGGCTGTGAGTGCTTCGTTTTGGGATCTATGTCATGAATCACCTCACCCTATGCTACCGACTGTCAGTACCCTGACCCATCATTGCATCGCGTTGGAGATGCCGACGGGATCACCTATCCGTGCGTCCCGCAGACACTAGAAGACACGTCTTCTCTTTTCTCAACATCTAGGTGCCCATTTTCGAGACGCATGGCTTTGACAGCTGTGTGTCTGGACTAGCTATACTCCTGATGGGCCTCCGAAAACTGATCCCTGGCAACAAGTCGCCATCTAACCAGGTTGTACTTGGTTTCGATCGAGTCGCTCACAAAGCCGCGACCGTGGCCTTCGCATGCAAATATTGTAGATTCGTGGATCATGCCATGGGGGAACAACAGCCCCCTCGAAGCGACTCTTCGACAACAACGGTGCGCTGCGGTGGGTCTGCTCAGTTAAGTTGAACATATGGGCCGCAGCTGTCCGAGTCACAATTCACAATTACATAGATCGGGGTAGGTGGAGACACATGCGCCGCCTCGCCGTCCAGTATGATCGGAGCGATCGAGTCGAATCTCGTTGCCACCTGCATGTGCTCGCGCTGGGCCTTGGCTGGGCCAACGCAACAGAGCGAAACTTTAAGCATGGGTAAGCATCCTGACCTGTACAGTAGCTGCGTGCGCACCTGTCGGATCGCGATCGTTGACAGTTCAATCGACAGATCGTGATCTCCAGGATTCGCGACGCCGCTGTGAAAGGCATACGCACTGATCCGGTCCATAGGTTTCCTACTGCCTGTGTACTCTGCACCACAATGGTGCCGCGTGCGCCCGGGTTTAGAACGTTTAGCAACGGGATGCCGTAGTTCGCGCATTGCTATGAACCAACGTCCATAATCTGGAAAAGTTCCTCCCACAGAAGGCGGTGCCTATTATTGCCCAGACATGCACGAACCACAATTCCGGCTTCACCATGCAATCAAGACGACTTAGACGTGATTTCTCTACAGCTTCTGTCTAAGCGACACAGATGCGAATAAGCAACTTGTACGAAAGGTCTACATGCCGTGCACGGTTGTACATTCCCCTAAGGGAGGGCAAAAATATCTTACGTGGGTACAACTGTAACGCTTCGATACCACACAACAATCTTCTCCCTTCGGAGCAAAAAGGTATGATGTAGACGACCAAGCACTTTTCAGGTCCTCGTCAAAGGAGTTGTGCAGTTCCCGCGAAGGAATGTGCGGGCCGAGCTCTGTGCGCAGAACAGTGATACTTCGCGACCAACACAGTAGGGTAATGGTACAGAGTTATACTGTTTAGTTGTGGCCAGAGTTCAGGTCGAAGCACTGCAGGGTTTGTGCGTAGAGTAAGCCCAATCACTGATGTCCACCCATTCAACTACATTATCACGGAACTAATACACTCAGTACGGAGCCCCATGACCAGAGCCCCATGCGTCCTGTGATGTCACCCTATCATCCAGTAAAACTCCGGGTCTCAAGTCTATGGCTTGTGCGCTGTGCCATGATCCAGACGTTCTTCCTCATCTTCGCTTCCCACGTCAAAGAGGGTCTCTGAGCCGTTTGGATGCCGCGGAACCTGAATGAAGGGTGCAAAATGCCGCCAGTTAGCGCATGTAGGCTCCGGGCTTCTCGGACGGGACACATACCCGGCGGTCCTCAGCACCGGACTCGAGAATAAGGTCTGAATCTGCAGCTAATGGCTCCCGCTCCTCAGCGAAGCCTTCCTGTAGGGGCATGCTGCTGTCTGCATCGCCACCCTGGTCAGTATCTATGATCGGATTGCCGTGGGCATCGAGAGGAACAGTCGCGTCCATGGACCTCCGATATTTGTGGTACGTGTACAGACCGATGCCTGGGTCGCGAGGGTCAGTGTTGCAAGAAGGCGCTGCGGTTTGTTCTCTGTACGCACCGCAGATGGTTATTGATACTCCAGTGAGATTCAGTGGCGTGAGTTCGTCCCCGAAAAACCAGGCTGAGGCACTGATTGTCGTAACTTCCTTTGCGATCCCAGCAATAGACATCGGCACTATGCCCGCTCGCTGCAGGATGCTAATAGCAGATGAGAATTGCGGTTAGCATAGCATATTCCTCCGCCGGCTTTTACTGCCATGAACGGTAGGGCTTACTAAAATTCACTCAGGACCATGCAGAATGCGATGATTCCAGGGGATATCAGGAAGAAGAGTGTTCGCAAGAACTCCGACCACTGTCAAAGAACTTGTTGACGAACACTTTGTGCGGCCCGTCTACTATCAGCGTGAGGATAGCCAGTGTCGCCCCCATAATCGGTGTAAGCCAGAACAGCGTCGCCGCAGGATTGTCGAAGCCGATGTTCTTGCTTCGAAGGAGCAGCTGCGTGAGACTCCACCGAAATCCCGCCAAGGCACTCCCAAACTCGACGAGGAGAAATCCTGTGAGTTCAAAGTGGGTCTCGGTTGCGACCATCAAGATCACGCCGATGAATATGAGCGACATGACGCCAACCAGGCGCAGGGAGAACACCTCCAGCCGGAAGAGAAAGGCGAAAAAGAGGACGAATATCAATGATGAGGTCTTGCACATAGCTATCGAAAGGAATTGTTAGCAGGATGGACAGACTGGACATCGAGACGGCGACTGCATGATTGACTCACTGTAGAACGACAGAGTAATGAGCTTGAGGGATAAGTTAGAGAGTCCGATATCGAGACTCGTCGCAACACCTGTTGGTACAGCGCGACGGCTGTTCATTGTTCGTCAGATGCTGTGTCAACACGAACCACAGCGTTCGGAAATAACGAAGACGACACGTTTTCTACGCGGAAGGAATAGTTGCACGTACAGGTAGTCTGCCCTGTTAGGGCTGTGCTGTGGCCGAAACAGCAACGGCCAGCACGTTCTGAGGAGCGTGGCAAGTAGGAATTGCACTGCCATATGCAATGTCGTTACGAAGAGCGGCGACGGGAAGCCGAACCGGTCTGGTGAGAACATCCATTTGTTGTAGACTGAGAGGACGGTGGCGAAGAGGAACCTTGAATGAAACGCTCAATGAGCTGACACGTATGAAGGGCTGCATCGCGAGAACTCACCAGCATGCAATAAGTGCGGCGTTGATGAGTGCGTTTCTCCGCCACAGTCGTCGCTTTTCCGCGACGCTGGCAAGATGAACGTCGCCCGAAAGCGACCGGCTGTGCTGGTAGCCATCTTCTGCAGAGTCTACTGGCGCATAGCCGTTTGAGGCCGGTTCAAGGGCCATGAATTAGCCTGGACGGAATGACACGCATGCATACGTTGTTGTGGCTGAAGCTGGCCTTGTTTCGGTTGTGTTTCGGAAATGGCCGTGCCTGACCGCAATAACCGCCCAAGATCTAAGATTCCTCCGTTCCGTTATGGAGGAGGGTCTACTTACGGATGCAAGACGGACTGATCTGGATAGGCGACTCTCAAGAGAAAGGCGGTCCGCTCCATTCAATATTCAATACAAATACACTACTTCGTTCGGAATATTATACAAGGAAGCTGATACAGTGCCGGGGACGGCGAGCTGAACTTGAAGGCGCGGGCTAGCAAGACTGCGAGCGTATTCAGTGGACGGTCTACTGCCCCGGGTAACTTGCTCCCAGAATTCACATTTTGGGCAGAATTCAACGCGGTGGGGGTTTTTACGCTGTGTATAGGTAATTATGCTGTCGCTGCCGGTGCTTGTTCCTGGAGTCCCGTTACAATCTGAGACGGCGCAATTCTATAGGGTTCTCGCCTAGTTCCACATCAGTAATAGATCCTCTCAGCAGTTCAGATCTACAGACCATGTTCTCCAGTGATCGAACTGCTTCTGATTCAGATATTCTCTCCATTCGTCCTTTCCAATCTCGGAACGGAACTGTGCATGTTGGAGGAGCTCGAGGTGATGCAGAGCATGAGGGTAGCTGGGGACATAGTAAGAGTCGGAAGCTTCCCAAGTAGAGGTATACATACTGTATAAATCTCGCGTAGTCCTTCTCTTTCCAATATAGCAGATATTTTAGGAAATTGACAAACGCCGGCTGATTGAGGATGTTTTGCTGAGCAAGCGAATGGAGATAGAAGGGGTTGGCGAGGGCCTGAACAAACTCAAGCTCCAGCTCAAAGCGTGCTCGATTGGCAGCCTTGGGGTCCTCTGGTTGGGACATCGTCCGAACGTCGCGTTGATGAGCCAAGGATGAGTGGTGGCAGATAGCAGCACGTGGGCGTGGTTGTTTGACCCAGAGGCTTTTGCCAAACAAGTGCATCCGAATTTGGGAATAGTGGCTCCTCGTGACGCGTCGCCACCGCTTCGTTGAAATTGAATCGTTCGACGCGTCTGCGTGCCACAATCACTGCAACTCAACTTCGAGGCCATCACACGATTGCCAGCATGTCTGCGGACGATGAACAGAGCGGATGGCAGCTGACAGAGTCAGACCCAGGGGTGTTCACGTAGGTTCGCTTGCCACAGAATAATAGAGCACATACTGACGCGGCTCGCCGGCGTAGGGAGCTATTGAAGACACTAGACGTCCCCCTTGTTGTCGATGATTTGTACTCGCTCGACTCCGCGTCTCTCGCCGAGATGCAACCACTGCATGCATTCATTTTCCTCTTCAAGTGGGTCGGCTCGTCGGCGGAACCAACCGCGGGACAGTACGACCACGACTTCCCAGGATTCTTCGCTCATCAGGTAGTCAATAACGCATGTGCGACTCTCGCCGTCATGAATGCCATTGGCAATATACCCGCGCTTCCTATGGGGTCTCAGCTCGCCGACCTCATTAGCTTCACCACGGGCATGGACCCTCAGACGCGCGGTATGGCCATCACAAGCTCGGATTGGCTGCGAGAGGCGCACAACGCGTTGTCCCCTCCGTCAGCAATTTCACTCGACGGCCTGGGCCTCCCCAAAACGACGGAGGATGCATACCATTTCATTGTATACATGCCCTACATGGGCTGCGTATACGAATTCGACGGCCTGAAACAGCATCCAGTAAACCATGGCCTATTCTCAGAAAGCGGAGAAGGATGGGTAGCCAAGGCAAGGTATATATTCATTGACCTTATTTATTTGCTGGACGCTGAGGACTGTTCAGGGAGGTGATTGAAGCGCGGATAGCAACATATCCCGCCGGTGCGGTAAGTATTTCCGCATTAAACAGCGACAGTCGACTCAACGATGAATCTACTTCCGTAATTAGCTGGAGTTCAGCTTGCTGTCATTGCACGAGGATCCCATTCCTCGACTGCAAGCGCAACTCGCAGAACTTCAAGCCACAGGGAGACAAGCTGAAGCTAGCGAACTGATTGTCCGACTATCCACGGAAAACTCAAAACGGGAGCGGTGGAACGTGAGTTCAAATTCAGATTCGCAGACTGAGTGAAATCTTCCGCCGTATCTGGATATCCTAGTCCCGCTCTTTGCTGTTCAACGGTGGCCTGTGCGGAGAAAATTGGACTGACTTGGTGCCTTTCCGCCAGTTCGAAAATAGCCTCCGGCGGCACAATTACGTCGGACTCATACATGCCCTTCTTGTGGCGCTCGCGAAGGCAGGAAAGCTGGGGGCCGCAAAAGAAGGCGCCAAAAAGGTCATGCAGGAGCGTATCGAACAGCGGAAGGCACGAGGAGAAGCGTCTATGGAGGAAGATTGAGGTCCGCGATGTTGCATGCTTCACGACAGGGCTTATCCAGTTTGTGAACTACACTCCCTTACCGAGTGCAATACATCTGTCATCGGGTTGGTTCAAACGGCAAACCATGCATGGGCGGCACTCCGACAAAACCCAGCGGCACCAACGTGCACGCTGTTGCAAAGACGATTTGTATAGAATCCCTCGAATGCGGACATAATGCGGGCCGGTGCGTCTAGACGCATATCTGAGGCTTGCTTGTGCAGTACCGGGGACAATGATTTACGATGACTCGGGATTGGTTGGTCGTCGTCTAGTACCAATCCCTGTGCGCCTCGACGGGTAGGTATAGCGCTGGGTGTACACGGCGTCAGCTTCCGACGCTGAACTCACTATGGCACCAATTGCATACTAACTCTTTCCGAGGACGCCTTACTTCCTCGGGCAGCGAGGTGGATGAGGTCAAGATTTGGCGCGTGTGATGATGCCTTCTCGTTGAACTGTTTCGTTCGCAAGTCAAAAGTCACGTCTGTGTACATAGCGCGCGCTATGGTACTCAAGGGTTCCGACTAGTCCCAATCAACTGGATTCCAGCTGATGGACCCCTCCTTGCCCCTATCGAGGGCGTCCAGCTTCGCCATGTCCGTATCATCCAACACGAAATCATAAAGAAGCGCATTCGATCGGATCCGCGCCGGCGTTGCAGACTTTGGAAGCGGGACAAACCTAAAAAAGAGTTGTTTTTCAGCGCTGATATCGCACTGCCAGGCTCGAAAAGGAAAGGCCAACCCTTTCTGCAGCGACCATCGCAGTAGTACCTGGGCCGGGTCTCTCTGGTGCTACGGAGAAGGTTCCGGGTGAGATGCTGTCATCGGACAAGATAGGGTGTTCCGACACTACCTTCCGAGAGATCTCGGTGATGGTGGGGTGGTCCATATTTCCCCGTAGTATGGGACAATACGCCTGAATGACTATCGAATGCCCACGACAGTACTCTACTATCGGCTTCTGCTGACAGAATGGATGCAGCTGCGATAGGGTGGAGAGTTACATCAGCGCTCACAACTGAATCAACGGAAACGCTATCCAACCTCAATCTGATTGACAGCGGGCATTTCGTAGCCAGCTTCCGCGATTTCTTCTAGGTGTTTTATCCCACTGACAATGAGTCAGTCAGTGCTCGTTTGATATTCAAACCGAACAGATTGTACTGACTAATTCGACACCCCGACGGTTCGGATTTTACCAGCTGCCCGAGCATTTTGCAGTGCTTTGTAAGTTTCTAGGCGTCTTTCGTGACCGGACATTGGGTCGTGAATCAAGAACAAGTCAATGTAATCTTTATCCGTGATGAAGGCAGTCACGGTCAAGTTTGCATAACATAGTCATGAACCCACCGAATTCAAATCTTTGAAGCGAAGCGTCGACACCGCTCAGAGTGCTTTCATATCCGTGAGTCTTGTTGGTGCATTTCGTTGCTAGCAGAGGGAAATGCGTCAACGGCTGCTCAGGCTGAGTATCAAGTCACCGACAGCGGTACCTACTGACAAAGATCTCTCCCCGGGGCATGCCGCTTGCTTTCACAGCCGCCCCGACGTGTGCTTCGTTCCGATACGCCTGAGCAGTGTCAATGTGCCTATACGACGCGTGTCAGGTTGTGTACGGTGTATTCAGTTGCGAGCACGATCTTTCGGACAGCTCGGAGCCGGTCCCACCTGTACCCCGCTTCGAGCGCCTCGATGACTGAGTCTTTTGTATTGTAATTTTGGTACACGCCGAAGCCGAGAAGAGGCATATCATATCCTGCATCAAATCGAGCCCATAAGACTCAACCGCGGCGACACTGTCGAAGACTCAAGACTTCACCGGAGGACAGCCGCACGGTCGATTGCAGGCTCCTAGTCCAGTTCGACATTTCCGATCGGATTAGCGTCAACGAAGCAACCCTGTGCGTGTCGTAAAGCAGTCGTGAGGAGTCTACAGACGCCAAAATTTAGGCGGTAAACGTACCCTCCGAGCGCGAAGTGATTGAAGGCGGGCGAAGCGATGCCCTTGAAGTGATCTACACTGCGTCCGAGGCCGTACCTCGATAGGAGTGTGGGCGCCTGTGGGTGCGGGCGCCAGGCTACCTACAGGCGGCCGTAGATCTGACAACCCGAGTTACGAGCTCGCTACGGACATATGGGCCATACCAACGCAAACCCCCCGTGTTCTGGTAGAGTTCACTCCCTTCACTATCTGGCGCTCCATCATCTATCCATTCATTCGCGCGAACTTCATGCAACCAAGTAGTACAGACGCCACAGCCAGCCTGCAGAGCCCTCTAGCCTCTTCTGTCTTTTTGCGTCATCGATCCTGTCCACATCCACCTCTTCGTACTCGTCCCGCTTCAAGTCCAGATTTTGTACGTCTACGAGGTCGTGCCATCGGACTCTGCTGCGTGTGCCAACGCAGCCCACATGGAGGAGGGGCCTTTGCTCGCCTACCTGCCCTGTAGGCTTTGGCGGGCGCCGCATGACGACCCATCCAACGTACATGACTACCATCGCCGGAATCTCGATGTAGAACGAGACGAAATCGACCGCCGAAAAGTGCGGAATAACGGAGGACCAGCCTTGCACTAGCGGAAAGGCAAATCTGTGAATAACCGCATCAAACGATATAAGCCACGCCGAAAGGACGACGCACCCAGTATCAATGTCGCCACGGAGATTACCTAAAACAAGATGATAGCGCATCCTCGGTCTCAATCGAGATCGGTGATGCAGGGAAAACTGCTCACCACGAATGGCGGGCCCCATGGCCACGTCCACCCCGCCCGAAATTTCATCTCTTCGATGGATCGTCCCTGCAGTACCCACGCCTTCCGGAACCGCCAGCTCGCCAGGCCAATTGACAGCCAAGCAATCTAGTTGCCGGCGGGCGGGGCGCGCGAAATGAGTGAGATGGAGACGCGCTAGAGCTCGCTGACCCACCTGGTTTGACACACCGACGATGTTCTGCAGCCATCCCCATAGGACGCCGCTGCCAATGAAGCTAGACCCAAAGCAGAGGACGCTGACACTGCTCGTGGCGATGAGCGCCGCGAGCGGGACGCCACCGGGAGTCGTCATCGAGAATATGTGAGGCGCTTGCCGCGGCGACGAAGTCGACAGACCGTATAGCACTCGCGTGCCTGCAAACAGGGCATGATTACCTGCAGAGAGCACCGACGTGAGGATGACAGTGTTCATAAACGAGCCCGCCACATCTGTAAACAAGTCAGATCGTCGACTTCAGGTGATGACAATCGTACGTACTCGATCCCACTTCCTTGAAGACGAGAGTGAATGGGGATGTTGTCGTGCTCCTAGTGGACAAGCCCGGGTAATTCCACGGAACTGCATGGATATGTCATAGGGTCGTCTATCCAAATCAGGGTAGACCCACTGTTCAACCCGATCAGAGCGATACTCAGGATATAGAAGAGCAGGATCCTATAGAAGCCCTCGAACTCAGCGCCCCTGTATACCATCCACATTCTTCTCACCTCCAAAATACGAATTTGACGACCCGAGGCATGTTTCTCGACGGATTCTTCGTCTCACCGGCGGTGATTCCTAGACTTTCGGTACCACCGACTGATCGAAGTCCATGAACGTGTCTCCTACCAAAGAGGAACCTACACTCACAGGCAAAGCTGGCTGTTACAAAGACCCTGGCAAAGCCACCAAAGCCGCCCACGAAGGGCGCGCCTTCGATGTGCCAATACCGCCCGCCGATGTACTCATGTTCTCGATTCACGCCGACGTTGACCAAGATGCCGAGGATGATGAATAAGACGATCGTGAAGACTTTCAAGAAGGAAAGCCAGTATTCTATGAAGGAGCGTGCGTCCAGTCAGCATCGGTCCAGGAGGCCGGCCCCGATAGCCAAGCCATACTCACCGAGCTCGCCGTACGCTCGGACATGTGCCCCGTTGATGCAGACGAGAAAGACCCAGAAGACGAGGCTGATGACCCACGGATGCCAGGTCGTCCAGAATTGCAGGACAAGCTGGGCAGCCGTAAGGTCTGACGCGACGGATACTGCGTCGTTGAACCAATAGTTCCAGGAGAGCGCAAAGCCATAGCCAGGCGAGAAGAACCGTGTTGCGTACGCGTTAAAGGACCCTGAGCCAATGTGGTCAGACTTCCTCAATGGATGATGGTGATTGAGCAAGAAGTCATTCAAGCCGACACTAGCTTGCTCGAGAAGTCTGGTCTACTCACCAGCTACAGGATACTGCGTTGCCATCTCCCCAAGCAAGAGTAGTGTGACATACACTATCCCGCCCACTATTCCATAACTAAGGCATCTCATGAGATGACTTGGCCGCGTGCCATATTCGGTGAACACACCATAGCAGCATACTGGCCGGACCGCCTTCGGCTAGTGATTTCCCCGTTCCAAGAAACAACCCAGTGCCAATGGTTCCTCCAATTGCGATCATGGAGACCTGTCTTGCTGACAGTCCGCGATGCAGTCCGCCGTGCAGTCTGTCAACTGGAGGCACAGGCAAAGCACCGCCGCGAGTTCTGGAAGCTGACTGGCGGGGGAATCATCCCTCGGCTGTTCTTCGACATCCGTCGCCCCGTAGCCTGTTCCATGGTTGGAGCCTGCATCGGAACCCATCTTCATCCAATACAGGGCACCGCCGACGTCGGTGAGTATTCTTGGCTCTGCGGCAGGATCCCAGGAAGCCTTCAGAAGACCTGATGCCCTACGAAGGTTATGTCCGGTGGTTCAGCTCTGGCTGCGCAGATGCGACGTCTACGGAGAGTGTAGAGAGCATAGCCCGGCGACGATGAGCATTGAGAACCGTGGCGGCGAGCGCGCTGGACGAGGAATTGGTGCATTTGGCGCGCAAGTGTCGCAATCCGTGATGATCGCGTCCCGCACGCGCACCCACGCATGGCCACCCCGACCACAGTGCCATCCCAAGTGTTGACAGCCCGACCCCGACGCTTGCGCATCTCGAAGCCTCTGACTACGGCGGAATGACATGAAGAGTATCTGGTTACATTCCGATGGCGCTGGGATCTTCCATGGACAGCCATGGATCCTCCAGATCGCCATATATAAGTACACTCAAGCTGGGATCTTGCATGGAGATGAACAGATGCTGATGCGGTCTCCTCACCCATGGCTGATTGACACTTCGTTTCGATGCCACGCATAACTGCCAGCAGCTCGTATAATCTGTACACACAGTAGTGACGTCCACATTAGAAAGAAGAGAAAGGTATAGAGGTCTGTGACAAGTCGCCAAATGCGCTGACAAGACAAGAAAACGAAGCTAGCGACCACGGCTGTAACGCTCCAGAGGCTTGCGATAGATTACTTGGTGTCCGCGATCACCACTGCCCTACAATATCCAAGCTGACACACCCTCCGCCTATACCACGAATCGACCCATCTACACGTGCGTGCGAAGCGTCGCACTTTAGAGTAGGTGCTTGAAGCCTGCATCCTTGCACTTCTTCACGAGTCGCTTCACCTCCTGCGAGCGCGCCCGCGTAGTGACGAGCAACGTGTCGGGCATGTCGACAATCACCAAATCATCCACACCTAAGAGCGAGACCAGCCGTCCAGAGCCAGGCACCACAATGCCACCAGCGGCCTGCTCGGTGAGCACTACACAGCATTGTTAGCATCGCTGTCAACCATAGGAAACGAGGTGTCCTACCGAGCGAGTTGTCTCCCAGGATACGGGGCTGGTTCGATTCCGCAGGCAGAAGATCAGCGAGGGAGGAGAAGTCTCCGACATCGTCCCAACCTAGATCATCATCAGCAAGATGCTCCACCGACACAGGCGCAGACTACCAGCCTAGTACTCACCGAAGGTAGCAGGAACAACGGCGACCCTCCTGTCAAGCGCAGCAGGTTCAGCCACAGCGTGGTCAATAGCAATTTTCTCAAGACCCGGCCATACTTCGCTGAGCACTTTCTGCCTCAGCTTCTCGTCGTCCCAGCACTGCGCAATGCGCTGCAGGCCGTCGTGCAGTTCGGGCTTGTACTCCTTCAATAGCTGCATCAAGAACGCCGCCTTCGTCACGAACATACCCGCGTTCCAGCGGTACGACCCCGTCTTGATGTACGCCGCCGCTGTGCGAGCGTCTGGCTTCTCCTTGAAGCTCGACACCAGTCGGGCATTCGGTGCATCTGGGAAGCTAAGCTTCTCGCCCAGACGGACGTACCCGAAGCCCGTGGACGGGTGCGACGGCGCGATACCGATGGTGACGAGATAGTCCTTCCTCGCAACCTCGACCGCCTCCGCGACGGCGGACAGGAACGCGTCGTCGCCGGAAATCATGTGGTCCGCGGCGAAGGAGCCGATGACGGCGTTCGGGTCCCGCCTCGCGAGCACGGCCGCCGCGAGACCAATGGCGGCCATCGAGTCCTTCGCGCTTGGTTCGGTGAACAGATTGTGGTGCAGCAATTCGGGCAGCTGCTCAGTGATGCTCTTGACGTGCGCCGGGCCCGCGACGATCGTCGTACGCGTTGCGGAGGTGAGCGGGATCAGACGGTCCCACGTCGCCTGGATGAGCGAGCGGCCCTTGAGCGTCAGGTCCAGCAGGAACTTCGGGTGTTCCTCGCGCGAGAGTGGCCACAGGCGTGTCCCCGCACCACCAGCAGGGATGACGACATAGAAGCCGGGGATCTCACGGATGCCGAAGGGGAAGGCGTTAGTGAGTGCATTGTCAGAGAGGGGAGAGGGAACGTAGATCTGCGGAGGGACGGATATCGAAGGGATGGATCCTGGGCTGAGGAAAGGGGACTTGGCTCGAAGTTGAGGACTGCCTGGTGCGGGGGTCACGAAGCCGGGGGTCGTGAAGCCAGGCGTCACCGCTCGTGATCCACTGTTGTACTGCGTAGAACGTTAGTCGATTCCTCGAGGGAGTAGCAAGTAACTTCCGACTCCGAACGCTCGAGGTGATGAACACGAGAATTGGCACCAAGTTATGGTAGTCTTTACGATTGCTAATGAAACGTGAACAAAGTCGAAGTAGGGCGAGATACTGTACACCAGATCATGTCTAGGACAGCTCCAGGCCATCTACTTGAAATAGTAGGCATCTACAGGGGAGTGACAATGCAACTGTCAGGCCGGATCTATAGGTCACCTGCAGTAAGGACACGTTGGTGGTCTCAATCTGCATGCCTCCGTCCAGACACGGCAGCAGCATGTAGAAGGGCACCATGACGATCGAGTCATGGTCAGGACCTGGCGAGACTGAGCGCGGTCGAGCATCCGCCCAGACGACGCCTACACACTGGTGGTCTCTCAGCCGGCCTGCAAACTGCGTGCATGGACCATGCGCATAGTCGCAGCGGCGCGTCGCGCTGCACAGTAATACAAGAATAATCCCGGTAGTGACCTTGCAGGCCAATGTCCAGACAGAAAGAACAGCACTCCTCCAGCACGTCAGAGACGCAAAATTCTCCCCTCGCGACGGTTACAATCGATAGCATCCTCCGGAATCGTTCGGAGTCGGAGACGGATGTTGGATGGGGATGGAACGCACCAGTCCTTCGCGCAGCATCCGTTCAAGGCTCGCGTTCGCTTGCCTCAGCTCATGGCACTCCGAGCGCAACTCTGCAATCTCGAGATGCTTTCCGCCGCCGGACACGCCTGCTCGTCAGCATCCGCGGCGGACACGTCTTGCGCGGCACGCTCACCGAGTTGTGGACCGCCTCCATGATCTGCTTGAACATGAACTCGACTGGTATGCCGTTCGCCTGGCCCGCAGGCTGCTTCGCGGCCGAGGGCGTCGTTTGCACAGACATCGTCAAGGGCGGGTGGTGGCAATCGTGGTCAAGATGGGCGAAAGGGAACAAGGAAAGGAGAGGCGGTTAGAAGTGAATAAAAGTGCGGGATTGACGTGCCGCCTGGGTCTGGTTTCCGTTCCAGCTGCACTGGACCGAGGAGAGATCACGCGGCGCCATCTCCGCGAGCACGCTCTCCTGCCACGTTCGCGCTCAACACCCGCAAGTTTGTTTCTTGCGAAGGCACGAGGATTTTCAGACAGGAGGCATGCAGCATTGACACAGGCACCGTCGGTCTAGACTCTGCTCGACGCATATTCAGGAGAATCGGAAACAGCACTATCGATACAAGATGAGGTACAGAGTACAGAGTACTATTACGACTTGAACATGGCGGGATTAAATGATGGAATCGCAGGGGGCCGACAGGCGACGTGTGTACCGGAGCCGAAGACAGTCCGTTCTGATCTGAGCATGAGATTGCAAGCGAGGAGTACCGCAGGCCTGCCAGATCATTCATAGAAGACACGATGTTTCGCGCGCGCTCAGAAGTTCTTGCTATCTTGTATATTGCTTTGGTATTGCTTGGCATGCGTCTCGTCAACATCCCCGCCGCTCATCGATGCATGCGAAAATTCAGTCATCATCGTCACTGCCAAACTCCAGAGTTTGGTATTTGCGCGCCTTCTTGGATGGGTTCGCGAGCGAGGCGCCTCTGGCCGCTGTGACCGCTGCAGCACTTCGGTTCCCCTCTTCCAGCGCAGGCCGTATCAGCTACTACCGCCCAATATGCACGGCCAATATCTGACGTACTGGCGATAGAGTGCAATTTCGAGCTCTCTTGGATCGACTTCTCCTTCCTCACTTGCGATGCTCGTGTTGATTGGCCATTGTCTGCATCGTCTTCTGCTTTGCGTTTATGCTTGCTCGTGGACGATGCTGGAAGGCCATACTGTCTACTTCGCTCCCTAGCGAGTTCCGCTTTGAGGGATTTGATCTCTTCCTGAGCCTTCTGGTCCGACATGCTCGGACCTGCGGACATCGCAGATGTCTTTGACGCTGCCAAGGACGACCGCTTTCGTATGCTACCGCCACGCGACTCGAGAGCACTTGCTGTTTTCGCGGTCGACGTAGTGGAAGCGCTTGGAGGTTTATCTGATACAGGTTCGAACGTGGAAGGGTGGAGGCGGCTCTTGCGACCCTGCGCCTGAATCGCTATCTGGAAGACGTATGCTTAGTATCGTAACTAGAGTTCATGCGGTTCGAGCGAGGCGCACATCTGCAAAGACTTGGGTTGCAAACGACGCGGCTTCCTCGGGCGTCATCTCAGCCAAAGGCACATGGGCTGGGTGATTGGTATTTGTGCCCAGGACGAACTGTGGTATTGGGAACGGAACTGTCAGTTGGTAGGAAGGAGGAATATGTAGTTGAGAGCGCTACATGCATACCTTGATCTCGGCGCCCTTCTTCGAGCTCCAGTTTCCGATATACATTTCTCCTTGCGTGAAGGCGGTAGCTAAGGTATCTCCAAGCGCCTCAGTACTACAAGACGCCGTTTTCTGTATCCGTCCAGTAGCAGAGATTCAGTTAGGATGAAGATGTGTTCTCACGAACTATCCACTCACAGCTGCCTGTCGAATCTCTTTCTCCCCCCAGCGCCCTTCCCACCAACGTCCATTTGAATCGCTAAGGCCTAGCCGAACCTTCCAGCTTGTCTCATCTACGCTTGAGATGACCACAAACCGAGAAGATCCTTGGTAGATGACTTGTATGAGCTCATCAAGCGAAGACAACGACGAGACGAGGTCAGAGTCGGACATGGTTGGTTCTCGACAGAAACTGGAATGCGGGTAGATGGTGCTCCACAATAGTCTTTGACTGGTGTTCAGACACACGAGTAATCAACACGATTTATCAGAATATATAGCTTTGAGTTGTTGTTTCGGGCTTGGTGTTGGACGAGAAGAGAGTCGCGTCTTTGGCGCCTGGCTTGAGGGTAGATGGTGGAGCGCTCAAGCTGATGCTTCGACGCCCATGCATGGTCGTGGTTATCTTGCATTTATCTGATAAGATAAGGCGACCTGACTCGATCGTCTCGGCCTCGAGTCCCTGATTCTGTTTGGATTCTGTCATACAAAGGTCCTGCGATAACTCATAGCAGCGGCCAGCAACTAAACTTCGATAACACCACTCCCGGCCACAACTACCAACTGGCTCGCTATTGCTGGTCACAATTACTAGGTCGAATACACTAGAGGTGAGATTTGTATGCGGTCCGAGTCTCAGTCCGTCCGACGCTGATCGCTTCGGTCAGCGCTCTACGACGAGCACACGACTGCTAGACACATAGACTGGGCAGGATGAAGAACCGCGTCATATTCGTTGGTGTCGGGTGTGTCTGCACTCAAGTTGGTTTCCGGATAGGGCTCACTATGTCAGAGGGGCGACATGTTCGGGTAAGACTACCCTTGCCAAGCACCTGCGTAACCTCCTGCCAGGGAGCGTTATCCTTCACCAGGATGTCCGTGGGTTCCACGCTGAAGTCATTTGCACTGCCGAGACTAATCTTACCTGTAACATTGCCTGGTGATGCAGGACTTCGCCCCAGTGAGTCCATCGTCCGGGCGGTCGTGTTTACGACCAATGAAGCGTGGTCATAGCCGGAAGAGTTGATCCCCGTCCATTCGGAGTATAATGTACAAGACTGGGACAGTGCGGAGGGCGCGATAGACTGGCCGAGGATGGTCAAGACTCTAAAAGAGGTTCGTCATCGTGTCTCATCTAATAGAGGCATTGCGCGTTTCATGCTGTGTGCTGCGCACGATGCTGATCGTCGAGTAGGTCAAAGAGACAGGTATCATTCCGCCGGAGCACTACTCTCATGACCACCTCAACGAGCAGAAGGATGTGCCGGTCGAACGTGAAATATCCGAACGGTGGAAAGATACGTTCACTCGAATAGCGAAGGAGCACGAAGAGCGGGGAGAACAGTTGATCTGGGTGGTGGTTGACGGTTTCCTGCTCTACTGGCATCCGGTACGTGGCGATCCTTATATCAACAAGATGACACCGATCATACCCCGCATTTCCGCAGGAAGTCGTGGGGCAACTCGATGTGCGGGTATTCCTCCGGGTGCCGCATGACGTCCTGAAGCAACGACGACATGAGAGGCACGGCTACCATACCGCAGGTAAGATCCCCTTGTCTCCTGCACTCCTCCCTGTGTCTCTCGACTGCGGTCTCAGAATGAGACCGGGGTCGAGTGAGATTCCTGTGCCGATCTATACATCGATCCTGACTTGACTTCCCCTGCGCCAACGCACCTCCCACCTAACGCCGCTCTCCGACCGCCACCCCGTTCAACATCGCACCTTCGACCGCCCATTCGTACGGGGAGTTCAATCCGATCCAGAAGGCAGCCTGTGGCGAGACCCACCGAACTACTGGGAGCAGATCGTATGGCCAGCATACGTTGGCGCGCACGCGGGGATGGTGGAGGGCGGCGACGTCGAACACGGGCGCCCGAACGGAGCCGTTCCGGGGCTGATCCTGATCGACGGGCTGGAGATGGGGTTGTCGGACACCGTCGAGAAGGTCTGTGCGCGGCTTGCGGAGGAAGCGAAGGAGGACAAGTGACTGAGGCGGACGGCCGACAGTGTGTCGAACATAGAGAGCTTATGACTAAATGATGTGTTGGTGCCCGTAGCTTGCCCGTAGCGTGCCCGGCAACGCTTGTTCCTCTGTTCGAATCCGGTTCGAATGCCCAAATATGAGTGCGGATGCGGGGCTGGGCTGGGCTGGCCAATGCGCGCACGCGAATTCATGTGGGATGCGGGGTCCGATTCGTCCGGGCGGTGGATCCGGAGGCAGAGCGGAATTCACATGCCCTTCCGCGTCCTCGTGACAGTCATCCCTATAAGACCATCTCGCTCACTGCGATCGCCTGCAACCCTCCTGCGTCGTCCTGTACTGCACTCTCCCCATCATCCAGCATGGCCCAAGTTATCGTCGTTGGCGGTGGTCTCGCCGGCCTCTCGGCCGCGCACACACTGCTCGAGCGTGGTGCCAATGTGCTCATGCTCGACAAGCAGCCGTGAGTAGTCTCATTCAATGCTTGTCCTGCTCGAGGGATAGAAAGGGTTGCGGTGGTCCGTATGTCTCACCCGTGGGCGAGGAGTGTATGTATCAGGCGAAGGCACAGGCTGCATTGTAGCGGCTGCTGTGAGAGGTTCGGTGCGTGGGGTGGTACAATCGGTGGACCTTACAGAGCACACGGCCATCATCTACTTCGCTGTGCTCTCGTTGAGGTACATCGCAGCAAACCCTATGTTGTGATGTAACCCCGGAGGAGCGGGCGCCGACAACGCCGATGGCACAGCGCCCGTGCCGCAGGAGGGCCGACACGGACTTCCTTCACTCCTTTCTGGGACCGAGTCCAGATGACGTTCCGTTCTCACCGTCGTGCACGTTTCCAGATTTATGGGCGGTAACTCTACCAAAGCTACCTCTGGTATCAACGGTGCGGGTACGCAGTCACAGCAGGACCTCAACATCCCGGACAATGCGAAGCTCTTCTTCCAGGACACGAAGAACTCGGTGCGTAGCTCGGCATTATCTCCTGTTCAGCATCGGCTAAATAGTACACAGGCGCGTGAGCTTGCACGCGATGATCTCATCGGTGTCCTCACCGGCCGTTCGGGTGACGCAGTCAACTGGCTGCAGGACAAGTTTGGTCTCGATCTGTCCAAGGTCGCTCGTCTGGGTGGTCACTCGCAGCCTCGTACCCACCGTGGCAATGCGCAGTTCCCCGGGATGGTGAGTCAATCGTTTCTGTGGCCTATAACAACCCCTGACCGACTGTGCCAGGTAATCACGTATGCACAAATGGAGCGTCTGGAGGATCTGTCCGTGTCCCAGCCGGACCGTGTCAAGATCAAGAAGAAGGCACGCGTGACGAAGCTTATTCGCGACGGTGAGGCTGTTGTCGGGGTAGAGTACACGCTCGGCGGCAAGACCGAGATCGCGTACGGGCCCGTTATTCTCGCCACCGGTGGCTACGCCGCAGACTTCACTCCCAACTCGCTCCTGAAGAAGTACCGCCCCGAGTACTACGACCTCCCGACGACGAACGGCGAGCACTGCACTGGTGATGGGCATAAACTAGCGCTGGAGGTCGGCGCGAGTGCGATCGACCTTGAGAAGGTCCAGGTGCACCCGACTGGTCTGGTCGACCCCAATGACCCTGAGGCCAAGGTGAAGTTCTTGGCTGCGGAAGCGCTCCGTGGTGTCGGTGGTCTCCTCCTCGATAACGAGGGCAAGCGGTTCGTCGATGAACTCCAGCACCGGGACTATGTCACCGGCAAGATGTGGGAGAACGGCAAGGTATATGGCACGCGCATGGTCGCTCTGAGCTGTGGCTGACTATGCACGTTTCCAGTACCCCATTCGCCTCGTCTTGAACGGCCAGGCATCCAAGGAGATTGAATGGCACTGCAAGCACTACGTCGGACGTGGTCTCATGAAGCGCTACGCGAACGGCGAGGAGCTTGCGAAGGACATGGGTCTCACGCCTGCGCAGCTCAAGAAGACCTTTGACGACTACAACGCGGTCGTCCGGGCGAAGAAGGATCCCTTCGGCAAGAAGGTATGCTGCCTTCCCATCGATTATTTGTTCATATGCTCACCCCGTCTCCAGTTCTTCTCGTCAGGGGAGTGGCGCTTGGACGACTACTTCAATGTCGCCATCATGACGCCCGTCCTCCACTACACCATGGGTGGTCTCGAAATCGACGCCGAGTCACGCGTGATCTCGTCATCCGGCAAGCCCGTCGCGGGTCTCTTCGCATCAGGCGAAGTTGCCGGTGGTGTGCACGGCGCGAACCGTCTAGGTGGTTCATCACTACTGGGCTGCGTCGTCTTCGGGCGTGTCAGTGGTGACTCCGCCGCGTCGTACCTCCTCCAGCGCATCGGTCCATTGGCAGAGAAGGCCGCGGGTCGTTTGGGCGCTGTTTCTGGCCATCTCGGCGGCGAGTCAAGTAGCTCGGTATGTACATTCAGACAGAGTACGGCTTGGAACACCACCGCCTGACATGTGTTACGCAGGTCGCTGCTCCTGCAGAGGAGAAGGCGGACGCGAAGAGCTCAGGGGGCGCGAAGGTGTTCACGGCTGAGGAGGTCGCGAAGCACAAGTCGAAGGACGACATCTGGGTCATCATCGATAACCAGGTGCTCGACGTCACCAGCTTCCTGCCCGACCACCCCGGAGGCGAGAAGGCCATCCTTCTCTACGCGGGCCGCGATGCGACGGAAGAGTTTAACATGCTTCATGACCCTAAGGTGAGCCAGGTCGTTCTGGAACCCGGAAGCTGAAGCTGAATGGCGTCGCGTCGCAGGTTATCCCGCGATACGCGGCTGACTCTGTCATCGGCTCACTGAAGAAGTAGAGGCCATGGTGGTGATTGGGTCTCTGTCACGCTCAAAAGCTGATGCCGATGCCGACGCACGCGTACTTGCTGTTGTTCGTACAACCCACTTGTATCATACTTTGTTGCACTTTATCTCGGGATGCTATCATTATGTTGTTTGTGACATGCCGACAATGATGCTACCAGGCCGAGGCATATGCAGCATTATTATGCAAGCTGTTCGCCCATTCGTGCGTTGCCTTGCCTTGCGCAGTGCGTCGAGGAAGATCGTTTACGTATTGAGCTCAAATTGGGCTTGGATCTATTCCAAAAATAGATCTATCCGTGCAACTTTCGGCGTTCGCGCCACAGGCGCGTTACGCGTATTCTAGTGCACGTCGCGTGACCGTGGATCTGTGACATTGTGGCTTGCAGCCACTCGAGCAACAACAGCCCGCCGCCGCGACGCACTGAACGCGTCGACGAGTCGCACTCAGCTCCCTAGCTGCTCCCATCATTGACTATTGTCATCACTGCAATCATCTCCCACCATGGCGCGGAAGAAAACAAAGCGCTCGAGAAAGGCTGTTTCTGCTACGGATGCCAGTGGAACACTTGCGGTTGTCAAAGCCTCGCGAAAGACGGACATGTTGAATATGCCTGTGGATATCATGCACGAGGTAAGACCCCCGACTGTGCGGTCGACTTATACTCAACCTTCAATGATATTTTGTGCACAGATCCTTCTATACCTTTACCCGCGCGATTTACTCAGTCTCTCGAGGACATCGAAGACAACCCATTCGTTCCTGGTGAGAAAGAGCTCCGTGCTGTACTGGAGAGAGGCCCTGAAGAAGATCGACGGCCTCCCTCCATGTCCAGACAGCCTCATTGAGCCTGCGTGGGCCGCTCTATGGTGGACGCCCTTCTGCACAGTGAGTTGGTCCGTGTTTGCGAGTGGCTGCATCGTTTGTCTGACCCCTATTTGGAATCTGATTTCCCGACTGCAGGTCTGCGGAAAGGGCTCAATACGTACGATCTATTGGGAATTCCTGATGAGGATGTGCAGTTCCTGCAAGTCTCAGCTGTAAGTAAACCGCGGGTTGGAATGGCAAACTATGTGCTAACTAATTTGTTTTCGTGTGATTGAAGTGTTGTGAACGATTACAAACTGCTTGTTGATAGCAATTTGTGTCTCCCGGATAACCTATTCAATGCGGTATGTATCTGGACTCTGTAGCCTTCGCAATCATCTGACGCCGTTACCGCGATGCTTCGCAGGGTTACACCGATTCTCCAGACGATAGCCCATGCTACCTGAAGTCCGAGATACTGGAGGTCGTCGATGCATGGAAGCAACTGCTGGACATCCAAGACCAAGTTCAGCTGGAGAAATTCACTACTGAGCGGCGTAAGCGCGTGAGGAGATTACAGGAGGTAAGTAATGCAAGCCTGAACCTGCAGCAAAGACAAATATGTCTAACCTCTGCCGTGCATAGTTTCGGCAAGCCTGTGTTGACTGGCTTGAGAAGGAGGCTACTGCACGCCGTGAAGAGCAAGATCACCTTGAGATGGAGCGTTTAGATGAGTAGGTCTTACAGGTACATCTATTGCTTTCACGATCCGTTTATACGCACGGCATAGCATCAGTGCAAGACTGCTTGCGCTCGGCTGGGCGCCGGAGCTTGCATTTCTCGAAAGGACATACAGCGAAAGGAGATACGACGAGCTCTTTTCAAATCATAGGTTCGTCTGCATGACAACAAAGCTCACCGAACACGGTGAGCATACTAGTTATTCAGTGTGACTCGTATATGTACTTGGCTTAACTATATTGCATGTCTAGGCTGGCGGAGAATCAAGGGCGAGATGACCAGGCTTATGCAAGGCGTACGAAAGCAGCGTCTGGATGACGAAGCCCATACCGTTTCGTATAAACGCGGGATGTCCTTCGAGAGCGCAGGGAAGGAGCTTGTCGAAGAATACCTCGACGAACATGAGGAGATGAAGATTTTTGGTCTGAACATTGCAGACCTGATGCACACACCGGAGGTTCAGCATCTCCTGTGTGCACCTAAGGATACGCACGTGGACGAGCAGAGCTTTCTGGCCCTGCAAGCACAGATGGAGACGACGATGGAAGGGTGGAAGTCACGCGCGTGCAACACCCTCCGCCAGCTAATACGACGTACCAAACGGGCCCCGAAAGCTTCGAACGTGGACATGTTGGAGCTCGCGACAACAGTGTTCAGATGCAACTGTTGCTCCCCGGGTTATCTTTTTTACCCAAATGTCCTTGGACACAAGTGCTTGCGCCCCGGTCCCGATCCTCTATTCACTTTCCTACACGGTCATCGTTACGGTCTCTTCGATAACATGCTTTTCCTAGGAATGTTTGAAGCTCGGAATCTCAGATTCGAGGCCGCTTTACCGAGGACTGCTCGTCAAATCATTCAAGTCTGCAACAAAGATCCAGATACGGTCACAGCGAGGGAAATGGACTCGTTAGACATCAGGCTTGTACGAGATGACGTGACCATAATGACCTGGCGTGCTGCAGTGAGTTAGATCAACTTCTCTGAATATGCTCCTACTATACTACGACTTAAAATTCCCCCAGATAGTGGACAGCTGCAAGTCCAAAGACAACGCTTTGGCGTGGCGGATAGCGAGTCCGGGAGAGATCGCCTGGGCAAAGGAACGGGAACATCAGTCGCATTACTACAAGTATCAATGGCAATGTACCATTTGTGGGGGGCTATGTCACGACCAACAAACCCTCATCTCCCACTTTCGAAAGTGAGTTGAATCGTTTCTCCGGTATTGTCGGCCGACTGACGAAACCCGGTTTTAGACACATGAGCGGCAGTAGTTACTGTGCCACCAAAGATGACATGACTGTATGGCGAGACCCCGATTCCGAGTACGCCAATGGTATCCAGCGGCTTCAGTTTGAGATGTAGTAGACACTGCGCTTAATGGATATATGATAGAGGTGCTCTGCAGGAACAAACTCGGGACGCATGTAACATCGAATCCTATGATCAGTCGACATGCACCACAACAGTGTCTGCGGAGGTGTGCCACATCCCCCGACTGCGTAAAGTCCCGTTGACCAGTCAGCGGACCGCGGTTCGCTGTCGATTCGCAACCATCTGAAACTATCCATAACGTAGTAGGATCCGAACAAGACACCTTAAAGGAGCCACATTCCCCGCGTGTCCCATTAATGTCAGTATCGGAAACGTAGGCACTTATGCTGGTACAACTTGAAGTGCTGGGAAGCAGGCAAAAGTCAATTTGCTCGTCAGTAACAGTACGAGTTTTTCCAACGCTTGCATGCTGAGAACACAGTGCAGACGTTGGGACGGAGTCACAGTTGAAGCTAAGTTGGAAAAGGGCCAGGGCCAGCGGCAAGACTTCAGAAGCTTCAATTCTCAGACTCAACGAACGACGGTGACGTCTCAAAGCACGTGCCAAAAGATTCGAGCGCTTAGCCTACATCGCTCTCACTGACTGGCAATGACAACCACTCTTTGGTCCGAGTCCTATACATCACGCTCCAGCTCTCCAGCGGAACTCACATATCCTCTAGTACCACGGTTCTACATCAGGCTCGTTTAGATTGGTTGGTATTGCTAGGCCTGGTGGTGCGCCGGTGGCTCGTTCGAGGGCGCTGTCTAGAGCTTACCTTCTTGCGCACAGGCTGATGATCATGTGGAAGACACAGCAATCCGACGAACGTAGCAAGTATCGTATGTACTCACTTTATTGCCGGCTGCGAGCCGAATATGCTGATATTGACGCTTCAACCCTCTGAAGCAACCGTCAACATGACGGCAAACGCGCAGAAACAGACTGACCCGTCATTGCCATTCTTGGAGAGAGCACTCAAGCAGTCCTTGCATTCGCCAACCTTCCTGGACGTGAAGTTTTTTGCGTTCTCACGCAGAACATACCTTGGAGACGGCTCAATCAGAGTAGAACGGCCGCAACACGTCCTTGCGATTAGCTCGGTATTGAAGAAAACCGATTACTTTGAGAAATGTATGTCATGATTATCAATACATAAAGTACATACGCTCACTGTGAGACAGTGTTATCAGGTGGCTTTGCAGAGTCTAACGCTGTACGAGTTCCCATAGACGCACCTTTCCCGGAGGATAAGGCACCTTTCAGTGACGAGTATGATTATGACTCCGATAGCGACCTTGACGATGAAGAGACCCCTGACGGCGACATGGACATCATCAGGATGCGAGGTCAATATCTTCTCTCACTGTCACAACCTTGCTGATAGACGACTATAGAAGATGGAGAGAATGTAGCTGGTCCAAGTGGTTCGAACGCTGGTCATTTGTCGTATGCTGGTGTTCAGTGCCAACAAATCATCATAACAGATGTGGCCTATTTGACGTATGTCGACTCTCCACAACCATGCACCACACTCACAACTGCTCGTCCACTTAGATGGCGCGCATTTGTTTTCTACCTTTACTTCGGCAAAGTCAACTTCCTCCCGCTAAAATCCGCCGTGGACGAGGACAGAGCAGCAGAACTAGAGCGGGCGCTGAACGACGAGAACGCCGTACCCCCGTGCTCACCGAAATCGATGTATCGATTGGCTGAGAAGGTAACTCCTGACTCGTGCCACTCGGGTATTCTTGACTGAGCCACATCAGTATGGCATCGCAGAGCTGCAGACTCTCGCTTTTGAGGCCATTCGATTACGGCTTTCTGCGAAGAATATTGTGCAAGAAGTCTTTTCGCGCTTCACATCCAGGTCATTCCAGCTCTCGTCCTGCGCAATGAGCGGAACTGATTCGTTCATTTAGGTACGAACGGGTGCGGGAGCTAGAGATTGCCTTCATGCGTTCGCACTATTCCGAGCTTGGGGACGCACTCTCTAGTATCACGGATCGGCTTGTGCAGGGCGACTTCCCCTATGCCGGAGAGGTGCTGAAGACCCTGCTCGATGTCAAAAACGAGCATAGCATCGCCCAAGCTGCCTACAAAGGACACAGTAGCACGGCGGCAGCAGCGGCAAGCAGGCCCATGCGAGGACCCTCGGTTCTCCTCCCTAATTTGGGCCGAAGGTCGCAGTCGAGGGGGAACGTAGCCCCACCGCCATTCAGGTCCAACTATCACGCGCTGTTCAGTCCGTCTCAGTCTACTTCGACCGTGGCCGCTGCGCCCATGACGGTGTCGACGTCTGGCGGGACGGGCAGTGGCTCAACGAACAATGCGTCGACAGCTCCGGTGTGGTACAGCTTCACGGCAGCGGCCGACGACGACGACGACATGTGATGGCTTGAAGACAGGAGTGTATAATAGAGAGGATCGATGATGTACTAGGACCTGCCATGTGTTCCTCGGACTTGGTGCTGTTAGATAGCCAGCCTCTTTGTAGTGTAGTTTTCGTCGAGGATGTATAGCAGTGTATGAATTAGATCTCGTGCGACTCCTGCCTATCTAATACATCACTTCTAGACAACATACAACCTTAGCTTGCCGACAGCGACTTCGCCCATATCCTCCCGGGCAGACCGAGGGTTCCACCCCGCCTGCACACCTCTTCGAGCACGTCGGTGTTCAGCTCGGCGCCCATCGCTCCGTTAATAACTAGTGCCACTCCTCGCGGCTTGCTTGGGTCGAAGGTGACGGCGATCTCGACTTGACCAGGCATGGGTGGCCTTTCCGGTGAGGACATGAGGATTCTCGCGTGCCCGACTGATTGGGGCAGTGGCATGGCGCTCAGGTCCGGAGCGTCGAAAAGCGAAACTGGCGCAGAGGTGGTGAGGTAAAGGTTTACCGGTATCCTGCGTGGAGTGAGCGATCCTGAAGGGTCTTAATCAGCGCGACCTCGGCAGTAGTATTTGCTGCTCCTACCTGTAAGGACAGCCTGGAGATCTTCCTCGTTAGCTTCGTCGTCCTCCATTTCGTTGGCCATGGGTCCGTTTTCCAGACCCTCTGGAATCCATTGGTATGCCGACAGGGTTTCGTTGAGCCAGCACTGCTCCTTGACAATCTACGCAACGAGTGTTACCGCTGCAAGCATGCACGAGACCGTGATAAGCACTACCTCCAGGACCCCCCAGATCTCCTTCAGGTTCTTCACCGGCACTCGCTCAAGGATGAAACCTGGTTCTTCTGGTGCGGTGAGACGCAGCTGCAACGGAGGGTGCGCAGAGGTCGGTGAAATCTGTCAAGCATGTTCATTTGTCGGTGGTAAGGCGATGTTTCACCCAGACTTACGTAGGATGCTGTGTAGCGTTCCGGCGAGATAGGGATTGAAGGGCTCAGCTGGTTGTGTGATGAGTTCAACGAAAACTTCGTCAAACGCGCACTTGCTCACCAGGAGGTCCAACCAGCTCCCCATACCGAACGCCATCTGATGCACGCTGTGGAGCTGGTCCATGCCGCTCAGGGGGTTCATCAGGAGCTCGATCTCGCGCATGCGCGACTGGCTCATCACGACACCCGGGTACTTGCCGCCCTCTGTGAAGTCGAGCACCCAAATCGGTGGTGGCGGAGTTGAGTCGTTGGCGAGTCGCGTGCCGGGCACTTGTGAGACTTGGGCGAGAGCACGGTCTACCTGCGCTCCTGTGGATGAGAGGGGGAAAGTGGGCCGTGTGCTGAAGTCCGCGATGTTCATGGAGTCGGCCTCCGATCCGATGGTCCCCGCAGACGACAGGACTAGCGACGCTACCGTGACGCCCCTTGGCCGTGGGTGCGATGTGAGCCTAGGTCTGAGGACGTCGAAGGGGACATCCAGTTTCGGGAGGGAGGGCGAGTGTTGTGGTTGTCTTCCAGCAGACGAGGTTGAGCGCAGCAGGGTGAGATATGTCAGTGGCGCAATGAAAACAAGGAACGACACTGAAGGTCCCGTCAGATACGGAAGCGGCAAACTATGAGCGCGCATGAGAAAGACGTCCAGCGGCGCGGCGCTGCCCACTTGACTCCTACGCAGGAAGGTTAGCAGATCCTCGACACACGCATCAATACACGCACGAACTCGCGCCTTGAGCTTCGCTCACAGCAACCTTCTCCGTCTCCTGGGCGAGCACGTCGATGTCGCTGAACCAGCGCAGCCCCCCTTCCCCTTCATCAAGGGCGAGCTGGTCCAGCGTCATCAAGTACTTGAGGCTCTCCGAGCAGAGCGCCCCGAGCCGCGCAGCCTCCACGCTGTCTTGCTCCCTCGGCTCTCTCTGCACCTCCGTCAGGAACGCCTGCACGCAATTCGCGAGGAACCCATCCAAGGACGCGGACCCCTGCGTCGTCGAGCTCGTCGCGACGTTCGGGATCGCGTACGACGTCTTCACGCTGGCGACCGTGACCGAGGGCCGGTCTGGGTCCGTGCGGTCCACGGCGAGGTCGATGTCAATCACGAGCACCTTCCCGCCGAGGACGACGGTCATGCGGCCCTCGCGCTCTTCCTCCTTGAACGCCTCCATTCCTGCGGACGCGCCCCACGCCTCGAGGCGCGATACGCACCAGCCGACGATGGACGCGCGGTCGAGCGGGATGTCCTCGCCATACGTGATCCCCGCGCGTTTGCGCAGGGCGTCCAAGGTGGTCTTGACACTGAGTTCCGACTGGTGACTTCGCTCGTCAGCACAATCAGTACGGCAGACACAGTAAGGCATCTGACCAGATGGAGCGTGCTAGATAATGTGGCGTGTTGCCGGTAAAGCGATATTACTTTCGGGTTCGCTGGTGGAAGCGCGAGGCTGGCACCGAGTGCGTGCGACATACGGTCTGACTCTTCGATGATTCGGTTAAGCAGCGACGCTGTCTCGCCTGGGGCTGAGGCAAAAGGATGCGTCGGTTGATTCACTGAGAATCCATGCTGGGACAGCAGGTCCTGGACAGTGGATAGTATTGTCGACGTAGTATAATCCTTCGTGTCAGTGTTTTGCTCCATGATGTATCACGGGCCTGTAAACTCTATGTGACATGGTCAGCATTGCCCAATTACTGTGGCCACTGAAGCCACACCTGAGGAGGAGTTGGACGTCTGGTTTACAGACGGGGCCAAGTTCTGTCAAGTTGCAAGAACTTGTTTCGAGTCGGCAGGTCCTGGCAGAGCTCAGTCAGTGAGTACTGAGCAACTGATGTTACGTCTGACTAGACGCGACTTTCCGCTCACAATTTGCTCACAATGGAGTGAACTCGCAGTTCGTAAGAATGTGGCAAATGAGCGCTTAGGTCGTTCAACATGTTCTATATATGGAAACTCGGTGCTTCCTGGCCACACCAAAACACCATTGCTCGCGCGCAATGGTTCACACACATAGGTGGGCGCAACTATTTATATTCTAGGATCAGGTTACGAGAGAAGCATATGAAAGCCTATGACTAACGTTTCCGACCATCTCAGTACTTCAATCGGTGCAGCACTATGATTCAACGGGAGTGGCCCAATTTGTCCTTCAACCGAGTTTCAGCTCGTAAGTTTCGTCGCTGTTGTCAGTCCACATGCTCCGAGGGTGCACGCAGCGTCTCCGTAGTCACTAGTCAGCCTCGTTGCCGACTGTGTGCCGCGCCTCGGTCGCGCCCCATAATGTGGCTGGTCAGCTGAAGAGCAGAGTGACTGCGTTGGGGATCACGCTCAAGACTCCGTCGGAGCAACCCGATCTATTACGGTATTCAGAGACCCTGTGCATTAGAGAGTGCTGTCTAGCAATCATCATGCGTCATGACCAAGACGAGTACACACGCATGCGAGACCGCGGAACACAAAATGCGTCATGGACATACCGAAGCGCTTTACTTCCACCGAACGAACGGCACCCTGGGAGGGTGATGGTAATCATGGATATGATTAGATGTGTACTATATTCTGAACGATCCTTAGGTTAGACTACACACCGAGTATGGTAGAAGGAGGGGAAGGGCTTGAGTTTAAGACGGCGGTAGTATTTCTGTTGCAGTCCGTTGGACCGCAAGGCAGTGTCCATACCTTGAACTGTGCTTACATATGCGAACGTTGGCATCGCTGAGGGCGAAAAGCTTATTCAAACGCGCGTAGCCGCATATGGGGACCCACCACGCCACTAGATTTAGGGCACCAGGTCTTCACAAACGTGCTGACCCTTCCGATAGTCCAACCTCGTCCGGATGAGGATAAAGACCCCTTCCAATTGGGGTACTTACCAGGAAGCGACGTGATGGAAGAGGCGGACACGGGCGAGCCTATCATGCATTGCTCCCAGTGTTCCGCACGATGCGGGTCGTGTTTGTGGGGCCCCACAGCAGACCCCCACATGAAGGGCGATTCATCAGCTATATTTGACGCGTCCTGCGTGCTGGTCGCACGACGTCGGGGAGGATATATCACATTCAGTCATAAGACTACCCAGACGAACGCGGACTTGTGGCGGTGTGCAAAGGGGTCAGAACCATTTCTGGGCGTAGATTGCCGCACCGAGTGGGAACTCCCAAGTACAGCTCCGGTTGACGGAGTGGTTGTCCATTGCGAGACGCAGACGGCGCGTCATATGCAAAAAGAGGTGACGGACGACGGACATGACGCACCTCCGCTGTATGGAGAGCATTACGGCAAACCGACCACGCGCGGTAGTACCCGAGGAGAGCATCTGCACATGATGTGCGCGTCCAGGACTACCAGTGACCGCGGCGCCGGGCCACTGATGTGAATTGGCAGCGCGGCGGCTGGAACTTTGACGGCGACCACCTGGACAACACAGAGTGCTCCCAGGCGCACACAGGACCGAGCCGTCCTTCTCACACAGCCTGGTGCGGGCTGCGCTCAGGCTCCGCTGCGGCGTCAGAAGCGAGGCCCGGTGCGCAGCGTCGGGGAGGACAATGGAGACGCGAGCTGCGATACGGACGGATGCTCCCTGGTGGCGGCGGCGAGCTCCAGGAGGCGATGGGAGGAGGCAAGCCGGCGGCCACCGCCAGCCACCGCCACTCGCCGCGTGCTATCGCGCGGGTTCTGGGCCACCGGAGCGGAGTGTGAATAATGCGGGGACGCGCCTTGGGCGATTGACGTCGATTCAGGCGGCGACAACATCACCCGGGCCTGGACCACCGCGGCCGGGTTGGACTTAATTCGCAACATATCCGAAACTTATTCTTCTCTCCCTCCTCCTTGCCCGGCCGTCCTGTCGCTCTCCTCTCCTTCTCTTCTCCCATCCGCGCATGCTCAAGATCCAGGTCTCGTCCCCGTCGCCCGAGACGTCCTCGCTCCAGACCACCCCGACCCTCGCGGACCTCAGCAGAAATGCTTCCGTCATATCCTCCAGCAGCTCCTCCAGCTCGACCTCCGACCTGACCCTCCAGACTCCAGTACGGCCACGGCCCCTGCGCACATTCTCGTCCCCGCGCACGGCAGTGCGCTCGCGGAGCCCCCAGTCGCCAAGTACACCGCGCTCGTCGCGACCGCCCGCATACCTAGCGCGTGAACTCGGCCTCTCGGACGAGCGAGATGACGGGGCCTCGGAGTTGCGGCCGCCGCCCTCGCGGAACCGCTCCCAGTCGCGCAATAGCTCCGTGAACGGCCGCGTCGCGACGACCGCGGATGACTTTGAGTTTGGGCGGGTGCTTGGGGAGGGTTCATATTCGACGGTGCGTTCGTCTAGGCTCTACACATGTTCGGGAGTGCTAATGTGTGCCACTACGTAACAGGTGATGCTCGCGAGACACAGGACGACCCAGCAGGAGTATGCAATAAAGATACTCGATAAGGGCCATCTCAGGCGCAACGGCAAGCTGCCCACTGCGCTGGCAGAGAAGAACACGCTCGTCAGGCTCGGTGCGGGACACCCGGGCATCGTGCGCTTACACTGGGCGTTCCAGGATGAGTGGAGTCTTTGTAAGTGCACGCGTGCATGCGGGCTAATTTTGCGGCTGATGGTGTCTCGCAGATTTCGTGCTGGATCTCGCGAGGAACGGGGAGCTGCAGTCGCGAATATCACGCATGGGCTCGCTCTCGACAGAATGCGCGCGGGTATATGCTGCGCAAATTGTAGACGCACTGGGGTATATGCACTCGAAGGGCGTCATCCACCGGTGAGCGGGCTGTGCGCGACACTGGCGGCGGTGGGCAGCACACTGACTCTCGCGCCGCACAGGGACCTCAAACCCGAGAATCTGCTATTGGACGACGCGTTCCGGATCAAGATCACGGATTTTGGCACCGGCAAGATTCTCGACTCCGGAGGTCGGTCCTTGCCGCAGGCATCTTCCGGCATAGCTTGACAGCAGCTGATTGGCTTACAGGCGAGCGCACAAAGACTTTTGTGGGCACGGCACAATATGTATCTCCGGAGTTGCTCGAGGACAGCGAGACTAGCAAAAGGTGCGCCGTGATTATCGCAGTCGATGCGTATCCGATGGCTTATCTTTATGTCAATGTGGTCACAGCTCCGACTTCTGGGCCCTGGGTTGCATTGTCTACCAAATGATCTCTGGCCGCTTTGCATTCCAGGGGCTCTCTGAGTACCTGACATGGCAAAAGATCAAGAAGCTCGAGTACACTTTCCCTGAAGGCTTCGATGAGCATGCACAGGATCTGGTACAGAAACTACTCGTACGTTGTTTATGAACATTTCGATGGGGTGGCTGAACTGAGCCGCGAGGTTAGGTCCGCGATCCGGCCCACCGCCTCGGCGCTGGTCATTCTGGAAGCAGTACCGACATGCAGGCGCTCAGGGAGCACCCGTTTTTCGCCTCCATCAACTGGGGCACGCTCTGGACAGAACCGGTCCCGCCCCTCGAGCCTGGACTCATCAAGAAAGACCCTCCACCAGCAACCAATGGTAGTAAGTGGGACGACGTCGGTGCATCTTGGGACGCCCTCGTGGGCGATAGCGACCCAGAGGACGGCATCAGCTGGGCGTCGGATACAGAAGGCCAGGATTTTTTTGCCCCGCAGGAGGCAGAAGCACCGAATGGGTATGCCTATTACGAAGATGTCGGGCCTATGGGAGAACTGCGTCCATACGCGTTTCCGCCGGCCGACGGCCACAGTACCAACAATGCAAACCTTGCGAGTTCGTCTTCGGCGGCGCCTGGTACTGGGAAAGACGAGGGGCCCTCGGTCCGTTTCGCGGATATCCCGAAGGCGGGCTCGGTCCTCACGGCGGGCGACAGCAGAACAGCGCCGGCGAATGGCGTGGGCCCCTCGCATGACGTCCCGTCGGTCGTGAAGGCACATCCAATTGACGTGCCAGCGCCCAAGGGGGCGGTCGTGGACAGTTATTCGACGGGCTCCGCGACCAGTTCGTCGGACGGCAGTCCGATCGAGCAGCTCGGTGCGGCGCTGGAGGCCGCTGGGATTGACAGAGGCCGGAACCGCGCGCAGACGCCTATCCAGGGGAACCGCGCGCCGCCGCCGCCGCCGGTGGATTCGGAATGGTGAGTTCCAGACCGACGTAGCGAGCCCGTGGCGCTGGGTGAAATAACGCGTTCGGTGTCTGTTTGTTTGTGCAGGACGTCGTTACTGCTCCCGCACGAGAGCGTGCTGTTCAACACGACCGTGGAGGCGAGCGCGCCCAGGCGACGTGGAAGCCGGTTACTCGCCATGGCGGTGACGCCGCGGCGGTTGAAGACGAGGGAGCTTATTCTCACAACACACCGGCTGCTGTGCTTAAAGCGTAAGATCGGGCGCGCGGTGCAAGTTCGGACGGAATTATTTATGACTCCTTCGTCGGAGAAGGAGAAGGATGGCCGTCATATCATCTCGGGCATCGAGCCAAAGGGCGAGCGCGAGTTTGTCGTCATGACGGTCAGTCGTCTCGCACTCTTTCCTCACATTGGTTATACTTACGTCGTCCTGTTGCCAATACAGGCCACCAAGTCACATTGTTTCCTTGCTGAGAGTCCATCCATGGCTAGCATGTGGATTCGCAAAATTCAGGAAGCGTTCGAGACCCACGCGCCCGCAGCAGGCGGCGCGCGGACTGCTTCCACCTCACGTACACGGACGTGAACCCGACTGTGTGTTTGTTGTACCCGTGTGCGTTGTACGCTTTTGATCTCGCCGCTTGGGATGGGACGTTGTTCGATCGGACCGCGCACTTCATATTTATGTACCTCTTTTTATCGCTCCGCTATACTTGCATCTGTATATTGTATTGATAGCACACATCCGCACTTACGCTCGCTCGCTCTTCCCCATCCACGCAACCTGCATAGTCCCACGCCGGGGCCGCTGCTCCAGGCTCCCGGTCGTATTAATCGGAGCACACAGATACACGCTAAATTGAGGGTAGTTGAAGTTGATATACTTTTGTTACATTCCCGCAGAATGTGGACGCTTCGCCGTGTGAACTAGGAGTATCAACCCGGTGGGAGAAGGCTCATGTCGACCCCCTTAACATCATCCGCGTCATCGCTGTCCTCGGGCGCCCTCGCGATGGGCGTACGAGGCATGACCATGAGACCTGCGGAAGCGTGGGCACCAGTCAGAACAACGCGTCCTCCTCCGGCAGCCAGACACACATACCTGTGCGGGCGGCCTCGAGGACGCCAAACGGCTTGAGAAGCGCGAGGAAGGCCTCGACGCGCTTGGTCTTGCCGGACATTTCGACGATGACACTGTTCTCGCTCACGTCGACGATGCGCCCGCCGAACTGCTGGGAGAGCACGGAGACGGCGTTGAGGTTGTCGCTCCGGAGGTGCAGCGCCTGCGTCGGCGTGAGCGGTGTGGGCGCGTGGGCGTCCGCGTCCGGGTGCGCGCCGCGCTCGAAGCTCTGCGCGAGCGCCATCTCGCGCTCGAGCTTCGACTCCGCGTCGGCGGTGGAAGTGGACGGGGTGAGGTGGCGATGCCGCGGGTCGTGCGTGGGCCCGCCTTGGAGCTGCTCTTCGACGTACTCTGGCCCGAGGATGGAGACCTTGACGAGGAGCAGCTCGCGCTCGATGCAGTGGGTATCCGTGTAGTCGAGCACTGCCCATACCGGTACCTGAGCGAGGAGATAGGTCAGGATGAATCATGCCGTTTGAACGTGACGAAAATGTAAATTGACTGTTGTCATGCGCAGGCCCATGCAGTCGGGTTCAAGGTAAAAAAAACAATGTGACAGGAACGAGCACTTGCTCGGTCCAAACCTACCAACAGTAGAAGCTGGCACCAAGCCTTCACATGTCATTGGGGTGACCTTAAGTGGAGCATCAACGCCTGCAACGACACTTGTTCAGATTGAGGGATGCCTTCACCCTCCCGCAGAGGATGTTCGCGGGCGCAGGTCTGTCGCCCGAGCGTCCAAATGTCGAGCATCCAGCAAGTCAGCTTCCAACTTGAATGATCTGGGTGGAAAATACATGCACCGGCTTTCTGACGATGAACGGTACGTCGGAGGCAAGAGCGAAAGAAAAAAAAATAGGTTCCCTTCCATTTGCAATGGACCGCACAAGAACTATGGGCAGATGACCGAGAAGGAAACCGGACTCACCAAGTCTTCTAGCTGTCTCCTTGCCTGCTCAATAACACCATCCTGACCCCGGAGTACAATGCACATGCGACTCAGGTCCCGGATCTCGGTACGACAGACGACTAAGGAGTCGATGTTGAAGCCTCTCCCGGCGAGAATGCCCGATACACGGGATAAGACACCGGGTTCGTTCTGGACCAGGCAGTTCAGAACATGCCTGTACCACACGCATGTGTCAGTGTCGACATGTGTAATTAGGATTGTCTTGGAGCAGACGCACTTTTTAAATGGTTGCAGGCTAGGCGGGGGCGTGTTGTAGAGGATGTTCGTCACTGCCTCTTCTGCAGACCTTGAGCGGACGTCCATGGCTGGAAGAGGCGGCGGTCTGTGCTGTAGCGTCGTCCGCCGCTTGTAATCCAGTGCTGAGGTCGAATCGTCAACGGGAGGCGGTGGTTTCGGTGCTGAGTCGCCGGAGTCTGCATACCGTCTGCATGCTGATACACAGATATGGCGGGAGCGTGATACGAGCCCTGTCGCGATGCGCCTGCGGGCGACGCTGGCGAGAAGGCTCTCCATGGCGAGATGAGAGTCTGCTGGCCTGTCAGAACCAGGCAACCTCAGTCTGAGTCGGCGCGAGTCAAGTACTACGGTCACGTGTACTGTGTAGACGCGCTTGGGCGCTATTTGTCGCGTAGCTCCGATTCTCGGGCTCTATCCATGGCAACACCACCTAGCCCCGTACGAACAGGTCAATCAAACTTAGGGTAAAAGCACGATATGTCACATCGTTTCATACTGGAGAGCCATGAATAGACGAAGCCAGGTCAGGAGATGCGCCTCAAGCCAGGGGCTACTATGCTCTTGTCTACCTGAGCAGGCCGTCTGCAACGCTGGCCGCCGCTCTTACACAACTTCGATAACAAATGACATAACCGCGCGGCGCCGGACGGTCGATGATCCCCGTGCTATTTCTTTCTGTTGAGAGGTCTGTTGTATGTATGGCCGCACGATGAGAATGTCAACTCGCGGCTTCCATCGACACAACGCGGGCACCGGCGTAGCTCGTCCTTTGACGCTGTTGAAGACTGAATCTTCGTGGCCATGGTGAGCAACAGAGTCGACATCACATTCTGGCTATGGGGTAAATGGCCTTGAGCCATAACGGCCATCCATCCGGGCATCGAGGCCATGACGTCCGAGATCTGCATACTGTCGCACAGGAAGTCCACTTGAATTTGCTGAACCTCGGGATATCTGGCATCACCGTATGCACTAGTCAGTGTATCATAGAGGAAGCATGACCAACAAGCCGTAGTCACCTGGAAGTGAACGTTGAGAATAGCTCTTTGAGTATGTTGTCCGTACTGAGTCCCGACCGTATCTGTTTGAGAGCCATTCCTTGAAGGTCTTCGAGACCGTACTACTCAGCCTTAGAGTCAACCAATGCTTAACATGCAGATGAAAATGAAAAGAAAAAAACCTTGTCTGCAAGGCGGTACATCGACTTCGGCGAGCACGCAACAGAAGAAGTTCTGTTCTGACTACCATGATCGCCTGGCGGAGATGCTGAGCTTGACCGCAGCGGGGAAAATTCAATGCTTCCCGTGTAGATGTAAGCGATGAGAGCGATCCATCTTGTAAGTTTTGTCAGCTGCCGAAAAGAGAGGTGCACTACGGTAAACACACGTTTTATGCGCCATATCTTTGACGACGACGGTCCGACCTGTACATGGTCCGTAGGGGCATGAGGCCGAAGCCGAAGCCGAAGCTGCCTGAGCTTCTCGAGGGCCGACGGTGCGTAGATTCTGAGTGTGTTGATGCTGCACACGAAGTCAATTGATTGTACATTGGGATTACGGACAACAGCGCACATCCGTGATCTCACCAATATCGCCGTCACCACTGACAGTGATCCCGTTGCTTTCGACATTCTCTGACTGCACTGACTGCACTGACTGCACTGGCTGCACTGACTGCGGAGTGGCAGTGACAGAAACCACATGGTCTGCCGCATTGTCTACCGACTCATCGTCTTCAGTATCGTCAAGATCGCTGTCTGTTTCATAACCGTATTCGTCCATGGACACTTCTTGCCCGGAGGGAGGTTCGCCATCGAAGCTTGTCGACATGCTTTCAGCAAAACCACCAGTAAGCACTACGAACAATGATCAGCCGCACACATCCATGGGATACGACCGCACAAGTCTTGCACGTACTATTGTCGAATACATCCGATGCCCTCCGAAATAGCATGCTGTTCGCATATACGGCTCGCAAGTCTGTAACGTACCCAGCGCGCGAGCGGCGGGACGGAAGGTAGAACCTGGTGTCTACGAAGCTACCGGTCGCAATCGATGAGAGCAATGCTGAGCGAATGGCATCTTCTCTCGACGACTTGCGGTCCATATCCTGTCTGGACCCAGCAGGCGATATCGATGCCACGGCAGAATCAAGGTCGGGCATATCTGTCTAGACCCTGGTGTTGCGAGGAGGAGAACAACCGAGTCAGTTATGCTAGGTAGAGCTGACAAGCTCAGTCTCACCTCGTTATGCAACGCCGCACGCATGAGGCCGAGACACGAGGCTTGGATTCTAGCGCTGACATGCAGCGATGGTATCTGTGTGCAGTCAGCTCTGGAGTCTTGCGTACGGATAGCTCACCCAAATAGCTCACCCGAATAGTTCCTCTCCGTCCATTCGGGCACCCCGTGCAAGTCCGATGATCCACTTGACAAGCTGTTGGCTCCGTATAGCACTATCTCCCGACGGTCAGCAAAACGCGGTCAAAACCCTCTGCATGACTGCTCAGATATCTCCGCGTCCGAATCAGCAATGATGCAAGGGTGATAGTGGTGTGTACATCCTAATCACGCGAGCGATAATGATTGACCTTCTCCAGCCTGAGGAGTGGAGCTGACATCATATCGAGCGAACTCGAAGGGACAACAGAGCGTCCTCAGATGACTCCGTACTAGTAGCCACTGGTCCAGACGAAGACATCGCAGGAAAAAAAGACGCCAAACTCGAGTGGGCCCAGAGCATGGCTGTAGCCTGTCAGACCGTCTGTAAGTGGATACACGAAGTAGCACATTGACGACCTCACCGCTGTGTGTTCCGCGAAGCTCGGTGTTGTAGGTGAGCATGTCAATTCGTCGGTCGAGTGGTAGCTGGCATGCTGTAAAGTGGTCTCAATGTGCGGCGCATGTTAACCTAAGCTTGTCCGAGTCAGTTGCGTCTGTCTGCGCAAATCGAGACCGCACTGGTGACCTAGGGACCAGAATGCGTCGACGGACGACGAACGAAGCTAACGGAGTATATCAGAGGTGAATATCTACCGGCCACAAGACAGATGAGCTGGCGCCGACGCGGTTATAGGAACGTCGTATTCACTTGTAGCCTGAGGTTGCGAAGATTTGACCGGTCCACCATTATTGGCATTGGTGTCATCATCCAATTTCTGGACTTATCCCTGGATCAGTGGAGCCGGATACTAGATTCTTCGGTGTAGTGGGATCATGTACTGGTCAAAGCAAAGATGAAGGCGGAATTCGTTGTGTTGGCCAGTACTAGGCTGGAAATATCACGTGCGTCAACCGATGAACACGGCTGCATGATGATGTAGTCTTCTTGCCAGGTCTTGCCACGATTTTGCCAGCACATACTTAACGGTGGCTTCTGAGTCCATGCGTTTACTTCGAGTTCTTGAAGCAGGCGTTTGTTGACATGATAGGCGGCTGCGGGCCTGCCGATGACGGTCAGCACTCGGTAAGCTCTTGTTCATAGCGGCATGAGGAACGTTCGGACAAACCTAGGCCTGAATTGACCTCGTTGGGCTCATAGGTCCGTTACTGTCGTCTGATCATATATGGCTATGCATTGACTACGATCGGACTGCCTTCTATATTGTATGGCAATTAAGCATGCATCCGATGCGGACTCAGCGCTTGGCTTGATACCTGTCTGCCAGGCGCCCTCAGCTCCAAGCGTCTTCAATCACATAACTGGCCAATAACTGGCAGTCTCAGACAACGAATCGGCATACCGCAGACAAATGTCGAGCAAGAGGAAGCACCATATGCACATAGGCGTGCGCTGTCGTCAGAGGAGTTTTTTGCACTATCGTCGAAGTCAAACGTTGTCCTTATTGCGATTTACAGACACCTTGTATATTGCATGTGATTGTTACGGATTCGAAACGGATTGGTACGAGAACATGGACCAAATGTCGCAGTGCGGTAGATTTTGAAGATCGTTTTGTGAGTATCATTATTGACCGCGCCTCTTAATCGGTGTTGTGCGGTTTTTCTCCACGAGCGTAGCGCTCTGAGTTCCCAAACCGCACAACATGATGGGTGACATTCGCCGCGGCGACCTCCCATACTCGAGGGCCTCCAGCAATGATCCTGCGCCGCATGGAGGAGAATTGGAGCATGCGTTTCGCTTGTAACCAATCCGGCTGACACCCGCTCTCAGTTGATAAAACCTTGGACATGACGGGCTCCCATTATTCGTTTTTTTTGCCTGGCTGCGGAATTCAGAAGCATTGCCCACCCAAATCACAAGGCCTTCGTGACCCCGCGGCTGTCTTGGCAAATAGACTCGGTGCCCTTCACCTCCGAGGCAGCGGCATATGTCAAACCAGACAATAGCGGGGCCTCGAGGCAACGTTTTGTCAAGCCCAGCCCTTCGCACCCAAGAGAGCAGATAGGGCCGATCTGCTATTGCACCGCAATGGCTCTTGTGCCGGTTGTATGCGGTGTTTTTGCCGTTTGATCCGGTGTTGCTCTTTCTGTGGGCAGCGTGCTGGAGCCTGGCTAGTGATTGCACGCACTCCCTAGCTGCAGTTGTGGCTTTGGTCGCGAGCAGCGACTTTGTAGGCGGAACGCAACGGTTGCGCCAGCCGAAAAATTGTCGCGATGTCGCGTCTGTGTACACATGTGTGTGTGCTAGTCGTGTGAGTTTCCTTGCGCGGCTGATGCGACCACAGTGACTTCACGTCCCTACGGCGCCGTAGAGAAGACATGGGGACACACAAACGTCGCAGGAAGATAGAAAACGAAGCTCGGGTCCGATTCTTGAAGAGGTGGATTCCCTGTCTGTTTTCTCGTTTCGGTGGTAGAGTCACCTCCATTCACGTCTGTCCTCGCAGCTACAGGCGCAGACCATGGTCCGGTGTTGGGCGCCCAAGCCGCTATCTGTTTGAGACGAGTCCAGAAGAGACTACGCATGGGACGTATGGATGAAATTTTGGCACTGTGACGCAGTCCTCTGTGGTATGATGGCCGCACACTCGCGGCAAGCTAGCACGCACTGATTCACTCTGACTCACCAGCTTGCGAGTCGCGCTGACCGCCACTGGCCCTCAACTGCCCACGGACGGCAGCCCTGCGGCGGCGGTGGAGGGCTGTCGTCACCGCTTAGCTGGAAGGCTTCGGCGCACTTCAACGCGCAGGAAGAAGTGTGCTGCCCGTAGCATCCCCGTAAGGTGCGCCAGACCATTGTGGGCAGTGTAATGGTCCTGACGGCGTCAGGACCTGATGGCCTCATCTGATTAGACATCCATTCCTGGTGACCTTTCCGTACAACGTCTCCGGTCTCCATTCTAAGATCGGGAGAGCTTTTGAATTTTATTGTGTGTCTCCTCGAACTTGAGGCGATGGGGTAGGATGTCATTCGAGGCGCTGCACCAAGGCCATAGATGCGAGGAGCTCGGTGATGAGGCAAACAGGCGGCTTCTCTCTGTCTTTTAAGAGCCGTAGTTGTACGGTCCTGCAAGCAAGTCGTCTCTAGTCCCCGTCTTCAAAAAAGCAAAGAAATCCCTTAGTTTTGCCATGTCTGGTGAGTCCGTCTTGCTTCCTCATCGAATTCAGTCCTACTGACATGCTCGACCTAGAATACCGCCTAAGGCTGAACAACTACCTACAGGCCAACCCAGCCGTAGGCCCATTAACACGTCAGGAAAGTTCTGAAGGCCCCTCCAGCAATGCCACATGGACTGTTGTAGCTTTCCGTAAGTGCTGGTTCTTCCGAAGACTGCTGCTGCAACTGAGAATCGTTTCTAGTCAAGGGGGTAGAGTATGGCAGAGGGGTGGCGCGGACCAAAGCAGAGGCTACAGAGATCGCTGCCGAGCGGGTATTAACTGAACTCAACGTGCCGCATTAGGTACGTCACATAGTGTCTCGACACTGCACTGTTAAACTCAAGGCTGTCATTTTAGATACTCATCCCAAAGCTGAACTGGTTGGCCCTTGCACCCATTAGCAGCGCTCTGCTCAAAGCTTTCTGTATAAAGTTCTCTCTCACGCAACACAACAGTTTATTGAAAGACGGCTACTTGTCTCCCCAGAGTCTATCGTTGGAGCAGCGATGTTGTATACTATATAGACTAATGGAGATAAACAAAGCCTCCTGCTCATCTTGACTTTGAACAGTGTGGCATGCGTCGCAGCAGAAGGGCGCTGTGTTCTGTGTGGTAAGTACCTGTTCCTTGCCGCGAAACAGAGAACGATCATTGTTCCCCGGTCAGTGGACACAAAGCGCACGACTTTGCCCGCACGTACGTGTGGGTGAGTGGATGGATGGCTTCCGTTGCCATTAGCACTGGCTACCGCAAGACAGATCGCAACAGACGGTACACCATCTGCCTATGCACGGCAGCCATGGCCGAGGCACTCTAAGCCAGAAAAAGTAGCGGTGCGTACGGGTGATATCGCCGCCACTAGGCCAGCTCCCACAAGCGGGTGGGGAGGTGGCTTAAGGCTCCAGAGTTTGATTATGCGGTGCGCGCGCCAAAAGAAGGCGGACAGTCGGTGCGGCTATGTCGACCGACAGAAGACACTTTGTCTGGCGTCAGGTTGACCGAATACTGACCGGCCATGAACTGTTTACGACCAGAGAAATCTCGGAGTGGACCTGAAGCTTACCGGAAATGCAGCAATGACCGAGTAGCGAAGGAGGACACAGTTGGATCTGTGATGATTGCGAAGGGACGTGATACCGGTTTCAAGAGTAATGGAAAGACATTACTTTTGTTTCATATTTTGGGCCCCGAGTGAGCAAAGTAGGGGTCCTGTTCTCCGTGGTTCATTAGACGCACATGCTGCCAGTGGATGCGCTACACTGCGGTCGAATAACTTATGTTTCTCGAAGGTTGTAGGAAAATGACTGTTCCGTGATGTCACTGAGTGTCTCGTCTCCAATTGTCGTCAATCACTGGCACGCCCCTGCTTGCCACGGTGGTACGATGTGATATTCCTCTAAATATAACAGTAAGTAGGAGAATCGCAATAACACAGACATCTAGCTAACATTCTCGTCCGTTCCGAGAGATTGACGGTGAGTGTGTATGGGATATTATGAGGTGACTTCGCCCCCTCCTCCGAGTCCTCGACCGTTGTGTCCAGCCCTGACTCCTGACAATTGTTGTAAATCAACAAGCGCTGAAAGCCTACGGGTGAAACCCAATGTAGATACTCACAATGACCTTATTGAATTATGCGGCCAGGAGACGTTCTCAGAGTTGATGAGCCTGATCTACACGACACTCCCTCGTTGGAACTTGAAGTGACAGCCTGAGAACGGTGGTGCGTTTGACACGATCATACCAACCACGTGATTTGTGATCGAATATTTATCTCCCAAGAAGGAAGGCGTTCAACCTCCTCCTTTCTCTGCACTCACGAATCCAAGTCTCACAAACGACTACGCTTTCCAAATCTTTATTGCTCACCATTTAGGAAGCTCTCCGCAGGGATCAGCGAGGAGGACTTTCTCGGTGCTGGTCACCGAGTTTCCGAAGACTCCGATGCGGCTCGGACCGTCTGTGGTGCGAATGTCGATGATCATGCTGCCCCGTCGAATGCAATGATCTCCCGCAAGTGAGACACCGACGTTCCCCGATATCTAGAACCTCCGTCAGGCCCTGGGACGGTGGACCGGCACAATCAGCGGGCTGCGGGCCTCGTCCACTCAAGCTGGTCGGCACAAGGTCGGCATTGCCTCCCTTCACGACACTACAGCCACTTACATCCAGCCCGCTCAAGCAGCAATCTCTCCTCAAGGCGAGACACCGACTCGACACAGAGGCCATGCCGCATCGCGTACTGCGCCCGCTCTACCCCACAACACTGCAGATTACCTTTCCGATCATGCATCGACCGACGACGGTGTTCGGCATCAGATCACAGCATCCATACCGAACCCGTCAGGTATCGCAGATCCCGTCATATGTCGGGCATGCGATGCGACGTCGGGGACCTCGGACCACGCGCCCGAGATGATGCTCCGGGCGGTTGCCCACGGACCACCACCTCTCGGACGTACTGACCTACGCGGCACAGGTACACTGGCATCGCGCGCTTTACTCAGGGCTGGTGGCGGTACGGCATTGTACTAGATTGCACTGGTGGACCGCCTCGGGCGCGCGTGGACCCTCGACGCATCTGGTCGAACGTTCCCGTCGTCTGATGGTTCAAATGCGTCTATCTTTTGCTTGGATCAGGCTTGGGTCGCGGATGTTGTTAAATGCATTCACGCTCACCGGGATACTGCAATTCACATGCATTCTTAGCATGATGAGTGACGCTGAAACTTCCATATTCGCCGGTGAGCACTCACGCCTAGTCACGGTTGCATACGATTGATTATTTTAATTCCGAATGTCTCGCGCTTCGGATCACTCAGGTTATTGTCATGTGCGACATACGGCATGCATGCGAGCTCCATCCGCTTTAGGTCGTTCGGAAGTTTCGACCGTAACGGCCGAGGTCGGCAACGAAAAACAAATTATGGTTGTGCGTGGCCGCATGTCTCAATCAAACCCACACACCTCAAGATCTCAACTTTTGTCAAACGCCTCAGACATTGTGGTCGAGCCAGGGTCGAGCGTACAAGTCTCAAGTTCCTCGAGCACGGCGGTACTACCACGCAGGCCTCATTCCTCCTATCCACGAGTCCTCCAATTGTCCCTGTGCCGCTATGTTCCAAAATCCACATCCTGGTAATCCTCCATCCTCCATGCATCGCACATGGCTCACCGGCGTTCCGCATCTGAGCCATCAGCTCACGACTTCTTCTGCTTTGCCTCCTCCTTTCCCTCCCCCGCGATCTTCTTCGCCTTGTCCGCCTTGTCTTGGAGGACCTTCAAAATGTCCTCGTATGTTTCGCCCATCAGCTTCTTTGCGTCATCGCCCTTGCTCTGCGCGATCTGTGTCAGAGCGTTGACATCCAAGTCTGGCACCTTCTTCAGCGCCTCCTCCCCACCCGGCATGCTCCGTATCCATTCCTGCAGAGACTGCAAGCCGCCCTCAGTCCCTTTCCCTCCGCTCTGCTTCGCTTCGTTCGCCTTCGCCTGCACGAAGTCCTTGAGCTCCTGCATCTTCTCTTTGTTCTTTGCTGCGTCGCCCTCTGCTGCCTCCTTTATGCGCGCAAGCACTTCTTGCGCGGCGCCGCCCTGCGAGACGCCGGCCGCCACGAACGCAGAAACGTTCTCCTCGACCAGCTTACGGATGTCGGGCAACTTATCGAGGTACGGTGTCGCCTCCTTCAGAGCCTTGTTCCAGGCGTCTTGGGAGGCACCGCCCGCGACGTTGCTTATCTCCGACACTTTGGACTGAACGAGGTCTTTTGCTTCATTCAGTTTGTCAGGACTGACTCCAGAGGAGAAAATCTTGAGAATCTGGATATATACGCGTTTCATGCTAGGGACTCGCTCTAGGTATGAACGTGCGTACCTGTCTTGTCGTCTCGTCATAAACTTTCTTCGCCTGGGGCCCGTTCTTCTCGGCCGCCTTCCTCAGTTCTTCATAACTCCCACCAATCTTCTCCTTGAGTTCAGGATGGCGCTCGCCAAGCTTCTGGATCGCGTCTTGGCCCGCCTTCTTGCCAATCTCCTCAAGCTGGCTCGTGCTCCGTCGGATCACCTCCACGACCTTCATTCCCGTTTGCGCGTTCACGCCGCTGTTATCGTCCTTCACGATCTGCTTCATCTCGTCGTAAGCCTGCTGCACGACTCGCTCGACCACCTCGCCGTGCGTCGTGCGGAGTTCGTCCAGCGTGTCGAATGTGGAGTCGACGTAGGCGGACGCGCCGGGGACGAGGCCCACGTAGGATTTGACGGTCTTGCGGAGGAACTCGATGGCCTCGTTCGGGTTCTTGGGGGCTTTCTCTGCGATGGTGCGCTTGGTGTCTTCAAAGTAGGCTTGCGCCTGCTTCGCTGCATTCACGGCGGTCTTGGCCCCGGAGAAATGGTACCATGTGTAGCCTATATGCGTGAAATGTCAGCGCAAACTGGTCGTAGTTCATGTCATGCGCTTCGTGGAACTCGCCTCCAAGCACGACGACCGCCCCACCGGCAACACCCGCCGCGATGTGCGAGCCGGCTGCGGATGTAGACTGACCGCTCGCTGTGGACTGGAACCTTTGGATGGTTCGCCGCCCTGCTACACGTCGCGCCGCAAGGTCTGGACGCGCTAGTGCATGCGGAACGACCTTGGAACGGCTGGATGCGAGACGAGTTGCTGACAGCATGGCTCGCGTTTGGTGTCGGTGGTCGCGTCGAGGAAGTTTGTGAAGAGTCGTGCGCACGTCTGTGTATATATACTGTACTGCCAGCACGCGTCCTGTTTACACGTCTTCGGACGCACTCCACGGCGCGTTCAGCGAGCGGACGCGTCACCGACGTCATGTGCTGGCACCGGCAACTCTCGTGACGGCGACGCGTCGATGACGTCGCGTGGCTTCTCCCAACCTGGGATGGCGAAGTGCTTGCTTTATTTGGCAGGTGTTGTGGTTCGCTTCAGCGGCGTCGAGCAGAAGACGTCTTTCGGTTCTGGTGCGGACATCGGGCTTCCCAGGATATGTCGACGTCGCACATCCCCGAGCGATCAAACGGTACGCGACATATAATTGTACTTATCTCTTAGTTAATTTCGTCCCTTCTTATCTTAGTACCTGCATCGTCCAGTGCCACGTCGCTGGGCTCGGTCGCGCACTCTAACCGCCAGCAGCGTCGTCATGTCGGAAAAGGAGTGTAGCCTGTGCAGGGGTCCGTTGTTTAGCTCGGAGGAACTCGACGCGAGCACGACATTCTTGTGTGGCCACATGTTCCACACAGGATGCGTAGCTAAGCTCCCTTGGCTCACATCGGTAGACTGCAGTGCGAAGTGCCCAATCTGCTCGTGAGTCCAGATGTATTCAGCAGTGTGGATTGTCTGACAGTGGTCACCGTGATCAATACTAGCTACATTGAGGCTACCGTCAAAATCGCGATGGCTGCGGGCGGTGCCCTTCTAGGTGCAGCTCTAGGTCCCACTCTCTTATCCATAGTGCTACAAGCTGTAGGGTCTGAGATCGCTATGATGAGCGGAGCGCCAGGTATGTGAGGCTTTTGGAGCTGGCGCCGCAAAGTTGACATCGTTGTGTTGATAGATGCCGTTGCGTCACTCTTGAAATCGGCACTGAAGAGCAACGCTGCTGGTCGGACTGTCACGGTGCCACGGTTCATCAAGGAGAACATCGAACGAACACTTAGAGTGAGGATGAAGTTCCTGCACAGGAAAGTGGTCAAAACGGAGAAAACTGTGCACGACCCTAGCCCTATCGGGGCGGCTTCCTCGACGTGCCAGCCGAATGCTCAGAAGAGGGCCGAGTTAGATGGTACTATTCGTAGTACACCCCCGATTCGCATACGGAGCAAGCTCTGAGCGACGCACACTTATCTCAAGCGTTTGTACAAACACTTCGAAGCTGCTCGCAGAGATTCTTAGAGGTCTCGGAGGTATGTAATGTGGCGGGCATGCTGTCCAGGACCATATATAAGGTTAACTTTGATGGCATAAGGTTCAGCACACGCGCCGCCTGCCGGCTTCAACGTTACTTACGTTGAACACTCACGGCGGGCGGTAGGCACTGCCCTATTTGATCCGGCCACCTCGCCTATGTACGTGTTATGATTTATCAAGCTCGACGTCCTCCGTCGCTGCTCCCAGTGGTCCTCGTCAACCGTCTCTCTCCAGGTCGTCTCCCGGCGATCATCAGTCCCGTCAAGTTTTGTTATCCAGAACACGCCCAGTCCACCAGTTGAATATGTCCTGGCTATTCGAAGTCGGAAAAGTCGTCGTATTCGGGGCAGCGGGCATGGCGCTCGCTCCTTTCGTCGCCGTACCCGCCCTAGGGCTCGCTGGCTTTGGTGCAGCCGGCCCCGTCGCAGGTGAGTGATCGTTCTTCTCGCGCCTGTTTGTTATGCCGGATGGACGCGTGCTGACTGACATCGTCTGAATCGCAGGCGGGTTCGCGGCAGGTCTACAAGCGACCTTAGGAAACGTAATTGCGGGCGGTTGGTTTGCGGGCGCACAAGCCGTTGCTATGGGCGGTGCCCTTCCCGCTGTCGGCTACGCGGGAGCTGGTACCATCGCTGCAGCTGCAGGGGCGGTGGGAGCATGGCTCGGTGTCATCTAAGGAGCGGCTCAGAGGTGGAGGGTGAGGTGGAGGCGTTGTCCGTTCTTGGCTACGTCGGGCCGGGTGCTGGCTGGTTGGTGTGAGACGGAGGAGGGGGCGACGTTTGATTGTACTGCCGGAATATCGGATGACCATGCTCGTTTCTCGTCAAGAGATTGGAGTGTCGTCCGGAATGTCGGCACTGGGCAGTCGATAAGAAGCAAGTAGCCTTCCCGTGCGAGCCAACCCATCTGCTAGCTGGTACGGAGTACAGCTGCGCAGCCTCCTGCTGCTTAAGAAAGTCGGTCAGCCGTGAGCAGCTGTTGATTGGGAGACATGGGCCATGTCCCGGCTCTCGCGATCAACCGCTTGCTTGTCTGTCGTTACGTCCAAGATCGCGGACCTACAAGGCTTTCCAGCTTCGGCCTTGAAAGCTTGACGTCCCGAATGAACACTGAGATACGGAGTTATTCTCAGCGCGCATAGCGCCACGCCCTGTTGCATACATGCGAGACGGGGACCCTGTGGGCGTGGTGCGTCTTCTCACCAACGTTCTTCCCCTGTTTCATCTACTTCACATCCTATGATGACAGGCTCGCGCCAGGCAGGGTTGCTAGACGTTTCTGCTGGGTGTTCTGGTAAGCGTATGGAGAACGACTGGTAAGGCTGGGCTGACGGAGATGAATGCGCAGGCTGTCGGATGACTTCCCTTGACCGGAATCTAGAACACGGCTTGAAGGTTGGCAACCTTGAGGCAAGGAAGTACACGAGGCCACGAACTTTGAAAGTGTGGTCCTATGCAGTATATATACGAACCGGTATCGCATCGCAGATACTCAGACAACCGCGTCTGCAAGAACCGCAACATCAACTCACGATGACCGAGGCTCCTGGCACATGCACTTCTTGCAACTTACCCCTACCAACAGATGCAGCCCAAGCTCAGGCCCAAGTAGCGTATTTTTCGTGTGGGCATGCATACCACCGTAATAGGTGCATAGCTGCAGATGCGGAGAAATGCCCGCGGTGCCAACTGTGGGTGCCTCCAGTTGTAGTCATTCAAGGACTGCATGTCGATTTGTGGCACAGAAATATGACGATAGGCCTAACGGTCGCCGGCGCAGCCATCGGTGTGCTACTCGCACCGGTTGTCGCTCCAGCAGCGCTAGGGCTAGTCGGATTCAGTGCGGCTGGGCCTGTCGCAGGTCAGTCGTCCGTTACCTGTCACGGTCAGATGCATTTGCGCTTGTGTACTTACCAGGGCTGTAATTCTCGTACTAGGTACTTTGGCTGCGGCAATTCAAGCTTCAATCGGCAACGTGGCGGCGGGCTCCCTCTTCGCAATATGCCAGAGCGTTGGTATGGGAGGCGCGCTGCCAGCTTTAGGATACGCTGCTGGTGCAGTGGCTGGGGCGGTCGCGGGGTGCTGCGGCTGCTGCCGCGGCAATAGACGACAACACTGAAGACCAGAAGATAGGCTGAAGAACCTGATGCCAATGGCAAAGGCCCCTAAATGTTGTTATATTATGGGGATGTAGCAGCCTCGGTTGCAACGGCCTCGATTTTCGTCATCACTGTGTAAATTAGGCACCGGTCTGTACTGGCCGGACTGGCTTGTGGTTCCCTCTCGTCAGGTATTCAAACAAGACAACTGCACGACACCTGTGTGTGATAGTCATTCAAGTGCTGCAGCAACAACTTCCGGATCTGGCGCCCTCGTCCAATGGCATTGGCTCGTGATAACATACTAGTAGGATACCCGGGGCATCATGATGATCAGGAGTCATGTAACAAGACGGGGTTTTCGAAAATGTCTACGCACACTATATATGTAATATATAGATCTCCATACACATGAACCATGTTCGCGAGTCGTGGTGAGTAGCTACTAGTACGCAGGGTTATGTGAACGAGAACGAGATGAATTCGACAGACTACGCTAATTTGCGGCGCTCATAGACGTCCTACCGACACGTGATTCATTCTTGAAACGGTTCGATATAAGCAGGCTCGAATTGGTCATTCAAGTATTCAAGCTTCAAAGCTTCAAGGTTGAAGTACCGGCCTATTCGTCTTCACTAGATATCGACTTCTGCTGCTTGGCCTGAGACCATAACGTGCTCAACTGCCAACAACGAGGTCAAAATTGCAGTACTGCGCACTTCGAGACGACAAGACAGAGTGTCATACGCACTGCCACTCAGGCTATTCAATCGCGAGCGACGGTCCGACACGGTCTCGGAGTCGGAGTCAAGTACGATGTAGCGCTCCCTCCATATGGGACCCAGTCCCTATGCCGACGGCGGAGGAAGAGGAAGCGGTTGGTGCCGCCGCGAACTGGGGCAACTCGGAAACATCATGCCTCCAGTTCAGGTTGTCCTTATTTGGTGCCCGGGATTGGGTATCCACCGCTCGGATGGGAAGAAAGCGGGCGAGTCTAAGGGCAACTCATTCTTCTGAATTGCATAGACCGTCCCGAGTGCGGGTTCACTCATCGCCTCCGGTGATGCTCCGTCGTGCGCTACCGGAGCATGATGCGGGATGACTGATGTACTCCCAACTTGAAGAATATATAACGTCCCACTATCTCAGCTACTTGCTGTAAGTACTCACCGATCATCGATCATCGATCATCCCTGGAGTCAATATCTTCCTTCGAATGGAGACCAAGACTAAAGTCATCATCGCCGGTGCAGGTATCGCAGGCCCTGTGCTTGCAGTCTTCCTCAAGCTCAAAGGATACGACCCAGTCGTTTATGAGAGGGTGGACGCTCTTGCCGATGTGGGCCTTGCTCTTTGGTATGTAACTGGTGTGATTTATTCGTCGTCTGAACGATGACAATGGTTTGTCTATCAATTCAGCATGCAACCAAATGGATTGCGCGTGCTTGCCTCATCCCCGGCTTCATGGCAAGCTAGTCGGGCAACCTCTGGAGAGGTTCAAACATGCTCCGTCTCGGCACGAAGAAAGAGTCCTGGTCGACGTGGACTACCCGTCACACCTCCCCGAGCGACAGGATACTCCATGATGGGCATCCGACGGCCGCTCTTAACCGCACGATCGTAGAGGTCGCAGAGAGCCACGGCATACGGATCGTGTTGGACATCAGCTCGTGTCGCTCAAGCAGGACGACGACAGCGTCGAGGTCACGTTCGAAAACGGCGTCGTCGATAAGGCGAGCTTCGTGGTCGGCTGCGACGGGCTGCATAGCAACACGCGTGTATGCTTATTTGGCCACGAATCCGCCAGCTACACAGGCCTCACACAAGTTAGTGCGGCAGTTGAACCTTTTGGACTCGTCCTCATTCGCACACCCACAGACTGGTGGTATCTCCCCGACGCCAGAGAGCCACAAGGGGCACCGCACCATGCTCAACGTATACGCTGACGGTGCGCACTTGATCGCGTTCCCGATGAACGACAAGCAGACGTCCTGGGCGTGAGATATCTGCGGGTCCGCATTCGTTGTGTAAGGGTAGCTGACGCGAGTTGCAGGATTACACGGCGAGAAGCCGAGGCTAGGGAGTCGTGGCGCTCCATTGATGACGAGCAGCAGAACCATTTCAAGGAGGGCCCGTGGTCTCAGTGGCCTTTCGGCGCCGGGGAACTCGTTCGCACAGCCGATCGGATTGTTAAGGTTTGTCTAGCAGTACTTCAGTCCACGATGACGCCCAAACTGACGTCGAACCCCACAGTATGGGCTCTACGACCGGCCAGAACTCCGGTCGTGGCACAAAGGTCGTGTCGTACTTCTCGGAGATGCTGCGCATCCCACGAGTCCGGTACGTTCTGTCCTTGCATTCCGGTGGAGCCTGGGCAGAACTCGAGCTAACTTGACTGCGATATAGCATCTCGGTCAGGGCGCCAGTCAAGCCTTCGAGGACATCTACCACCTCATACGTCTCTCACGAAGCACAACCCGTCCGCCGCGGCGCCTTCGGCGGAGCTTCTCAGCACGATCTTCTCAGAGTACGAGCAGCTCCGGATCGCGCGCACGTCTGAGCTCGTCAAGGGCGCGCGTAAACAGGGCGAGGTGCGCGTCGTTCAGGGCGAGGCGGCGTGCAAGGCGCGGGATGAGTCGCTGAAGGCAGTGTATGCGGATGAGGACTTCTTGCAGAACTGGCTGCAGCTCTTCAGGCACCCTTTCATTACGGGGGAGAGCGAGATATGATGAAGGGAGGCAATGATACATAGCCGCTGCTTGCGGCATCTCGGGTACGTGCTCGCCGGTTGTGTTTCATAATACACTGGGTATCCTTGCTTTCGACAAGCCCTACCCCGTACAGGTCTAGTTCACTCCCATATCTCAAGCTTGACGTACGCGTAGACCTCGGGGTTCGTGAGCATTGCTTAGCGCAGTATCATCGACGTCGTCTAGGAGGCTCCAAACGATATGAGCTTTCTCAAGAATATGTGCCAATGGGAATCCATCAATTCTCCCGAACGAGGGATCAAGGCAAACATTGAATGCAAACGGTGTGCACTTACTTGGGGTCGACCTCGCTGGCACAGGAATTTGATCTTGATGCATCTTGCGACTGCGACTGCGACAGAGATTCTACTAATATGAGATTGAGGTTAGCATGCGACTATGAGTCGCACTGCGTACTGCGCCGCGACGACTGATGGGGGATGGCAGCGAACGCTAAATAAACACAGTGCTAATAATAGCGACAGTGGTCGCAATCACGTGAAGCAAACACACAAAAAATGGTATATACATATATCCCCGTCCCTCTTATTATCGGGCAGGTACTATCGCGGCGGAGCTTGCGAGCCCCTGACCGTATGATCCAACAAGGGGATGCGGGCGCAGTGGGCATGCAGGTGCGAATGTGCGCCTAGGAGTGGACGGGATCACTCTCATAGACCTTGGCCACTAGTACCTCATTGGCATCTACGTACGACAGCGCCAGATTCCTCCATCTGTCCGCGAACTCGTTTCGGGTCGGCGCCACAGCGATGGACGTGTACTGTTGGCAGACTGCGAAAAGGAGCTGTGTGGAGTTCGGCAGGCCTTGCCTGCTAGCTAGCTGTCACCGATATGGACCGTACCAGTGGTTGCGCCGGGCGTGTACATGGTAGCAGCTGATTAGCACCGCACAGCATATAAGGCGGTCGGTGGCAGCATCTGGTCATCACAGTGTCACCTCACATTCACCCCTCATGTCTTCCACCAAGACAAAGGTTATCATCGCAGGCGCTGGCATTGCAGGCCCGATACTGGCCACATTCCTCAAACTCAAGGGATACGACCCGACTGTATACGAACGAGTCGATGCACTGACCGATGCTGGTCTTAGTCTCGTGTACGCATTCACGCTACCTCTCTTATACCAGATCCCTCACACATACTACCAGCCTGCAACCCAACGGCCTGCGTGTGTTGCACTATTCCAGGCTTCATGGAGAAGCTCATCGGACAGCCGATCCAGAAACTGCAACACGTATCTGTTCTTCCAGACGAGACTACTGTACTTGCAGATGTCGACATATCGCAAATGGCCGAACAGCGGGCTTCCCGGCAATCGGCGTCCGTCGTCCTGTATTCAATCGCACTATCGTCGAGGTCGCAGAGAGCCATGGCGTGAAGATCGTCTTTGGTCACCAGCTCGTGTCGCTCAAACAAGAGGCCGAAAGCGTGGAGGTCACCTTCGCGAATGGCGCTGTGGACAGTGCGAGTTTCGTCATTGGGTGCGATGGACTCCACAGCGATACGCGTATCTGCCTCTTCGGGAGCGAATCCGCCACCTTCACCGGCCTCACTCAGGTGTGTAATGAACATGAGTATATGCAAGAGATGTCCGACACTGAATGTCATGTTTGCCTGGCGTACAGACGGGCGGGATATCACCTACTCCTGAGGTCCTCAAGACCCATTCTGGCATAATCAATGTCTACGCAGATGGAGCACACTTGGTAGCATATCCCGTCAACGACAAGGAGACGTCCTGGGCGTAGGCACATGTCATCTTCCTATATACAGAGTCTCACCATACAGATTTCAGCATCACACGTCGTGAGCCAGAAGCCAAGGAGTCTTGGCGCTCGATTGACGAGGAGACGAGGAATCGGTTCACGGAAGGCCCCTGGTCTCAATGGCCCTTCGGTGCTGGGGAGCTCGTGACATCGTCCCACACCGTCATAAAGGTTCGTAGCATGAATCTTATTCAAGAAACTCGGCTGATCGGTGCGCATATATGCATTCAGTATGGTCTGTACGACAGACCAGCGCTCACATCGTGGCACAGCGGCCGCGTTGCCCTCTTGGGAGACGCTGCGCACCCAACTAGCCCGGTAGGTACATCGACTCGTGGACTCAAACCCGTCGATCTTGGTCTCACGTGGGGTTCCGACTCACAGCACCTCGGACAAGGCGCAAACCAGGCCTTCGAGGACATCTACCATCTCGTGCGTCTGCTCACGAAGCACAACCCCGCCGCAGCGCCGCCTTCCACAGAGCTTCTCGGCACCATCTTCTCCGAATACGAGCAGCTCCGCATCGCGCGCACGTCCGAGCTTGTCCAGGGCGCGCGCCGTCAGGGCGAGGCGCGCGTCGTGCAGGGCGTGGAGGCGTGTCGTGTGCGGAACGCGGCCGTCAAGGAGTTCTGGACGAACGAAGGATTCTTGAGCGGCCGCCTGGAGTTCTACGCGCACCCTTTACTGGTGAGAGCGAGATATGATGCAATACGCTGCGATTGTCTGCATGAGTACATGGTGTTGCATCAACTTGTGATTTCTTTGTCCGTCCTGATTTCCGGCACCTCAGATCTAGCTCTGCCAGCAGATGGCTGGATGTCAGTGTACTTGTCAACCGCCTGTGCGATCACCCGTTGCTTACTCCGCTGCTCGCGCATTTGAGCGTCCCTCGCTAGATGCTGAAACTGTATGCGCCGTACGGCGTAGCTCGCATTCATCGCCCGCACTTCGTGATGTGCGCGAGGCGCGAGACCGCTGTGCTCTTCGAAGACTTTGCCTGAGAATGTCTGGCGAGGGGGACGCAGCGGCCAGGTCGTGCTTCTGATACGTGACGTCCGTCATTTGATCGCGACCCTAGCATATTGGTACCGTCATCCGTGGTCTTTCGCAGTTCGCAGCTGGATATATATGGCGAGCGAACGTTTTAAAAGAACCATTATGACTGGATTTCGGCGTATGTACTAAGGGTCAATATACGGAGCATTGTGTATTAACTATTCAATCTTTGTCCCGACACTATTGAACGCACGTAGGTAACCCAGAACGGGGCCCAGGAAGGCTGGGTTTCGAGCGAAAGGCAACATGTGGCTGGGCTCAAACGGCCGGCAGCAAGATGGACTTCTTGAGCTTCGAGAACGAAACGTCTGGATGCATGTATAGAAAGTTGGCCCTGTTCTCGCCAGACTTTCATGCCTGTGGTACGACGGCATTTCAGATCACTAAGAACGGAACATGTAATCTAGATTGGACCCACCTCTCCTCAACATGTTCCAGAAGTATGGGGTATATGCCACCGGTGGGCATCTCGTCGCACAACGCACAACGCCAGAACTTCTCATGAGATGTTAGAATCCCAGATAGTATCTCCTCTTCGTGAGGTTCGAGCGCAACAGCGTGGCATTTGTCATCTTCAGATAAGACTTCGAGCTGCCACCCGCTTTCGCTAACGGTCCGGTCAAGGTGACCAGCGTGCATCTCAAGTACACCGCATCAGTAAACGGTGCGTCATTTAGTGACTGATACACGACTGACCAAGGCATCCCATGTCATGACCTTCCTTTGCCCCTCTAGAAGTTTGTCCTTGACAGCGAGGCGCACATTCAAGGCATTCATCTCCTCCGCCCCCACTGTCTCCGGATCCTTCCCGCAGGTCCTTATCACCTTCTTTAGCGGTTCAAGGTCGGGCACGCTGAAGCAGCTAATGTCCCATCTAGCCACTCCACGCGCGATACGCCGCACCTCGCGCGAGAACATATCCACAGGTTGACCGTCTTCATCAAAGGGATCGTCCATGAACCAGTATAGGCCCGGATCGCGTGCACAACGGTGGGATAAAGTGCTGATCCCGGGCATGCGGTAAAGCATCGCTGACACTCAAACACGGCCATGGCCAGGTGGAACAAATCCGCGTATGGATGGTCCAACGGGTCCCCTTGGCCCTCAACCTCGGCACTGCCCCCTTCCGGTATGCGACCCAATGCCTTCGCCAGCATGTTCTGTAGCAACGATACCTGCTCTGCCTTCCATCGCGCGTCCAGCGTGGGCAGCGCCGTGCGCAAATCCTTGAATGCTTCCTCATCAATGCGCTCTTCATTTGGGGCCTCGACGAGCGCCCGAAACTGAGGCATGAGTGCGTAGTCAGGAAATTTCGGGCAAGACTCCGTGGCTGGGCTTCGCCCGAACACGTCCCGTGTAGCGGAAATGACGGACGCGAGGGTTTGCAGGCGCTCACGAAGTACTGCAGATCGTTCCCGTGCCATTCGGAGGTCCTTGTTATGCTGCATGACGCTTGCGACTTCATCGCGAATCTTTTCCCAGCCTCGGAGAGCGGTCAGTCAAGAATGATATCTCTGAACAAATAGATCGTGGCGTACCACGCTCGGTGATATCCTTCGACAGCCGGACATGTGCATGGTCGGCGAGAGGAAGCATGTCGCTAGGAAGCATGTCGAGCTCTTCTCCCCAGCCCATGTCGCGCAACTTCGATACAATGCTACATAATGTAGAGCGCACGTCAACCGTGGGCACAAGCAGTATGCATCCATGACAACCCACAATTCCAAACGTCTCTGTCTAATTTGGTCCAGCTCCTGCGCTCTGATATTGGCTCGTTTGGTGGCCCACAAGGTGCACGCTTGAGCAAGCTGGAGTAGACTGATCAGCCAGCGAGTGAGATACCAGTGGGGATACCGACATCTTGTATGGCTTGCACTCTTTGCCGTTGCTCCCGCACATACTGAGACCACTTATCCTCATTTGCGTGCGATTCATCCCACTTCTGCTTGACTTGTTCTATCTGTCGGACATGATAGAAGACTTTGCCTCTTATCTCTGTCTGGAGGAGGGTGAGAGACAGCGAGAGGAATGATTGCGTCGTCGAGGCTGAGTACCTTGTTGAGTAAGGGGAGCAATGTACGAGATTCTTCGCGTACAAACCTCGCGTGCGGATTGCGATCCAGAAACTTCACCATCCTGCCTTGATAATCAGCAAACAAGCAACATAACGATGTACATCATCATCAGACAATACCCACATCGACTTCTTACACGAGCTACAATACCGGATCAAAAACTCCCATGTAATGCTCTGGGTGTTTGGCTTCATGCAGTTCTACTCCAGTACAGTCAGTCCACTATAAGGTGATTATCACTGGACACGGACGTACGTGACAGTAAGGAGAGAAGATAAGATTGGCATATGCAGGCTCACTGAGATGTACTGGGCAATCGGGCAGACCATCAACGAGCCGCCGAGAGATCTTCCAGAGAGTAGCAGAACTGCGAGTCATGAGCAACGTTCGAAACGGTTTCGAGGTGCGCGCCAGGTTCAGTAGATCTGCAGGCAGCAGGTGCGAGAATATCTGGGTCAAAGTCAGCACCCAGGCGGCTCGGACGTGAACAGCGCCATGCACACATAGCAAGTGATGTGTCTGACCCCAGCGGCGACGACTGGTAGAGACGAAACCAATCTTTCATGATGCCGTGGGTTATGCCGGACTCAGAAGTCGCCCGCTGGAGTTGTGTGTGGATGGTCACTGCGTAAGTACGGCGCACCTCTAGCAAAACATCCATAGGCATAGTCGGCATGTCCCTTAGGCGTCCACGCCTTCCACGGATTTGCTTCTTAGTCACCAGAGCACGAGACGCCACAGCATTTGGGGGTGCTTCAGCCTGAGCCCCTGGTCGGGACGCGCTTTCAGGCATAACCCTTGCTCCCCGATAAAACATCATGGGGGTCATAGCGGATAGATGTCAAAAAAATGTCTTCGCAAGTCTTCGCAAGTCTTTGAAACCCTACTCAAGAGAGACGAGCGTTGGGAGTAAGAGAACGAGGTGTGGAAGTGAGATGGAAACGCTGTCCAGTGCCAGGCGGCTCCGGCTTGAACGCGACAACGCGGTCACATGATGCTGACCCTCAGCCACAACCGGGTATATAAGTGCCGATCGTGCTACTACTACTAAGTTAGTAGTCGAGCTTGAAGAAATGCCTATCATATATGATACACTGGTACAGATGAGGATGAGTCTATCAGCCAAGAGTATTGACTGCAGACAACTCGATCCCCCCGCAGCACAACAAAGTACCACTGCAGACGTGCTACCAGTTGACCATCCTTAGCGAGTCAATAAAAAGGGATTGCAACCGTGATGATTATTGGGTCTGAATCAACGGTCATGGTGCTCTACAACTGCATTACTATGCGCGTAGTATAACAAGCACGGCGACTCTAGTATCACGAAAGACGGATTCGGGCTGCATGGCAAATCATAGTCGTGGATAAGGGCGATAATAGGCCTGAGATCGGAGCAGCAACCTGCAACCTGGTCCTCAAGCACACGATAGCAAGACCGATTTATTGAAGGCTAAGAATCTCACGTCCGGATGCAAGAACGCGCACTCGTCTAGATCCTCTTCCCATTTATCATGCCTACCATCAAGAGAAACATCAGTACAACCACCATGTAGGATATAGGGCGTGCTTACTCGAACACCATATGGTCCAAAATCGCTGGATACGTGCAAGTGCCCACCATCTCATCGCATAAGGCGCAGCACCAGTAGTCCGCGTCAGACTCCAAGACAGCTGGCATGATAGCCTCTATCGCTTCTGCCTTCAATTCGAGCTCGGCAACTTGAGATTTATCCTCCTCGGAGAGGATTTCAAACTGCCAATCGCTCTCGCGAACTGTGTCATCGACTTGGCCAGCGTACACCTGTACGCGGCGTCAGCAGACGTTGCACTCGCACAAACATATACATCACTTACCGCAGCGGCCCACGTCATCACTTTCCTCCTTCCCTCGACAAGTATATCTTTGACAACCAGCCGTACGTCCAAGTCAAGCATCTCCTCCGCCGTCACAGTCTCCGGATTCTCCCACACATACGTATCGTTCTCTTGATCGGTACAAGGTCTGGGACGTGGAAGCAGTCGATGTTCCAAGGGCCCACCGCTGGCGAGACGGTCCGCACCTGGTGCAGGTAGCAGTCGTCCGCGTCCGGCTGATCATCGTTGGGTTGAAGGAACCAGCTTATGATTCTGCTGCGAGCACACCGATGGGAGATCGTATTGACCACGGTCATGCGTTCACAGCAATGTCTGCATTCGAACACCGCCACGGCGAGATCGAACATATCATACGGGATGTTGGTCGAATCTTCACCGGCACCTTCCGCATCTATTCCCTCCGGCAGCGCAAGTCCTAAGGCCGTCGCGAGCATCTTGCCGAGGAGCCGCATTCGCTGCAACAACCATCGCGCGCGCAAGGTTGGCAACAGATGGCATAACTCCATCAGCTCCTCGGTCTCTATCTGTCTGTCAGACGGAACCTCGACGAGCTCGCGAAACTCGGGCATCAGAGCATAGTCGGGAAATTTCGGATGCAACTCCATGTGCGAACCTCGCCCGAAGAGGTCACGGTTGCGCAGAGTGTTCATGAGATTGGATAGCAACTCAAGGCGTTTTCCGGTTACTGCCGACCGTTCTCGTGCCAGCCGAATGTCTTGGATGTACTGCATATAGCTCGAAAGATCGTCGCGGATCCTTTCCCAGGCTAAAGCACCGGTCAGACGAAGAGGATGATCTGTGACAAAACAACCACGGCGTACCACGCTCGGTGATCTCCTTTGCCGGGCGAACATGTGTGTGGTCGGCGAGAGGGTGCATATCATTAGGGAGCTTGTCCAACTCTTCTCCCAACCCATGTCGCGCAACTTCGACACAATGCTAGAGAACATAAATTATGCGTAAGTCAGGAAGATGAGGAGGGACAAATGAAGCAACCCACAATTGCAAACGCCGCTGCCTAACCTGATCCAACTCATCAGCTCTGGCGCTAGCCCTGTTTGCGGCCCACAGAGTGCACTCTTGCGCATGCTAGAGCAGAACCATTGGCGATTGAGCGGAATCGGCAGCAAAGTTACAAACCTTTTCTATCTCTTTCACTCTCTGCCGTTGCTCCTGTTCATATTGTGACCATTTGTCCTGGTCGGCGCCTAGCTCGTCCCACGCCTTCTTGACCTCGTCTACTTGCGGGACATGATAGAAGGTATGCTTCTTGCCGGGTAAATCTGTCTGAGGCAGGATGAGAGATGTACATGAACTTGCATCAAGACCATGTACCTTGTTGAGTAGGGGATATACAGCGCCGAAGTGATCGGAAATGAACTCCGCTCGTGCATTGTCGTCGTAAAGTGATACCGTGCTGCCATAGTCACAGTCACAGTGAGCGAGCGCAAACGTAGTTTGAATCATACCACGAGACTTACAGAGACTTCTTGCAGGAGCTACAATATCGAACTCCAAATACCCATAACATGCTCTGAGTGATGGGCTTTAGGCAGCTCTGATGACATGAAATTAGCAAAGCGTGAGGCTCAAAGCAATGAGCGATGACGTACATGACAATGAGAACAGAAGACGAGGTTCGCATACGCAGGCTCGCTGAGATGTGCAGGGCACTCCGGGAGTCCCTCGACGAGCCGGCGGGACGCCTTCCAGAGACCAGCGGAGCTGCGAGCCATGAGGAGCGCCCGGAATGGTTTCGAAGTGCGCGCCAGATTCAGCAGGTCTAGAGGCAGCAGGTGCGAGAATATCTGCATGAAAGTCGACTGTTAGTCACCTTATGCACAAGCTATGCACCTTGGCCGCGCATACAAAGCGTCCCTCTGAGCCAGGCCGCAATTGCGGCGTCAATCCCTTGGAGGGTATCGGTATTACCTGACACCCATCCACTATGGCGTGACTGCCGCCTTGCACGCACGGCCACTGCACAGGCAACACGCACCTCTAGTAGGATGTCCATCGGCATGTTTGGCATATCCCTCAGGCGTCCACGCTTTCCTCGCAGCTGCTTCCTGGTCGCTGGAAGGTGCGTTGTCATGCCTGATGCTTCAGTGGCTTCAGGCTCGGGGCCCGGTGTGCGTTCGACCGCGACCCTTGCCACTTTCTTGGGAGGCATCTCAGAATGAGATCAAACGCGATGTACTTTCGGAATTTGTAGAGCGGGAGCGGCCTGCAGTGAGTGACAATGAGTGATGGATGTAAGAGGGCAAGGTGTAAATGGAAACGACATGGAAACGCCGTCAGCTTGAGGGTGGCTCCGCTGTGGCTCGCAAGACGCAGCGACACGGTCACATGATTTGAGCGCGTAGCAGCCACACCCGCGGCAGCGACCTTGCACAGCGTCGAGCGACCAGTAAGTAACACGCGTACTTAGGAGCATCTGCAACGCAAGTTCCATGATCCATACGCAGCTGTATTATTATGAACATATAAACACTGTGACATGATTAACTATACCGAGCACAACTACGACTATACAATATATAATTAAATGGCAACGTCCAGATGGCTAAGATCAGGCAATGAGATGCGTTTGCTCGAGGGCGTTCATCAGGATGATGTCTCGCACTGCAATTGAAGGTTTGTCAGAGCATATCACTGCTAGGGGCGTATATAGCCTACCGCTTCCCAGGATATGAGACATCATTTTGGTATCCTAGCCAGCGTAGAGCACTATGTCAGACAAGAGAAGGCGGGAAGAAGGCGTAACGTACGGTTGCGCAAGTCGTATGAGCGCGGATCGAGCGCTTTTTGGGTGAACACTCCTTGTGGATGGCAAGGAGTATCTTCTTAATGTCTGTGTATGCCGACGTGAGCCAGTACGGCCTACCAAAATCATCCAACAGCTTACAAGCAGAGACGTGTTCAAAGTCGTTCGGCTGGTCCTTGTATTGCTCGATGTGATCTGCGAAGCGAATGCCTACGATCCCGTCGTTCAACTCGTGTTCACGTCTCGTGGTATAGTACGAACCAGCGTCAAGCTTCTTCTGCAGGATATCCGACTTGTTCATGAAGAGAATGAATGTTGCGCCCTCGAGGAGCTTGCTCGAGCAGATCGTCTTCCAGAGCTTGAGCGAGTCGACCTACATGTGCGAGGTCAGCACGTTGATCCCGTAGATCAGGATTGGGAACTAACTAGTCGGTTGGTGGTTCTGTCTTCTCCCAAGACTTGGTCGAAGCCCGATATAGAGCAGAGGAACATAACAGCGTTGACTGCCGCAGGATTCAGATGACCGCTAGACCTCGCACGTGAAGAACACTCACCATCCTCGAAGTAAGCCGCCCATGCAGCTGCAATTGCGTGAGTCAACGCGGAGTACCTAAGTATGGGACGCCGTACATACCTCTCTGCCCACGCGCACCTCCGACATCATAAAATACCCACTCGCGTCCTTTCTCCGTTGGCGCTAAGACTGACGTTCAGAGAGAAGAATCCGCCACAGATGGAGTACGTACGCGACTCCATAATTAACCTATGCTCCTCTACACCTGCTGTACGCAGACGTGCGCGGAGAATGTCCTCTAAACACGAGAGTCAACATACTAGTGTTGCAATCCTGTGAAGACCGACCTGCAGTAGGCTCGTAATCCATAGTACAGATGCGAGAGGCCTGGTCGAGAAAGCTGAGCACACCGTCAGTCGAGATGTCTTGGCACTCCATCTACAGATAGCACTTACAAGCCGGGCTCGTCCAAGATCTGGATACCCTCCTCATCCAGCACGTTCTGCACCATTTGGTCCTGGGACATCGCCACAATGTCGTCTCGGCAAGCCTCCAATATCTTCCGAGCATCATCCAGGTCATCCCAAAACTTGCTGGTCGGCCTGGGCTTCTCCGTGCGCATCAGCGTTCTCCATCCAAAATCCGAACCCACGGCCACCTCAGACAGTTTGCCGCTGTCCCAGTCCATTTCCGTCTCAGAGAGGTTATCAAGACCATCCGCATTGACGCCCAACAGGCGGTTCAAAATGACTTCGACTTGACGCAAAGGCGCAAGGCGCATCTTCAGCCACCGGAGGTCGTCCTTCGGCCTGCTAAAACGTGGCGAGGCGGCTGCGGCTGCGTCGCTCGCCCTGGACAGGTACGCAAGGATGACATTGACCGAACGGACGAGATTGAGCTGGATGACTGCGCGCCAGGCGTCCACTTCAGAATAGAAAGCTTTGGGGGCGAAGTGGATCTGGAAGTTTTTGAGGAGAGTGGACTTGCCGGACTCGGCCTGACCTGGAGAAATGAAAGGACAGAGTTGAAAAGGACGGAAATGAAGAGGCAGGACGACGCGGCGTACCTAGGAGGAGGATCTTTGTCTCCGACCGCTTCTTCTTGAGCTCTAGCCGGTCGAGCTCAATCTGACGCTCTATCTCGTCGCTGCCATCGAAGGACACACGATCGAGTTCAGCAGTCACCCGCGATAGGATGTGTGAAGAGTCATACCTGATGCGCTTCGCGACCTTCTCCTCCTCCAGGCGCACTGCCTTCTCCAATTCGGTTTCGTCGGGTGGCGGATAAGGCGGCCATGTGTTTGTCATAGGCGATATGCGATTGAAGGTGGCGGTACGGAAGGGCACCAGCATGAAGAGGGGGGCTCGCAGGCCTTCGGGAGCAGGAAGGGGGACAGAGCGCGCCCGCAGCGAAGCTTTATCCCGGCGTGTATACAAGGCAAACCCAGCCTGAGGAATTGCATAGCGACCTATCACGTCTCCCCTGCAGCCCGGGTCGATCGCGCTCGGCTAATCCACCACGCTTGCCATTTATGGTCCACGCCGGGGGCGCATCTCGGCGAAGCACCGCTGCCGGAAATTGCCTTTCCAGTCCTTCCGCCTTCCCGCGCCGTCCGTACGCCTCGAGCCAGTGACCAGTGACGCTACGACCTCCCTCCAGCTTCACCGCACATACATACCTGCCAGCCATGGCATCGCGAGCTCGTCTGCAAGGACAACGATAAACGTAAGCGATTACGTTCTCCGCCACTGCATATCATGACTACAACGGGCTACGGCAACCTACAGGGAATATATACGCGATGCCAATCAGAAAGCTAGAGTGGAACCAGAGAAACGGCGAGCCACGATCCAGCTGCTACGAAGACATCGGGGCGGCGGCGCAGCATGCCATCACAGGAGCAATGTGAGAAGAAGCACATTTGCTACCGCAGGTGGTCGTCTGACTGGAACTCGCTTGACTTTCTCAGCAGTTCTACGAGAGCGCTTAGGACAATCCCAATGGGAGTTGATGCGGCTACGCGAGACGTTTGTGAGACGGTAAATCAGTGATTCACTCCCCCAGAAAGACATCTGGTCTGGTTTAGATGGTATGTTTCACCCTAATGCTATAGCTTAACACACGCGATTTCTGGTCAGCTTACCGTCCACAGCGTCGCATACCGTCTCCCGTGCTCGCGGGGTGGTATTTCCCTCAGCTGAAGAAGAGGTCCCCATCATCCCAGTACTTGGTCTCCGTCGACTCCATATTCGTGGGTGAGTGTAAGTACGCTACGAGCTGGCAGTCTGCTGCCAGTGTTGATCCGTCGCGCACTGCCATACTTTGCTCGGTAAACGAAGCCATGATGCGGCGTACAACCCCTTCATGAGACAACGGTAGCATCTTGCCCTCTCGACAACTCTTCCGCGTCTCATCGATGTCTCGTCGTACATGCGATTGAAGGCCAGTGTTTTTTGGCGTCCATGCTGTTGCTGTTGATAGTAGTGAGTCCCAGAACCCCAATTCCTTCCCGTCTTCGATGGCCGTACTAATCATAGAACCTACACTGTGTACCTGGTTGATGCGAGACCAATGACTCACCGGCCAGGGCCCATCACATCCGGTACCTGGTGGGCCAGGTCTGTGGAGTTTCAGTCAAATAAATCAGACGCGGACACGGACACCGATACTCACTGGTGACTCAGTGACTATCAGCCTCGGTTGTCTCCAACACATCCGCATTTTTGTAATTGGTTGCATCCCACTAGTGCTTCTGGCGCTGCGGCAGCGATGGGAGCGCGACCGATCAAAACGCGTTCAACGCGCTACACGTGATCGCCGCGTCGTAAGTAGCGAATGGGGGTCCGCCTCACTGCGGCCTCGTCTCGTATCCATCGAATGGATACGAGACCAACCACCGCCACGGACTGGCCGGGAAACCCGACCATGATGATAAATTCCGCACGCTCTTCGCGAGGTACTAGACAATATAAATTGATGCATGAACCCTCTCAAACGCCGCATGCTCATGCTACTGACAGGGTCCGGAGACTGCAGCCTACGGCACCGGGACTGGCCGTGATCTCATGATGGCCGGGGCGTCGCAGGTGGGTGGAGAAAGAAAGAAAGCTCGCCAGAAGTCGTCTCTGCCACTTGAGTACTGCTCTTTATGACCTACGGTATAATCGACATCTTCGCAGTAATGATGGTTTCGATCACAATGATTAGTGAACGCCCTTGTTCTGGTTGAGAAATTCCCGGTGAAACGCGCATCACGGCACAGCACAGACAAGGGCACGATGACAAGGGCACGAGGTCATTGCGGCAATGTAGTTAGATGATTCAGGGCGGAGGGAGACAGCTAAGTCATGCGCAAATTAGATATACACATAGGAACATACAGCATATACGGCTACGATACACATATGTACAGCTTCAGAAACATCACGTCCGCATAATCAGGCCTATCCGATGATGTGTAGTCTCTGCGTTCGGGCGGGGTGAAGGTGGCGGGACTCATGCTACTGATCATGAGCGTCTGCATGCGCTTGCGGTATTGGTACGGAGAGAGGCTGCGACCACCTCCTCCACCGATTTGGATCGCAGTAGACGTCGCCGTTCCGCAAGCTCGCGTCCGTGCCATGTCTCAAAAAGGGGAAACTTATTAGTACGCTGGAGGTGAAGTAATGCGCACGCTCGTGCTTACATTTCACGAACATGCCTCTTGACGCCCGCATAATCAAAGCTGGTCATCCACTGGTCAGCGCAGCGCGCGCACAGCCAGATCTTCTGGTCTCTGCAAGTGCGGAGTTCAGGCTCTTCCTCCTTGAGATACTTTTTGACATCCGAGATGTATAATGGATCGTCAGGCTTCCAGTCCCGCATCTCCGACCGATTATCCGTGATCTGCGACCACGCGTCAGTCAGAAGTCCTACAGGACGAGACGGGTCACTCACTACAAATCGCCAGCCCGCTACTTTCACAGATGTCTCGGAGTCTCGTCGACAGAATAGGAGATTGCGCTTGTCCAGGTCGCACCAGGTCGTCCGATATGGGTCCTTGCTACAGAGCACAAACCACTCGAGCCTTTCGTCGATGCCAGGGGGAGACACAAGCACTACCGCCGGTCCAGGCGACACATCTCGTTTCGAGTAGTTGACAAGTGACCATGGGCAATAGGCGAAAGTCTTCAAGACAGTCTGCTCAAAGAGGTCTTCCCGCCGTTGAATCTCGAATCGAAGAACTTCGTCCCGTGCCCTTTGTCGGTATCCCCTCAAGCACTCGTGGACCAGGACCTCGGGGAAACGAATCGCGAAACTACAAGTCTGGCAGACGAGGGTGCAGATAGCGAGGTCGACAGCTTGCGTCATAGTAGGGAATAGACAAGGATCGTCGTTCATGTTTCTCACCATGGCTTCCAATTCCGCTTTCTTCTCGTCAAACCAACGCCGTACGTCTTGCCTTATCTCGGTCTTCAGCTGCTGGCGGGCGTCGCCAACCACTGGCCAAGGCCCCTGGCCGGACAGCCTGTCGCGGTAAGACGTCCCTTGCATTAGGAGGATGTCGACGGTCCCCGGCCACCAGCGAATGTTCAAGTCTCGCATGTTCTCCGCTCTGACCTCGCCCAAAAGATCAGCAAACCCCTCGATACGTGTCATGATACCCTGCTGACGAATCTGGCCGCCCATGAAGGACAGGATTTGCGTACGTATTCGGGACCATCCTGCAATAATCGGCCCCGCAGTGAGTAAAGTTATGATTCTCGAATAACGTAGTACTTAACCCATGTCATCGAGAGGCGTTGATGTGCGTACTTGCCTGAGAGAACGAAGTTCGCCCTCTGCTTCCGTCAGGATTGACTCACTATAGTCCAACTCGAGCAGCCTATCCCTGATACTATAAACACTTGTTAACGTGAGGAATAGGCGCTGCCAAGACGAATGTAACGCACAATGAGAAGCGCTGGTCACGGATGTTCCGTAACTGTTCCGCTCGAGCGCTATCGGTCGATCTCTTCCACTCGTCGCATGCTTTGACGTGCTTTTTTATGAACATGATCTCAGACAACACCAAACGACATAGGGCGATGGACCTACCGCACGCTTCATCTCGAGAGCCTCACGTTGACTTGCAGCGAACTCTGACCAGGACCCGCCATCTCCCAAGGCTACCCAGGCCGAATGCAGCTTCAGCAACTCGGGCATGTGGAAGCTACAACGCGCGTTTATCTTGACCTATGTAGTTTGTGTGCTGAGTCGTGAACTAATTTGTTTGGAGGCGCAGCATACCTTGAGGAGTAGCTCCTCGAAGTCGGAGTACATTTCGTTGGCCGGGTCATCGAAGAATAGGCCGACGCCTACCAAGCTATTGCAAGCCACTGGCGTGAACAAACAGCTCGAAGCAGTTAAGCAGCACCATACATACTTGGGGCCTAAGCAATTATCACAGTAGCGAGCACTGGCCTCCCAGATGATCTTGGACACGCCACTCTTGTTACACCCCTGGCGAAAGAAACAATGTGAGTCAGTGGCGTATGACCGGCATACGAACGTACGTGGCAGTGCTTGCTGAAGACAAGGTCGGCGTATGCTGGTTCGCTGAGATGTGATGGACATTCGGGAAGACCTTCTACATTCTGGCGACATCGTTTCCAAAGCCAGACCATAGTTCTCTTCATGAGCCGTGCGCGAAATGACTTCGAGAGTCTCGCCAGATTCAAGAGGGTTCCTGGATCGATGTACCCGAAAATCTGTCTCGACGTCAGCCATCGGCAGTGGCACCACGTCGTTATAATAGGCGTACCTCTTGCTCTATTTCCAAGGGCACGTCGAAGATGCGCTCTAGCGATGCACGCTTATTCCTCAACGCAACTTTACGTTGAGGGGCCGCTGGTACGGCGTGCGGAGATACGTTCTCGTCAGTGGCTTCTGGCCTCTTCCGCGTTCCCGATGTCATCATGGATTCTATCGAGGACCCTCAGTCACGGGCGGATAGTCGCGGCACGAGTACTTGAGTGCTCACCTTGCAATATCGCGGAGTGCTGGTTTGGGGTGAGTGGCAAGGGACAGCGGCGTACGCACTTGTGTATTTAACTGTGCGGGCCCGTGACCTTCTGTGGCCACAGTTCACATCAATCGACTTGCTTCTGACTCCTGAGAGGACAATGGTTGCCGTCGCCACAAATGTCGTAAAATGATAATAATAAAGAACAATACTTGTGGTTCGAGCGCTGCCTACATTGTCTCAGTAGAGCGATGCCACGTATGCTTTAAGCTGCATCCGGTCAACCATCATCAAGATTGTCCCCCATATTATGACGTGTGCCGATTGTCTATGCCTGAAGGAGCGTAAAGCAACTCCTTTTGGACCGTGATATACGAAGGCTTCTCTAGACCGAGCGCGGACAATTTGCGCCTCAGGTTAGACAATTCCAATGAGCGACGGCATGCTGATGAGGCTGTTTGACGTCCACTCGAAGCACTCACCGGCAACGACCGCTGTGCCTTATTTGAAGGAGGTTAAACCTGAAGGGAAGAAAAGGTCTTGACTGCAGTCGGAACAAGGATTCTTCATCGTCACTGCGTGTCTAGCGCAAATTCAGCTCTGAATCTGAGTCACGTCGTCCGAATTTGGCGCGGTTGCATCCTCAGTATATCCCGTACATCACGGAACGCGCCTCCTGATCAGAGGAGGAGAGTAATGTATAATACGCCCAGCGTATACTTACCTGTAAGCGTAGCCTGGCGAAGGTTGCATGATACAGTACCCCGAAGATTCCCTTGGTGGGTAATGCCGGATTGCACCTATAGGAACAGCCGTACATGCAACCCTCAGGCTGGTTCTGAGCCATGCATGGCGTGGATCAGTCGGCGTACGCCGGGCCACCGCGACTGTCGAATGAAATTCACTTTCATCTGCAGAAGGTGGACTTACTCAACTAGTCGAATGTGGCATTCATCAACTGAGTAGTAACAACAATTGAGGGCACCCCACGCATTCCTGCTGTACAGCATGGTACCTACCACGCTTTCGGTGCGGACCCGACTGCCCTAAGTGAACGTGTCATCGTCTGCTATGACGGAGATTCCAGACGGTTCTCACCTTCCACAGGAGTACACTCGCGCTTCTTACGCTCGGGCCCGCATCGCAAATCTCGTGCATAGGAGCAAGCCTCGTCCTGTAACAGCCGCGTGTCAGAACAAGTTCCGGAGTAAAGGTCGCATGCACTTCTCCCATTGACGGAGCCCGCCACACGGTTTGATCAGGTCGGAACTTGAGAGTCAGTGTGCGATCGTCGGGCGGTCTATACCGGCAGATGCATCCAAGTACTCGTCCTGGACTCCTGGACCAACGTAGGGAAGGGACGATTCACCAAAGGCCTTCTCTATAATTGAGACTGATAAATAAGAGGCACGGGCGAAAGCTGCAAATTAGACTAAACTAGCTATACAACTGTTGAGACGTAAAATGACTGTTCCCAGGACCCTGGGCATGACCAACGGCAGGATGATAGAGATACAAATGCATGACTGACGCACTCCTCGTAAGTCCACAACCGAGAACCAAACGAACACGCAGACAACGCACCCAACGCTGTAGACGTGCGAACCACGGAGCACGCAGACACGGATCACCTTGCCTGTTTGGCGCGCGTAATCCTGTCGTACGACTCTGCTACCGGGTTCCGATACGTCAGGATAGATATATGCGAGTTTAGGTATGGCGGTGGCAGTAGCGGGTGCACTGCCTCGAGGCTCTGTAGCTGATCGACGGGAGGCAAGTGGGACGTGAAGCGGATCGATTCGCGAGGCGGGGACGGCGTTGACCGTAATGCGAGGTGGGACAACGCGGCGAAAGATGACGAGGACGATATGGTGGACAGCGTGCGCTGTCGGTCGTGGTTTGACCGACTAAGCTGTGCTTGACTGGCAGACTGCGTCGGCATCGTCGCAGTGGACCGCGCAGAAGATGTTGAAGTTCGGCGAAGCTGCCGATGTGCTTCTGACGATGTGGGGGATGAGCGGTTGGGTGAGGCGGTGCGAACACTCGTTGGCGAGCCTGCACGGAGGCTCGACGGTGATGACGCAGAAGACATTTGGGCTTGCGCAGCGTCTGAGGAGACCATGGTTAAGGGCGCCAGGGGAGCGGGCTTTGCCGCGAACGGTGCCCCCTGACCATAGGAATGACCTCGAATGAGTGGGTGCGGTCGCAGTGACGCGCCGTCAGTCCGGCTCGTGACCGAATGCGTCGATGGTGGGCGCGTCATCGACTGTCGTTTGGGAGGCGGGGAAGTTGATCGGGAAGGGGAGTGCGTCTCTGAGCGGGCTTTGGTGATCGGCGGCGGTAACGAGTCGGGTGAATGGGAGAGCTGGTCATGGTGAGCTAGCTGTTGTGATTGGGAAGCCGATAACTGTGCTATTGGTTGTGATGAGATGTAATCGTGTGGGGTAGGTGAAATGGGCCGCTCTGTCTTCGTTGGGTCTGCCCGGGGTAATGGAGGCACCTCGGCCTTGGGGGTCACCACCTCTTCTCTGTGGAAACCATTGACCTGCGTAGCTGACGGAGGTAGATGTGGTCTGGCGGGTTCAACGGGCGTCGTGGTGTCGTCGGCTTCTGAGTCGGATTGGCCAGCGTTCGGGGTAGCGGCTCCACTCTCGCTGGACACCCACTCGTCGTCATCGCCCTCTGACGGGCTGGATATGGTAAAGCCAGCACGGTGCTTGCCATCCTTAGTGCGTGCAGCACCGAGAGGTGGTGGTGGGGCACGCCGCAGCTGTGCAGGAGCGATCTGTTCGCGCGACGGAAGACGGGTCGTGCTGCCGGTCCTGGATATCGTTCCGGTGCGCGCAGCAGGCTAGAAGCGCGATCGACCAACCCCAGAAAGCCTTCTCAGCATGTACCGCCAACATCAATCTCAAGACAACACCATACCTCGTGGATAAAATGCGCGCTCTTCCTCGACTTATCAGGCAGTTTCGGCGGGAGTACATCCTTCTGTGTGAGTTGCAGGTTCAAGCCAAGCTTGGAGGAGCCGCCCGAGTTGGTGCGTGAATGTGTGCGTGTCATTCCGCCCTGAGCGCGGTGTCCACGGTTGGGTGCAGGCATGGTGAGATGGAGGAGGAGGAAAAGGTATTGGTGGACAACGGCAACGATGGCAAGGGCGTCTCGGTGGCGTTTGACGCTCCGACCCAACATCGATTAGCCGACTCCGGCGCCTCTGCAGGCGCCAGGCGTCGGGACCTGCCCCATTAGTGAGTGGTCCGCGTGGCTCCCGTACGTTCAGCTTGTCGGTCACTAGGTTTACTGTAGCAATATTTGCCTTCCCCTTCTGCGATGGAGTTGGGTAACCTGCATGTACGGCCCAATATATCTCGTGCCACTGGAGTCAGTCTTGTGGGGGATCTCACCGATTCTGAATCGTCTTCCGCAAGATCGAATAAGCGCCCATACTAGTGCCCTTTTATGGCAGGAGGGTTGTAGATTTTGTCTTCTTGGCGCCTAACGGTTCACTCTAGCATTCCTGCTGCTCCGGTACAACTTGTACGCTTCATCTCGTGTCTAGTTCTTTGCGACCATGGAGAGGGTACAGTTCCAACAAGAGCAGGTGCGCAACATATCAATTTGTCTTGTGCTGTAGAACGGATAACTGAATGAGCGTACCGTTTTTAGATGCTCACTGAGCTGAAAGACCTCGTCAGAAAAGGTCTATTCACACAAGTGAGTAGACGCGCTACGCAAGCTACCACCTACGTAAATGCTCACTCAGAAGTACCCAGAAAGAGATCAAGCAGATTATGCAGAAGCGTACCTCATTCGAAACTACCCTCGTCAGGCGTATACCGAAGAAGGGCGACTTCCTCCGCTACATAGCGTATGAGATGGGCTTGGAAGCTCTCCGCAGGAAACGCGCTGCTCGACTATTCGACGGTCCGCAACCACAGTCGGTGTCAGACTATGCACTTGTCCGGAGACAGTTTCACGTATTTGAGCGAGCCCTCAAGAAGTTCAAAGGCGACGTCGGCCTCTGGATACAGTACATACAAGTGGCGAAGAAGGAAGGAGCAAAGACACTGGTTGGGCGGATCACAGCGCGGTGAGCTCTCCAGAGCCTATCGACTCTCATGTCGGTCTAACACTCCGCAGCGCGATGCAACTACATCCGAATGTCCCTGCGCTTTACATCCTCGCCGCTTCACATGAACTCCAGCACCTGGCCCCTTCCGCTGCTCGCGCCTGCTCCAGCGGGGCATCCGACTCAACCCGGAGAGCACGGAGATGTGGCGAGAGTACGTGAAGATGGAGTTGGGTTTCGTGGAGAGCCTGCGAAGGCGGTGGGGAGTTCTGGGGATCGACGTGGAGGATACCAAGGGCAAGGGCAAGCAACGAGCGCGGGAAGCGGATGAAGACGAAGAGATGGAGGTGGAGAAGATACAGGTGGACGCGGAAGACGAGGGCGACGAGGCGAGGCTGCGCGTAGGCAGATCATGCAGGGTGCCATCGTCAAGTCCGTCATGTCGAGCGCTGCGAAAGGTTGTTTTCCACGCATGTTGTCCTGCATGTTCGTCGCTGAGTTCCGCTTCTACAGCTTTGCCAAAGATCGAGCTCTTCATTTCTTTGCAGGACTTGCTGGCGACGTATCCATGCCCCGCTTCGCTGCGAGATACGCTTTTGGATCACCTCTTCACTTTGTTGCATGAAACGCTACCCGCAGATCCTGCCGCCATAAGGCTATTCGCGACGAGACGTCTCTTGCCTGACCTCGAGGGCGAAGCATTGGTGGATACGCTAAAGGACGCAAATGAGCGGCTTTCCAGTGCTGTGCGAGATCAAAATGCAGCAGACGAGCGGCTCGCATCGGCATATGCGAGCTTCGTGCGGGACTGGTGTCAGAAGGACATCGATGACAGCCTGGTCAGTCATCATTCCCCCTCGCCCGTTTCGCATTGATCTGATCATGTGTATGCGTGTGTCCCGCGCACTGCAGAAAGGGTACCTCATCACATCGCTACAGCTCCTGGCACAAAGGAAATCGGCCACCCCTTCGCCCGCACTTCTGGCGGAAACAATAACCCTGCTCACGGCATATCAAGACAGCCTCCACGAGTATCTCCCGCCTACAAGCAACACGCCTGAACGAGTCCTTCGGTTAGCTCGAAAGTTCACCGGTAAGGACAACACAAAGCACTCGGCGCAAGTATGGCTTGCGCGCCTCGATGCGGAGAAACAATTCGCGACAGGCGAAGATGCGAAACGTGCGTGGGACGAGGCCCGGGGAGTCGTCGTGGGCACAGGGACAGACACCGTATGGCTCTGGGGGCTAGATCCCGAGCCAGACTGGGAAACCTCAAACGGGCGCGGGACCGGCAGTATGGAGACGGAGGTGGGAGAGCGTGTTCGGCTGCTTGAGGTGCGTGCGTGCGGCTCTGAAAATTAGCATGGGCGCTGACGCGCGTGTGTTATTCACATTGTTCTTTCCTGTCATCGATTGTTTATGACCGTGTGGCCGGACTCTGCTCTTGGCGACGCGTACCTACGAATGCGGCGTGCGTCTTTCCTTGCGCGGGATTACAGCGGCTTCTGGGAGAAGGCCACCGCATGCAGGACGCGACGGCGTGGTCTGCGGTGCAGGAAACGCTACTGATGCGGTACGCGAAGGCAACTGACATCGAGCTCAAGATCAGACTCAGGCTCGAGACGGTCGAGGAAGGCGAGGTACCGCCGGCTGGAATTCGCAAGAGAAAGCGGGCACGCGGGGATACCGGGTCAGACGCACGATCACCATCGATGGCATATGTGGACGCGCGGGCGGCCCGCGTGCGCCACGTCGGGGCAGCGTATTTGATGACAGCGCGCGTGTGGCGGGAGGTCTTCGCGCAGGAGGAGGCGGCTTCGGAGGAGGTGCCCGCGTGCTCAGGACGCGTCCTCGAGACGATCTTCGAACAGTGGCGGCGCAAGGACGGCGTTCACGCGACCGTCGCCTGGGCGCGGTGGCTGCTCGCACATGGGAAGGCGAAGGCGGCGACTGACATTGTCATGCGTGCGCGAAGCTCGCTCTCAGACGTCGAGAGAATAGAGCTCGAGCACCTCTGGAAGAAAGAAGTGGATGAGGACGTCGAGGCCACATCCAGAGACGATCTCGAGATGGACCCCCGGGTATCCCTGTAACCAGGAGTTGTCTTTAACTCTTCACTCCAATGTCAACATGCTTCGACGAGTCTCTGTCTCCTGAGACTCTCTCTGTCGACGCTCAGTCGGGGCCGAGGCGATCCAGATGCTCGCTCTCACTCATTCTCGACGGTAAGAGCGCGCGTGATATATGACACAACGCAGAACTTGAACCTACTGCATGTAGGTATGCCCACCGCACGGGTTCGGTAGTCTACCACGAAACATCCAAATATACATGTCTGACTAGAAGGAAATCGTGAGGGGATCAGACTCTGAGCGGATGGACTCACTGTTCCACAGAATCCAGATACGGTGGATAGCTATATTCTACTGATGCATGATGTATGGCAATCCTGTGCTACAGGTCCACGGCAGCATGCACGATACTCACCTGTCTGCGGGTATGGCAATCAAGTTGCCCGTAAAATCGCTGCCCGCGCGTCTCCAAAACCCTGGTCAGTAACAGAGGGCTGCTGTGCGCACTTAACAATCTGTATACGAGTATGTCGGACGGGAAGGGAGAACTCACCTGCCCAAAGTTCGGGGTCCTTGCGAAGCAAACACAGATGGGCCGCGGTAACGCCCGGGATCCGACGTTGAGCATACGCCGGATTCAGCTAAGCCGGCGGCCTCGGCTCTAGCCTATTGAACGTTGATTCAATGCCGGAAGGTTCTCATTCAACTGCTTATCGGTGAGCCAAGCAAAGCAATGCAGATACGTTGTTGTGGGGAGCTGAAGTCAGCGGGTGTCGAGTGACCGCTCCTGGCCTGCTGGGTACCTCGACCAGGGCAACGTCCGGTCTCGACAGCGCAGACATTTCAGGATAAATCGGGAAGCATATGGAATCCCTACTCGGAGCCGAGGACGGCGTGGTGCGCACGCAGTGCGGGAGATCATGCACGGGCCCGGAGAATCGGAGCCTCGTATGCTGCTGCCGCCCAGCGCCGGGGTGAAGATCACGCTTGGATGCGGAAGCGCATATGTGTATTTATGTGGCTGCGTGCGTGTACTTCGAGGCTAGGGGACGTGGAATTGCGAATACAAGTGCTGCTAGGGTAAGGCTCCGCATCGAGGTATTGCGTGAGCGTCGATACCACGGCGTGTCCTCTGTAGGTACCTACGTGACGGTCCGACCATTGGGCCGCGAGAAGTACGTACAAGCGACAGTTGATCAAGCCGGGAACGGTCGCCGACGGGGCGCGGATGGACCCACATGGTGTTTGTGTGCACGTGCACAGCGTCCGCTGGGCGGTGGCTGGAGCGCACGTACGGCGAGTGGGAGAGTGTGAGACACGGAAAGGCGATGAGACAGCGAGATGTGTGAGTGGGCTGGCGATGGGGACGGCGTGGGGCAGTGTGAGAGCTGGGCAGGGGATTGACTGACAGCCAGAGCCCGAGGCGGCGCGATGACGCGGCAGTGACGGACTCGGAGGCCGACGTCGACGCGACGCCTTCCGCGCGGACATTCGTCGGCGCGCAAGCGCCCGTCGATCGCCGTTTCGCGGTCTTGCAGCCTGTGTGCAGCACTCGCGTCCGACGCTCGATCGACGTTTCTGCGCGGATGGCTCCTCTTCGACACCTCTCAGGAACCCTTCGACGCGCCTTGGGCACCGCTCCTCTCATGAGTCCGCCCTCGTCTTCCGTCCTCAGTGCATCATCGCAGCCCTTGGAGAGCACGTCCACCAAGTGAGTGTTTTGTGCCGTTCAGTAGCCCATGTCCCCCATTGACACGCTTCTCATTATGCCCAGCGCGCGCAGCGGTCAAACCGTCTGCACTGCCCCGGGTCCCATCTTCCTGTCCATGTCCCTCGCTCGCCATCCTCCACTGGTCGACGTCCGCCAGCTGCATACATGCTCGTCGGGCTTCCATCGGCATTCACATGAGCTGGTCCACTGACGAGCTGACAAGCGACGTGCTCATTCGGATCGCATACTCAGCACGAGACCGGCAACAGAGAAACTCCAGACTTCGTATTGGCCTCTGCCACGTGCATACAAACGCATGCTTCAGGCTTCCGACGAGGTAAGTAGTCAAATGGAATCCGTTGTCGCACACCAATCACAGGTGTACAATACACAGCGGCACCCTATGCGCAACACTGTAATCCGTATCTACATGAACGGACGAGAGGGCGGACGGGAGCATATCGGCACCGGTGCAATCGACAAAGCCCGCGCACACGAACGCGTCTCGGGCAACACTACCGCCCTACCAGGACAGTTCGACTCCGAGGACGATCGACGCAACCGCCGCACATTCTCCACCCGTCCAACGTTGTCGAGACGGTCTGCGGGCCCTGCACACGACTTGGGACAGCATCTGCTGCAAAGGACGGCACAGTACACACCGCGCACGCGTCGTGAGACGCGTCCCCCGCTGCCCTGAACGCCCCGATCGTTGCAGAGCAACGATCTGCACGTCCAGGCTTGTGGTGCGAGTCTCCAACCGGCGTCGTCAAGCCATCCACCCATGCGAGCCCGCACGTCGTTCAGCGTATCAAGAAGCCGCCACCTGCCCATTATGGCACAGTTCTGCGGTCTTCGTGTGGTGTAGCACGCGCGGTCTCATGGCCGGCCATGAGTCAACCCCGTCCCAACTGCCAAGGGCGCCCGCGCAACACACCCAACGACGCCTGAGAGCGACGGACACGACGTCACGCTGCGCCGCTCGCAGTCTGGCATGGTACGTAACTACGCGCCTCGTTCTCGCTGACTCGTGCTAAACCTTGTTTCTCCCACCCAGTCACTTCGTCCGAAACGCGCCAGCTCAGCGCTCCGGCGGCGACGTGTCTTGCGGGAACGACGGCAACCGGCTGGACGGCAGGGGCATGCATTCGAGCGAATTGCATGCTGGTTGGTCAGGGAGCTACGCAGACGATGTCAGGAGGTGTGGCACCCCAACGGCGGGGACGTCTTACCGGGGGCTGATCTGGTAGGTACGCGAGTGCTGACACGACTGATCAGCGGTGGTACACGTCGGGTAGACCAGCACTCACCCGCCAAGGCGTGCAGCGCGTGGATGGACCTACCGGATGCCGGATCGCGTAGACGCAAGCGAGCTGCAGCGACGTGGGTTAATCGGTACGCCTCCGTTGGAATCGCGCGATACGACTCACCGGGACGTTCGGCACCACTGCCGCCAAGATTGATCAGGGCGGTACTGTCAACGCGGCAGAGCACGTACCTACTCTGTGCGCGACAGGGCTGCGTCCGGCGACCGCGCGCAGCTGCGTAGGCCGAGCTCAACGGCGAGCACATCTGCGGGGAACGACGACCGGTCAGCACCGTAAGATGCACCCGCCGGGAGACGCACTCACCACCAGCCTCGCGCACGACGAGCGAGACGAAAGGGCATGAGACCAGCAGAGGATGCACCTCCAGACCGGATACCCACCAGTTTATATACCCCCGTCCCGATCTCTTACGCGACGCACGTCCGCGTTGCCCGTCCCTCGCAACCGCCATCGCGGTCTTCTCAGCCGCCTGTCGCGTCGTCGCGATGGGCCACAGGGGCACAGCCGACGTTGCACGCTAGCGAGCCCGCGGCGCTCGGGCGTTGCGCAACGTGCGATTTCGACGAGGATGCGGTAGACTCACTGCGGGCTCCTGAGCGTGGAGGGCTGCAGGACGGCGTGGAGGGCTGCAGGACGGCGTGGACGGCTGGACGGAAGGATGTGTACCAGCGGTATGTGTCCTGCTCCCGGCGTAGGATGGCTGCCGACGCCCTGTCCGGCGAGACGACATGTCGTTGCCGTTGACGCGGATACTCGGCGCGACGCATTGCTCATGATCCGCGGAGTCTCCGTCTCGCGCTCGCTACCGTGCCATTTCGAGAACGGCGACTCGCGCACGCGCAATGTTCCTGGATAGAACGGCGACGCGAGCTGTGCTCGCTTAGGACAGTCTGGTACGTTCAACGGAACTGGTCATCCCGCGTTGTCTCCGGCTGACACTGGGCAAGCGACCAGACAGCGACGTCCTCCCCCATCGTGTACCACCTAACGGCGGGTGCCATACCAGAGCGGTAGGTTGCTACGAATTCTTAGGTGTGTCGGGGCCGTCCTGTCATACCCTCCTCGCTACCTGTCAAGACCACCTGTAGCCGCAACGCGGATCATCCGAAGCCTCTGTGTCAGGACGACAAACAAACCCAGCAAAGTCGAAATGTTCCGTCAGCTCGGATCGGCTCTGGATGGCCCAAATGTTGTTTACCGTTCGCCGTACTTCTTCCGTTCCTATTGGCTTACCGTGGCGGCACCCGGACAACCGCCAAACACGCACAAGTGTGTTTCTTGGGGGCAGACTGGACCGTCTCGTGCGTACAGGAGTCCAGGAGGACGTCTCCTGCTTCCGTCGAATCGTGCTCCTCACGGTGCCGGCACAGCACCCGCCGGTGGTTGCTCGCTCTAGCGATCCGGGCCGTCGCGTACTGGGTGCGTCACACAAGCACCGGAAGGATCGTCAACCGCTCAATCTGCGCCTTCGACAACGCAATTACGCGGATGCCGTTACCCGGTGCTGGAACGGATATGGTGCGCGTTGATCGCTCCCCGACGGCGGCAGTACGAACGTGAAGGCTCGGACATTTTTCGAGCTTTCGGGCTTGTACTGCCCTCGTCGACCAGAGGCATGACGAGGTAAGCATGGACCCGCTTGGTCCGATATTCTGCGAGTCCGGGGTGTAGTCTCAGCCCATGTACAGACTGTACCATTGTACTGAAGTTCCATGGACTTCCTGCACCTCTGACTGATGATCCCGCTGTCTGCTCTTCAGCGGACGAAATCAGAACCCTGCAGCTGTGATGCAATTTGACCATATGTTGTAAAAGACTGATAGCCCGATCAATGTCTGACGTACCGTCGTCCGAATGTGTGAGAATACCATCCATTCTCCTATCACTCAGCTCTACAGTATACTTCGCTCTTGGTCATTGAAATTCAGATTGTGAGGTATATGGCCTTGTAGACAGCTATACACGGGCAGACTCAATAAAATATGGGAACACAGCTGTGACACCATGTTCGGCTGATTCAGACGGCAAGCCCCTGACCGTGACACCTACTGTAACCATGGTTCCCTGAACTTACATTCAATCTTAGATCACGAAGATCAAGGGACGAGCCGAGATCTCAATGGCTAGGCGACCGTGTCACTCCTTGTTGAATCAGTGGTTGACGTGGAATGCCCCGTGGACCAAGCCCTTGTTTCCTTGCCACAACGACACCAGCTGCAGCATCGTATTCCTCCGTGTCAAGACCCTAGGTCAACAACTTGTTCTCTGACACTGTGATATCAGGTAAGTACACGAACTTGCCATACTGCCTGCGTTCGACATCACTGACCTGAACACAGTATCGGTGCACAACGTGCTCGGCCAAAGTTTCAGGCAGGTATTGGCTCGACGGGCGAGGGAGAAATTTCTGTAGGTAACCATCCAACCCACACACAGTACTAGATGGCTAACAGGAATGCCCATGCTGCAGGCACAGGACGGACTGGATGATTAGGGACTCGAGGTCACGTATTCACGAGCCTCCGGAGTAATACCGGCAGCGACTAACGGACATGATGGTGCGTTAAGAATACACCTCACAATTCGGACGGCACAGCTCATGGAAGGACTCAAAAACAGTACCAAAGGCGAGCAGTTCAAAGAACAGCCAACCGACCACGTCGAACAGTAGACCGGTGGGCGCCGGGCGTACAACGTAAACTCACAACTTGAAGACGCAACAGAGACTCGCCGCTTACGACGCTCGCTTCTCTGACCGCGAGCATCGTAATGTTGAGGGTGTGCGACGAGGTTGCCTGGTGAGTACTTTCAAGTACACTTCCTCTGGCACTGTACTGAAGCTGTCTGCAGATGAACGAGCCATGACAAGTGCCCGAACACTGACAGCGCACGGACGATAACCCCCGGGTGTCTATCAGTCTCTGCGAGATGATGTCTCCACGCTCCGGGTGGGTAATACCCGTTTCCTGGACGACACATGCCGACTGGATGACACCCTTTCAAGGCCGGACAGCGGGGAGCCGGTCATCGATGGTGAGTCGACTGCATATTCTCTCGCAGATTAATTGTACTGAAACGCGGACTGCAGGTGTCCGAGTAGATGGCCTTGACACGCATCTCTACGACACGGGAACACCGTCTAGCACATGCTATTCGTGCATCGACGATGCGCACGGCGGAGACGTGCAGTACCCGGTGGTACACTAGACTTTGCGCGTGAAATAGAGACCGCCAGCGGCGCGCCAGCCTCGTATACCCACGACATACCTTCTAGATCGCATCCTGCCAGGTTTGGCGAGCGACGTTAGTCCCCTCGTCACGCCACTGCTTACGCCGCGAACATCAGCGAGGCTGCCATCTCTCACTCACCTGCACGTCTTGACCCACTTCGCTACGTGTTCCTGCCCCGGATGATGGTGTTGCTTCCCGGACCCCGCCTCGACCAATCTCCCTGGCGGTTAACCTCGCCTGATGCGCGGGTCGACGCAGCGTTGCAGGTCCTATGCAATCACCGAAGACACGACATAACGCCGTCCGGCGAACCTACCTTTTACGGGGCAGTGGTACACGAGCACGGTGCGGGGTAGACGGGTCTGCACGGGTTTCTCACGCAGACGATGCGCGAGAATCACCAGGTGAGCAAAGCATATTACAGATGACATCGGAATAGTACACTTACCTGCGACCCCACTCGTCTGCCGCGTTGCTACCTAGATTCGAGTCGGACGCTTGATTGAAGCGATACACCGGCGCATTGCCGCCGGCTGTCCCGTTCTCCGACTTGTCGTCTAGTGCGCACGGCAGAGGTCACATGCCCTGTACCTGCCCAGGAAGACGCTGTGCAAGGAAGAGGTAAGCATAGGACAATGTATTTGAAACCGGGATGGTATGCTCACCCTACTCGTCTGTCGCGTTGCTATCTAGGTTCGAGTCTGACCTTGCAGACTAGCGACACATTCGCGAATCGCCGCGGTACCGTCTGACGCGCACCACGGAGGTTGCACGCTCGGTAGCGGACCGTTACCAATGAAGGGCGGGCCTGCCGGGCACGGGCCGACGTCCACTGAGCGAGTTCTCAAGCGTGGTGAACGAAAGCCAGCACGGTTCACGAAGAGGAGAGGATGGTACACGAGGGAGATCGCGAGTAGGGTGTAAGGTCAGCAGAGAACATTGCAATCAGAATCGGGATGGTACACTTACCGCGTGTTGCTATTCAGGCTTGGCTCAGGGAGAGCAGCGCGTCGCTGTCGTCTGCCGCGTTATCAACTCGCATCACATCGCACGCCTAGTAGTTGGCTGACCTTTGTCGATTCGGTGCGCAGGCGGGCGCGCTGGTGTTGTCTCTTGTGCCCTCCTCGTTCCGGAGCACCCGCGTGTTCTTCTCATTCCTCGATTCCTGTCCAAGCTCTTCTCTTCTGGTGGCCTGCGTGTCCGGCGAAGACACGTCCCGCGAACCGACCATTGACGACTGCGGCAGCGCAGGTAGTACGTCGGCCGAGCGCAATAGCGGTCTTCGCGGCGGCGTGCGTCGGCGTGCGTGTCCGTAAAGAAAGCCGGGACTGGGATGGTTGGGTCTCGACGCAACAGATCGACGTCCGGCGAACAAGGCGGGACGGGGGAGGGTGCTGCCAGTGTGCAGAGGAGGGCCCCGCAGCGCATGGAGAGGCTCACGGACGGGCGCAGTGGCTAAGGCTTCTCTGCGTCGACACAGGTGCGCGAGGCCGATATCAGTGACAATGGGAGGTGCAGAGGAGCGGGGCGCCGACTGCGGGCAACTGCGTGCATTGATACAGTTGGGGGCGCGTCGCTGACCGGGGATGCAGGTCCGCGAGAGGTGCGCGCGAGACAGCGAGCCGCAGGACAGACATGGGAGCGTCGTCGAGTGGAGTGCGATCGGGGACGACCCGGGGCGCAGAGAAGTGGCAAACGTCGAGATCGCGGTGCGGGTGCGGGTGATGGAATGCGCGTTTCGACTCCTGGCGCGCTGCTGGGACTCGGCACAGGAATGCGGTCGGAGGAATCTCGAGTGCATTCTGCGAGCTTACCAGCGTGGATTGTCGGAGACTTTGTACCGTACATCGAGGTAGACAGGCGCATACAGGCAGCCGGGAAATCGGTGCACCGTGAGGGCGTCGGGCGCGCGGAAACGGCGCCGGTGCAACACCAGAAAGGGCCCGCTGTCTGTCGCCCTTGTGTCCCCTGCAATGCGCCTTACCCAAACTTTCGTCGTGGTACAAAACTTGGGGCGAGCTGCGGGATTCAGCAGACACGCGGTCACCTGACCCGACTCCGATCGACGCAGCGCCTATTGTCCCTGCGCTTTACATCCTCGCCGCTTCACATGAACTCGAGCACCTGGCCCCTTCCGCTGCTCGCGCCCTGCTCCAGCGGGGCATCCGACTCAACCCGGGGAGCACGGAGATGTGGCGAGAGTACGTGAAGATGGAGTTGGGTTTCGTGGAGAGCCTGCGAAGGCGGTGGGGAGTTCTGGGGATCGACGTGGAGGATACCAAGGGCAAGGGCAAGCAACGAGCGCGGGAAGCGGATGAAGACGAAGAGATGGAGGTGGAGAAGATACAGGTGGACGCGGAGGACGAGGGCGACGAAGGCGAGGCTGCGCGTAGGCAAATCATGCAGGGTGCCATCGTCAAGTCCGTCATGTCGAGCGCTGCGAAAGGTTGTTTTCTACGCATGTTGTCCTGCGTGTTCATCGCTGAGTTCCGCTTCTACAGCTTTGCCAAAGATCGAGCTCTTCATTTCTTTGCAGGACTTGCTGGCGACGTATCCATGCCCCGCTTCGCTGCGAGATACGCTTTTGGATCACCTCTTCACTTTGTTGCATGAAACGCTACCCGCAGATCCTGCCGCCATAAGGCTATTCGCGACGAGACGTCTTTTGCCTGACCTCGAGGGCGAAGCATTGGTGGATACGCTAAAGGACGCAAATGAGCGGCTTTCCAGTGCTGTGCGAGATCAAAATGCAGCAGACGAGCGGCTCGCATCGGCATATGCGAGCTTCGTGCGGGACTGGTGTCAGAAAGACATCGATGACAGCCTGGTCAGTCATCATTCCCCCTCGCCCGTTTCGCATTGATCTGATCATGTGTATGCGTGTGTCCCGCGCACTGCAGAAAGGGTACCTCATCACATCGCTACAGCTCCTGGCACAAAGGAAATCGGCCACCCCTTCGCCCGCACTTCTGGCGGAAACAATAACCCTGCTCACGGCATATCAAGACAGCCTCCACGAGTATCTCCCGCCTACAAGCAACACGCCTGAACGGGTCCTTCGGTTAGCTCGAAAGTTTACCGGTAAGGACAACACAAAGCACTCGGCGCAAGTATGGCTTGCGCGCCTCGACGCGGAGAAACAATTCGCGACAGGCGAGGATGCGAAACGTGCGTGGGACGAGGCCCGGGGAGTCGTCGTGGGCACAGGGACAGACACCGTATGGCTCTGGGGGCTAGACCCCGAGCCAGACTGGGAAACCACAAACGGGCGCGGGACCGGCAGTATGGAGACGGAGGTGGGAGAGCGTGTTCGGCTGCTTGAGGTGCGTGCGTACGGCTCTAAAAATTAGCATGGGCGCTGACGCGCGTGTGTTATTCACATTGTTCTTTCCTGTCATCGATTGTTTATGACCGTGTGGCCGGACTCTGCTCTTGGCGACGCGTACCTACGAATGCGGCGTGCGTCTTTCCTTGCGCGGGATTACAGCGGCTTCTGGGAGAAGGCCACCGCATGCAGGACGCGACGGCGTGGTCTGCGGTGCAGGAAACGCTACTGATGCGGTACGCGAAGGCAACTGACATCGAGCTCAAGATCAGACTCAGGCTCGAGACGGTCGAGGAAGGCGAGGTACCGCCGGCTGGAATTCGCAAGAGAAAGCGGGCGCGCGGGGATACCGGGTCAGACGCACGATCACCATCGATGGCATATGTGGACGCGCGGGCGGCCCGCGTGCGCCACGTCGGGGCAGCGTATTTGATGACAGCGCGCGTGTGGCGGGAGGTCTTCGCGCAGGAGGAGGCGGCTTCGGAGGAGGTGCCCGCGTGCTCAGGACGCGTCCTCGAGACGATCTTCGAACAGTGGCGGCGCAAGGACGGCGTTCACGCGACCATCGCCTGGGCGCGGTGGCTGCTCGCACATGGGAAGGCGAAGGCGGCGACTGACATTGTCATGCGTGCGCGAAGCTCGCTCTCAGACGTCGAGAGAATAGAGCTCGAGCATCTCTGGAAGAAAGAAGTGGATGAGGACGTCGAGGCCACATCCAGAGACGATCTCGAGATGGACCCCCGGGTATCCCTGTAACCAGGAGTTGTCTTTAACTCTTCACTCCAATGTCAACATGCTTCGACGAGTCTCTGTCTCCTGAGACTCTCTCTGTCGACGCTCAGTCGGGGCCGAGGCGATCCAGATGCTCGCTCTCACTCATTCTCGACGGTAAGAGCGCGCGTGATATATGACACAACGCAGAACTTGAACCTACTGCATGTAGGTATGCCCACCGCACGGGTTCGGTAGTCTACCACGAAACATCCAAATATACATGTCTGACTAGAAGGAAATCGTGAGGGGATCAGACTCTGAGCGGATGGACTCACTGTTCCACAGAATCCAGATACGGTGGATAGCTATATTCTACTGATGCATGATGTATGGCAATCCTGTGCTACAGGTCCACGGCAGCATGCACGATACTCACCTGTCTGCGGGTATGGCAATCAAGTTGCCCGCAAAATCGCTGCCCGCGCGTCTCCAAAACCCTGGTCAGTAACAGAGGGCTGCTGTGCGCACTTAACAATCTGTATATGAGTACTTATGTCGGACGGAAAGGGCGAACTCACCTGCCCAAAGTTCGGGGTTGGTTCGGGGTCTTTGCGAAGCAAACAGAGATGCCGCGGTAACGCCCGGGATCCGACGTTGAGCATACGCCGGATTTAGCTAAGCCGGCGGCCTAGGTTCTAGCCTATTGAACGTTGATTCAATGCCGGAAGGTTCTCATTCAACTGCTTATCGGTGAGCCAAGCAAAGCAATGTAGATACGTTGTTGTGAGGGAGCTGAAGTCACCGGGTGTCGAGTGACCGCTCCTGGCCTGCTGGGTGCCTTGACCAGGGCAACGTCCGGTCTCGACAGCGCAGACATTTCAGGATAAATCGGGAAGCATATGGAATCCCTACTCGGAGCCGAGGACGGCGTGGTGCGCACGCAGTGCGGGAGATCATGCACGGGCCCGGAGAATCGGAGCCTCGTATGCTGCTGCCGCCCAGCGCCGCGGTGAAGATCACGTTTGGATGCGGAAGCGCATGCGTGTATCTACGCGGCTGCGGTGCGTGTATTTTGAGTCTAGGGTGACGTGGAATTGCGAACACAAGTGCTGCTAGGGTGGGGCTCCGCATAGAGGTATTGCGTGAGCGTCGATACCACGGCGTGTCCTCTGTAGGTACCTACGTGACGGTCCGACCATTGGGCCGCGAGAAGTACGTACAAGCGACAGTTGATCAAGCCGGGAACGGTCGCCGACGGGGCGCGGATGGACCCACATGGTGTTTGTGTGCACGTGCATAGCGTCCGCTGGGGGGCGGCGGTGGCTGGAGCGCAACTGCAGCAAGTGGGAAAGTGGTGAGACACGGAAAGGCGATGAGACAGCGAGATGTGCGAGTGGGCTGGCGATGGGGATGGCCGTGGGGCAGTGTGAGAGCTGGGCAGGGGGATGGACAGTTGGCCATTGTGGGCCTATCCGGTGAACGCACGCGCGCGCGTGGTGCTGCGAAGCACGACACCATGTGCTGCCCACAATCTCAATATCTCCCCTGCCCCAGCCCAGACGCCCCCTTGCCATCCTCCCTTCTTCCATCGTCGTCGCTGCAGTCGCAGTGCCGCTCAGGTAAACAAGGGTGAGTTTGTCGTCGCCGTCGTCCTCGACGTGTACAGCCTGACTCACACCGCCCTTCGCCCGCGCTTCCGCCCTAGCTTTGCCTTCTGCTGCAATCTGCCTGCCTATCGGTGCCCCCAGGCTTGCCCCAGCTCCTCGACGCCGCAGGTCGTCGTTCTGCTTGCCTGCTCGCATCCTGCTCGACGCGAGAGAGCCGCCCTCCCTTGCTGCATGTCCCCACGAGCTCCGTAGTGTCCTGAGGTCTCATCATCTCGCCCATTCTCTCGAGAACGGAGTGTAGAACAGACCCCATCTCGCTAGCTTCCCTCCTTGCTCATGTTGCAGTATCCCGTCCAGCTTCCCCCGCTTTCTCTTACGTCCTCCAAGCGAACGCCCCTCATCCGCAGGGACCCAAGTGACGACTTTCAGAATGGATCTCTGACCCACAAGCGCGCCTTCAACGACAAGCTTGTGCCTTCCCGTCCCTCCCATCATGTAGTTCCTATTCACGTTTCCACTGCTTTCTCGACCACTTCCTCCCCCTCATCAACTCCCCCCTCCTCCCCCTCGCCCAATCCCCGCACATCCTCAAAGCAGATTCCCCGTTCCCCCTTGGTTTCTTCGTCGCGTCCGCTGCCCAGCCCGGTCTCTCGCTCGCCACACCCTCTCAAGTCCAACTTGTCCTTCTTCGACAACAAGTCTTATGGCTCCTCGACCTCGTCCGTCGTCGTGGACGTTCTCTCGCAAGGCGACTTGGTCGGGGAAGGCATCTCCCTCCAGGGTGAGACCATCGTGCGGGTCCCCATCAGCTCATCTGAACCGCGGGCCGACTATGATGAACCGGCGAAGGAGTTTGAGGTAGTCCGCACTCTTGGTACTGGAAGCTACGCTGTCGTGTATCTCGTACGTGAGGTCCTGTCGCGCCCTTGTTCTCCTCCCTCGGATGATGAACATGGCGTTGCTGTTGCTGGGAGCATGGAGATGGATGATGGCTATTTTGCTCGCCACCATGCTGTTGAGTATGGCCGCGAATACGCTATCAAGGTGTTGTCCAAGGCCAACCTTGACCGGGATGCTCTGGACGCACAGCTGTTCGAGGTATGCTTCATTTGTGTGGCCATATGCGTCTTTTCTAACATTTTTCTGTACAGGCCACAATTCATCAGTCCCTCCCAGCACACCCCAACATCGTCACCTTGCATCGCACGCTCGAGACTCCTTCCTTTTTGCTTCTTCTTCTCGAGTTTGTGCCAGGTGAAGATCTCTTCTACTTCTTGGAACAGGCCCGCGACCATTACGAAGTCGACCCTTTGGCCTTGGACCTCTCGACGACTCCGCCTTCAGACTCGAGTTGCAGCACTTCCCGCACGCCCTCGAGCCCGAGTCTGCTCTCGTCTCTTGCCCCGTCGCAGCTTCTTTCCCGCACTCGCCTGCACCTCATCGCGTCCATGTTCTCCCAGATGTGCGATGCTGTGGCGACGTGCCACGATCACTCTGTCTTCCACCGGGATATCAAGCCGGAGAACTTCATCGTGACAGACGGGTGGACGTCCCTTCCCGACGGACGGCGCGAGCGCAAGGTTGTTGTCAAGCTTTCTGATTTTGGACTATCCACCACGGATACCGATTCCGCCGACATGGATTGCGGTAGCGCTCCTTACATGAGTTTCGGTACGTCGATCGCTGCGCTGTCATCACTCCTCGTGTGCTCATACCGATCTCTTATGAAGAATGCCGAAATAACCTACACCCTACTTATTCACCTCGTGCTGCCGACGTCTGGTCACTTGGTATCGTGCTTATCAATATGTACGTCGCATCTCATCGTGGTGCTGTGATCTCTCTGACATGAATGGAACCGAAGGTTGTACCACTATAACCCTTGGACGGATGCTGCCGAGGGTGTCTGTCCGTCCTTCAAGGTGTTCCGTCAGTCGCCGGTGCAGTTCTTCATGTCTCGGTTCGCTGGCATGACATACCCTGTCGCCGACTTCCTCGCGACGAACGTCTTCTGTCTCCTCGACGGACCACGCGACAACGGAAAGCGTATCAGCGCACGTGCGTTTGGCATGTGGGTGCGCGACCTGCCCACGCTCCTGGGCGGTGAGAGGCACGGCCATGCACGGACAGTCTCCATCTCCTCCGTCCACGGCCATCGCCTTGCGTCGTTCCCTCATTCGCGCCGCCCGTCGCTCAGGAGTGCCACGCCCATTGACATGTCGTCTCACCGTGCGTCTCGGAACATGTCTCGGGCGCCCTCACTCGTCCCTGTTGCAGCCGAGACCTCCATGCTCTCCACAGTCCAGGACCAGGAGAACGAGGAGCTGGAGCTGGACGATCAGGACCCCTTGGGGCGGACAGCTAGTGGTGCAGCAAGCTCGCGCTCGGCGTCTACGCAGAAGCGTCGCAAACGTGGTGCGCGCAAGGGCAAGGGCGCTGCACTGTCGTCTGGGGCTACTCAGGATGCCACCCTCAACACGCTTGCGGAGGCGTCGCAGTCGCTGGCGCGCGAGATCAGCCGCACGTCCCGCCATTCGCAGGGCGTGTCTGTGTCTGGCAGACACCGCACTCCCGATGTCACCGCACCCGCCATCCTCCCGCACGTCCTTGTGCCTCCCTACCCGCTGTCGTCATCTGCTATGGCGTCCACGACTTCCGTCTCGGCCTCTACGATCTCGAAGAAGCCGTCGAAGTGGAAGCTCTCCTTCGGCAAGGCCAGCAGCGCTGGTATCAAGGTCCCGTCCGTCGAGGAGACGCCCTCGGAAGCTGGCAGCGGCAGCGCTCCCAATACAGCTGGCAAGCCGATGTCGTCCACAGCCAGCAACGTCACCAACTTGCTTATGAGCCTCAACGCGCCTCTCACGCCGTCGTCTACCTCGAGGCCCGAGTTGGGGGAGATGGGTAACTTCAGCAACCGCGGTCGTCGCACGAAGAACCACCCGTATGGCCAGAACGCGGGTAACAGCAGCACGTGGGGCCCGTCCTCGAGCTCTGTGTTCTCTGCGAACAGCGCCAACGAGCGCCGTGGTGCGAACGGTGCTGACCAAAAGTCGCAGCGCGCGGTCTCGCCTGTGAGCAAGCGCGGCGTCTCGCCCACGAGCACGCGCAGCGGACGGCCCGTCGCGTCCAGCGCGAGCTCGATGGCGTCATCCAACTGGCGGAGCTCGATGTCTAGCGCGAATACGTCGGCGTCGACGTTTACGAAGTATAGCAACGGCAGCACGCGCAGCGTGGCGACGGCGGCGACGAGCCTGTCGTCCGGCAGCTGGCGCAGCAACTACACCGGCGCGAGCAAGTACTCCTCGGCCAGCGACAACAGATCGGTCGCGCTCTCCGAGCGGCCGGCCGGCATGCCTGCGAACATCAAGTGTGAGTATGAGCTAGTCGGTATGCTTTTCGAGTGAGGCTGACGTTCATTCATAGTCGTCAATGGCACGCCTTGGGAGATCGACCAGATGCCTCCTCACATGCCCCGCAATCCCGGCAACGAAATGAGAATAGGTTTGGTGGGCCCCCGCAGCGCAAGCCCCGTCGCGCGAAGCCGACCGATTCGGGCCTGGACACCATCAGCGAGCGTCCGCACTACAAGCCAACCAACCCGAGGTCGGATGCAGCGACGAGCACGACGGATCTCTCTGGGCAGCGTGAGCGCTACGATGGGGAGGGAAGCGCCGAAGGCGAGCATGACGGTCCACGCAAGGTGCAGAAGGGCCAGATCAACGCGCTGGCGAAGATGTTGTCGGCGCTGCGGCGGTGAACGGCATGGTGACAAGCCCACGCTGTGGTGTGGGTGCTCTTGCGACCTCGACGGTTTGGCAGACGTGCGCGCGCAGCGCTGCGTTGTACTCAGTACGTATCACGGAGACGGAATGTAGGCTATTCTGGAAAATCGTCAAGACACATCCCCGGTATTCTTAACACACAACTCATGTATCGCTCCTTAGCTAATTTGCACCTCCCACTCCTGCCGCGCCATGGTTGATTCCCATGATGGACAGTACACCCCTTTGAGCTTTAGATGGCGACACATAGCGTAGCGCATCTTTTCCCGTCAGCAGTGTTTGACCTGTACGATATCCTCGTCGTCGAAATACATGCACTGGGGATTAGTAAAACTATTGCAGTCCGACCGTTGTTGCGTGTGAGAGACTGTACGATTCCGAAAGAAATGCTATGTATCGATACAGGCCCTGTGGGATCGGCCGGATGCTGGTGAGGTGTGGTACACTAAATACACGGTAGAGATACACAGTGTCATCCTGGGTGTCTTTCTGGGTGTTCCTGTGAAGACTGGTGGAAATCGGCGAATGCCATGTTCTGCTCCAGCGTGGGGGCCGCGGAGGCTCGGGAGACAGTGTTGCAGTGTCGATAAGGATGGTGGACGGCTCCGCTGGGTGCAGCGCTCTCCGTGGCAGGGGTGGAAGGTCGCGAGGGCCCGCCCATGTCAAGGTCCGTGTCGCTGTCAGACGAAAGGCTGCTCGACGACTCGGGGGCGGGTATGTAATAGATGCCTTTGCTGTGGGTGCGGACGAGGTTGACGTAGTATTCTTGGAGGACTTCACGAGTGCACTGGGGGAACCAGTGTACAGTTCAGTCCTAATGAGCAAACGTTGGCACAGAGAGTGACGCGGAGGGCGATCAATGTGCGGGGAGAAGACACTGACCGTGAGCTGCCAGTCGATCATGCGAAGGAACTCCCTTTCGAGCATGTTGAGTTCGTCCACCGGGATGCCGCCTACCTTCGCGTAAACGCTGTTCGTACAGAACACATCGCAGAAGGTCTTGCTGGCGATAGTGATGGCAGCGATGACGAATCGGTGGCAAGTCAATGAGGACAGGGTGAACAGCGGCGTGCGGGCGCATATCTGGTCGATGTAATGCAGGGTTATAAGGAGGCAGACACGCTGAGCAGTTGAAGATGTGAGGGTTCGCATGACTGAGGCAAATGACACCCGACGTACCTCGACTCTGGTGAATCTCACTATGCGTCTGAAGTAGTCTAATACGGATATTCCAGGTGCAGAACGCGAATGGAACCTGGTGAGGGCCTCCCTGTCCGAGAAGCTATGATCGGTGACGCATCGCTGGGTTGGCTCGCGGACAACGTACGGCGACAATGGGATCCTGTCGTTGTGGGCCATCAACCGCTCCATCATGTCGGCTGCAGTAGAATTGAGAGAACAGTATTTCGCGAAGATTGTTGCGCATACCTATGAGATCTACGAGTACATCGGCCTCTACATCCTCGAACACAGCGGGCACTTCGACCCTCTGAGGAGCTTCCTCCATGCACCCATCGCCGTGCACCCGAGTCCGGCGATGAGAGGCGTTGTGAGCAGAGGAGGAGCTGCGACACAGGCGGTGAACAGGCGACCGACTCGGACGGTCGAGCGTGGACCTACAGACTGCCGAATGAGGAAGCTAGGAGTCTGGGTAGCGGGAGCATCGGCTCCTGCCGCCTCTGTACAGCTCTTTGATGGGCGCCCAAACCTTGAATTCCCGCGTACACGAGACTACACACTGTGGCGCTCGCTGCTCATCCATCGGTCTGTCTCCGCCCACGCAACTCCCCTCCATCCGCCATGGCCCCCAAGTTCGTGAGTGCGCCGACGCCGTCTTCGCCGTGCTGCGCGCTGACCTGCAAATAGGACCCCAATGAAATCAAGATCATCTACCTGCGGGCAACCGGTGGTGAGGTCGGAGCCTCCTCAGCCCTTGCACCCAAGATTGGTCCTCTTGGTCTGTACGTGACGTGCACCGTGTCGAAGACGCTTCTCACTGTCGTAATCTTAGTCTCCCAAAAAGGTCGGTGAAGATATCGCAAAGGCGACCGGCGCATGGAAGGGTCTCCGGGTGACCGTCCAACTTACTATCCAAAACCGTCAAGCGAAGGTCGACGTCGTCCCTTCTGCTTCCTCGCTCGTCATCAAGGCTCTCAAGGGTGGTACAATGCTGCCTTCAACTCCTGACGTTGACCGACCGGAACTGTGTAGAGCCCCCACGGGACCGTAAGAAGGAGAAGAATATCAAACACTCCGGCAACATTGCGTTCGACGAGATCGTCGACATTGCACGGACCATGCGGTCAAAGTCTCTGGCCAAGACGCTGGCCAACGGTTGCAAGGAGATCCTTGGAACCGCGCAGTCGGTTGGGTGCACCATCGACGGCAAGCCACCACATGACGTTATCGAGGCGATTGACGCAGGCGAGATCGAGGTTCCAGACGAGTAATTGTATGATCTGCTTCTCACTATTTCACGCTGCTTGTATGATGCACTCTGCGCTGGATCGACTCGTCCCGAGCGACCGGTGTTCGCACCTCCGCACTATCATGGGGTCCTAGGGGAAGACACTGTCAATATGCATTCGCTTCCATGTACACTGCATGTCCAATGACGCCGAAGCTTATGCTATGGGCCTCTTGCAAGTATTGTCTCTGGGATGCCAGCCGTCACCAGTTCGCTGTGTACAACAGCGATCGAATCACTGATGTGCATCAATAACGCCGCAAAAACAATGCACTACCGAAAGTGATCAGTGTCTTGGGCAACAGATTCTTACGCAGACCGCACATTGTATATAGCTGGTCGTTGATTGAGGTGACGTGCAGCTCTGCCCTGTGTTCATCAGGATGGCTGAAAGCAAGTGTAGGTGGTCATTGGTAGGTAAAGTAATACGAATCCGCGCAGTCCAGTGAATTGTTCTAATTGCTTCCAAGGAACTCGCCCTGCGTACGCGGGACAGACTCTGACCATTACTGACGAGTACATAGCTGCGATTCGCTGCATGTCCGACACTACCGAGGTCTCACTTACTACCCTTTACTACCATACTGTGACGTTAAAGAGCACGTCCGAGTCTGATATCTATCCTTCTGCTTATTTAATTCTTCTCTCAAAGCTTCGTAAAGCCTCCCGGCATATGCGGGAAAGCAGGTGCTCCGAAGGGGCGAGGACCATATGCCGTCCATGTAGAAGACCTCCAGGCAAAGGGACGCCTCCTGGTCCCACACTATCTGACATGGTACCGCCGACGCTCCCGTTGAGCGGTTGTGTCGACGTGTCCCGCGATGCGACTTGGGCAGTGAGCACATCATGCAGCTTATGACCGTGCCTCTTCAGTACATGAGTGGACGTATTCGTAGTGAACACACACACCTGCATGCGCACACCGTGTATGCCCGCCCGCATACTCCGCAGCTCCTCGCCAGTGTACAGCGCGTCCTGCGCACGCGTAGTCGCTAAAGCACCGAGCGCACCCGCGAGCGAGGCGATAGAGCCGTGTAGGGACGCAAGCGTATTCGGGAGAGGCACGCTCGGGTCGAGCGGCGGGATGGAGATCACTCCCGGGTCAGGATGCGGCGGCGCAGAGACGGAGGGGTACGCCGCAGGACTGAACGTGTGCGGCGGGTAAGGGTGGCTCAGGCCACCCGAGGCGATTGAGACTGCGAAAAGGAATGCGCTGCGTGCCTGAGAGATGCGGGCGGTGGGTCGCCGAAGGGTAAGAAGGATCGCGAGATTGACTGGGGCCTGCTCCCGGAGTTTGTGTGCGCGGATGAAGTCGGGCGAATAGACGTCTTCATCCTCTGCAGGAGGGAAGTAAGATGAAAGATCGCTACGGGCTGCAAGCTCGGAGGTTGTGGGGATGACTGGTGAAGTCGCCTGAGGAGGTGCGGATGGAGATGTGGCTGATGCGTTCTCGTCTCGGATTGATGACATGGCCGACGGGTCGACACTAAGAGGCGTGGAGGACGTAGGGTCCCCGGCGGTGCGACCCTGGTGCTGAAGGGTGCTACCCCATCCACGTCGTTGATCGCTATCCTCAACGCTGTACCATGGACCCAGAGCACGTCGGACAGTCTGTAGTTCGAATCGTAACGTGTTCACGACGCCTTCGACGGCCGAGAGTCGGAGACGGAGTCTGGCATTCTCCGCCTCGATAGCTTCGTGAGACGAACTTGTGTCCTTTCGAGATGCTAGAGAAACGCCATCGGATATCGACGCATTGTCAACTAGGCCGGCTCCTGATGACTCCACTGAATTCTGAGAGGATCCCTGGGTGGCGAAGTCTGCTTCAGAAGCTCGCCCCGCGTCCCCTGTTGCCGAGCTGTCCTGGGCATGTGTGTGCGATGCGAGATCCCTACGGAGTATCCCTTTGCTGCACTTGCCATCAGGACACGGTACCTCAACGTACTTGCAGGAGTCTTTCAAATGCACGGGGAGTAGCATTCGCTGGCATGTGTGGGAACATCCCTCGTCCTTATGCGGGCACTCCACGACGAGCTCATCCACGAGCTGTATGCATTGATTAGCTGCAGCATAAAAGAAATGATTAAACTGGTGTGTACGTTACGGATTAAGGGATCGGCTGGAGCAAGGTCGCGGATGCTGAGGGAGCAGCGATCTACGGGACACTGGGCGGATATGGCAATCGCCCGAGCTATGCATTCGTAGCAAAAGGTATGGCAGCATGTCCGAGTGGTGCACGGGTCAACGAATGCCGACCTTCGCTCACGTCAACGTCTGGATCTGCGAACAGTGAGATGGCACACACCGACAGATGCAGCAAACCTGTCAACAGGTGAGCTGTTATCTTGCAATACGCATCGGCCCACGCACCAAATTCTGATTTGGCGTGTCAACGTAATTATACGCAGACATGACTATGATTCGTTCAGAAGTCGTGCGGCCGATACAGTGTTGTCTCCTAACCGGCTGAAGCCTGAGCACAAAGACTACGGTACTAAGCAGTCAGTACTAACCAGCTGCGGTGATGCTTAGATGAGTATGATATCCATCAACCCGGTTGTGATCCTGTCAGGAGTGACCAGTTCTTCGTAGTACTTGGAATGCGTGGGCGTTGTTGGTCAGAGTGCAAGTCAGAGTCCGAAACAGTCGGGCGGCGGTCGGGGAGCGCTGATCGCGATCACGTGGAAGTAATTATGTACGGGCGTCTGGTTTGCTATCCACGATCGCCTGACGATCGCTTCAGGGCTCGAGTCAACTTTTGGTCAGACTCAGATCATCACACTTTCTGTGCTAAACACTCATCTCAAGGGAGCTTCTCCGTATTTCCTTGACCCAGAAGGTGGGAGAGGTCGATCAGAAATCATGCCTTTTCCTCCGCACGACCGTAAGTATCGATCACTGTGTCTTACGACCTGAACAATGATCATTATGTTTTCCGAAAGTGACTGCACCGTTCAATTTCGCCAAGGAGGAGGAGAAGGTCTTGGAATATTGGAGAGAGATTGACGCATTTCAGACGAGCTTGAAGCTTTCCGAAGGGAGACCGGAATACTCTTTCTACGATGGTCCACCATTTGCAACTGGCTTGCCACACTACGGTCATCTGCTTGCCGGTACGATCAAGGTACGTTTCACGAGGTCGTGTCTGCACCATTGCTTTTACCACGACCCAAAACATAAACAAACCACTTCTACACAACGCATCTACATCGCGCCAGTCCGTACACGCTTATTTATTCGACCCCCGCTTTCTCATTCATCACCGCCTCCTTCTTCGACTTCTACTCGGAATTGTTACTCATTGATGCTGTAGGACATCGTTACGCGGCATGCCCACGCAAATGGCTACCATGTAAGTCGGCGCTTTGGCTGGGATACACACGGATTGCCCGTCGAGCACGAGATCGACAAGAAACTCGGTATCACCGGACGCGAAGACGTGATGAAGATGGGCATCGCCGCATATAATGCTGAATGCCGCTCCATTGTCATGCGATATGCCGGGGAATGGCGCCGCACGGTCGAGCGAATGGGCCGCTGGATCGACTTCGACAACGACTACAAGACGCTAACACTAGTTTCATGGAAGGTCTGGTGGGCATTCAGTGAGCTATACAAGAAGGGGATGGTGTACCGGGATTAAAGGTCATGCCTTACTCGACTGGCTGCCTGACGCCTCTGTCCAATTTGAGGCTGGTCAAAATTACAAAGACGTCAGCGATCCTGCCGGTACGTGCCAATCCGATTCTGCCTGCTGTGCATCCGTTATGATCATCAGTCACCGTGGCATTTCCACTGGTAACGACCGCAAGACTTCTCTTCTAGCTGGACAACTACGCCTTGGACACTCCCTCCAACCTCGCCCTTTGCGTGCACCCTGACTTCACCTACGTCAAAATCTATGACGAAGAGCGCGACCAGAATTTCATCCTCCACGAAAATCTCTTACTACCTTGTACAAGGACCCGAAGAAAGCCAAATTCAAGAAGCTTGGCACATTCAAGGGTGTGGATATGAAAAATTGGAGATATATCCGCTCTTTGAATACTTCACTGAGCAGGTATGTCGTGCCATTTATCATGCTCAACATCGTATTGACAACGAGCAGTACGAGGACCGCGCTTTCCGCGTCGTCAATGACACCTACGTCACGAGCGCAGACGGTACAGGTATCGTCCATCAGGCACCCGCCTTCGGTGAAGACGATCACCGCGTCGCGCTTGCCAATGGCATCCTCAGCGCCGAGGAGATGCCCCCTGCCCGATGACGACTCGGGCCGCTTCACCGAGCAGGTTCCCGACTTCGTCGGCCAGAACGTCAAGGTGCGGATAAGGACATCCAGAAGGTGCTAAGCAGAAGGGCCGCCTGATCGTCCAGTCAACGTTGAAGCACTCGTATCCGTTCTGCTGGCGCTCGGGCACTCCATGATTTACCGCGCCATCCCGGTGTGGAACGTTCGTGTGACCCCGATTGTCGACCAGCTCGTTGCGAACAAAAGCAGACGCGATGGTGAGTTGCTAGAATGGTGGTGTAGCAATGGATAGCTGATCAGAGGCCGCCCCAGGGTACCACAAAACGTTGGTGACAACAGATTCGGCAACTGGCTGGCGAACGCGCGAGACTGGAACATCTCGCGGAATCGTTACTGGGGTACTCCCATCCCGCTGTGGGCTAGCGAAGACTTGGAGGAAGTGAGTGTTTGATTTCGCTCCGCGATGCAAGCATGCTGACTGTGTCATCGCAGATAGTATGCGTTGGCTCCATAGAGGAGCTCGAGAAGTTGTCCGGTGTAACGGGCATCACCGATATACACCGGGACAAGATCGACCACATCACCATCCCCTCAAAACAGGGCAAGGGCCAACTCAAGCGTGTCGAGGAGGTTTTGACTGCTGGTTCGAGTCCGGAAGGTATGTCTACTCCAATAGCTATGATTGCTATTACTCATACGTTCGGTTTCCTTCAGCATGCCCTACGCACAGATCCACTATCCCTTCGAGAACAAGGACAAGCTCCAGAACACCTTCCCGGCCGACTTCGTGTCGGAAGGTATCGATCAGACACGAGGTTGGTTCTATACACTCCTGGTACTGTCGACACATCTGTTTGGCACTGCACCCTGGAAGAACCTCATTGTTCATGGTCTCGTTCTCGCTGCGTAAGTTTTATTCCGCTTCTTCGCCACTCCCTTGACTCACTGTGTTCGGCGGTAGCGATGGGAAGAAGATGAGCAAGAGTCTGAAGAACTACCCCGACCCCAATCTCATCATCAACCAGTACGGTGCAGATGCCACACGGTAACTGTTAATTACTGCACGTTCTCTTCATTCAAAACTAACCAAAGACGAATCCAGCATGTTCCTTGTAAATTCGCCTGTGGTGCGCGGCGACAACCTCCGCTTCCGTGAGGAGGGTGTCCGCGAAGTGATCTCCCGCGTCCTTCTCCCCTGGCTTAACTCACAACGCTTCTTCCTCGGGCAAGCCGCATTGCTCAAGAAGACCTTCGACCGCGACCTCCGGTATGATGCGCACGCGCCCGTCTCATCCAACGTCATGGACCGCTGGATCCTCGCTCGTTGCCAGTCGCTCATCAAACTCGTGCGTGAGGAGATGGCCGCCTACCGGCTCTACACCATCCTCCCGCGATTGCTCGACCTTGTTGATGAACTGACCAACTGGTACATCCGTTTCAACCGGAAACGGTTAAAGGGCGAGGACGGAGAGGATGATACGGTGGCAGCCCTCAATACCCTCTTTGAGACCCTCTTCACGCTCTGCCGTACAATGGTATGATCTCCGTGTCTTTGATAGCACCGTACTGACCATAAGTACACACAGTCATCTTACACTCCATTCGTGACCGAGAACCTCTACCAAGCATTACGACCGTTCATCCCCGAGGACCCCAGTGCAGACGTCCGCTCCATCCACTTCCTCGCCTTCCCGGAGGTGAAGGAGGAGTACTTCGACGCTGTCATCGAGCGACAAGTCAAGCGCATGCAGTCCGTTATCGAGCTCACTCGCAACGTCCGCGAGCGGCATAACCTCTCGCTGAAGGTACACGTCTCGAACCATCCATTCTTGTGCCGAACTGACAAGGCCTGCTAGACCCCTCTACGCGAGTTGCTCGTCTTCCATTCAGACGAGGAGTACCTGGATGACGCGCGTAGCCTCCAGCGCTACATCGAGTCGGAGCTCAACGTCCGGAACGTGGTCTTCACATCGGATGAGCACGTCGCCGGCGTGCGCTACCGCGCGGTCGCAGACTGGGCCACCCTCGGCAAGAAGCTGCGGAAGGACTTGGGGCGGGTAAAGAATGCCCTCCCTAAAGTCGCCAGCGACGATGTCCGGTCGTACGTCCAGACGGGCAAGATCGTTGTAGACGGTATCCAGCTCGTCGAGGGCGACTTGACAGTACAACGCTACATCGACCTCCCGGAGCCGGTGGAAGGCCAAGCACAGTACGCGACGCATACCGACAACGACGTCGTGATCCGACTCGACGTTCAAGTGCATGCGGAGCTGCAAAACGAGTGGTTGACGCGCGAGCTCACCAACCGCATCCAGAAGATGCGTAAGCGCGCGGGGCTGCAGGCGACGGATGATGTCGATGTCTTCTACGCCTTCGAGGAGGGCACAGGGGCAGAGCTGTTGGAGGCCATGCGGGAGTACGCGGATACCATCCAGAAGACCGTGAGGAGCGTGCCGGTCGACGTGAGCAAAAGGAAGCCGACGCAGAAGGTGCTGATCGAGGAGGAGCAAGAGGTCGCGGATATCAAGTTCGTGCTGTCATTGGCGTGGCCTTGAGATATTTGGTTAGCGTAGGAAGAACGAAGAAGAGAGAAACTGTAGTACATCCTGTGCATCTAGAAATACAATCTGCTTTCGCGCTATGCTTACAGTTGTCGGGGTGGTCATTTCTTGGACGTGCCGAACCCGCTGAAGCCCATCATTTGCATCATCCCGCTTTCGTCGCCGGTCGCATCCTTGACAAGTTCCACGCGTGCTCTCTCCCGCAGCGCCTTCTTGGCCGCTTTCTTCTCTGCTCGTAGGGCGGCTTCGCGTTCGCGAACCTCAGTCAATCTCTTTTCGAAGTCAAAGGACTTCGCGGACGACGCCTCCTTGGTCTTCTCCCGCAAGTAGGCAATACGCGCGCGGACTTGCTCGACTGTCGACCGTTCAATGCGTGTTGTCTGACCCAGAGCGCGCAAATCTACGATGCCATCGGTTCAGTGGAAAGTAAATTATAGTCCCTAGAATAACGACACGTACGTGCACGACCATTGAGATGGTCCAGGTAGCCTGTGCTGTCCTTGTATGTACGATTGCATGCCTCACAGTAGAAGCCAGGAACTCCCGGGCCACGCGTGCCGGCATTCTGCACGACCATGGTCTTATTCAGGTTCTTCTCCAGCTCGAGCGAGCCCTCCCGACGCTTCATGAGCTCGGTAGGCCTGGGCAGGTCGTCCCGCTTGCCCTTGCGCGGTTTCTTGCCTGGACGATGCTTTTTAGTGAGGCGGGACGGCTGTGCACACAGCGCAATCACGCACCCTGCTTGAGCCGCTCCTCATTCTCCTGCATACGCTCCTTCTCCTCCTGGTCTCGCTGGCGGGCCTTCTCCGTGTACTCCTCCTTGTCCCATTTCTTGCGGAAGTCGGTGTCATTGGCGCGAGAGCCGTACGCTCCTCCTTTGCTAGCCATCGCTGCAATTGTTTCCGTTGCAAATAAACGAACGATACGCACGGACCGTCAGCTTCAGTGAGGTTGTACGGGGATGCCAGTGTGTTTCGGACTCGTAGGTCAGTACGTCGTGCCATGGCGGGCGCTTTTTTCAGCTTTCATCCAAATATGGCAAGTGCTGTAGTTCCGTAACATCACGCAGGATCTCAGGCGCGAGCAATTCTGACTCTGAAACCACGCATCAAATTGTACACCAGGCGAATACAAATCATTCTCCTCGACACATCTCCTCGGTCTCCCAACCCATACCCTATCTCATCCCGCCCTACCCAACTTGAATGAATCCGTAACGAAGCCAATCCTTGTCCTCCTGCCCAAAGAACTTCTCCCCAGTCAGCCTGATTCCAAAGACGGCATGGAAGAAACTTACTAGGGTTATATGGCGCAGCGAGCGAGTCTCGAACCGATACAGCTGATGAGCGCGTCGCCCGGAACGTCGTTGATAGACGTCCCGGTCGACTGTCACGGAGCATGATTTCACTGAACGAGACGTGGATAGAATCCTCGCGAGCCTCTAGCGTGCTTCGGGTGCCGAGCTGGCGCGACTTGGACGTGTGCGGACCAACGTCCGAGCTGAGCCTGCACGCGGCTCGTTGATCGAAGCTAGGCTTGAGCTTGAGACTTGGTGACGAGCGAGGACGGACGACGGCGAGTGGACGGCGGTAGTGTTGCTGGTCCAATCCGGCGCAACGCGCAGCGTGAGAGGAGGAGCACCGCCGAGAGAGCATATTATCCACTACTAGAGGTCGTCCTGAATAGCTGCGCAGATATACCATAGGGGGCTTGGACGAGAAAGGCATCGAAGATCCGGAGGGTAGCAGCGGGGGGACGAGGATTGAACCAGGGAAGGAAACCAGAGAAATACGACCGAGCTTGACCAAAATGGCTTGTAGACGACCCAGAGACAGTGAAGAGCCGTTCGCAGAGTGGAGCATTTTCAAATTCTTGCAGACTTGACTTGCAAGGAGTGTGAGGGGACGCAGGAAGTGATGATGAATGGACTAACGGATAGACAGATACCGGAGTTCTTGCAGATTGAGGCGAAGAGGCGAGGCAGGAAATGGTTGGTAGAGGAGCTGGGAATGTTCTTGCGATCCAGACTAGACAGAGGCAGCCATGCGTGAAGATAGAAATTGAAACCGAGACCGAAACCAGACTAGAATGGCGTAAATGTTATACTGACGCGACATCAATCTGCGAAGACGTACCATGCAAGGATTGGGGAAGTGGAGAGACCTCTTAAAAGGGCACAGAGGAGTTAATACCCTCTCCAGCCCATGTGGCAGCTGCGACGAAGGAATCCTCCTCACTAGGGAAAAGTTGAACACATGCCACACAAGGATTATCGGAAGACACGTACACTTCGAAGTCGCTGTCGGAGTCAGAAGAGCGAAGGGCAGCGTCGAAGCTAAGTATCGGCGCGGCCGACCTGTATGAGCACCCAACGCCAAACAGGTCAAGTCCAGAAACACGCACCTCAGGTGCTTGTCCCTGCCTTCACGCTTGTGCTGCTCTTGCTCGACTGGCTCTTGCTCGTCGTCCGTGTCGTCAGCCTCCTTCTCGAACCCACCGTCCAGCCACCACGCGAACAGGGCGGGGACGGGGAGCACGATGATGGGGTAGAACTTGTGCTGAGGCGCACCGAGGAACTCGCGGAAGGCCTCCAAGCACGCGAAGACGAACGAGAACAAGCCAGATCCAGTGTCTTGCTTGCCGCCCTCCTCGGGAACAAAGGAGTCGACGGGGGCCGTAGGGCACGGCACCGCAGAACGGAGCTCAGGAGAGGCCGAAGAAGGCGAGGGGCCGTAGACGATGGTGGGCTCCGATACGGCGGTGGAGGTGGGGAGAACGAACGAGCCAGTGGCCGAGGCGACGTACTCTGCGCCGATGAAGCACCTTGCCGTCGTGGTAGTCTCGCTGACCGCGGTGGCTGACGAAGTGATCAACGACTCGGGCTCCGATGTGTGGGACTCCGTGGGCGAGTCCGTAGAGGACGCAGTACCGACAGTAGAGCTCGAAGGGGCTGACGGAAGGACACGGAAGTCGACGTCAATGTAGCACCGGAGACGAGGGTCGGTCGCGTTCAGGTAGGATGCACCATTCAGGTCGTCAGCAGAGTCCAGCGCAAGACCAAGGCCAGAACCAGAGAGACCAGATGGCGTGTAGTCGTCCTCGACGAACCAGTCAAGGGAACTGATGTTGTAGGGAGCGTCGCCAGGCCAGAGGGTGGAGGTCCCGTTGGAGACGTACCAGTCCAGGTATTCGCCCGCGGTGTACTCGCCTTCGCCGAAGATCGTGTGCAGTTCGAGCGACGAGCCGGGCGGCGTTGGTGGCCCATAGTCCCACACAGAGAGTGAAAGCATGGGAAGCTGGAAGGACTGCAACGCCACGTCCATGGCATTCTGCACCTTGCCAAGCCCATCGAGGATGACGTCCTTGCCGTTGAAGGCAGCGTAGATCAAGACCAAGGCAGCGAAGAAGAAGGAGGATACGATCGGCATGATGGCAGTGAACTAGTTGGCGATGGTAGAATAGGACTGTAGTGCTTTCCGGAGGCGGGATGGCGGGGGTTCAAACGTTCACTGGAGAAGGCTGGATAGCGTTGAGAACGGTTTATATCCTGCTGGCCCGGAGCGAGGGCTGACATTGTCAGCCGTCCGCCGAACGGTAAGATAGAGCTTGGAGAGAGCCCAGGTGGGCGGGAGGCTGACGAGGCCAGCCCCAGCGCTGGCTTTCCTCCGGGATGCTGCTGGTCGTTATCAGAGGCCGACCCATCCGCCTCAACGGAGCCACAGCCAAAAGACGATCTCAGATCGAGATCCACGCAAGATCAGGGCTTCGGTATGGATTGCACGCATTTCAATCGCGTTGAATTGAGCATGAGCACTTAGAATGGGTAACGAAGGACGGAGGAACGTTCTGTCATAGGTGTCACTGTTCATCAGGAAATCGCATTCGTGTCGCCCAATAGTCTACATAGTACATAGTATCCAGAGCGAACCTCGGAAAAGGGACAAGATACAAGACAAGTGTGCATCTGACTTGGAGCCCACTACGATGCAATGAGTCCTTCACTACAGTTGCCGGGTACTCCCTACGGGACCGCTCAACGCCATTACGGCGCCGCAACCCGGTGAGCGTCGGCATCTGGAACATCCTCCGGCGCACCCAAGATTGCCATGAACCTCGCATAAGTGATCTCCTCATCCCTCTGCTCTTCGAGCTTTGTAATCTCTTCCACATCAAGGTCATCTCCCATCCGCGCCTCCTCGTGCAGCCGCAGGATGAGTACGGCCCAGGTCTCCACCTTGCCAAAATGCTTGTAGAGAGTCCATACCCAGCTCTTGGGGGCTATGAGCGGTTTGAACGCCGGATCGCAGTCGCGAAACGTCGCTCTGTATACGTCGAGGCTCGAGAGAAAGTTCTTCTTGTTGAAACCGATCTCCACCAGTGTCTCGCGCTCCCAACCGCTCAGGTGGCCGAACTTCCGTTTTCTCAGGTTGAGCACAGCGCAGACGTAAACAAGCACATAGAAGAAGGCCTCGAGGTCATGGCGATACAAATGAAACGGCGGCGGCCCGACGCGCAGCAAATCCACCGCCATAAACGGCCCCGTACCGGTGCGGTACCTTGGCTTCTTGGGCTCTGCGTCGGCCGTCGTTGTGGTGTCATCAGCCGATGTGTTCGACGCGGATACAGGTGGTTCTTCGGCGCCAGCACACTCGTGAGCGCGCGTCGTCGGAATGTTACCGTCGATGTTCTCCTCCGCGAGATCCCAGTCGCAAAGAACACCATACAGCTTGCCGTCGATGCGGATCCACATGATGTTGTTCGTGCTGATATCACGATGCAGAATGCGCGACGTCGTCCATACCCAATAGTGAGCTACAACTCTGGTCAGTCAAATGCAACAATTAGATACAACGATACTAGCACACACCTCGCACGACGTCAGTGTACACCTTCTTAAAATCTTCAACGGACTCGACCGCTTCGAGCCGTTGGTAGCACTGCATTACCAGCACCCGGCAGACGCGCTCGTCGGCCTCATCACGGTCGAGGCCCATCGCAGCCCGAGGCAGCTTCATCTCCTCGATCGTACGCGTCACGGAGCATTTGAGGTCCACGATGTGCGGTAGGTACTGCCGCTTCGCCTCGCTCAGCCTTTTACGCACCGCGATAATGAGGGAGTCCTCCGCCGAGCGCAGCGCATCTGGCCAGGATATCTTCGCTACGAGCTTGTCAGTCTTGAAGCATCTGTACGTGTTCGTCTTCGGCGTCGCTTTAATTGGGATGATGCTTGTGCCCCGACCCAGCGCTCCAAATTGTGTGTATATCCACCTCGTCTTGCCGTCGACGTCGACGTCGAATTCGAACGGCTCGGGCTCAGAGGCATCAGGCCGCCGCGCCGTTATACACAGCCGAGAGCCCTCGTACCGCTCAAACTCCGTCTCCTTCTGCTTGTTCTCCGGAAAATGCAGATCAGGGAAAATCCCCATACCGTGCACGTCCGCCTGGCCCATAGCCGCGATGCATCTCACGAAAAGCTCACGTTCATCGTGAAGGAACCTGAACTTCCTCGTCACTACGATACCCATGCGATCGCCGTAGTACAGGCACATGTTGGTGTCCTCGACCAGCCAGCCTATCCCGAACGACCGCACGTTGGACGACATCATGTGGTTCATGTATCGCACCGCTTGTGCCTCGTTGTGCGTCAGGTCGAACTCCTGAGGCCGCATAGGAGTGTCCTCCTTAGCCTGTGTGTCCTCGGCGGCAGGAGCGTCCAAGTCATCCAAGGGCGTACACCGTGCTCGCTTCGCCTTCGGCAGTTCGGTCCCGTCCTCTGCAGAAGTTCGTTTGCGTTTGCATGTCTCCGCGACACGATATGCGTCCGTATCGACCAGCTGTAGCTCCGTGCGACTCAGTACAGGGCCAGTCTTCGTCTTCTTGACCTCCAAGAAAGCGGCCTCGAAGTCCCATTGCGGCCACTTTCCACGAGTTAATTCCCCCGTGCTGAAGGTCATATCTACCCTCTCGTCCTTGTACTTCGTGTCGCGCCTCCTGAACCGCGCCGGTAACACGCGATGTTCGCCTTGCCGGTCGCTCTTTGCACCGTACATTTGGTCCAGCAGCCCGTTAGCTATCTTTGCCAGCGGAACGGAACACTTCTTCTCCCTCCGCTCCAGTATGTAACCACGCAGGGACACCTTGTCGAAGGAGGGCGGTGCGGAGCTTTCGCTAGGTCTTCCCGCGCTTGTGAATCGTCTCGGTGGCACATCCTCGCGTCCAAAGCCCCAGACAGCCTGGATAAACTTCGCTGGGTCGAAGTTCCACACGATTTTGTCGCGGTATTGCTCCTTGATCCAGTCCTCGTGCCTCCGCCACTGGATGCCGTTGTCGCTGCTGAGAACGCCGCCAGTGTGCACGCTCGACTCGGTAGGCATCGAGTGAGGCTTGCAGAGAGCTGATCTTGGTGTCAGCGTGCATTCGCCATGGCTTGCGGGTGTTCAACGTACCAGTTATGCGGAGTTCGCGCCCAGAAGGAGTGTCCCTCGGGGCTGGGCCCGTGGGCAACGAGGTAAAGGGAATCATAGCTGGATAGGCGTCAGAATCGTTATACGGCATCTTGGCCCAAGAAATAGAGAGGAATCAATGTGCGGGGACACTGTAGTCTCCCCGAGGCAGACCCTACAGAAATACCTCTTTGACGGAGGAGTATTTGGTCCTGGGACAAGTACTGAAGGGTGGAATGGTCAATGGACTCAGAGAACGGAGGGACGCGGCATGAACGGTAAATATTTCGTCTTTGGCCATGTTTACTACCTGGGCCACGTATTTTCAAAGTCAGATACTTGTTTTGGAGAACAATGCGGTTGTGGTTGTGGCAACGTTGAAGTAGTTGTCCAAAACGGGAACAACTTAGGATCGCGTCCACTGACCACGTGGCCTTCTTCCGGGCGCGGCCGCATAAACGTCGACAATGTTTTTTTCTTATACATGACAATCCGTGCAGCAGAGTCACAATTAGAGGCAGACTTTAAGTGAAGACGCTCAGCCTTGGAGTCCAGCGGGGGCGGCACGCACTGTGTGTAACATAGTCCTGCGACTCCCTCCTGGTTTCCGGGAGTGCCAGTGCTGTGAACATACCATGTATGAGCCGTTTCCGAGACAGTTGACGACGTTAAAAGTACACAGCTCCAGCAAATATTGGTCGCACCATGTCATCATCGCATAAGAAAGAAGCGGACCCGGTCAATGACATCCATCAAGACTGCCTCCCCAGCTGCGACACCATCCACGATGTCAGGCCTAAGCACTGGGATTGACTAGACAAAACGATGTTCTTACTCATCTCGCGCGAAGCAAACAAGCCGAATAAGACATTAAATGGATCAATTATCCACAATTCCAGATGTATACAGGCAGGCACCCAAGACCGGTGACAAAGAGACTGTCTACTAGGACAAGAGCCACCCACTACCACCGCGTCCGGCAGTAATGAGCAGCTGCCATCGCGCCGCCGACAGGAGATGCACCCCAACACCGCGTCCAGTGTTAGAGCACATCCCCTACCATTGAACGCCGGAAGAATATGTAACGAAACGAGAGACGACTCGGAGGAGACAGGGGCGAGAGAGGGAGACAGGGTACGAGACGAGGCAAGAAACGGGGCAAGACTGTGACGAAAAGGTACGGGCACGAGGCGGCTACACGGGTGAGGGGAGGGGAATCGAGGCGCAATACAGATAGAGATGTGTTGACCGAAGACGGCGCAGAGCGGAGGTCAAGCTGTGAGCGCGGATCTCAAGCAGGAGTCTTGACGTCCACAGCGAGATACCGGAGGTGACCAGGGAGACTAGATGAAGCATGGGAGAGGTGGGTAGCCAGATGAAGCATGGAAGACGCGGCAGGCCAGATGAAGCATGGAAGCCGCGGCAGGCTAGATGAAGCACAGAATAGACAGGGGACTAGATAAGGCATGGCAGATGGAGGCAAGATGAAGCATTGAAGAGATGGGCGGGCAGGACGTTGATAGACCTGGCCTAGATATTGCCTAGAACGGCGATGCAATGCTGACAGACGAGGCGTGCGGGTTCTTGCGAGTTGTATGGCGTCGAGATGCGAGATGAAGGTGACGCGGGGTTGAAAAGTTGCTGCGTGGATACTTGTTACATATGCTTGCGAATTGAGAAAACGAGGTTTGAGATGAGGCAGAGGTGCAGAAGCCGTAGGTGAGGAGACCAGTAATGAAGCCATGAGGGCAGGTAGGAGAGAGACGTCGCCTGGGGTTCCTAGGTATTTGAAGAGAGGCGGTCACTTGCTGTGCAATGAGATGTAGGACCAGATGGCGAGATACGAAGCCTAGGAGCCGAAGGTAAGAGACACGAGACGGAGTAGACAGATCGATGAAGTAATCCAGGAGACAAGAGACAGGCGTGCTTGATCCAAAAAGTCCAGATAGGGCGTTCCATCGTAACCAGGATTCGAGAGACAAAGAGAGGCAGTGTAGGCTGTTGTACCGAGTGAACTGAAAAGTTGTCTGCGAGCAACCAGATGTCCGTCAGTTCAGACAACTATGCGAGACGAAAAAGGTACTCACATAGATAGACAAACCATTCGAGGCGTCGAGAAGCGCACCGGGCCAACTAGCGTCGTCACCAGTACGACACTTGAAGTAACACATCAGCATGAGCAAGCCAGCAGTGGAAAAAACGACATACCCAGCTAGCCAGGCGCGCCACCCGGCCTCAGCAGCACGACAAGCTCGCTCCAGACCGTCCACCATGGATCCTCCGGCAAGTCGTCGTCCGCGGGGAAGTCGGCTCGTCGCGGTGCTACCATATACCGGTGCGCATCCCAGTACCAGGCATCGTGATCCGGACCCACTAGTTCGTTGAACAGCGGGTACAGATCGCTCTGACGAACACGTCGTGGAGCACGAGCTCGTCGTCGGGCCCTCACTACACGCGCCAGCTTGAATATGAGCAGATCCAACAACAGACAGGCCAAAGCCGCTACCAGGAAGAATGCGACCACGCCAGCGCCGAGAGCCCAGATTCTGGTGGTTCGGGTCCACGTTGCGGACTGGATGCGAGCGGCGGTGGAACGCATCGTTGCCTTCACCCGTCCCCACTTGCGGATCACTTTGCGGCGCCGCGCTGCGAGCTTTGAACCGAAGGTAGGCGGCGGGACTGGCACTGGCTCGACAGGGTCAATCGTCAGCACCTGGCCTTGGACCTCGACGCGCCAGGCCAGCCAGTCGATCGGGGTCCATTCCGGCTCTTCCTGCGCCTCCTCCTCCTCGCGGAACCACCGATATTGATCCAGTCCCCAGTAGTGAACCAGCATCCCCTTGGTGTAGATCGGAATTGGCGTCACCGGGACCTCGCCGTACGGCGGCGACCATGATTCACCGGGGGGCTTGCCAGGTGACAGGCTGCGCAGCGATTGACGAGCATGAGCACAACGCCAGTATCAAAAGTACCACACTCACAGAGCAGGACACCAAACCATCTCCAGTGCCTTCGGGCCGTAGAACACGGTGCTGCCTCCGAACGTGATGCAGCGCTGTGCGGTGTGTAAACGAATTTTGACCACCACCATACCACTGAACCGAGCAATGAAGACGAGACCCGTGAAGGCATAGTAGAGAATTGGTAAGATGAGCATCGCGGCGGTGATACAGAGTGAGTCTGCGGTGACGCGAGGCGGGGCGGAACTGAATGAGGAATAGTGCGGGCGCACGCCGCCTTTTATACCGGGGCGGGGCGAATTCTGACAGAACTCTATTCTTGTTGAATGCGATTAAACAATTTCCTCGTGACCGACGCGTCGCGACGCGTCAGTCACGGGACTCGCAGCCTCGCACGTGTGACGTCGCACGCACGCTACAATGTATACACCGATTATACCACACCGAAGTCCGATACAACACCCAAGAGGGGGGCGATAACAAAATTCCAGACGTCCTCCTCCCAAATCCCAGAGACCCCGAAGACTGGGTAGGGGGGGGTACCCAGTCTTCGGGGGCAGAGCTCCCGTTGGGGTCCCGATAACGAGCGCCCAGGTACAAGTCCTATAAAGGAAGTTCCTTCGGCAATATCAGGTGACTAGCTCCTTTGCTAATGCCGCCAGCGAAGTGCTGTTATATGACATTGGAGACCGCAGGCTGTAAGTGCCCTGAGAATCCCTCAATGATTTCTAGAAAACTTCTGGGCACTGTGACAGCATATTGTATTCGCCAAACCATGATTTGACCCTTCGCCCGCTGTGCATGTTGGCACATAATCATAGTAGGTCATGTCTGGGGCGTCGTTGACTGTCATAGGGAAGCATATTGAGTAAGTGGTAAGGCCAGAGTGACGGAGTGGGCACAGTGACGCCGTAGGTATCGTGGTTGCTAGTTCGATCCCCGGTAATCTTTTTAAATCATTTTGGCCCAATTTGCGTCACTGATGCAAGTGAGACACGCGCCATGTAACACACGTACTTACCCGACGCGTAGCTCACATGACCGTATGCTTCACGTGTGACTTAGCGCATTTCGTACTATTCAATTCCTCCTCTGGATCTCCTTGTTTATGTCGACTTCGGACCCTACACGTGTACTTAGCATACTTCTCAGTACACATGCATGTTTTCTAGAGTGAGATGTGCAGAATGTAGTAGCTAGAGACAAAATTCAACGAAAGCGACTGCACTTCACGCTGGTGGCTGAAAACCGGACCCCGTACACCACCCCCCCACCCCCCTTTCGTGAGGAGGACGTCTCCGATTCAGATCTCGCCCCCCTCTTGACAACACCAGTTGCCAATCGAGCATCGTTGAGTTACCAGCAGCAGCCCTCTTGTCGCTGGTGAGCGGTCGCAGACACTGGGTCCATCACTATTTTGATCTCCAGGCCCCCAGTGTCGTGAAGCAGTACTCAGACTTCTACGACCACATCTCCGTGGCACGGACAACGGTCTGTTCCTTGGCCAATGTCTCTAGCGATCTGAACTACGGTCTGGATGTCTCTCGCAACGCCTTCGATCCCGGGCCCGCTATGGAATGCATTGATACGAACTCACCATATAACCTCACGCAAGAAGGTCACAAAGCTGCGGCAGGCTGCAGAGCAGCATGGCATGTATGCTATCATATGCTACGGAGGATCTCCCGGGATCATGTATACAGAGGGTAATGCGGATGGGGTGAAGCGATGGGTTGACTCTGTGCACGTACGTCAATCAATTACTGCGTGATATAAACATTTGGTTGACTAAACTGCGCTGGTGTGCACTGCAGCGACTGCGTTACAAGGACTACCAGCTTGCTGTCCGCCCGGCGCCGCTTGTGCCGGAGACACAAGGACAAGGGATGACGTCTTCGTCTGACGGGAAGCGCACCATCCCCGTTGGACTGTACGAAGTCAACAGCGTCAAAGAGTTCGGCGCTGTCATGCGTGAGCGAAGCGTCTGGGCGTGGTGGCGGAAAGGCATGGGCTACGCGCCCGGTTAGGAATAGCCCGGGCCAAGTCGGGCAGTACATTTCGAGTCGTGCTATATCTCAGGAGAGCTCGTTCCTCTTGTTCTGGTTCGACCTGGTAATTTGAGTGAGGATGCCAATCATCATGGGTGAGTCGAACATCATTGATCGCATACACTTCGCCAAGCTCAGTAGTCGGCGTAGCCAGGACCACAATAGTTGTTAGTAGTAGCCTATCAGTACAAGACCACGCACACGTAGAGACCATAGCCTTCCAGCACGCCGCGTGCGTATGTACGCACGGTGACAATTGTAGTCACAGATTACGATCCTACTAATGACGTCACGCACAGCTGGGACAAGTACCATATCCTTTTGCCAAACTCGTCCGTGCCACTATCATTTCAGTGGTTTCCTCGATCCACTGGTGCTCGACAAGAACTTACCAGGATCGACGCTGCCTCTTGCGCGAAGACCACGTACAAGGACCGGTGAGACAGTCTTCCCGTAAATATAAAGAACCTAACCTGGGTACGTCCTCGATACATTCATCTCCCTGCCGATATGTCTGCGTTCAGGCCTGTCAATAATAAATATATGACAAGGAATAACACGCACACTTTCCGAAGGTGAAGAGCGAGGTCAAGGCGCCCTCGTTCAAAGGCTGCCAGTACCTCGTGAACGGCGAGATCAAGACGTTCACGAAGACCATCGAGCCCATTGCTACCGCCATTTATCCCGGTGACGAACGGGTTAAGATCTCAGAGTTTGCGAGGTGCGACAAAGACATCGCTCTCGCGGCGCTTGCGGCTGCCCATGCCGCTTGGGACAAAAGCAGGGGGCAAGTGGCCAAACTCGACGATCCAGGAGCGCGTGAGGACGACGCATGCTTTCTTGCAAGATTACACGGCAGCGAGGGAGGAGATGGCAGAGCTGCCCATGTGGGACACCTGTAAGTCGAGGCAGGATGCGGCGGATGAGATTGACCGGACTACTGGTGAGTTCGATGACCATGATTTCAACGCCTGACCATGACAGGTTTCATCGAGGACACCATCAACGTGGCGATCAAGCTCTACAATTCCGAGACCAAATTCGAGATCAGCTCCGGCGTCGCCACGCAGATCCGGCACATGCCCGTGGGGTTCGTGCTCGCGTCGGGTCCCTTCAACTACCCGATGAACGAGTGTTACACGACGTTCATCCCCGCGCTCATGGCGGGGAACACCGTTACCCTCCGCATCCAGCGCAACGGTGCGTCGCCGCACTTCCCGACGCTGCGCATGTTCCAGAAGCACTTCCCGTCCAGCGCGATCAATATCTTCTCGGGCTCGGGTCGCGAAATTATGACGCCGCTCATGCAGAGCGGCGGCATCGACTACCTCGCGTTCATCGGCCGCTCGAGCAGTGCGAGCGCCCTGATCAAGACGCACCCCGAGCCGCACCGCTTGCATAGCTTGCTGCAAATGGATTCAAAGTACTGCGCGATCCTACTGGAGGACTCGGATATGGAGGCGGCGAAGCAGTGCGCGAGCGGTGCTTTCTCTCTGAACGGCCAGCGGTGTACGGCGATCAAGCTCATCGGGGTCCCGGAGAACTGTGTGGCAGACTTCGTGCCGAGATTTGTAGAGGCGGTGGATGCGCTGAAGATTGATATGCCGTGGGACGCGGACGCGAAAATTACACCGCTGTGCGAGGACGAGAAGCCGAACGGGCTTGAAGACCTCATTGAGGGTAGGCAGAAAGTCGGTCGAACTTGTCATTACACGGATGCAGATATACTCATATCGGTTGTAGCATGGCGCGCATATTCTGAACAAACACGGCGCGCGGTTCGCGAAGCCGCTCGCTAGCCCTACCGTGGTCGGGCCCGTGACGAAGGACATGAAGCTCTACCCGAAGAGCAGTTCGGCCCCATCGCACCCATCGCGGTGTACCAGGATGTCAACGAGCCACTGTCATGAATTGCAGAGAATAAGTACGGCCTGCAGAGCGCTGTCTTGGGATACGAACCCACGGCTCTGGCTCGCGTTGTGGACGCGCTCTCTATGGCGGAGGGCCGCGTGAACATCAACAGTCCGGACAAGCGAGGACCGGACGTGTCTCCCTTCACTAGAAAGAAGAATTCGGCCTTGGGCATGACAACCGCGAAGGAGGCACTGAAGCGGTCTGCGATCCCAACTGTCGTTGCGACGACTGTAGGTGATCAGAGGGATTTGGCAGCTGTAGAGGGTTTGATCGAGAGTGGAAAGTGCAACTTCTTCAACAAAAACTTCGTCTTCCCGCCTTCGTCAGGGTAGTAGCAGGCTTTTGTCCGTGACTTGAGACGCATAACATACTTAACTGTTTTATAGCCTAAGGTAGCGGACAAACTTACACAGAAGGGACTTTGCGAGCCGCTCCGTCTGCGTTCTCGCGTCGTACTTGGGATCCCTGGAATCGGATATGGATCAGTAAGGGCTGAATGGTATGCAGCGAAATCCATTACAGTCATACTGTAGTGCCGACAAGCTCGATGCAAACGTTTCAGTAATTGTCAATGGCGTTGACCACGCAATTCACATTTCCCATGAGACGGATCGGAGGGCGGTTCGACAACACTACAAAATTCGTTGCGTGTTGACAGGCAATATTGGCATATGAGACCGTCCTCCCCCGCTCGAAGAGGTCGCGTCCAGAGTCTGCCTACGTACGGGAGACCAACCTGCAATGGCGTGCATCAAATCGTCCTGCCTGGACCGGCCAGTGAGAGTCCAGATCAAAGTCACGTGATCGACGTACGCGATCCTTGTTCCCGTTTTGGACAATCACTTCAACGTTGCCACACTAGTACTGCCACGAGCCTCTGTCCATTGTCCGCCAAAACAAGCATCTGACTTTAAAATACGTGGCCCAAGTGGTAAACATGGCCAAAGGCGAAATATCAACCGTTGATTCCGCGCCCTTCTGGCCTCCGAACGCTCCTCCGTTCTTCGTTGACCATTCCACTCCTCAGTGTCCCCGCGCGTTCATTGCTCTCTACTTCTCGACCAAGAAGCCGCGTAGCGATTCCAACGCGCACCCAGCTATGTATCCCTTCGCCTCGTTGCCTGTGGGCCCGGCCCAGAGGGACAAGACTCCTCTGCGCGACCCCCAAGAAACTGGTATGTTGATCACCCGTAAGTCATGGCGGATGCACGCTGACACCCAAGATCAGCGCTCCGCATGCCTAACTCGACGCCTGCCCAGCCGAGCGCGCACAGCGTCCTCAGCAGGGAAGACGGCATCAAGATGCAGAGGCACGATGACTGGGTCAAGAAGCACTTCCGCGACAAAATCGTGTGGAACTTCGACCCAGCGAAATTCATCCAGGCTGTCTGGGGCTTTGGGCCCGACGATGTACCGACGAGATGGTGTAGCAACACGGGCAGACGTAGCAGAAACTCCGCCCCGCTCTCCTTTGACGAGGCGCCTAAGCGTGTCTACATACTGGAGCGGTGGGAGAGGGAGTGTTACGAGCCGCTGGCGCAGATAGCTAACGGGCTGCTGGACCAAATGTACGGCCCGAAGAGCAGCCAGCGGCGCGAACGTCGCGCGTTACCGGCGCAATTCGAGAAACGCGACACGAAGTACGAAGGCGCCTACACGGAGGAGAAGGTCGATATGAGCTTCAGCACGGTGGCATTGACTCCTGGAAAGTGGCCGCAATGGGACTTCGAGGCCGCTTTCTTGGAGGTCAAGAAGACGAAGATTGGCAAGCTACCGAACCCCGCAGCGCCGCAGCAGGTCAATACGGCCGCAGGTCGGGCCACGAAGAAAGGAAAGCGCAAACGAACGTCGGCAGAGGAGGGGACCAGGCTACCGAAGGCGAAGCGAGCGTGTACGCCCACGGATGGCTCGGAGAGAGCCCAGGATGGTCCCGCCGCCGACCACACACAGGCAAAGGCAGACGCGGAGCACGTCGAGGACAAGGACGACCCCGTGCGACCTCAGGAGTTCGACCTGACGCACAACGAGGCACAAGCGGTGCGATACATGAACCACATGATGTCGTCCAACGTGCGGTCGTTCGGAATCGGCTGGCTGGTCGAGGACGCCAACATGCGCCTGTATTATGGCGATCGCATGGGCATCGTCGTGACGAGGAAGTTCAAGTTCCTTCGCGAAGAATCTGGGCTTTTCATGAGATGCATTGCGGCTATGGGCCAGGCGAGCGTGCACGGTATGGGGATTTTCCCCGATCTGCATTTTTCGAAGAACGAGGAAGAGGAGACGGAGTTCGATTCATACGAGGGCTCTCGGTTGCGTATAAGGGCGCGGCGGCCTGATACCTCCGAGCCCAAGCCCGAGCCTTTCGAGTTCGACGTCGACGTCGACGGCGAGGCGAAACGGATCTACACAGAGTTTGGAGTGCTGGGTCGGGGCACCAGCGTCATCCCGATCAAGGCAAGACCGGACACGCTCGCGTACAAGTACTTCAAGGCCGAAGACCTCGTAGCGAAGATTTCCTGGCCACATGCGCTGCGCAAGGCGGAGGACTCCCTCATTACCGCCGTGCGTACGAAGCTGGGCCAGACGAAGCGGCAGTATCTACCGCACATCGTGGACCTCAAATGCTCCGTGACGCGTACGATCGACGAAATGAAGCTGCCTCGGGCTGCGATGGGCCTCGACCGTGATGAGGCTGACGAACGCGTCTGTCGGGTGCTGGTAATGTCGTGCTACCAACGGCTCGAGGTGGTCGAGTCTGTTGACGACTTCAAGAAGGTGTACGTCGACGTCGTGCGAGGTGTGTACCAGCGTTTATGTGTGTCATTGCATCCGACTGACTAGTGTTGTATGTAGCCCACTACTGGGTATGGACGACGTCGCGCATTCTGCATCGTGATATCAGTACGAACAACATCATGTGGTACCGCATCGACGGCAAGCTGTATGGCGTTCTCTGCGACTGGGATCTCGCGGAGGAGAACATCGACGGCGGCATCCCATCGACGCGCGCTCACGAGTATGCTGTCGCTGACGGACCACCTGCATCCGCGTCGAACAAAGAGGTTCATGGCTCCGCCTCTGCGACACAGGCCGATGCGGCGGAATCTGAGTTGAGCGATTCGCCGAAGAAGCCGAGGTACCGCACTGGCACGGGTCCGTTCATGGCCCTGGACCTCCTGCGCGAGGGACCGGCCCCATTCCACCTCTACCGCTACGACCTTGAAGCCTTCTTCTACGTGCTCGCGTATGTCGGTGCGGTGTGGGATCCGGAGAACCACAAGTTTGGCCACCTAAGCGCATGGGAGCAGGAAACATTAGTGGATATTGGGCGACGCAAACAAGAGTTCCTGAAGGTCCGCGCTGTCTATGACAGAACGTTCGAAGCTGCCCATCCGACTCTGAAGCATCTGGCGGCTTATGAGCCACAGCCAGGCTGGATCACGAGCCTCGCTGCTCAATTCAGCGTGATCGAAATGCATACGAGCACGATCGAATCCTTGAGCTTCCAGGGCGGTATCAGGCAAGGTACAAAGTACAAGGATAAGATCAAGAGGATTGAGGCCGAACGGGAGACCGAAATGTCGTACGAGATATTCATGGAGATCCTGGGAGCACCTCTTGATATCTAGGATGATATTATGGGCGAATGGTTACCGTGATAGATGTTTCCGAGTATCAGAATTCCTTAGTCCCCGAGGGAAAGCATGTGTAAACGACCTATGTCTATAGTCTGAACGTCGAATTGGAGCATCTTGCATCTTGTGTTCATGTCAATGCATCCCGACCTCACGCAGTTATATATGTGTGCATGCGTTCGTCAGTATGAGCACCAGAACAAAGGTCATTCCTCGTCCACCGAGCACTGCGAGATGCTTCAGTGAAAGCGACCAACCGATAGTCTGCCAGTGCGAGATGTTTGGAGAAGGTAGTAACTCAGGGGGTTGCTCGGACGGCGTCTGCGCCTTGCGTGCAACTGCGCATATGTGGCGACATTGAGCTGTATTGGTATTGTTTGGGCACCTCTCACAATCTTTGATTCCGCTCAACAATGCGGGCGATGTTGCCAATGTGAGCAGCAAGTGAGTAGTATACGCAAGTACTTACGGTACCCTTGGCCGGGCGCGCTCACCGAAGCCCTATTGTCACGGTGGTGGAGCCATGTATAGACTTCTGTATGATACATCTCAGAATACGGAGGCCATCGACAACAACCTGCCTCCGTCGATCAAAAGGACGGCTCCATCTATATAAGATCCAGCCTATGGTGTATGCGCTCGTCAGCACGCTGAAGAACCCCTGAGTGCAATGACCCACCTTACTCGCAAGGAAGAGCGTGAGCCCCGCCATGTCATCGGGCAGGCCCAAACGCCCTACAGGTGTTGCGGCCTCAGCAGCTCTCCGGGCTTCATCAGTCAACGCTGCATCAACCATTTCTGTAGAAGAGGCAATCGGAGCATAGGCATTCAAAGCGTCATCCCAATCGCGTGAAGAACTGGACCCACCTGACGGAAAGATGCCCGGACAAATTACGTTGCTCCTTATCTTCCAATCCTTGAAGTAGTGCGCAGTGAGCTTTCCGAGGTGGGTTGCTGCAGCCTTGCTAAGGGTATAGCTGAGGCTATATACAGAGCTCTCCTTCCGCAGGCTTGCAAGGCTACTCATCGTCAGCACCTGGCTGCTCACGCCCGAACCTCCGTCGCCGAGACTGCGCTTGTTGCCTTCGTGAAGAAGCTCGAGGAAGGCAACGGTGCAGAACCACAAGGCAGCGACGTTCACCTCGAATGTTTTGCCGAAGCTGTCGAGCGTCTCGGTGTTCCAGAGAATTGTCTGCAGCGGCGTGATGTCGTCGTTAGCCTGCGCTTGCGTTGGCAGTTTAGGCTGCTGCGCTAGCTGAATACCCGCGTTATTGACCAGGAGGTTGATGTAACCATGTCTGGCTTTGACGGTGTCCACCATGGTCTTGAGTGATTCCTTAGACGTGACGTCTCCTTGAAGTGGTATCATATTTCCATGTTTCTGACATATCATTGTACATGTCAGACACACATGCAGAGTGAATCCGACAACGCTGACATACACTATGTTCTTGGGCAGCTTTGTCGAGGACGTCGGCTCGACGCCCGACAATATAGACGATCGCCCCGTTGTTTTCCAATGAGGTTGCGATCATCAAACCGATGCCTGAAAACCAAGGTTGGAGTCACAACTGCGGTGGTCCGCTGTAAGCTGGAACGTACCCGTCCCGCCTCCGGTGACTACTGCTATCATGCCCTCCACATTGAAGAGCTTGGGCACGTCACTGAGCGCTGTGGAGGTCATTGGAGGTCGCTGTGCGGGTGCCGTACGAAGATGAGACCACCTTCCCGGTCTCCCGACAATATATATGACGACGAGGCGCTCACTAGCTTTTGATACATCAACTGTGCCGCTCCAAGTTTACTGTGATGATAAGTTCCCTTCGTCGCATGAGTGCTGTAGGTGAAGCCCGGAATCTCGGAGCTCCGGGTCTGAGGCGGGTGAGCTGTTGAAATCAATCAGTACTGTTGGGCGTCGAAGTTCCTTAGCCTAGACGCTCGTAGAGATGTTGCATAACTCAGTGCAGGTGCATAGTACCTGTACTTGCACTTATCGGAGACGGTTCGGCCACGCGTCGGGTTACGGTGATGATACAACATGCAGCGTCCGAGACAGACACTGGAGCGCGGGTGCTAGTGTCACGGCCACTGCGAAGCAGGCACCAACGAGTCTATATCGACCATGCTGAGACTCAGAGACAAACAACGCATGTCAATGGGTATATCGGTCTAGCTCATACACTGCGCGTTCCACGGTGTCGGCGAGGAAGCCTCGACGATCATGAAGGCCGACATCCACTCACCTAACATTGCGCCTTAGTAGAAGTCTTCAGCGTTCTGCCCGAAGACTCGCTGTACCTTCTCTGCGGCTCCGATGGTCTGACAATTGGACGTCAAATTTGATACTGGTGAAGCGTTGCGCAACGAAGGTTAGTTGGTTCTGTTATGGGATGATACCTATACGTACTCACAAGTTACTGCCAACGAAGACATCTGGTTCTTGTGCCGTCACAAAACCGAGAGGATACTAGAAACGCTTCGTGGTCAGCGCTTCAGCCGCAGGAGGTATACATCTCAGTCCGCCTACTCAAGCTCAGCACCTTCAACTCGTGAAAACCAGACTCGTGAAAACCAGAACGTTGACTGTACCTTCACCGAAGTTCCCGCCACCCACGGACCATTCAAATTCGACGGCAATCGTGGTCACCCACACGGCCACACAAAATAACGTAGTTGTATGTACAGTACAGTGGTTATAGCCAGCAAACAGCGACAACGAGCGTGCACGACAGTAACGACAGAGACACATAACGCACACCGCAGCCAGCGTACGTTACCATCACGGATCCGAGCACGACAGCCAATAACTATAAAGTAAATCTATCGTAAATATAGCACGCAACCAATTGCAGGAGAGTGAGGGGAGGGGGGAGTGAGGGGAGGGGGGAGTGAGGGGAGGGGGAGTGAGAGGGCCGGGAGGGGGAAGCGACATGGCGAGAGATGGAAGAGAAATCAGTTGCGGAGGGGAGACAGCGAGAGTGCAGAAATAGGGAGTCCGTGGAAATAGAAACCCGAAGGACTAAAGTGATCGAGAGAGATGATTGGAATATATATAACACATTGGGGGAAGGACAGGAGAAATGACGCATCGACGCAGGTCAACCGCATCAGCCACGAAGAGCAGAATGTCAAGCAAGAGGCCGGCGAAGGCGCAGAGGCTGCAACGGACCAAGACAACACTACGCAGGTATACAGTATTCACACGCCGGCCCACTGGGTTGACGAAGGCACTCGCGTGGCGGGGGCGCATCACTAGTACCCATCCGCGTACTCGAAGCCTGCAGTCGCCGGCACGCAAACATTCTTCCCCGCGACCGTCGCCAGTTCCATGGCGCCGCCTTCATAAATAGGGCTCAACGAGCTCGTCTGGGTCTCGACCTGTGCGTACGACGCATACGGGTCGAGCGCGTAGCTGTCCGGGAACACCTCGTAGTCGCCCGCGTATCCCTTCCCCAGCTCTTGCGGCGGCTGATACACGTACGGCGCAGGCGCAATGTCGTACTGTCCTTGCGGGCCGACCATCGAGGCGCCGGAGCCGATGGCACCTGTCGACTGCTCTGCTAGACGGGGCGTGGGCGGCGGGTCAGCATATGCAAATCCAGAAGGGAGGTGACACAGCATACTTGTATCGTTGCCGCTCTGCCGACGACCCACGTCAGCCCTCGTTCAAACACGGCAACATCGCCGCAGACAACGCACCTCTTGGCTCTCGGGCGCCTGCAGCGCGTACGCCAGCTCGCTCGAACTTGAGCGCCGGATCGTCGACGCGCCATGGCCTGTCATCTCCTCTCCGCCATTGGGCAGCCCGGGACTAGAGTGCGGCTGCGGGTTCGAATATCGGTGCGCCTGTGTCTGCGCCTGCGACGGATGCTGTACGGTGGAGCGGTTCCCGACGACGAGTTCGGAGAACTGCTCGAGGAATTGTCCGGAGGCGCTAAGGGAAGACACAAAACCAACCCTCCATTAGCAAACCCATCCTCGCTAAGCCCCGGTCCACCATACATGCGTCGTGAAGCTGAGCAAATAGGGTTCTACGGCAAGGACGAAGTCACGGGGCGCCCACTAGCACTCATACACGCGCGCCGACGCCCTCGCCCGACGTCACCCCCATAAGCCAGCGCAGCGCACACAAGAACACCACCCGCGAATCACGCGACGCCGGACCGCCCCCACAGACAACAAACCCATCAAGATCGAGCAGCGCAAGGCAAGCACACCCACAAAACAAAACAAAAACCCCACTCACCAACTGCCCCTCCGCCCCTCCATCTCGCCGCCCTCCTTCGGCCCCCCGCCCTCCTCGCTCGGGTACCAGCTCGTCCAGCTGCTCTCGCTCCCGCCCGCGCCCCCAAACTCGCTCACCCCGCTCACGTAGCTCGCCACGCTCGCCACACTCCCGAACCGCTCCCCGCCGCGCATCCGCTCCCACTCCGCGTACCGCGACTCCGCCTCCCGCTCCCGCTCCTCCTCCGGCTCGCTCGACGCCGACCCGCGCGACTCGTACCCCGGCGGCGGCGCCCCGAACGAGAAGCCCTGCTCGGGCAGCGGCCCCGGCGGCGGCGGCGGCACCGCGCGCGTCGAGCCCGCGTACGGCCCGAACCCGCCCATCGCCTCCGGTGCGCTATACTGGCGCACCATCACATCCGGCGGGGGCGCGAGGGGGTACGGCTCCCCGCCCGCCGCGTACGACGCGCGCCGGAGCGCGGGCTGGCCTGGCGAGTGCGCGAGGACGTGCAGGCGGGACGCGGGGCTGTGCGCGGGGCTCGGGCGGCGGGCCAGGATCCCGCGCCCGTTCGCCGCGAGCGCGAGGTGCGCGTACGGGTGCGCGCTCAGCCGCATCGCGTGCGCGTCCGTCGTGGCGATGCTCGCGCGGCGCGCCTGCATGTCGTACGAGGCCGCCTGCGCGCTGTTGTACGTGTTCCCGGCACCGTACGCGTTCGTCCTGAACGACTGGCCGAGCGGGTCGACCGCCGCCGCCGGCGCAGTGCTCGAGTTGAGAGGAAGGTTCGGGAGCGAGCCCCGGCGCAGCGCGAGGAGGTCGTGTGCGGGCGGAGCGAGCGACTGCCCGGGTCCGATCTGGTATGGCGAGTATTCGCCTTGGTTGAAGTAGGGCCCATCCTCCTCGCCGGCAGTGACAGTGGACGGGCCGAGGTCCTCGGAAGATGCCCCAAAGGGAGACGTGAACGCGACGTTCACCGTCGGGAGCGAGGGCGCAGGAGCAGCGACGTCCTTGTCCGGAGCGCTGATCCCCGGCGTCTCGGTGCTCCCCGAGGCGGACGAGTCCTCGGACATCTCTGAGTACCCAGAAGTGCCTGTGTTTGGACGGCCTCCCTGTGCGTCGCCCACCGATTCGGAGTGAGCCTGCGGGGGAGGAGACGGAGAGGAGGGTGGTGAGGAGGCGGATTTGTTGGATGTGTCGTTTGACGCAGCGCCATCGCGCCGCGCCGCGACCTTCTTCGCCTCATTCTTCACTTTTGCACGGCTGAACGGGGCAGTCAATCAATCAGCATACATGCGGCCGGACACACCGCGAGCAACGTCACACGAAGGAAGCCAGCACGCACCGATTTTGGAACCAAACCTGCAAGGCGCAAACACCGGCGATCAGACTCCACCAAACCCGCCCGCGAGCAAGACAACGCGGCACGCACCTGTACCTCCCTCGGGGTCATGCCGAGCTGGGAGCTGAGCATCTTGCGCTTCGCCGCGCTCGGCTTCGTCTCCTCCTTGAACATGATCTCGAGCACCTTGAGCTGGTCGCGCGTCGTGCGCTTGCGGTGCTTGACCTCGTTCGGCACGTACGGGTAGAACGAGCGCATGTCGACCTGCGTCGGGTCCATGCCGGGGCGGATGAGGTGTGGGACGCACGTCGCGCCGTGGTGCAGCGCGGGGTGCTGGGAGAGATGGGGGTGGGGATATGGGTGCGGGAGGTTGCGCGCGTGCGGCGGGGGACGGGGGCCGGGCGGCGACGAGAGATAAGCTGGGTAGGAGGGCGGGCGGGGCGCGTGGGCGAGCTGGATGTTCGGGAGGGACTGGGAGTGGTACGGCGGGTGGGGACGCGCCTGCAGGTGGGGGTGGGCGGGCTGTGTCTGCTGGACGTGGAAGATGCCCACCGCTTCGGGGCGCGTATGCGTATGCGGGTGGCCGGCGTAGGCAGGCTGGGACCCTTCACCGGGAGCGGCATGTGCGAGGGGATCCATTTATAGCGAGGCTGGAAGAGGGATCCGAGGACGGAGGTGGCAGGGCGAGCCAGGACGCGGCGACGGGGATGGTTCGGTCAGGATCGGTGCGATAGCCGTAACGTCACGCACGGGATGCGGCCGCGGGGGCTGTAGCGTCTGGGAGTCGACAGGGATGGAGCAGGGGCAGGGAAGGAGGAGGATCCTTGACGCGACAGGAGAACGGAGGCGTCAGCTGCGGCCAGGGTCTCGGTCGCAGGCTTGGGCAGGGCTGGAGGACGGAGGCAATTCAGAGCATAGACGACGGGTAGGTTGTGGGCGCAATGTCACGGCCGTGGACGGGCGGCCAGGAACGAGAGCAGAAAATGACAGCGAGGTCGGACTGGCGAATGAGCGAGGAGAGGCACAGAGCTAAGGGTTGTGTGGGATGGCAGCGGGTGGCAGGCAGGGGGCAGTGTGTGGGACGCGGTGGAGAAAAGGGATGGCGGGGGGAGACAGGATCTGCCCAGTGCGCTGCGTAAAGGAGCGGAGGAGGACTGGGACTGCGAGCAAGTCAGGAACACAGCGGGCGGCTCGGCAGCACAAGCGCACTGGCACTGGCGAAGATGGCTCACCGGAAAGGGTATAGCGCGCAACACAGCTGATGCGTACGCTCGGCGCTGTGATTCAGATGGGCTCTCGCGTCCGTGCGTGGGGGCTAAGAGGGAGCGCGGACGAAGGGGAAAGCCAACACGCTCGCAGGAAGGAGGACCAGGCGTCGGGACGCGAAGACGACGCGGTCGGTGTGCGGAGGCGGAGAGAGCAGCGACTGCTGTCTCACTCCCGGGCAGTTGCCGGACTGCCTCTCGGGGCCAGATCCAGATCCTTACGTAACGCAGCTTAGCACGCCCGATCGAGCCGCCCTCTGATCGACTCTCCCCGCCACCATCCTCGCCTCTCCCGTGACGCTCTCCTGCGACTCTCCCAGCCACCATCCTCGCGGCCACCCTCCGCTGCCATCGCACCAGCCCTTCTCGTCCTCCACCTCCACGTATCGCCTCTGATCCCCGTTCGATCCCCGCCCGCACACAAGGCTAGATGAGTCCCACTCCCCCCGCAGCTTCGCCTCCACGGCGACGCCAATCATAGCCCTCGCCAGCCCCCCGAGGGCGTCCCACCCGACAAGGGAAGGCCCTCTCCCACTCCCAGCACGCGCACCTACCATACTCGCCCGCACCCGCAGCAGATCGCGCCCAGGCGCATGCTCGCTGACAGCCAGCGCGCGCCTCGCCCCTTCGCGATCGCCCCCTCCCCCGTTGCTTCGCTCTCCCCTCCCTGCCCGCTCCCCGGGCGCCCTGCCCATCAGCGTGCAGCCTTCCCTGACGGCGTGCATGTGCTCCCCGCTTCCTCGCCGTCGCCCGTGCCGCAGGATCAAGCACGCCCCTTCTGATTGCCTGCAGCGTGTGGCTGCCGTCGGGACCCGGTGTTCGGGATACACCCCCTCACGCACGCCCGTATTCGCCGCAGCGCCGCAGTCGATTCAGCATCCTCGCCGCTCCCCCGATCCCAGACGCGTCGAGCCCGGACCTAATCTGCTGTGCCCCTAGCCTGCGCGCAGGCAGCCGCGACGCGTTTCAGGTTCACGGACTGCTCGTACTCTGTATACGGCCCCAGCGAATCCGAACACCACACTGTCTTTGCCTGTGGAAACGCACCTGTCAGTGCGTCCTGGGCGTCCTGTCGATTTTTTTTGCCTCCTCGCGCCGCACCGAGCAAACGGCCATTGGCTGGCCAAGGGTACGTCCGCCAATCGCAGGGGCGCTTGGTCCCGCCGGGGGCAGATTCCCCATACGGCGGCGAGATTGACGTCGACTGACAGCTGTCTGTCCTCCGTCTTCGCCCAACGCTGTAGTATGTGCAGCGCTGCCCGAATCCGTCTCCCTGTAGCCTCGCACACGCCAAGCCAGGCCTCCCGCCCGCCCCGGTGGCCGGATGCCATACCCGTCCGTGGGCACCACAAAAGCCGCCGGACGCGGGAGCGGGGGCGAACGCGGCACGATACATTCGGGCGCAGGTCGAAGGAGGAAGTATTGCGCTGCCAAGTTCCAAGGATGTCCCTCCTGCGTGATAGGCTTCTCCCCACTGGCTGTAGTGAGCGTGAATGCGGAGCGCGAGCAGCCAATCATGCCGGCCTGTGGTCTGCATGCTACGGCCCCCAGCGGTCGTGCCGAATCAGACGATGGGCCTGGGTGCGCCGACGGCGGACCCACGTCCTAGTCATCATACGGCGACCGGACGCTATAGACGTCGTCGTGGCCTTCCCCGCCTCGCACGGAGCAATCGATGATCAGTGTCACGCCGCGGACACTGTACGCGCGTGTTGCCTGCCCCACCTCCCCAGCCGCGGCCTCAGTGCCTGCACACTGCTCGCGGACTCGGGGCGCAGTCACTCAAGACGACTGATCCCAGCCGTACCCCGACGTGCTGAGCGGACGCCTGGGCGTGTACACCTCGCTCCCGTCGCCGCCCCCTCGTTGTTCGGAACAGATGATATAACACACGATCAGTGTCCACCCAGCCCAGGGCCTCCCGCTCGCACTCCCATCGCCTCGGCAGGTGCGGCCTCACTCGCGGGCTCTGAGCAGTCGAACAAGCGCGTCCGGGTCCGATCCTCGAGGAGTGTCCCACCCGCACGCTATACCGTCCCCGCGCACGCAACGACTGTCACCCAGCCACTCATCCGACCGCCGGCGGGACTCTGGGATCTGACCGGGACTACTGAAGGCAATTCAGTAGTCACGGTCCGACCCCAGCGTCCCAGACCCCGCATACGTCGTCGCCGCACCCCGCATCGCCGCCTCGTGTGTACGAGCCGCTCCGCCAAGCCAGCTCCGCCCCGAGATGACAGTGAGACGGCTTCCCCGCACACCGCGATCGTGCACCGATCATCGATCGCCGGCGCGGCTGGACCCTGCATACACACTGCCGTGTAGCTGAGGGTCCAGGAGTCAGCGGCACCCGCGTTATGCTCTACTTAGTACGCCGCGCAATATGACGGCTGCCCTCGGCGAACTCGACGTGAAACCACTCTGCTTTTCTACTGAGGCCGAGGGGGAGGCCGTCGGTCCTTGCGATGGGGTGAGCCAGCATGAGCCGCAGTGCGTTCACTCCGAGAAGATGTTGAGCATCGGTGCGGATGTCGCGGGAGTTCAGCAGAGGTGTGCGGAGTGCGCCGCCTGAGTGGTACACGATGTCCTCGGGAACGCACGTATGGTCGACGTTGACGATGCTGGCCTCCGCATCTGCGAACTCGCGCAGGGGCCCTATCTCTCCCATCGCATCATGATGTATGTGCAGGATTCCTCGTGGATTTGCGTTGCCGAGGTTCTCGAGGATGTCTGTTACCAACATCGTTCAAGGGAAGAGTGTACGGCAAGCCTATGTTGGCTCCTCGTCGAACCATACTTCCGTGTGTACATCGCGAGCCTCGGGGACGGGTCACTCGCTGGATTCGTCCAGCAATGATACGCTACCTTCGCCGCAGTCAAACGAACCGACTGTCGCGTTTACGTTCGACCCCCGCGCTCGAGCGTTCCACAAGGATTTGCGGCGTCCCACTCGTGATACGCATGACCAAGGACGCAGTCGGTGTCGTTATCTCGTTCCTTGATATTGACAGGCCGTCAACAACCTGAACAACACTCCACAACGCACGCCGTTCGCGGACGCGACGGCCACCTATCGCACCGACCACTAAGCTCAATGCAGTGCCCGAGCGTCCAGTCAATCCCAGAGCGGACAGACTCCCCGCGGGCCCGTGCCGTGCTCCCGTTCCTGGCTCAGGATCGCTCCATCGCACGCGGCCCCACTCCCTGCACCGTTGGCCAACCAGATCGTCGACTGCCCCACCCCACCCAGGGGCAACCTTCGCGGAGGCTTTTCGTCGCCGAATTCTGCTCGCAGTCCGCGTCCGCGCCCGCGTGCAGGTACCACACCCCCAATGTCCGACCGGACGCAGCGAAGAGCCTCGACTCGGAGGCCGACCCGCGCCTGGTGGCTTGTTCTGGAACGTCCCATGCATCTGCTTGACGCGTTGACAGCTGTCCGCAAAGTTCTGCTTGGTCGTGATGGAGCTTCGCGGGATCTTTGTGTCTGCGCAGGCCTGCTTGCCCGTGCAACAACGCCCTGCGTCAGGGACAAGCATGGTGTAGCTGCGGTAGCACGCACCCGGGCCTGCGATCCGTCCCTGTAGCTATCGCCAGCCTCAGGCTTCCCCGCGATCGCATGCGCGCAGCATCCAGCGTTATAGCGTCGGACGCAATGTTCGTTTTCGTTCTGCAAAGCTTCCTTCACACAAGGCGAGTCCAATACCATGTCTCGCTTGTGTCTCTCCCGCGATCGTTGTGCGATCGCTCTGGTTGTGGTCGAACCTAGTATGTACAGCATGTCTAGCCTGGGAGTGCCCGCTCCCTAGACCCGGCTGTGTACACAAAGCATGTTCCATTCCGTTCGCATGCTGTCCATCATTCCTTGCGATCAGATGTAGCCTTCTCCCGAGGCGGAGTGCACGCACGACGGTCGATCGTCGCGGAGACGCTAACCATCTGGTTCTGCATCCAGTTGTGACCTATGCCTCTTTGGACGAGCTACAGAGGAACCGCGATATCACAATGTGCTGGACCCTCGGCTAGACATCGAAGTTCGGGGGCCCGGGATGCAGCCCGGACATGGTGAATGCGGCCTATCAGCCTCCGACGTTACCTGGGGACGAGCACTTTGAGGTTCATGATCCCGTATGTCTTGTCCCATGCTCCGCGCGCTGTGGGTATCCCGAGTCGCTGCTGTGTCTGCTGAAGTCAATGTTTTGCTTGCATGGAAGGTCTGGAAAGAGAGTTGCGTCGGCTGTCACGAATGGAAATATGCTCTTGTCCGCTGTCCAAGCGTCTCCGGACACTCAGTCATATCCCTTCGTACGCGGTACACAGTTGACAGAAACGGGTACATTGACCGCTGGTGAACCGGTGAACTCTGGCTCATTGTTGCGCCGATGTACTCTAGGTACAGTGTACACCTTCGTGGCGGCACCAGATATAGTAACTCACCGTCCAGCGAAAGTGTCCGCATAACGAACAACGTTGCGATTGCTAAGCGGACTATGGATGGCCCTCTTCGTGCGGTCGCCTGGGACCATAGTGCAGGTCGCCCGACGTTCCCGGCTGATTAAATTCGGTCCGCTTTTGTGACGCCGCCGCTAGAACCGAGGGTCGGTGGAATACCTGAGCATCTCGAGTCTATCGCGCGCAGTTGGCTATGGTGCCGCTGCGAACTCCCCCCTGTGCCTCGACGCTCGTGCGTGTATATCACCATCTTCCAACCCATGAAAATAGTCCGCGGATTCGTACGGTAGTACGTGTTGCCGATGTCTGCCCGTCTTGCGGTCGCTTTGTGCGAATACGAAGCAGTGGGCTTCGCTACCTGCTGGTTGTCAATCAGCTTCAATATCGCTGGACAGAGTTGATGACGGAACACCCGTGGCATCGCTGTCAGAAGAAGAACATAGCCTCTGACTCTCCGGAGGCCCACCGTTGAGCACTGACGGACTCACCAGCCCAGACAAGAAAGACCGTCCCTTACGAGAGATACCTCTTTGAGTTCGAGTTGAACGGAGGCCGCGGGCTGTGCGGGGGCTCTCGTACGTACTCTTGTTTCCTACGACATGTCAAAGGATAACGACAGCCGAGAGGATCGGATTCAGGCACAATAATGGTCATGGTATGGGTGTCATGAACAGGACCGACAAAAGCAGACCCCGCGACTCGGAGCCGTCAATCACCCAGTGGCATCACCCCTGGTATCTGCGTTTGCATTATTACGTGTTTGTCTGCTACCAAGACTTCGAAGGGTCACTCACCGATTTCTTGCTTCTCTGCTCTATGATATAATCTTGCTTTGCAATTAATCTTTCCGCAGCAACGACACTCTAGCTGTAGTTGTCACGAGTCGCGCGTCGTGACAGTGAAGCTAGACTTGGAGCTGAATCGATTGAACGACCAGAGCCTCATCTGTGGATATTCCGGTGAGTAGATGATCTCATAGCAGGCAGCGTACCTCTCTCCATCCTCGCACGCCAGAAATGGTAACGAGGGCCGCGGACTCTCGTGTCACAGCGCGACGCCCGCGCGACAGGTCAGCGAAGGTTTGCAGCAGTGGCTGTGTATTGAAGCTTCTGGAGACCGAGCTCCACAAACCCATTCCACTGGCATTCGACCAGAGTGTTGATTCAGGGGACGACTGGACCATTGACCATTCAAACCAGTCCAAGGCCGCCGTCCCCGAATCTCAAGGCGGAGTCCATGGGAATCTGCGAAGCGATAAGTATGACAGAACGCTGAAAAGTACGTATTGACCAGAACCTCACTGCCTCAATGGAGCACTGAACCTTGCGATGAGCTCATTCATGTACAATGCTCGCCCAGAGCCGGACATGGATCGTACCTCAGGAAGCCTCCGCACTAGCCATGCAACGACTATAACTGTTTCACCCACTGTATATCCGCGTAAGTACAGTGGTCAACAACGGAGGCCAGAAGCTTGGCATTTATTGAGGATTGTTCAGGGAGAAAAGCCCCTCAGGTTGAAAGACTCGGAGACTTGACGAGGACACTCCTGTACGAGCAGATACCTATGAAGATTCAGCCTTCCGTTCATCGTCTTGAGGATCAACAGTCGGACATGTAGCTGTCCACTGGTCACTAGGCGCTGAAGCGTTTCCACTTCAGCCGTTGCACCGCATTTGCGCTACCGCCACCTCACCGGGATGTTGAGGCAAGAATGCACATGATATTTCGTTACGCTACGTACATTATCGTGACAGTGTGAACAGCCATGCAAGGAAGCAAGTTGCAACTAGATGAGTATGAACCAAAGACGGGCAACAGGATGTGGGTGTACGATGGAACCGGAGGATGGAAAATAGTTGCGGTATATGATACACCAGGGGTAGGTGTTGCGGGCCGTGATGAGGTTGCGGGAGTGTTGATGCAAGATAGAACAAAAGGCCATAAACGCAAGGAGACAGAAAGAGTACATATAGAATAATCAAGATCGAAGTCAAGGCGAACCCAACTCGCATAAGGCGTAGAAGTAGAAGTAGAAGGACATCCATAGGAGATGACCAGCCGAACCAACCAAAGCCCAACCGATGAACCAACAAGAGCCAAAGTGGTGTGATCGGCGAAGTCAATCATGAGAAAGAGTACAGTGCATAACGATCAACCAATGTCCCAGCGGCGGGACCCGCAATACCTCCGCGCAATCAATATCCAACATCCATCGCGTCTCCTGTCCATCGTGGACGCAGAAGAATCTCGCTGAGGAAGTGCTTGCCACCGCCACCCAATGGGCTGGCAGCAAAGACATCCCCTTGGGCAGCTCGTACCCCCTCCATCGCTGCCCGTGCACGGGAGACGACGGGGTGAGAGGCGACTGGACCGATCTCAGCACGTACGGTGGGATCTGTGCGCATCATGCTACGGATCAAGTCTTGAAGCTCCTCGCTCAACGACTCAAGCCCGGTGTCGACCTGCGAGAAGTCTTCTTGCCGAAGTCGGTGCCATGCCTCGCCCCTACGCATGGACGTCAGCGACATGAATGAAGATGAACGACAAGAGACTCACTGTCCAGGCACGACGATATTGGTCGCCGCCTCGAGGATGGTCATGCCCACGCTGAAGACGTCAGCCGCCTTGCTGTAACGACCCTGAAGAACCTCGGGTGCGAGGTACAGCTTGTCACCCTCGCGCTCGAACGCATTGCTGACAATGGTGTCCGACGGTGGCGGAGGGCGTGGCCACACAGACGCCATGCCAAAGTCGCCAATTTTGAACCGGCCCGAGCTCGTAATGAAGACGTTCTCCGGCTTGATATCCAGATGGATGATTCCAGCATCATGAATGAAGTACAAGCCCTGTCAACGAAAGCGTAGTCAGTATCGAGGAACACGAGGCATAGCGCAACGCCACGTACTGCACTCAGTTCTGCCAGAACCCGCCACACACGACCTTCATCAAGCTTCGGGTAGGCACGCCCATATGCCAGCAAGAAGTGCGCAAGGTTGCCAAGAGCGCACAACTCCGTCTGAATATAAAGCGTCTCTTCCTCTTCCCAGCTATCTACGTAAGCCAGGACGTTGGGATAGCCACCACGAGCAGACAGGCTGGACAGAATGTCCACTTCCTCGCGAAGTCGCAACCTGATTAGGAGAAAGCCAGACGTAAGTAACAGCACCATTAAGCGAGTTGATTGACAGCGAAGATGCAATATGGCGAGAAGTGGAACCGCCGGATTCGCAGACGGATCCACCGCGCATGCCGCCGGTACGCATCACAGCTACAGACGATCACTCCGCTTTATTCGGGAGAGATCGAGCGACAAAGCGGCACGTCATGGAGAAGAATGTGAAGTCAACTTACCGATGCCTAGCGCCCTCGAACCGCTTCGACTTCTTGACGGCGTACAGCTCGGCCTCTTTGCCACGCCCCGCAAACGAGCCGTCCTTGTAGCGCACCTTCATCACCCGTCCAAACTCGCCCTTGCCGAGTTCGTCGACCTCGATGAAATCGCGATCGAATCGCCCTGGCTGCTCGTCGCCCGATGCAAGAGAAAGGCGTCCCCGCGCAGTTGGCCGGAGCGGCGAGGTGTGGCCGTGAGGCAACCGAGCAGGATGCGCATGCGTCTGCGGGCGGTTGAATAGAGATGTGCGCACGGGGGTTGGCTGAGGGAGCGCAGACGCCCCACTACGAAGTTGTCTTGCGGTCCCCTCTCCATTGGGTGAGTTCGGCGTTGCAGACGTTGTCGAGCTCGGCGTAGTCGGTGCCGGCGGAAGCCTCGGAGGAGCCAAGGACCATTCTGCAAAGCGAGAACAAGCAACCCGTCAGCTCACTCAATCGTGATAGCCATGTTAGAACACACCTTTCGCCCCAAGTCGGGTCGGCGTCGCGGACGCAGAGCCTGCAGTCTCACTGCCACTCGAGAAGTTGCCGCTGCTGCTCCTCCGCATCAACCAACTCGCCTTGCCCTTGTCTCCACTCGTTCTCGTAAAGCCCGGGAGCACGCCAGACGGACGCCCGAGTCCCAGGCCATCATACTTGCTTTGGCGCGTCGTGCTCGGGCTCAGCTCCTCCTCCTCGTCGGTGTTCATGTCCACCGACGACCGCGCCGGATGATGCCCGAGGCGGGCCTTCCCTGTTGTGCGGTTCTCCTTGCCGAGGATGGGGAACGCGGCGGGCAGCGACTTGCGCGGCTTGCCCTTACCTTTCCCCTTGCCCTTCGGTCCGTCCTCGTCGAACTCGGGGAAACCAATCTTAGACGTGACTGCACTCTGCCATGGACGCTGGCCGAGGTGCGAGGTCTTCATCTTCTTTTGGGGCGTTCCTGGGACGCGCTTCGGTGAGGCATGGCCGGGCGCGGACTTGCCAGCGCCGGCGGTGAGGGTTCGATAGATGAAAGCTTCCATGTCGTCTGAGTCATCGCCCGGATGGACAATGTTGACTTCGGTGCCGGGCCAGCCAGACGACGGGCTGGGGCCGAAGCCAGGTGTGACCAGAGCCTGGTCGTCGCCCTCCGATGAGTTGACCGTGCTGACGGAGGTTGAAGCACGGGGCATCGACGGCAGGAACGGGTCACCGCCATGCAAGTGGAACCCGCTGTAGTCCTCATCACTGGAGTAGAGAGCGATCCCAGAATCGCGTGGCCTGAACTTCTTCTGCAGCGGGGAAGCAGGGGCCTCGCGCTTCTGTCTCTTCTTGGGGCTCGGCGTCGCCGAAGCGATGCTGAAGCTAAATGATGTATCTGGGGGCCCGTTGAAGAAGGCCTCTTCCTCGTCGTCCGATGAGCCGTCCCTCTTGCGGCAGTTGGGAGACGAGACGGGTGACGACGCTGCGCGCTCGTGCCACATCCACGCAGAGGGCATCCCAGGTGAGCCGCCGTAGCTGTGGCGGTTGGACGCCTGTGAGCGCTCCGTCGCTGGGTAGCTTTCTTTCATAGCGGCGAGGTTCATACCGCGACGGGGGCTTGCAACGGCGCCTGTCTTCGACTTCTTCTTTCCAGGCCTGGGATCGGGAATACTCGGACCGAAGAAATGGGTCGCTGACCCCGTGCTGGTGATTCGACTGAGCGGTGCCCTTGTATGCGCCTGCGACTGAGTGCGAATGCGAGGAAGAGCTCCAGGCGTGAGTCGTAGATGTGGGACAGGCGAGCCAGACTCAGACTCGCTCGTAGAGCTGGTGGAGGCTCGCCGCCGACGAGGAAAACTAACGGAGCTTGCGCTGTGCGGTCCCCTAACGGGTGAAACGGCTGGCATCTGCTGGCCACATCAGTGATCGCAGCGGTCTGAGCTAAAGAAAGCACATACCTGATTTTCAAATCCTGTGTGGGCTGCGCCCTGCGCCGACTCTAGTAGCTCAGCGGAGACAGGGCGGGAACGCGCACGCCGTTTGGTGACGTGCCCACCCGGTGAGACGGCTTCTGCGACCTCTTCATTGTTCATCTGCCCCATCCTCATGAACATTTCGAGCGCAGGCGACTTGACCTTGCCTTTGCCTTTAGCAGAGTTGAGCGGCGTCCGGGACAAAGAACCGCCTTCGAAGAGCGCCCGTCCATTGTCGTCTGCCGCACGCACGTCAGGACCCGAGTCATACCCACTCTCGTCGTCTGAATGAATCTGCAGCATCGTCATCGTCTCTGCCTGCCGTTTGAGATGCAAGTCCGTCTCAGCGTTTGACTGTGGCGTGCGGAGGTTGAAGCGGGGAGCCGGCAGAGGCGCCAAGCGGTCGAACGGAAGCGACGAGGAGTCGCCTTCAGGCTGCTCTCTGGCTGACGCGACCTGCAACGGAGTGCTGGCTCTGGGGCGCAGCGGCGTAACGCACTGGTTGGGAGTGGGCTTGCGCTTCGCGCCTGCGGTGAGACCCGGAGAGACGGAGAACGGGGCATTGACGTGCTTGACGGAGAGAGCAGGGCGATCCGGCGTCCCTGGGAAACGCGGCGAAGACTTGACGGGAGTGCGTAGGGGAGTGAGAAAAGGGGAGGTTGGTGGCGCCATAAAATGGGAGACGGAGTACGACGACGAAGGCACGAGGTGGGAGTTGTCGAAATCGTCATCCATGTCATCTTTATGGCGATGGGATAGTGAGGGTCGTGTAGAAGGTTGGTGGGTGTAAGAAGATGGCCTCGCAGCAGGAGACTGGAAGATGTCGTCCATGTCCATCGGTTCTGCGGATGGCGGCGCGTGGCGGCGCAGCGGCGAAGGCGTGAGCATGGGCGAGTCGCGGACCAAGGAGTCTACTGCGAAGCGTGGGGGAGTGTTAAAGCTGAAGCGACAAGATGGAGATGCAGCGGGTTCGCGTCTCCTCGAAGGCCTATAAGAGACGTAGTCGGTGCTTGGGGATGAAGCAAACATAGCAGCTGGCGGAAAATAGCAATGCGGATCGCGATTGTGGGCTAAAGTGCGCGGCAGACGGTGTTTGCGTGGCCGCCGTCGTCAAGGCCTTCGGGCGAGAGGTCGTCGTCGTTGTCGTCTAGAGCGGAGGAGAAAGGAGCGAAGGGGGTGGGGAGATGTACGTACTGGGGTGGGCGGTAGTTGGATATTAGAGTGCGAGGCCAGCAGGCTGTTCCCCACGCGTGCGAACTGGCTCAACAACATCATGTGATCGTGGTCGCCACACCCCGCCACGCCTTTCCCACTCCGGTTCAAACTCCCTTTGTGGCGGCCTCCGAAGCGCTCAGCCACTCCTTTTGTCCGCCAAATTTGCTTCCGCGCGTTCCCGCGATGGCGCGCCTGACTCGGGCCCGCACTTAGCGGCGTTGCTGCGATCCCGCCTTGGCCCGGCGCCGCCGCAGTCATCTCTACTCCTCGCAGCGTCCGGGCTGTATGAGAAATGAGCTGCCCTGGGGCTGCCATGTTAATGAAATGTGCGGCTGCAGTCAGAGCCCAATAGATTTACCGGCCCCTGACCACCCCTGGCGCGGCCGGGCGCGGGATGGGCGCGGGGACGGACGACGCGGATCACGACGTCGCCATACGATCAGATCGCGACGCGACGCGCCCTCGTCGGCATGACGGACCCCGCCGCCTCGAGTCTACCAGTCACGCTGACTGTGCAACTCTCCCAGGATCTCGCCAATCGTCTTCCATTGTCGTTCGAGTAGCACAATGGCGTCCTCTCTGATGTTCCCGGAAGAGTTGTCTTCATGAAACATCAGCCACTAGCTTGACTACGCCGACTTCTGACTGCGCTTCGAGGTGCCGTCATCCCTTCGCTGTCGCGCTGATTCCCAAATATATCGCAGGCGGCGCGCACCATTCTTGCTCCCGGTCTTGGGCCGCAGGGGGGGCACCATCCAAGGCGTCTCGACGGAGATGTTCGTTCTGATGGCGTGTGGGATGCCGTCCTACATGCGAGGAACCATTGGGCCACATCCTGATTTGGGTGCAGTTCTGCATAGCTGCGAAAGGTAACTCAGAAGCTTGAATCCATGCACGGCGACTAAAGGATACGTACATCATTGCTCCGTTGTATGGCGGTGCTTGAAGCCTGACGGTCAATTCACCCGATAGATGCACAACAGCCCCGAGACAAGAAATCTTCGAACACAAGACACGGAGGACAGGCGTTGTTGACCGCATCTCCTGCCAGTGGACACAGGGGCACTGCACCGGCGGCAGAAGCGCGTTCTGGCCCACCTGCCTGCTTGGGAGTTGCGACAAAGCAACGCGTACACAACGCGTCCGGAAAAGGTGTGTTGTGGGTCCAGCTTTGCCCCGAACAGGTGGCGCTCGGTTCAAAATGGAAAGTGCATGCTAATACTTAACACGATCGCAGGGTCACCGTCCCGCGAGCGCATTCACAAGGTCGGCCATATGGAGTCGGCATGCTTTTGTAGGTGTGCGTCGGCCAGCTAACGGGACTGAGAGCAGACGGACACCATGCCCCGGTTCTTCGCGGTCCTCCGCATTTGTTTCAAAGGTGTGTTCCATCTCGGTCTAATGTACTTACTCGATCCTGATGTACACCCTTGGTCGCTATCCTGCCACTGAAACACTTCGGAGCGACAGCTGGGGTTGGTATACACAACTTGACCGCTGTGATCTTCCGACGCTCATGCCGACTCATGCAGTCAGGCTGGCACCGCCGGCTGCGGACTCTCAACGTTCAACATCTCAGACAAGTCTTCGCGCCAACAAGTCGGCCGGAGGTAATGCAGCCTGTGCGCTCTCGATACCGACTGCTGTTAGGAGGCCTACGGTCTAGTGAGCCGATACAGTGGCCCTACGCAGGACCTCACACATGCCGAGTGTATCGTCTTTCAAAGATAACTGGAATCATGTGGCGAGCGCGTGTTGAACGTTGAACGTTGAACTTGCGTTGAACCCTGCTGGTCGCGTTCATCCGAAGTGCCTCCGGACATACTCAGTGATACTTACCATGGTGGTACCTTCCTCATCACTGCCAGCAGTGAGTCAGATGTTTGTGCATTCCTCGGACTACGCTCCTGCACGGGCCCATTATACTTGCTGCTTCATGGCTCTTTATCCCATTGTCCTGTTTTCCCCCATCTCTAAGTTCAGTTCCGCGGTTCTCCGAGTGATATAGGTATCTCGTGATCCGCGTTTCCATCGATCGATCGTGGGACGTTGACATTGTAGTCGCATCCAGAGTCGAATCAAACCGCACCCACCGTGCGACGCGCTCTGCTTTCCGACACAGCTCACTGCGCGCGCGACAAGACGAGGCCTCACCCTCTACGTGTTGTCTCTCTTTCACCGAGGCCAGAGTATGCCAATAAACCGCGATGACGCCACTGAGCAAGACACGGCGCCGATGGTCAAGGAAGAGGTTTTAGAGCCTACTATCACCGACCGGGAACCATCAGTAAGTCTTACCGTTGACTCTCATTGCGTTGCTAGATGATGGCGCCGCATTGTCACGGTCAATTGACGCGAAACTGTGGGGTAGATTGACTTACTCCCTCAAAAATCCCCGCTCGGTCACGAGTACACCGTCTTTCCAACAGGCCACCAAATCGAGTTCGACACCGAGAGGGTGCTCTTTGAGGGCATGCACATGGCAAATGCAATGGAAAAATGCATCGCCGCGCTTAACTTGGAAGTATCTACTAGTAGAACCACGATGCGACGAAACAACTGGATGCGATCCCTGCGCCAGTGAGTAGTGAATGATCTGCATCGTGTCATCCATGGCTGAATCAATCGGCCTCGAGATTGCGTGACGCAGCACGTCAGAGGACATTAATAGCTGTGTGTGGAGGCGAGTCGCTGCTCTAAATGCTTATGCGTGCACCCACTCACTAATATTGTGGTCTACGACAGCTACCGGAAGTGGGAAGTCTTCCCTAATCAATGCAGTCCTCGACTGTGAGAACAACCTTCCCGTTGACGCAGAATACCTTCTATAACTAACCGCACCGAACAGTGCCTTTGGTCCCCACAGACGGAGCACAAGGTAAGTCCAGTATACCCTCTCAGCGTCGCAGCTCTTGACAAGCTGCCAATCTCTTCTTATGTTATCCAGCTTGTACTTCTGTCATCACAGAGATCACCTGGCACGAGGATGCATCGTTCCGCGCAGACATCATCTTTCTGTCCGAGAAGGACTGGTTGGAGGAACTCATGCCATTACATCTAGATCTTCAGGAATTCACTGGGGATCCAGCAGACAATGAAGATATAGAGTCTGCCCGGGCCAAGGTAAGCGAGGGCTGAAAAGGCACAAATGCTTGTGGTTTAACTGTTGGAAGCTCCACGCGGTGTATCCGCATCTTGTGCAGTACCATGAGTTAAAGGGGATTGCTTCTCTCACAGACTTCGTTCGGTCAGATACAGGTCTTTATTCGACTACTTCCCTTGGTTATCCAAAGCTAATTCACTTCCCAGCGACGTTTTCCTTGCTCGGGACTACGAAAAGCATCAACACGACCGACAAAGCGTGCCTTGTACAAGCAGTTCAACAATACATCAGGGCTGCGAAGCAGTCAGGTAGCGCCAGTTCCGGGTCTGCGAGCAGGAGCAATGTACACTCCAGCAGTGCTCCTTTGAACCGCGAACTGTGGCCGCTTGTTAAGGCAGTCAAGATATATTGCAATTCCCCGGCCTTATCATCGGGATCAGTCTTAGTCGACTTACCTGGCACTGCTGACACAAATCGCGCTCGCGCCAGCATTGCGACGGCCTACATGAAGCAATGCAGCCACACCTGGGTTGTGATGCCGATCACACGCGCCATTGACGATAAGAATGCTAAAGGTGAGCCAAACAAGATTAAGTGATTGGCTCATACTAAATCTGGTATGCATGTAGACCTAACGAATGCCGCATTCCGGATGCAACTACTGAGTGAGTGAGACGATCTATATTCCTGCATTATGCTGACCATGGTTTCTCTCGATTAGTGGGTAAGCATGCCTTTAGATCATGTATTGGCGTGCAGACTGATGCCTGGATGTGTACTACGCAAGATGGGTCATACGAAGATGGTCGTATAACACTGATCGGTAAGCACTACCGAGTCTGCCCTGATTCTGTACCTCTCCAAAGCCCTCGCTTTATTCTACAGCAACGAAGACGGACGACATTTCTCCGTCGGAGGTCCTTGGTGGCAGCAACTTAGATGATGACGAAACTGGCCTAAAGGATATCGTTGAGACGGAGGGCAAACTCAGGAAGGAACTCTCCGGCATTGAGACAGATCTGAGCTTGAACAAAAAGCGGCGCAGATCTGTCAGATGCTCTGAAATTGCATCGAAGAAAGCTCGTACTGATACGGCGGAACACCGTACAACGGAACACCATGAAATTCGTCAGGTTAGCAATCATCATAACGCACTGATATTGTTCAAACTTTGAAAGCTATGCGCACTCTCGTCGCAGGACTCTGATGCGACCACCTCTGTGCCTCAGCCCGGTCATGGGGAGGAAGGAGGAGGATCGAAGTGCACATCTGCGCTCCCATCAAGCGAAATCGATGCGGAAGTTACTCAAGCCGACGAGCAAATTCGAAACCACATCAAGCGAGTGGAGCTTCAGAAAGCGATTCATGAGTTAGTAATCAAGAAGCGTGTGCTTTGTGCTCAGATGCGATCCAGGGTGTGTTGTTTCCCGTGTATCTCTCTGTTTGAAAGTTCATTCGATGGGCAGGAAAGTGTCAACGTCATGAAGCGAAAATTCGTCAAGCAACTGAAGGATCTGGAAGGTGGGTGCGATTGGTCTGGAGGTCGCTCTCAGCCGATGTGAGGCCTTATATGCTTCGTCCTAGATACAGCCGCAGAGGAAAACGACCCAGATAACTACGACCCAGGCGTTCCCTCAAGAGGTGGGCCGTCTTGTTTGCCTTCTGCCTCACTGCAACTCACATTGTTCTCCGTCACCACATGGTAGACTACTCTCGTATCAACCCGCCCGTTCTGAGCTGCAGTGCAGTTGACTATCTACGCATCCAAGGTACTTACTAGGATATCTGTCCTCTGGTACTACGCCTCAATATGCTCATCTCTTCTGCAATCTAATAGCGCATGTGGTCGGAGACGGGCTCCCAAACACCTTTTTTGACGCAGAGTCTACGGGCATCCCTACGATACAAGAGTGGTGTCGCAACCTTGGCAATGTTCGTCGCAGGGTTGCCTGTCTTGGCCTTTTGGAACGCCTGGATGCACTAGCCGAGTCGATTCACTCATATGCTCAAGATATCAACCTTGAAGATGTCGCGAAGAGTGACCGCGAGGTTATGAGGAAACGGTGGCAATCGGATTCGACAAGCGGCACAGGGCTTGCGTGTAAACTGAAGGAGGTGTGTCAGTCTGTCCGCCGTGGGGATACACCCTGATGTCTTCCCCTCGGCGTCCGATTACAGGAGCTTCACGAGGTGGCACAGAACAGGTGTCTCAAGCTACAAGACCGTATTTCTGGATCCATGGAACGGAGGTGCCGAGAAGCCGCTCTCAAAGTAAGACAGCAATCTGGTACGATCTCAGTGTGTCTTGCCTTGCTCATTCATTGCGTCGTGGTTGGTATAGGCTGCAGAGAGCGCGGAAAAGATCTCAACCGAGTTTGCCACCGGGATGCATTGGGCCACATACAAAGCTAGTGAGTTCCTCTATGAAGACTGGGACCAATGACGAGATTTTCATATTTTCTGTCAGCACTCCGTCGACATGGTTCATGGCGGCAAGACCTCAACGTCAATCTTACCGTGCCATTCATGCGCAAGATCGCGGTGCACTGGTCGAACACGTTCAACACTCAATCAGTAGACCTCATGGAAGATGTGGCCGGCATTGTCGGGAAGGCATTGACAGAGGTTGTGGAATCCGCAACCCCGCTGTTGAATGATCTTGCGCGTGACCGAGCAGAGCAAGGCAAGAAGGAGTTGGAGAATATTCTTGACGAAATAGTGGACATTGTGCACGAAGTCATCAGCGACGAACAGAAGGAGGCCAGCCGGTGCCTGGCTCCCCACATTATGAGGGTGCTCAAACCCGGGTATGAAGACGCAGCACAGCAAACCGGGAGGGGCTCAACAGCTCGGCGGAAGGTATGCATGCGTCGTCAGTGAGAGCGAGACTTGCTGACTGGTCTGGCAGGCATTATTCAACGAATACGTGGCCACGCACAAGAACTCCGCCTTTCATGATGGAGCGAATGTACTATTGACTCGATTGGGCGGGGTAACTGACGCGGTGAGAGACACTCTAGAGGAGGAATTCGATGTATTGAGTGAGAAGGTATGTGGAGGGATTGTCCTGCCACCATTCGGAGCTAATAGACATTTCGTATTCAGATGGAGGTTGCGATGAGTGTCTTGTGGGATCGCCCTACGAGCGATGACTCACTCGAGCTGAAAGCATGCGTGCACGCCACAGCAACTATGGCAGAGATTCGAGACCAGATTCGGCTGTGGCGGCGAGCTGCCAACCCGGTGAACTAGTCAGCTACACTTTGGTCTTACATTCGTTGTCCAGCTATATCATGGTGTGCAGTTGCCTCCGGAGAACATTGTCTTGTACTCTGTATCATATCGATCGCTTTTTCCTTGCTCTTCCATGGTATACACGAGTGTAATGTCATGAACATGATCGTCGTGCCTTCATATAAGAGTGTCTCGAGACCCGAAGGTCGAAGGAATTTCGGATATGTCTGCCGTCTCACTCTTAGCATGTATGTTCACGCTCGAAAGGATATGTATTGCGCATGATAATGTCATACAATGGATGTACGTGATCCCGCTATACGATCTGCAACCTACCAGGCACACAGTCCAGTGAGAAGAGAGAAATACTACTGAAGGCTCGAAGACTCACGTCTCGTATGTACGGCAATGTCAGTACATGCCCGACCCCGGGCAGTTGCCGCAAGAAAGTGAGGATCACTGGGAAGAAATCCCTACGCACGCCGCATCAGTTCACGACCACTCCGAACCGCCAGAAAACATCGACGTACCCAAACAGGTTCAAGAACCCAAACGTCTCCACGACCATCCCCACGAACGGCCACTTCAAGAACACGAGGAGGATGCCGCCGATGAAGCATGCCGTCCCGCGGAGCTTCTGTCTCCGCGCGAAGAAGTAGAACGTTTTGTGCGGGCCGATGATGAGCGTCAGCCCTGCGAGGAAGAGAACCTGGGGAGGTCGTGGGTCTGTCTGTGGTCAGTACAGAGGTGGTGGCCGGTACGCACGTTGCCTAGCGCGAGCAATGCTCCATCGAAGAAGAGCACAACACCCAGCAGCATGAAAAGGCCTCCGAAGGAGGTGAGCGCCACGCCAATCTCTATAACGGAGGTTAGCCATTACTCCAGGAACGACCTGAAGACGTACTCTGCCCGTCCGTGAGCCACATGTTGTCTCCTGGCTTTTGTGATAGATCTTCAGGTTGAGTGGCGGCTTATTCGAGTGTCGCAAGCTCAGTCCACACAGCAACACGGGTTAGGAGAAGGAATGCGTAACAGGGCGTGGAACGCGTATAGGTGTAAGTCAAAGTAGACCGTCGCGTACGTGTCACTGCGCGCGTAGACGCGCGCTATACGAAACGCGCCTTGCGGCGTGCCACCTTCGCACCGCTTCGACTCACAGTGGGCAACCTCACGCCCAGCGATGGAGGTGAATGCAAGGCTCGATGATGAATTGCATAAGTTACAGTATAGTATGGATACAGTGATAAGCTCGTTGCAAACTCGAATCCGACCACCGGGAGACGCGCCCGTGCGTGTATATGGGCCGCCCCGGCGAACTAAAGACACCATGCTTGACATGGCACAGAGCGCTGTACAGTACTGTAAGAGCAAGCACAGAGAGACAAATGACAACCGTACGGATGGAGATGTCGGTGGGGTGAGACGTAATGCAATGTGTGTGGGAGGTGAAAGGGGAAAGGGGAGGATAGTGATGGTCGATTAGCCCGCCGAGCACCCGCCCGCGGGGTGACGCATAATCTACAGTGGTCGATTGTGTATGTAACCGATCTGCAAAAGTACCGTTGTGTTTGGGAGAAAGTCAAGGACGAAGCCTGTCGCACGGGCCCCCGGGCGCGTGTGGAATCCTGCAGGTTCCTACGATCCCAGACGGGCCCTGTCATCGCTCTTGCCTTCCTCAGTGTCGTCTGCGTTCTGTCCTGCGTTGAGTGCCTGTGTGGTGGCCAAATATGCATCCGTTGCCAAACATTTCGGGTCTCCGGGCTCGCGGTAAGCCTGGCGGTATGTGTGTAGAAGGCGACGCGAGAGTGGGATACTGTTTGGTTTCGTGGCCGGTAGCGCCCACGATCCAACGATAGGACAGTGGCGCGACATGAACGGACTGACGACCAGGGTAAGACTGAGGTGTCACGAGCGACCAAGGCACGCATTCCATGATGTCCTTTCAGCGCGAAGCGAGTGCCAGCACCACCGTGCGCGTAGCACTCTAGTCTGCGCCTCCGTCGAGGCTGCGAATAGGGCGTCAGCATCCGCGGCCAGGGTCAGACCGACGGAGGCGCTGACGACGTTTCCTGCAGCAGCTTCTGCTGCCGCTCTTCCGCTAGCTTCCTCTGGCGGTGTTCCATCGCTTCGTCGACCCATTCGGCATGTCCACGGACCGCTTGCGGTCGGCCTGCAAGAATGGATGGTCCTGCGCGCAACACGAATTGAGTTGACCTAACCCAAAACATAGCGCTGCACTTTGCCATGAAAAAGAGGACTCACTAGCAACTCCGCATAGCTTGCGCGCATCTCGGGCACCTTGTGTAGGCACCGCGCGACAAAGTCACGGCTCGCGTCCGAGAAGCCTTCCGGCAGTTCCGGCGGGTCGCCGTGCACGATCGCGGTGAGCTGCGCGAACACGTTGGCATACGTCTCCGGCGGGTATGGATACCGCCCTATCGCCATCTCGATCATCGAGAGACCCAACGACCATACGTCGGAGGAAACGGTGTACGTGCTAACGTTGTTCTGCGACTCCCCCTTGATCCGCTCGGGCTATAAGGTGCGAAGAAATAGGATAGGGTAAGCCGGGAATGAGCGATGGTGATGAGAGGATTCATGTTGCGGGACGCACCGCCATATAACTCTGACACCCGATATTTGTCTTGGCCAAAGACTTCTCCAGCTGCCCGGAGACACCGAAGTCGCAGAGTTTGATGTGGCCTTTCCTGTTGACGAGCACGTTCGTGGGTTTCACGTCTTTGTCGGAATCAATATAGAGGAACTACAATAGGGGGCGTCCCGGTATACTCACCGCGATGTATGATCTGTAATTCGTCCTTCAAGAACTTCAGCCCGCGGACCATAGCTCCTGTGACGCGGGCGAGTACATCCTCCGGTACGCCCGCGCACTGAAGCTTGTCTAATGAACCAGCATCCATATACTCCATGCAGTAGTACACGCATCTGTTCCGACGTTTTAGCATGTGTTCGGTACATGTAGCCGGATGCTCGGAAACGTACGACTCAATGAAGAATGCTCCATAGAACTCTACGATTTCCGGCGCGACGGCGCGGTGGAGGATGTCCAGCTCCATCAGGATGGCACTGAGTTTCGAATCGTCCAGTTCCAGTCTGATCTCCTAATGAAATGATGGCGACAGCCCGTGTTCAGCCGAAGTGTGCGACGAAATCATGCAGAGAAACGCACCTTCATAGCCATCGCAACATTTGTGGGTTTATGCAGCACCTTCCGAACTGTACCATATGCGCCCTTCCCGAGCTCGTCCTCCAACTGCAGCTGTGACATGTTGATTGAGAACGATGCCCCGTTGTTAAAATTGACACCCTGGGCGTGAAGGATGGCTTTTCCGCCGAAGTGGAGCGCTCCGGATGCGTCTCTGTAATTCAAGATCCGGTCAATCACCAGGCCACAGAAGACGGGCGATGCAACACGTACACAATCTTGCTGAAGTTGGAAAATGGCGTTGAGAAGTTATTCTGGGCCGGTCGCCGCTGAGGCTCATCGTCCATCATTGGTCGTCCGACACCAAGACCAGCGCCCTGCGGGCCCGCACCGACTGGTGGGAGGTGTAAGCCGCCGGGCACATCGTTCGGGCTGAGCTTAGGCACACCAGCCTTGACGCGCCGCGCTGCTAGTCCACCCATGGGAGGGCCAGGGCGCGAGGGCCCGGGCGACGACGCGGGGGCGCGCAGGCTGGGCGCTGCCGCGGGTCGATCTCCGAGTGAGAGGTCGGCGAGTCCAGCAGCTACGGCGCCGTCCATGACCCTGGGTCCGCTGCCGGGTGACTGCTGACTCCTCTGGGCGAACTAGCGGAACAAAGACACGGGTCAGCGATGTGCCCCTGGAGGATGCGGAGCGATATGGGTGCGATGGGGGGCGATGGGGGTACTCACCGCAGCCATCTTTGCCTGCAGGGAGGGCGGAATGGGAGTGGACCCGAGGGGGCGGCGGTTGTTGAGGAGGCCGGCGACGCTACTGCGGGTGCCGGCGGGCGCGGGGCGCGGGTGGATGGCGTGGCCGGGGTGCACGGCGGGGCCGTCCTGGTGGGAGGCGGGGTCAGACATGGCGGACGGAGGAGGGCGGAGGGGGGCGGCAGGCAGCAGCGTCGGGGAGAGGATGAGGATTATAAACGGGCTCTCTCCTGTCCGCGAATGAGCGTCGACGCGCTGCGCTCTCAGCCACCGTGGCCGCCCGGCACTCCTTCCTAATCCGATTGTTCGTCAACGTTCTCCCACGTTCCTCCCTTTTCCCCGCATTTCATTTCGCGCGGAGTCCCATTCCTCAGCCACCTCCCCGTTCGACGCCACCGCCTCTCAGCGAGCTGGCCATGAGCTCAACATGAGCTCCACAACGGTCGAAGCATTGTCCTCGTCCCTTTCCTCTGCCCTCCGCGACCTACGCTCCTTCGCATCCAGCGTGAACTCGCCCCTCGCTTTTGGTGCGCACGGTGCTGCGAAACGCGACTCTAAGCTGACAGCCTGTTGCAGTCGTTCCGATCCTAGTCATCCTCCTCCGCGTCGCATACGTGCAGGTCAGGCACATCCACGAGGAACGCAGCGCAAAGAAGCGCGACATGAGCTACACCGTGAAATGGGGTAGGGAACGGTGCGTTGGCCATATCATTGTCATGTCGCGTTCTCTGACGTCGTCTCCTCTCGTACGCGTATCCTGGCGTCCATCTTTGTCTCGCTTCCCCTCTGCGCCAACCTCGTTTCGTACTCACACACATCCTCGGCCACTATCGCTCCGCCATCTATTGTATCCCCGCGCGATACTTCCCCCGGTATCCCTCCCGTCACGATCGCCCCGTCCGCAGGCTGCATTTCCCGCTTCCCGCGCCCGACGCAAAGTTGGCGGAGATCCGACATGAAATCGCGACGTACACTCAATTGGACCCTCAATCCTTCAAGCTCGTCCACGCCGGCGCCGTCATGAGGGACGACAACGCACCGAGTAAGTACCGCTTTCCTGCCTGCATCAACTTCCGCCAGCCGTTGTCCGCCATACTGTCGGACCTTTTCGCGATGCCTGCCTGGCGTTGCGGAGCATCGATATTCTTCTCAGTCGCATCTCGCACATTCGTGATCCTTCGCAACGGCGAGCTCCGCTCCGCCTCACGATCGAGCGGGAGCACGAGGTCTGCCCCATGGCGTCACAGCGCGGACAGCCGCCGGGCCATTCACTCGCCCTATCACGCCCACCACCAATTCGGCGTATCACTGCCCGCCATCTCCCTTCGCACAGACCACCTGACGTCACCGTTTATTTCGACTCGCCACGCTCGCGCTGCACCTCGCATCATAACATGTATTGTGCCCGGTGTTCCTGTACTAGCGATGTCATCCGCCGCTTATCGTCCGTGCATTCGCTGACCCCCCACGTCATTGTGTCCTCTAGTATCCGCATATGGCATCAAACTAAACTCAACCATTGCTGTGGTCGGCAGCGGTGATGTCCCTCCCACATCGAAGCGGCACAAACACAAGGAGAAGCCCGCAGAGCGCACGGAAGCTTCCACAGTCGCGCAGATCCGCGGTGAACTCGATGCCGTGCGGCTCACGCTCAAGCCAGACGTCGAAGCATTCCTCACGACGCTCGACCCCGTCCTCAATACCTCCGCTCCCACACCCAGCCCGCCGCTGTGCCTGGGCCGAAGACAACGCAGCTCGGAGGACGCAACACCGACATTGAGCTGGAGCACCGAAGACTGGGCGAGCTGCTCCTCCAGTCGCTGCTGAGACTGGACGCCATCACGGCAGAGGGCGAATGGGAGGAGGCCCGGAAGGAGAGAAAGGGCGCGGTAAAGGAGGTGCAGGGCTTGCTGGACCATTTGGATGGCGGATGGAGAGCGCGGCCCCGGGCGAAGGCGCAGTCCGAGACGTGAGTGCGAGGCACACATACCTTCCACTGTTGTGTAGACAGGCTAGACGGGATAGCTAAGGTTGGTTCGTGATAATTATTGACGGAGCTTGCTTATTCTGGGATACCTGTATCTACTTGTGCAAGTCCGACGCGTGCATATTCTCGTCGACTCCGATCATGAAAGCGGCTCCGACACCGCCCCGCGTCGTGGAATCTGCGTCAACATGTCGGGACCGACGGGCAGGGACTTCAGATCGTCAGACCGGCTGCCCCGATGGTTGTCCAGCCCATGTGGCTCCGCCGTCCTAAACCCGCATCTCAGGTCGCGATCGGCCCACCCCGGTTCCGTAGCATTGGGGGTGCCTCTCGTCGCAATCTCGCCACAATCTCGCCTGTCCTGGAGTGCCTTCCGCGTTTGTTGCGATAGCGAAGGTCCGGTTGCGAGATGATGTGGTAGCTAGGCATGCGTTCGCGCTGGATTCATGTGTGTTATCTCGTGCTCCGGGGACCCTCATCTGTGGGGCCCGTGATTTTGAGGTGCGTATGTGATATCGAACTTCGAAGTGGAGACGGCGTCGCCAGGCTGTCGCGCGGTGTCCGATGCACAGATCTTGATCTGAGTGGCCTCGACAGGCGCCGGTCCCGGGAGCCTCCGTCCTCGTCCTCCATCCACGGTCTCGACTCCCGACCACTCCGGTCTTCAACGCTGATCGACTCCGATTCGGGGCTGCGTCTGTGGGTCGCGGCTAAGCTTGCTCGACGGCGCCGGACGAATATGCAAGGCTTCATGTAATAGCCGCGGCTGTGAGGCGGCCCGACGCTCGTACGGGCAATACCGCCAGGCTGTTTGCATTGAGTCCGAGGCGGCATTGGAGCTACGGTGCTAAGTGCTTCCGGCAGCAGGTGAGTACTGGGTTCTGTGCACTTTAACCTTACTTGCTACCTTCGACGTTGTAACCGGGAATCGCGGGACTTGAACAAGATTAGACTCTCGAAGTGTGGAATTTGGAAATGTCAGTGCGTCCGAGTCGCTACCGTCCCCGGACGCACTTACGAGGCACTTACGCACCTGTTGACAGCAAGAACGACTGGTGACGATAAGCATCGGCGGACCCTTTTACGTGCCGCGGTCGCCACCGATGCGGTGCAACGCAGTTGGCCGGCCAAACACTCGGGATGAACGGGAATAGCTGTCAGTGACAATGCGGCGTAGGGCCAACTGACACCGTGGATACAGTTCCTGTGGGTGCTGGGCCCCGTGTAAGTCGTGCGACTCTCGCGCGACCGTGCGTCATGGTTGACGAGATGATGTCGGTCGTGTCGTACAGCACAAGTCGATTGGCCTCCATCCCTTTGGGCGACGTTGCTGACGACATTGAGCACTAGGTGGAACGGCGTCCTCTGCAGTGGCGTAGGCACGATGGACTCCTCGGGCAGCAAGGCTGTGTGGACGTACTTTGTCTCCTGTTTCGAGAATGACATTACCGCTTTGGTTTTAGGGCGCATGACGAGAGCCAAATTCCCCACGCCTCGGCCTCCAAAGGACGGGGCCTCTTCGACTCCTTTGGTTGCACTTCCTATGCAATGTCCCTACTATACCGGCACTGTTTCTATGGGGGGACAAAAAGGATATACGCTACATGTGATGCACGCGGGGTGTGGTCACACACAGTGAGAGCGTTGGACGTCGAGGGCCTAGACACCGAAGCCATCATAGCGTAAATAGAGCGGGAAGATTTGGCGTGACCAATCTGTACGTGGATTGAGAGTAACATATACAGAGCGACATGTTCGTCGACGAGTTTGTACGAAGTGGTGTAACGTCATCATTGAACACGAGATCAGAGAATATGAGGTACACCACAGACGATTCACAACTACCGACGGAGAGAATATGTCCTCCAGCGAGAGTAAGGAAACATACTATGTAGCTAAAGATGACCGCCAAGGCAATCGCTCACCCGAATGTTTCTTAACATCAAGAGGCGCTCCGAGGATCTCCATGAATATCTCATATGAGATCTGGCTGTCGCGTTGGGCCTCAAGCATCGTGATCTGAGCCTCGTATGCGGGGCCCCGCATCCATGTGCGCAAGCAGATGACGTTCGACGCCAGGCTCTCGAGGATGGCAACTTTAGGGCAGCTTCGAGGTCCAGCCCGCCTCCGGCTCGTGGGCCACGAGATGTTTCAGAGATGGATGGGCTCGTTTGAACGTCTCGTCGTAGACATTACGGTTTTGTAAAAAGATCTGCTTGCGGCCGCCAATCTCAACCAACGTCGCCCGCTCCCACGCGTCCAGGTGGCCGAACTTCCGCTTGTCCGGGTCCCACACCGCGCAGACATACGCGAGCAACCAGAAGAAGGCTTCGAGGTCGTGACGGTAGAGGTGGGATGGGGGCGGGCTCGAGCGCAGGAGGTCCAGGGCCATAAACGGACCCGTGCCCGTGCGGTACCTTGCCTTCTTCGGCGAATCGCTCGACGTGGCTTCCCCTGCGTCGGCTGTCGTTGCAGTGCCGTCAGCCACCGTGGCCGAGGCGGACGCAGATTGTCCTTCGGCGCCAGCATACTCGTGAGTGCGCGTCGATTGACTGTTGCCGTGCATGCCATCGTTCTCCGCTAGATCCCAGTCGCAGAGAACACCATACAGTTTGCCATCTTTGCGGATCCACATGATGTTGTTTGTGCTGATATCAGCATGCAGAATGCGCGACGTCGTCCATACCCAATAGTGAGCTACAACCCTCGTCAGTCAGATGCAACAAACAGACACAATGACGCTGGCACACACCTCGCACGACGTCAGTATACACCTTCTTGAAATCGTCAACGGACTCGACCATTTCGAGCCGTTGGTAGCACTGCATTACAAGCACCCGGCAGACGCGCTCGTCAGCTTCATCACGGGCGAGGCCCATCGCAGCCCGAGGCAGCTTCATCTCCTCGATCGTACGGCTCACATAGCATTTCAGGTCCACGATGTGCGGTAGGTACTCCCGCTTTGCCTCGCTCAGCCTTTTACGCACGGCGATAATGACGGAGTCCTCCGCCGAGCGCAGCGCATCTGGCCAGGCAATCTTCGCTACGAGCTTGTCGGTCTTGAAGTGCTTGTACGTGTCTGTCTCCAGCGTCGCTTTGATCGGGATGACGCTTGTGCCCCGACCCAGCGCTCCGTATTGTGTGTATATCCACCTCGTCTTGCCGTCGACGTCGACGTCGAATTCGAACGGCTCGGGCTCAGAGGCATCAGGCCGCCGCGCCGTTATGCGCAACTGAGAGCCCTCGTACCGCTCGAACTCCGTCTCCTTCTGCTTGTTTTCCGGAAAATGCAGATCACGGAAAATCCCCATACCGTGCACGCTCGCCTGACCCATAGCCGCAACGCATCTCATGAAAAGCCCAGATTCTTCGCGTTGAAGGAACTTGAACTTCCTCGTCACGACGATGCCCATCCGATCGCCGTAGTACAAGCGCATGTTGGTGTCCTCGACCAGCCAGCCTATCCCGAACGACCGCACGTTGGACGACAGCAAGTGGTTCATGTACTGCACCGCTTCTGCCTCGTTGTGCGTCATATTGACCTCCTGAGGCCGCACGGGATCGGCCTCCTTTGCCTGTATGTCCGTGGCGGCAGGAGCGTCCTGGGCTTCTCCCGAATCGTCCGTGGGCATACACCGTGCTCGCTTCGCCTTCGGCAATTCGGTCCCGTCCTCTGCAGATGCTCGTTTGCGTTTGCCTTTCTCCACGACACGATATGCGTCCGTATCGATCAGCAGCAGCTCTGTGCGACTCAGTACAGGGTCGGTCTTCGTTTTCTTGATCTCCATGAAAGCGGCCTCGAAGTCCCATTGCGGCCACTTTCCAGGAGTCAATTCCACCGTACCGAAGGTCATATCGCGATCGACTCGCTCGTCCATGTAGCGGCCTTCGTACTTCCTGTCGCGCTTCCTGAACTGCGCCGGGAACGCGCGACGTTCGCGCTGCTGGCTGCTCTTCAGGCCGTACATTTGATTCAGCAGCCCGTTAGCTATGTTCGCCAGCGGCACGTAGCACTTCCTCTCCCTCCGCTCCAGCAAGTAGGCACGCAAGGACGCCTTGTCGAAGGAAAGCGGAGCGGAGCCTTCGCTAGGTCTTCCCGCGCTCGTAAATCGTCTGGGTGGTACATCCTCGGGTCCAAAGCCCCAGACAGCCTGGATGAACTTCGCTGGATCGAAGTTCCACACGATCTTGCCGCGGTATTGCTCCTTGACCCAGTCTTCGTGTCTCCGCCGTTGCCACTGCGTGCCGTTGTCGCTGCTGAGGACGCTGCCACTGGCACTGTGCACGCTCGGCTGGGCAGGCATCGAGTGAGGCTTGCAGAGAGCTGATCTTGCGTGTCAGCGTGCATTCGCCACGACTTGCGGGTGTTCAACGTACCAGTTTTGCGGAGTTCGCGGCCAGAAGGAGTGTCCCTCGGGGCTGGGCCCGTGGGCAACGAGGTAAAGGGAATCATAGCTGGATAGGCGTCAGAATCGTTATACGGCATCTTGGCCCAAGGGATAGAGAGGAATCAATGTGCGGGTACACTGTAGTCTCCGAGTCCCCTAGGCAGACCCTAAAAATACCTCTTTGACGGAGGAGAGGACGGTCCTAGGACAAGGACTGAAGAGTGGAATGGTCAATGGACTCAGAGAACGGAGGGACGCGGCATGAACGGTAATTATTTCGTCTTTGGCCATATTTACCACCTGGGCCACGTATTTTCAAAGTCAGATACTTGTTTTGGGGAACAATGCGGTGGGCGGAGACTGTGGCAACGTTGAAGTAGTTGTCCAAAACGGGAACAAGGATCGCCCCCCATCGACCACGTGACCTTCTTCCCGACACGGTGACTGCGACAGTTGGGGACTGGTATTGAGTACTGAGCTGAGCATTGCAGCTGGCACTAAGACAGATCTAATGGTGCCCCTCCTACTCTCATGCGAAGCACATGAGTCGAATAAGACATTAAATGGTTCAAAAATCTATATGTATACAGACAGGCACCAAAGACCGATAAACAAAAGAGTACTGTCTACTAAGACAAGAGCCACCCACTACCACCGCGTCCGGCAGTAATGGCAGTTCCCATCGCACCGCCGACGAGAGATGCACCCCAACACCGCGTCCGGTGTTAGAGCACATCCCCTGCCATTGAGCGCTGTAAGAATACATCACGAAACGAGGACGAGATAGGAGACAGGAACAAGAGGGGGAGATACGGTACGAATTGAGATAGGAAATGTACAGGCGCGAGAGGGGACCATGGATGAAGATGGAGACCCGAGACAGAGAATAAAGATGTGTTGAGCGGAGACAGGGCGGGCGGAGACCGTGATGCGAGCGTGGATCTTGAGCAGGTCTTGAGGTCCACAGCGAGGTACCGGAGGGGATCAGGGCGACTAGATGAAGCATAGGAGAGGTGGGAGGCCAGATGAAGCATGGAAGAGGCGGAAGGCCAGATAAAGCATGGAACTTGAAGACGAGGCAGACTAGATGAAGCACAGAATAGACGGGGGACTAGATAAGGCATGGCAGATGGAGGCAAGATGAAGCATTGAAGAGATGGGCGGGCACGACGTTGATAGACCTGGCCTAGGTGTTGCCTAGAACGGCGATGCAATGCTGATAGAGACGAGGCGTGCGGGTTCTTGCGAGTTGTATGGCGTCGAGATGCGAGATGAAGGCGACGCGGAGTCGAGAGGGTGCTGGGTTGATACTTGCTATGCTTGCGAATTGAGAAGACGAGGCTTAGGTGCAGAAGCCGTGAGTGAAGAGACCAGGGATGAAACCATGGGGACGGATAGGAGAAAGACGTCGCCCAGTGTTCCCAGATACTTGCAAGAGAGGCCAACACTTGTTGTGCGATGAGACGTAGGACCAGATGGCGAAATACGAAGCCTAGGGCCGAGGGCAAGAGACAGGGACGGAGTAGACATATCGATGACGTGATCCAGAAGAGACAAGAGGAGAGATTTGATCCAAAGAGTCCAGATAGGGCGTTCCATCGTAATCAGGATTCGAGACAGAGAGGCGGTGTAGGCTGTTGTACCGAGTGAGCCGAGAAGTTGTCTGCAGGCAACCACATGTCCGTCAATTCAGACAAGTATGCGAACGACACAGATACTCACCTAGATAAACAACGGACCCTATGGCCGGGAGCGCGGCACACGCACGGCCATAGTAGAAGAGTTTGAACCATTCGAGACATCGAGAACGCACCAGGCCAACTGTCGTCGTCACCAGGACGACACTGAAGTATAGACATCAGCATAAGTAAGCCCACAGTGAAGAAACCACGTACCCAGCTAGCCAGGCGCGCCACCCGGCCTCAGCAGCACGACAAGCTCGCTCCAGACCGTCCGCCATGGATCCTCCGAGTCGTCATCCCGGGGAAGTCGGCTCGTCGCGGTGCTACCATATACCGGTGCGCATCCCAGTACCAGGCATCGTGATCCGGACCCACTAGTTCGTTGAACAGCGGGTACAGATCGCTCTGACGAACACGTCGTGGAGCACGAGCTCGTCGTCGGGCCCTCACTACACGCGCCAGCTTGAATATGAGCAGATCCAACAATAGACAGGCCAGAATCGCGACCAGGCACTTCTTCCACGGGAAGAATGCGACCATGCCACGCCGAGAGCCAGACTCTGGTGGTCTCGGTCCACGTTGCGGACTGGATGCGGGCGGCGGTGGAACGCATCGTTGCCTTCACCGCCCCACTTGCGGTCACTTGCGGCGCCGCGCTGCGAGCTTTGAACCGAAGGTAGGCGGGGGACTGGCACTGGCTCGACAGGGTCAATCGTCAGCACCTGGCCTTGGACCTCAACGCGCCAGGCCACCATCATCGGGTCCATTCCGGCTCTTCCTGCGCCTCCTCCTCCTCGCGGAACCACCGATATTGATCCAGTCCCCAGTAGTGGACCAACATCGCCTTGGTGTAGACCGGAATTGGCGTCACCGGGACCTCGCCGTACGGCGGCGACCATGATTCACCGGGGGGCTTGCCAGGTGACAGGCTGCGCAGCGATTGACGAGCATGAGCACAACGCCAGTATCAAAAGTACAACACACTCACAGAGCAGGACACCAAACCATCTCCAGTGCCTTCGGGCCGTAGAACACGGTGCTGCCTCCGAACGTGATGCAGCGCTGTGCGGTGTGTAAACGAATTTTGACCACCACCATACCACTAAACCGAGCAATGAAGACGAGACCCGTGAAGGCATAGTAGAGAATTGGTAAGATGAGCATCGCGGCGGTGATACAGAGTGAGTCTGCGGTGACGCGAGGCGGGGCGGAACTGAATGAGGAATAGTGCGGGCGCACGCCGCCTTTTATACCGGGCGGGGCGAATTCTGACAGAACTCTATTCTTGTTGAATGCGATTAAACACCTCGTGACCGACGCGTCGCGACGCGCGACGGGCACATGATCATCTTGGTTGATCGTATTCAACTGCCAGGCATACACCACCGATCGACGCCAGCAGGACACTGACAGCGGCCGGCGTGTGCGGCACAGCTATGGCACGCAGCCGCGTCTTCAGCTTGTTCCGGAAAGTCACTGTCAAACTTTCAAGTAAGAAGCATGGTGTTTACTTACCGGTATCCGTCGGCGTGTATTCTGCTGGCAAATTGCTAGGCTCTTGCTTACCGCGCCGTGTGGCGGCGAACATCATTTTCTCCTGGCTGAGGCAGGCGACTGTATAGAGGTACAAGCTCAGCAGGCGGCCGTGCCATTTTGACTTGATGATTGCCTATGAAGTTCGTATACTTACTTTGCGATGTGAGTGACGTATCATTGTATGCGAAGCGGCGTAACGTGCACGAGTAAGAACATGTATACTCACTGCGCAGATCGCGACCCGAACACCGTGCTTGCGCCCGTTCATGATGAGCTCCGTAAAATGAAGCATGTCTATGATTCAACCGTCCGCGTCAGTGTTAGCTTGGAATGACTGAATTACAGCACCTACGCGCAAGTATCTCCAGCTTCCACCGTCCATATCCAGGAGTAGTACTCTCTGAGCTGAATCGTCGAATCGTACGGTCGGCGTGACTGTCGAACAGAAGAGAATTAACGACCCTCATTGGCGAGTTATGTACCACTTACTGGTGGCATAGGTCGACTAGGTGAGTGTCCGACGTCCGTAATTTTGATACGGCGACGCGCGTCGCTCTAATTCGCACATAACATGTGATCGTGTTTCCGTTAGACGCCTCCGACCTTCGGCGTGGCTAAGTAGCGCTCAACGGTAGCTCTTTGGATCCTCACTCGTCAGACAAGGAAGAGAGTACTGAGCTCTCATGAGGAAAACGAACTTGTGGTACATCCGGTATCTTCGGCTATGCTAAGGGTGTAGCGATGCAGATAGTACCGTCAACAACGACTGCTTGCGTCGGCGTGCGTCAGTGGGGCTGGGGAACGGACGCCAACAGACTGCCCGTGTCGAGTTCATTTGAGTCATTGAGGGACGTGTATGAGTGGTAGACAAGAACGATATACTGCTATGCGATATAACAAGCTGTGTTCAGCGAGTGCGGCGACCCAATTAACTGGTACAACATGCTGGCAAGAGATAGAGCACCAATACATCTTCGTTCAGATCTATGCAAGAGAGTTCGGTATCACTTCGCCGACTGGCTGCGCGATTGCGCAGGTCTATTTTGTGTCGTCTGCAGCTCTATCTCCTCTGCAGGCGAGTTCTGTGACAGGGGCGAGGGGTCGATACTTGCGCTGTGGGCATCACGGTCGGCCTCTGGCGGGGCGACGGTGCTCTACTTGAGAAGGACTGTAGGGAAGAGGGAACCTCGTCAGTACAGCTCGTCATACACCGCTCACGACATTACTCACACCAACCATGGTATCTTGGTCGAAAACATCCCTCGAGTCGTCCACTGTACATGCAAGCGTCAGCGTCACTCTCCGGTATTCAGCGGAAGCCGGAGCGAATAAGACGTACTGATGATCGCGTCGTGATCCGACAGCGTCCACTGCTGCGGCGCCTGCATCGCCGCCATCTCCTGCGGCATCGGCTTCGTGCCCACGTCCGCCTCGCTGCGCTTGCCCTCCGCACGCTCCTTCGCCTCTGCCTCCTCCTTCGCCTTCTGGTCCTCCTCGTCGATCTTCTCCCAGGGCACCAGCGTGACGCGCTCGACTGGCGGCGGGGGGTCCGGCGGGCCCTTGGGGCCGTACACCTCCGCCTGTGCGAGGGCGGTCTTGAGTGCGGTGATCCACTTGTTGCGACGGGTCACTGAATCGAGCCGCGTGTGCAAATGAGTGAGGTCCTGTGCTTCGGCGAGTGTGTGTGCTCACCCTTCAGTGCGCCCTGCTGCCAGTTGCTCTTGTACCTGATGTCCGCGGTGAGCGTCATCATGTCCTGGTCGGCGAAGTCGACGATGGAGACGTCGAAGCTCGGCTGGAAGTCGCGCCGCTCGGACTTGACGAACGCGAGCATGAGCTCACGCAGCTCTCGATCTGTTCGAACGTCGTCGCGTACGCCTGTGGAGGTAGGGAAATTTCGTTGAGCGTCGTCTATGCAGTGGGCTCCTCGGGGGTACTAACCACGTCGAACGTGAACGTCTCCGACATCTGCGAGCTCCTCCGCATGTTCAAGATGAACTGCGCACAGTACAGTCAGCGCCCCGCCTCATTAGCCCACCTACCACGCGGGATACTCACCTTGGTGTTCAGCACGGAGTGCGGCGCCTGTACGCAAGTGCCTCCGTTGTCGATCATCACCGTGCTCAGGAGCCTAATCTCCTTCACGGTGTACTCAATCGTATCTACTGAGATACGATCGCCGACGTCGTACGGGTGCTTGACGAACAGGAAGATGATCGAGGTGAGCGTCTCGACGAACGAGCTGCCCACGAGCCAACTCAAACCTGTCAGGACAATTGAGCGTCACAGGTCCGGAGGTAAGTAGACCAGCGGGACGTACTGAGGATGAACGTCCCGGTGGTCGTAGCGAGCGTCAGCAATTGCGCCTCCTGCGGAAGTCGTCAGCGTGACATACAGGCATGCAATCATTTTCAACACTTACGAATGCAACGGCAAGCAGCAGAACGACGATGAAGAGATACACGGTCATCAAGATATTGTCCAACCGCCCGACGGCACTGTCTAGATCGCGCATCGAATGCTCAATGGACAATTGTTCCCGGTGACATTCCCTACGAATAGCGCAAACGCGATGTCAGCGATGCTCAAACCAACATTCCATACCAACGCACATGCATGCGATCTCGATCTCGTCCCGCGTCGCATCGCCGTTCATGTCCTTGTCAACAGCGCAAACGCCATATCCGCGTCCTCGGGCGTCGGGAAGAACCTAGCAATATCTCCACAGTGAGCGAGTGCGCGCCCGGCTTCACGAACGAATAGAACAGCGTCTTGCGAGCTACCAAACGCATATTCAGCACCCGACACACGCAGCCACACGCACTACGCAACCACGCACCATCCTCGACTTGTTCGCGCTCTCGATCGCCGTCTTCACGACCGCCTGCGGCGAGTTCGGCTGCAGCACGGAGCTGCCCGCGATCTCGCTCGCCACGTTGCCCAACGCCGTAGTCGTCGTCGTCGCAGCGACCTTCACGCCATGGAGCGCGCGCTTGATGAGCCGGCCGCGCTTGCGAGGCGGCCCGTCGCCCTGCTCGTCGCGGAGCGTGTCGCTGCGCCAAGGCACGTCGGTCGATGGCGGTAGAGCGCGACGAGCACGCGGACGGCGAACTTCTGCTGCGCGACGCGCTCCGCGTACGAGCGTTCGTGGAACTTGCTCGCGATCCACTGGATGGCGACCTTCTCGGCGAGGAGGATCAGCGTGCTCTCGAGGATCGCGAAGAAGATCTTCGCCACCGTGCTCAGCGCCGACGCGTCGCCCGACGTCGCGGTCGGCTGCTTGCGTGTGCTGATCAGCGGGTTGAACGACACCCACACCCCGAGCGACCACAGGAAGAGCGCAATGTACCGCCCGAGCGGCTGCAACCAGTCAATATACCGTCGCGCGCCGACCGCGACGACGCCGATCGTGTGCCGTGCGATGTGCGGCAGCACCAGCGTGACCGCCCGCGCGCCCCACCAGCCGAGCCAGACGACGGACAGCCAGATGCTCCACCAGAGGAGGCGGACACCCCAGACGGTCGCGTTCGGGTAGGCAGTGAAGCTCAAGATGCCCGGGATCCAGAGCATGCCAAGGACGGGGATAATGTAGAGAAACCATCGAGTGATGATCGACACATTGAGCAGGTAGTTGTAAAATTTGACGAACTGTGGGTGAGCGAGTGTTCAGTATGGGTTCGCATGAGACATCGCCAGCACAAGGATTGGTAGACAGCAGCTCATGGCAGCAGTGCGATTTTGTTGCACTTCATAGACTAAGTAGATACCACACTCTGCGCTGAAGCCGAGGAGTACTTCATTGCCCACGGAAACCCCCAGCCTTGGGTATTTCAAAGCGGATCCGTGATCAAATCTGAGCAGGAGGATCGCCGCATGTCCAACGTATAACGTGGTATCATTTGACTTTACTGTCAATGCTAGCGTATTCACTCCGCCGCGTGTCTTTGGCCTTTCTGTCCCCGCATGACCATTGGGCGCTTAACGCCCAACGTCCAGTGCGAGACCCGGCCCAAACCTAGTAGCTACCATGCAGCTAGTGCGCCAACACAGCGAACCGTCCTGCTATGCAGGATGGCTTCCAGCAGACCGTGCGGAGGCAAGGCGACTCGTCCCCAAACATCGCTGGAGCACATGCTCAGGATAGGCCAGAAGACGAAAAACTCACCGCATTCTTCGGCATATCACCCTCAGCATAGACAAGATGCGCCTGGCTAGCCCGCCGCGGGTCAAACTCGACGTACGAGTGCTCCAGTCTGCGGATGCCGCCGAGGATGTCCCAGCTTGCGCTCCGCCTGTGGTCCTGGCGGAGGGTATCGCTCGTCTCGGTGCGCTGGTGCATACCAGGGTTGCCTGGATCGGCGGCTGGGTAGGAGCTGAAGTCGTGCGGCTTGGGCTCATTGTTCATGGTGCCGTCGAGCTTGTTGTTCTTATCTTCGGACCACATGCGGTCGCGGTGGGAGGGCAGGAGGGGTAGGAGGGAGTGTTCTCGCCGGAGTCGTAGTGACGGTGGTTGTGGGTGCTGTGTGCGAGCGTGGAGGGGGACCCGGGGCGGGAATATGATGAATCGTCTTGAGGGATCCGGGAATGGCCAGCGCCAGGACTCATCGGAAGAGATGCAAAGTGAGATCTGAGGGTAGGTGCAGGGAAGTTACTGTGATAGGCAGTCGATGCTGCCTGCCGTATCAATCACGCGGGACGCTAGCTCAGGCCGCGTCGGTGACCGGTGGTGCTACGGCTGCTCGAGGAGAGGTCGGCTGCAGAAGGAGTGTCGTGGTAGGAGATAAAGAAGCGAGGAACGCGCTCTGGGAGGCCATGGTCTCGAGGGGAATTTGATGCTGACGCCAGGTTTGGCAATTGCATGTGATCGCGTCCTCGAGATCTGGCAGTCTCGCAAAGGCTTGGCAGTGGACGTCACCGCCCTCGTTCTTTTCATTTGCAAGTCCTCCGCAGCCACTCCCAACCCCTCCCCGCTGCCCGAGTCGCGTACCTCGTCGACGCCGCCCTCGTCGCCACACGCGCTGCCTCCCATCCAACGCCCTCGCCCTCGTGCTCGCCTATGGCGTAGGACCGTGTGATCAGCAGCCTCGCATGCCGGCACCCACCGCCCGACCATCTTCTTGCCCTGGCAGTGGCCCACCTGGCAGTCAGTTCCGGTGTCCGAAAGGGACTGCCACATGACGAGCCACCCCAAACCTACCGTCGAACGGACCCTGTGCAGGAGCCGCCGGCTCATTTGTCCCGACGGTCTTCACTGCTTGCACGACAGATGCAATCATCCTTCCACCCCACACGATTAGTACCATCGCGCGCAGCCACCAGCATCAACGTACTCATAACTCAGTCTCGCCGCATGTGCATTGCCTTCCGGATCCCATCCTCGGTGAGCGATCGTCCGGTCTGACGGTTTGAGGCCCCCTTTACGCCGAAATTTGCGGGTAAATGTAGAGGACATTGCATTCCTTGCGGGGCGGTGCAGCGGCCCCGGGGCTCGCAGTGCCGCCTCTTTGTCTGGCAGTTCCGCAAACCGTTTGTTTGAATAAGCGTGGATGCGCATTTGTCGAGATGAGGTGGAGCGCAGAGTGGTGAGCTTGCTCGGCCGAGCGCTGTACGAGGGCATGCTAAAAATAGATACTGTGGGGCTGAGATCTGCATGCCAATCTCAGCCTGTCCTATTCTGGGACGACGTCCACTGCAGGCTGCAGCCCATGGCCAAGACCCTCCCGAAGGTCTAAACCACAAACGGATGTTCCCCACAATGCAACAGATTCGCTCGTAGGTGCATAATATCGATGGGCCTGCTGTCGACACGCGACAGGCGTTTAGGAGTATGTCTCAATGGTTGGGAACCCATACAAGGAGAGCGTGAGAATGGTGGCTCGCACTCACCCCTGCGCACAGTACTTCTCGCGTGGGGTAGACTCGATTACTGAGTAAGGGCACACAAGAACCTTTGGCAACGAGGTCGACGGTCGTGCATGGTGGTGGTGCACGACTCCAAGTTCCACTCAGACTGCGGCCCTGACTTTGATCTGGGCAAACGTCCAGCCTCCCGCTTGCACACGGCGAGTTTCTACTGAATACCTCTCGAGACCATTATGAAGTGAAGTACGTACTCATCGAAGACGCCACCAACCACGAGGTTAAGCGCAGAGCACTAAGACAAGGCCATATGACAAGTAGTGACGGGCGCCGTTCTATGATGGGGTTAGCCAATATAAACAGCGGGGCGCATGTTTTGCAGGCTTTGGTCGAACTTACCGGGGTCAACAAGGCTACATAATTTGCGAGGAGCGATGATGTCTCATTCCGAATACACGGTACGGTAGTCTGGAGGTAGCTGCCAGTCCTGCACTGAGACTCCCCCGTCGCGCGCGCGTAATTCAATGTCTGGTCGAACGTCGTTCGTGCTTCCTTCTGAACGGCCGGCCTTTTCCTGTCCCCAGAAGTTGTTCCTTTCACGAGCAGGGTAGCCATCGACCTGCGATTCATCGAACATCGGAGTCGGCAGCGGATACGAGGTTTGCGAAATCAAGTTTGACTCGCTTTGTGCATTACTCGACGCCGCGCCTTCTTCACCAAAAGTCAACTTCGTTGCGCAAGGTCAACGGCGCAACAGTGAAAGACGCCACTCACGTGATAGCTGCTCGGTCGAGCGCTGCCCACGAGGTTGGCTGAGGAAAGGTGAGACCACATGGGCGGACGCATCCATTTGGGTAGATGGTCGGTAGTCCCCGTCGTCGGCCGCGTCCACGATCGTAGGCTTATTATGGCGGAAACGGTGCTTCCTCTTATACAGAACCGCCACGATCACGCCAACGAGCACGAGTCCCAGAGCGGCACCAAGAGTGCCGCCGACCACTGCGGCCCTGTCGACCTTGCTACCTGAACTAGTCTGAGCGGGAGATGTGCCTGTGTTGGTGCTCGTGGCCGTACCCGTCGCCGAAGTGGTAGAGGTTGTACTGCTGCTGTTGCTCGCACACATGTCAAGGGACTGGTTCGAGGCCAAAGTCTGCTGAGCGAGTAACTCGAAGGTCGTGCTGTTGTGGGGAACCATGATGAGACCACGGAGTCACGACCACGAAAGAGACTCACAAGTCCCTGCGCAGACGAAACGATTGTTGCAGTCAGATCACGAAGTTTACATGCCAGAGCAACATACCATGAGCCATCCGGCCAGTATATGCTGTACAAGAAGGGACTGATCCGGATATTCTTATTGCAGACAGCGTTTTGAACGCTGTCTGGTAATCTTTGTTACCATATCAGCCAGTACTCTCTCCGCGGATGAAGGACTGACACTCACGTCTGGTTGTACCCATCCCCGCAGTACAAGCCACTGCCCGACGTTCCTGTACTCCATCGTAGTCGTAATAGCACCAGCACCTAAACAGTGTTCGCCTGAATCGTCGGATCTGTGACAGGCCTCGACAAACCCACGTACTGGCACTGTGCCCAGGATCACCCGCGCCGAACTCGTCCCATTGGCAGCTGGATAAAGTCATAAACATGAGTGTATTTTGATTTGTGAATCATCGAAATCGTACTTGATACATAGCATTCGCAGAGACCATGCAATAGAGTTGCAGCAGCAAGTGTCTTGAAGACAATCAGCTTCCTCAGACACGACGGATCCGGGAGATACCGCGTACTTAAAGGATCGTCGCACTGGTCAGTGCTGCCATTAAGGGGCCACGTCGGCGTTGTATCTAGACCGAGACTTTAGACCTGAGGCGCAATTCGGCACTGCCATAGCGCACAGTTGCTATTGCAGACTTGCCGCAGTCGCTGGTAAGTCATACCTAAAGAACGGCGACGATCAGCTCGCGTATACCTGAACGATAAAATGCGTACATGGGTCCTCTCCGACAGCATTGATATACCACTGGAGGGTATTGCTGCCAGCATAGCATGCTGGGGCGCCTGAGCCGGAGACCATCGTCGAAGGAAGAAGAGAGTAGAGACAGCTATGAGTCGCGTCCAGCGAGACGCGTACTCAGGGATAGTCATTGTCTAGGGAGCGTAAGTATGGGTAGTATGGTCGGAAGGTGGGAGTCAGTGATCTGAGTCTACCACTTGGCAGGTACTATGGCAGTGCGGGATTAATGAACTCTCCTAGTGCCGGAGAACAGCCTCCTTTCGAAAGAAACCTGGCTTCTGGCCAATGACAGTTCACCGTTGGACAGTTGGGCTTGAGTGATGTGATCAATATCTCCCTTCGATTGAAGATATTGATCTCCCTTCGATTGAAGTGCATTACGACCACATTCAGCCCACGCTACGTACTTAAGTAGTGAGATCGCTGATGCGGCGGGCGCGGCGGAATATGTCAGTGTCAGCGTGAGACGGCGCCCTTTGGGGGATCTTGTGCCAAGGACGCATGTTTGACCGACCCACGGTCGGCTGACATTTAATAGACATTATTAGCACTGATTGCGAGTCATGGAGAGGACGAGGTGTCAATTTCCTGTGGCCAGACTCTGGATACAGTTCCTTCGATGGGAGTGAGAACTTGGTGACGAGATGTAAGAGTCGAGGCGTCGTCGAGCTTAAAAGCTGCTGCTTGATCGACGTCAGCGGCGACGGCGGCGTCTGCTAGACACGACGCGTCTCGGTCACATGATCGCCGTGCCACGCCCGTCGTCAGCAATGAGCATAGCATAAGTAGCAACACCACAATGCATGCTGCAGAATACATCAACGAAGGAGGTGCAGATGGGTGATAACAGTCTGTGGTTCACGAATCGCAAGTACAAACACCGGGACGACATTTGCGATCTACAAAACGGGGCGAGAGTCCAGGTGCCAACTGACTGGAGAAACAGGACTATGTTACATACAGTGCGCGCCGCCCCCACTGAGTTGCCAGACATGTCAGGGCTGAGCATCTCATTTGCAATCTGCCTCCGACTGCGAGCGCTGCAGCTCGGATTGTCATCAACGTAGAAACATTATTGACGACGTTTATGCAGTGCAAACCAACTTGACTTGGAGGCGTTGAGTCCAATAAGGACACGTGGTCAATAGATGCGGTTCTTGTTCCCGTTTTGGACGACTAGTACTTCAACGTTGCCACAGTCTCCTAGTCTGAGTCTCATACCAAGACCCTCCACACGGACGTGAGGAGTTTCTGTCGACCTACAGTGTCCGTCCACCGCATTGTTCGCCAAAAAAACATCTGACTTTCCCCCGGGAGGGCCTCGTCGTCGACGAGCCCTGCGCAGACCTCCTCGTGGTCCCGGGGGTGAGTAATCCCGCAAGGGATGAAACTAACATGCGCTGAAAGGTCTACCTATCGCATTTATGCGGAGAGACCGGGTATTGCACCCCTCGCCTCTACGGCAGATACACACCCCCTGCTTCGGGTTCACACTGCGTGACAACAGGCCACGACGTCCCAAGATTGCCCTCTCCACGCCGGAGTCCGACAATTGGACGTCCTCGCACCAATGGTGCCCAGAGCCGCAGACTTAGAAAAGCCCGGCCCACACCCTCATATGCCAGAGACTGAGCGCCAAAAAACGGTCCATCCCTTAGCACCGAACCGCAGCAAACCGAGTCACGAGACACTCTCCCCACACAACATAGGCCAACTCTCACACGCCACAGTGGCTCCGCCACGGCCTCTATCCGATGCCTATCCATCTGAAATATCCCCGTCCAAGAGACACTCCTGCTGGCCCCTAGCCTAGCCCCCTCTCCCGCATAACTGGCACTATTTATGATCGGACAATAGTACACCTAACGTAACTCCTCCCCTCTTTTAAGCGCTTGTCCCTGTGGCAGGCCCACGTTCCCCCGCGTTGATCGCACCCAGGAATGTCTGACCAAGTCCCCTAAACCTGGTAAACGCCTGTGCTGCCTATATCAACCCGGCCCTCTCAGCAATCGGCTGCAGACCGCTCTCAAAGAGAAACACACACCAATCTTTCATGCCGCTCCCACATTCTACCACCCAAGCCAGCTCCCAGCGCACCTAGCTAAACCACCCCAAAGATATAAGCCGTCTGTCCGAAAATTTAAAGCTCCCCCACCTCCTCCCCCAGCAATCCTCCCTGCCCTCAGCCTCCCACACGATCCGGAACCGGCAATTTCGATCGTCGTACTCGGGAGACCGGAGAGGCAAGGCAGATGTCTAACCTGGATAGTTGACGAGCGCCCCGACGAGCAGCTGGAAAGCGGGCGCCGGGTTCAGCTCGCCACTGGCAATCTCCACTCCGGGATGGGCCGGCTCACGGTGATCACCGCCTTCCAACGTCACTGGGTCACGTGGCTAATTGCTGGCGGCCCCGGTGACTGCGGACTCCGTGTCCCGGTCTCATGGTCCCGCCTGACGCGTAAAGAAAGTCTGGACCACTCGAGGCTCTACCGTCACCTTCCCACGGCCCTACATCCCCACCCCTCGATCCTGTGCGACCCTCGCAAACTGTCCAGTGACGACTACCCCTACGCGTTCGACGACGAGGAGGACACGACCGGTGAGGAATGACAACGAGAAAGGATAACCCACCTCGCAGTAGCGGAAGCAATTAGCCAGACCGCCCATACACGGCGACGCAGGGACTTCCTGCCGATCATCACCCTACAGTGACAACCACCCGTGCGCCGCGGCATATCCACTCACCATCAACCCTGACTTACACTGCACATCTAGCGCACGCGGAAGCAATATCCACGCATTAAACACGCACAAGCGCCGCGGACCCTGCAGGATACTGAGTCACCGAGCGCCCAGGGAACTCTGAATCGACACTCATACCCGCCATGCTCCCCGCACCACCTCCTGTCTGTGCTCTGCCCGTCCACGAATCGAGGCATCCACCTCCCCCCGCTCCATCACACCATCCGGGTCCTCACGTACTGGTACACTAGTCACTCCCATATGAGCCACGGCCGATTTGACCGCCCCACACACGAGCAGCCTTACGACACCTGTCTGAATGGCCCCCTTGACGCCGCGAGACATCAACACAGTCATCGCCGGTTCCAGCAACTGTCCCGGTAGTATTCCTCGGGTAGCGTGCCCGTACCTTTTCTGTGAGTGGCCGTGCCAGTCTAAGTTAGCTTCGAACGCCTCCCGATCCGTACGGGACGTCTCGACCTACTCGATCGACGAAACTGAACCTACTGGGCTGGCAGCCGCGAAGGGGCCACTCTCTCTAGACTCTCTAGACCCTCCACACTGATAGTTTCGTAGACCACCCACATCGCCTCGAGTCCTAATACTCACGGCTGAATCCGCTCCAGTATCCCAACAGCACCCACCATACCGAGCCAGAGGAGTGACGATACACGCCCTCGACATATACGTGACAGCCGCGAGAACAACGACACATCGACGCACCAAATTGATCTGACGCGTAAGCCTCCCGGTCTCCACACTGCAACGCCAGGGGCGTTTTTATCGGAAATCGCGCCCACGCTTCACTCCCACCTCCCCGGGCAAACACTGCCGCAGAAGAAACCGACAGGACACACTCATAAGTACCGCGGAGCAAGCAACCTACCTCCCAACCCCTTCTCTTCGCTACTTCTCGCAAACTCGCCCATCTCGACATGCAGCAGAACCTACCCACCCCGAAATCGACGGCCGAACGCAGCTCGCCTTCGCGCGCCATACGTTCGTCCTCCTCGATAGAACACCTCCGGGCCGCCTCCCTAATAAAATCCCCGGCGCACCGTGTCAACGCCGAGCCCATCACCCCCGCCTCAGGCAACTTCGGGAGCACGCCGAGGGCCGTCTCGCCGGTCCAACGCACGGGCAAAAGCTACGCAGCTGTGGTGACGAAGGTACCCTCGCCCCCGCCTCAGCCTCCGACTGACGCAATTGCCACCCACGCGGATGGCCCCGCCCAGACGGTGCCCGCCGTCGAACCCACCGTCGTCCCCGCCTGCTCAGCCACGACGCTAGCGGCAAGTGCCCAACTGACCCCAGTTGTCGTTAAAAGTACGTCACACCCCCGCATCTCGCGTCCGTCCTCCTCACTCGCCAGCTAGCGGAGGAAGTCGACGCCTCCCTGACCACGAACCACCCCGAGGATGAAGGATGGATCCTCGCGACCAAAACAATCAAGGCTACCAGGCAACGCGGCAAAAAGGCCAACAACCTCGGCCGCATGCAGCCCGCGGGGCAAGACGACGATACCGCCTCTCTCCGGGGGCCGTCAAACGTTGCACTCCCGGCCCTGGGACCGGCTACCCAGCGCGCCGCCAGCGACACCCGTAAGCGTCGCAGAGTGTCCTCGGACACCGGAGGTAACACCGCCGACGCTGGAACGACGACGCGAGTCCAAGCATCGCCGCCTCCTCCTCCCGCCATTGCTCACCGGGACGAGCCAATCGAAGTCTCCTCATCCCCAGATAGCGCCATCGACAACGACCCACCTGCGCTCACGACGTCTGACCTGGAACCTGAAGACGTCGAGATGCGAGGGCCCGAGGAGCCAAGTCCAACAGCAGCCTGCGATGGTACGTCACCACTGCTTTCCCCCCGTTTGTGTAGTCACCTCACGAATCGAACATACTTCGCGACCGTCACACTTATACAGTGCACCACGCACAATCGCCCGCGATCTCTCGCCAAACATACGGAACCCCGCTCATGGTGCGGCGATACCTGGAACAGCAATCCTCTCGGTTCCATAACATGCCACCTGCCGCAAGGGATGCGTACAACGAGGGAGACATTGAAGGTCTGCCACGCCTCGCGTCCCATCGTCGTTACGCTCCTGAACATCGTTTAGACCTCTACACTCCCGCGGGCTCCCCGGCGCCTCGCCCCGAACGCGATCCTCCCCCACACCTGGCTCGTCGTCCTACTTCCTCCGCGCCACTCCCTCACGCGGCGCCGCCAGGTAGGCATTACCTCTCTCAAGGTGACCCGCTGTCACCAACGCTTTTCATAGCGGCAAACCGCGGAGCGGCCCCCGCCAACGCTCCCGTTGTAGACGGACGCGACGACGTACTCTGGGCACAGGCCGACGGCCCCCCCATCGCTGCGCACGCTGCCCTCCCACCCGCTCCTCCCCTTCCCATGCCTCAGCTGCCAGCCCACCCTCCGGCCTTTGCGCACCCCCATCCGGTCCACTTCGCTCCCGGCCCCTTCCCCGTTGCACTCGCGGGACCAGCGCAACCCATCGCGCAAGCACACGGCCTCCCGCCCCCGTCCGCAATGACGCGCGCTCCGAAGGACGGCTGGCTCGCGATCCAGGGCGACTTCGTCATGTGGCCGCTGAAGAACGTCAAACGGTCGCAAGCAGCAGAGTGGTCCGCCGATCCGGACAGCTACGTCCTCCTCCATTTCCCAGGGCAGAGCGCCAGCGACAAGCGCGGACACCGCACCCGCCTCCGCATCGCCGACACGATCCTGAAGAAGTGGCTCGGCACGCTCAAGGCGAAAATCACTCAGCCGCTCCCCGAGGTCCCTTCCTCGAAGCCCAACTCGGACCCCGTCTACTTCCGTGTCGGCAACATTACGCCCCCGGAACGTGCCCGCCTCATCGACAACCCTTGGGCGTCCACCGTTGACGGGACAGTCGGCATCGTCCCACCTCCACAACACCCCCCCACCTTCATGGGTGCCTGGCTGAATCCTGAGCGCCTTGGAGAAACGGAGGACGAGGTTACCGCCGGTTTCGTCGAGGGATTCCTCGAGGAGGACATTGACGAGATGACCCGCTCAATGCTGGTAACCGAGATCCGAGACGACGGACGCTGGGGCCATCTAACGTTCGAAGAGGCGCACAACGCCATCATCTCCTCCATCTGGACCCGCCAGATCACCGTCCACGAGGACCGCGACGACCCCGACGGCGAGCCCGTCGTGCTCCTCTACGTCGAGTCGCCGACGTCCGATGAAGCTGAGTGGAAGAAGTTTCGCAACCGCGTTCGCGCTCACGCTTTCGGCAACCTCCTTGCGGGCCCACCGGAACTCGTCACCAAGGCGTACTATTGTATGTACTGCCACAGTATCGACCACCCCACTGACGCGTGCTCCCTCCCTAACACACCGGGCTGGCACGGCCCGTCGTTAAAGGAAGCCAGGGAGGCCCTGGCGGAGGAACGTCGCAGCCGCGAGGCCGAGCAGCGCGCCCAAGGCAACAACGGCGGTGGCCGAGGTGGTCGTGGTGGTCGCGACGGCCGCGCGCGCGGATCCAACAACCGAGGCCGCCGAACTGGAGCCGGAGGTGGACGCTCGTCGTACCATAACACCTAGTTACATGTAAACCTGTATCACTCCTTGCCTGCGTTATGTGTACCCTATTACGCTATCTGAATGAACACTGTTGTTACCGCGCATCGCACCTCCTGAAGGCGGCAGAGCCACCCCTCTCCCGCGACCAACATCTCTCGCAAGGACTCTTCACTGACCCATCTCAATCCCTCACACCGTCGAGTAACCAACGGGCCCAAATTTACTGACCGCTCTGCGGGACAGGAAAGCCCTAGGCCCTCGACGTACTCTCTCTCAACAGCGAACGGGTACTACTAGACTTACCCGGGCTGAGAAGCCAAAGTCGCCGCTGCGCGACATGTCCCCTGTGGAAGTCAGGAGCGCTTCCCCCACCTGACGTATCGTTGTAGTCAGGATGGCGATGAGCAACGGTGAATATACATACAAACGAACAAACCCCGGACGTTGAATCGGCACCCGGCTATCATCTCCTCCATCCGAGAGAGACCAACGAGTCCCCCGCCCCCGCTGATCTCGGTGATCAGATGGAGGAACTCGGCGACGGGGCTGCCTCAACCCCTGCACTTGACTCGCCTCGTCGAGAACGTAGGAGTGGAGGCCGACCCCTGCAGGCATCGCTTAGGCAACCTAACGACCCGGCTTCCAAACCTTCTGGGAGAAAGACGAAAGCGAGCCTGACCATCAGCTCTCTCAATATGAACGGGAGAGGCGGCCTCATCGGCCCAAGAAACCAGAAATGGAACGACATAAATCAACTCCTGCGTGAGGACAAAATCGGTGTCCTCTGTCTGCAAGAAACTCACATCAATGAGGCCGACGTCGACACTCTTCACAACCTCTATGGCAGACGGGTCTCTATATGGAACTTGTGCTCGAATACCGCCTCATCCGCGCAGGGAGTTGCCATTGTCCTGAACCGCGAACTTACAGACGTCGCTAATGTACGTTTCCAGGAACTCATCCCGGGCAGAGCCATACTCCTACGAATGCATTGGCATGCTGACAGATACTTAACCATCCTTAACGTATACGCACCCAATCCCCGCAGGAGAACGCTGTCTTCTGGCAAACATTGCTGCACATGGCGGAGGGCCGTCGCTACGACCGTCCCGACATCCTGGCCGGGGACTTCAACATCGTCGAGGAAGCCATCGATCGGCTCCCCGCAAAAGAAGACAACGCTCCGGCAGTCCAAAACCTCCGAGCGCTGCTCCACCACTTCAAACTATATGACGGGTGGCGACTCTCAGAACCTACGAGGAAGGACTTCTCCTTCCCCCAGCGAGGTAGTCTGACCCGATCGCGCCTCGACCGCATATACGCGACTACCGACCTTGTTAACTCCTCGCATACGTGGTCCATACACTCCATGGGAGTCCAGACTGACCACAGACTTGCCAGCGCCGCCCTCAACACTGCCAATGCGCCCTATGTCGGGCGCGGCAGATGGACCATGCCACTGCACTTACTATCAGACGATCGGTTTCTACAAAAACTGGCAGACCTAGGCAAGCGGACCATGACGGAGCTCAGGACGCTCGCTCAAACAGAAGTCCGGAACCCGGCCTACACAGTACAACATGCCCACTCCGCTTTCAAACAAGCCGTCCAAGACATGGCGCGGCAACATATGAAGGTGACCGCCCCCAAACTAGCAGCTGAAATCCGCCGCCTCACTGAGCACCTCCACGACATAGAAACGGACGACTCATACCCCTCGTCAACCGCCCTCTGCCACACCGCCGCGGCCATTAGCAATCGCATCCTTGACCTTGAACGGAAACGGTATGCAGCAGCAAAACTCAGTACGACAACGAGATACATCCTTAACGCAGAAAAGGTCACCAAGTACTGGTCAATGATCAACAAGGATAGAAAACCTCGGGATGTCATTCACGCTCTCCACGACACGCGTCAAACCGCTGCCACCTATGTACGCCGGTCAGACAAAATGGCAGAACTTGCCAGGGACTACCACGACTCCGTACAACGCACCGACTCCCCTGGCTTCTCCAACGACGCCCAGTGCACTGCCATGCAATCTGTATTGGCCGACATTCCCTCCCAGCTGGACGGTGCTGACTCAGAGCTCCTAGCCAGCGAGGTCAGTAAAGACGACATAAAACGCGCGCTGAAACTAACGCAAACAGGGAGGGCCGCCGGTTTAGACGGCATCCCTTACGAGTTCTGGTCTGCCTTCGCCCGCGGCGACTCGTCCGAAGGCGCCTATAACAGCCTCGAGCACCTGGCCATAGTCTTCAGCGACATCGATTCCTTCGGTCTCTCCCCGGACAGCCCTTTCGCCAGTGGTTGGATGTGTCCCCTATACAAAAAAGGTGACCGCCGCGAAATCAGTAACTATCGCCCCATCACCCTACTAAACTCTGACTACAAGACGTACACCAAAGTACTCACCTCGCGCCTGGGGCAAGTAGCTGACAAACTTATCCACAAAGACCAAGCTGGATTCGTTCCCGGCCGCCACATTGAGGACCAAACACAAACGTGTCGAGTCCTGGTCGACTACGCCGAAGCGACTGAGGAAAATGGTGCGATTATAGCCCTCGATCAGGAGAAAGCATACGACAAGATAGACCATGAATACCTATGGCGCACGCTGGAGGCTATGCGAATTCCCACCCGCTTCATTAACAAGGTAAAAGCCTTGTACGCGAACACCAACACCCAAGTAGTCATTAATGGCGAGCTGAGCTCACCTTTCCAAGTGACCCGCGGAGTCCGGCAAGGCGACCCGCTCTCCTGCTTACTCTTTGACCTCGCTATAGAACCGCTTGCCCTAATGCTCCGCCGCTCCGATATCCTTGGCTTCCGCATCCCCGGCGCCGTGGACCGCCTCGTAACGAAACTGTTCGCCGATGACACGTCTGCTTTCTTGTCCAAAGATGACAACTGGAGCACCCTATGGAACACCCTCTCCAAGTGGTGCACGGCCTCTAGGGCCAAATTCAACGACGGGAAGACGGAAGTCATCCCTGTCGGAACGACACAGTATCGCGACGAGGTACTCACCTCACGCCGCCTCGACCCTGACAACCCCGCGTCCTGCGAGATACCTCCACACATCCGAATAGCCCGCGACGGTGAGCCGGTACGCGTCCTAGGCGCATGGATTGGTAACAACGTTGACCAAGTCGGCGTCTGGGCGCCCGCGCTCCACAAAATAGATGCCTTCCTCGCAAGATGGGACAAGTGCCGACCCTCCATGATAGGGAAGAGACACGTCGTACAGATGGGGCCCGGAGGTATATCCCAGTACCTCACAGTCGTACAAGGTATGCCCAAGTCCGTAGAGGCGGAACTCACTCGCACCATTCGTACCTTCATGTGGGGTAGCTCATCCATACCTCCCATTAACCTACAGACCCTTCACAGGCCAATCAAGGCAGGTGGGCTTGGCCTCCTCGACATACAATCCCGAAACGAGGCGATCGACCTAGTGTGGCTCCGACGCTACCTCACACTTGGGGAGGACCGGCCAACCTGGGCATTCGCGATGGACGCCATCATTGGCAAACACGCTACTCGTGACGCCGGAGCTATACGCCCTAATGCGCAAATTAACATGTTCCTCCAAAGCTGGAACCCGTCAGTGAGCAGCCGATCCACCCTCCCGCTCTACATTAAAAACATGCTCACCACGGGCCGGAGATACGGAGTGCATCTCGAGGCACTGAAGGTCGACGGGCCCCTCAAGAAACAACTCCCGGCATGGTACCACATCGGCGCCACTAAGGCCCTACGGAAGCTGAACAACACGAAAGTGAGCGACTGCCTCCGCGATCGCCATGGAGTTTCGCTAGTCGCTGACCTCCTCAAACTCACCCACTTCGCCTGCGGCAACATGCATCCCCAATCCCCACATTATTCAGTGGTACCTACTCGATACTAACGGTACAGCCGGAGTGCATTTCGACCGTTGCAAACGGTAGAGCCGCCTCCGGCCGGAGCTGTGATTTCCTCATTGCAAACAGGCCGGCCGGACTGGTTTCAAACAAGCCGGCCGAGTGTATCTCAAACCAGTTCAAACGGTCCGGCCGGTGTATCCATAGGGCACCTATTTTCTGTCTGAACAGGGGGGCCATTTAGTGTCTTGCTGGCAACGGACCGGCCGGGCAATAAGGGGCTTTAATTGTAACAGATCAACCGGGATACTCTTTCTCCTATGGTAACGAACCGGCCGGGAAATGGGATCCTTCATTTGTAATGGGCCGGCCGGAGTGCATAGTTCACCAGTTGCAATGGGCCAGCCGGAGCACATGCTCCCTGGCTAATAACAGACCGGCCGGGTTGCATCATCTCTAGCTGGCAACGGAGCGGCCGGACCATTTTTCCACATTGATAGCAGGCTAGCCAGGCCATATAATCTAGCACTCCACACTGGTAACGGTCCGGCCGGGCAGTGGCACCATCCATTGGTAACGGTCCGGCCGGGCAACAGTATTGTGACCCAGTATTGGCTGGGCCAGTCAACAATAGACCATACTCCCTTAGAACAGCCTACTAGTAGCATGTATTATATGTCCACAGTGCATGCCCTATCACATTGCCTGAGCTGTTAGCTCACTGGCCAGCCATGCAAACACTGGCCGAGAGCATTCAAAAACCTTCGGCCTATTGTATTATGATACAGAGTGTGATTTGAATGATTGTATATGTAAGACCATCACTAATGGAGCCCAACATAGTGTTCCCACATTTTAAAGGGGCTTAGTGAAGCTGCCACCAGCCAAATTAAATGGCCGGACATCTCAAAACATCGGCCGGGCATTTTAGTTCATTGGCCGAAGCTTTTGGCCGAAGCTTTTTATTCATTGACCGAAGCTTTTCCTTCATTGGCCGAAGCTTTTTCTCACTGGCCGAAGCTTTTTCTCACTGGCCGAAGCTTTCACTTCATTGGCTGAAGCTTTTCTTCACCGGCCGAAGCTTTGGATTGACCGGCCGAAGCTTCTACTTCACCGGCCGGCGAAAACAGCCGGTGCTCGGCAAAAAATGGCCGGCCGGTGCGCAAAACCGGCCGGGCTGTTGAGTTACTATATGTGGAAATGTGGTATTGTCTGGGAGCCCTTCATTCGCAGAGTCTAGTATCAATTTCCTAGTTTTCAAGAACACGTAGTTAGGCCAGGATATGCAAGACAAGATTTACTACTCACAGGCTTCTTTGCAAAACATGTTATTCAATTCCTGAAGCCAATATTCTTTGCCCACACTGTTTGACAATCTAGAATGTGTTATCACAATGCATAGAGTAGATCCCCAAAAGTAATAGTCTTATTCTTTGAAGCTGAATGCAGGACAACAAATAAGGGGTATACAGGTATGGTATACATGTTGACTTCCTGCAGCTAATGTTCTTTCCAAACAGTGTTTTACCATCTAGAATAGTTCATTGACCCACAAGGAATCAGTCCTCCAAAGGAATAGTCTTATTCACACAAGCTGAAGGCAGCACAGAGTTAAGGTGAGGGTGGGTATATGGGTATACATGTTATACTGTGTTCACATCCTGAAGCCAATATGCTTTGCCCACAAGGTTTGGCAATCAAGAATGGCACAGAAACATCTACCCACTGTTGGTAATGGTCCGGCCGGCCAATCCTCATAGGAGATGGTCCGGCCTGTGCATGATCCCCTTAACTTTGTACCACATTCAGCTCATGTGAATAAGACTATTCCTTTGGACGACTCACTCCTTATGTGTAAATGAACCATTCTAGATTGTGAAACTGTGTTTGGAATGTAGATTGGCTGCAGGAAGTCAACATTGTTTGACATGTATACTATACCTTACCCCTTATCTCATGTTCTGCATTCAGCTTTGAAGAATAAGACTATTCCTTTTGGGAATCTACTCTATGCATTGAAATAACACATTCTAGATAGTCAAACAGTGTGGGCAAAGAATATTGGCTTCAGCAGTTGAATAACATGTTTTGCAAAGAAGCCTGTGAGTAAATCTTGTCTCGCATATCCTGGCCTAACTATGTACCTTTGGACACTAGGAAATCAATACTAGACTCTATGAATGAAGGGCTTCCAGACAATACCACATTTCCACATATAGTAATTCAACAGCCCGGCCGGTTTTGCGCACCGGCCGGCCATTTTTTGCCGAGCACCGGCTGTTTTCGCCGGCCGGTGAAGTAGAAGCTTCGGCCGGTCAATCCAAAGCTTCGGCCGGTGAAGAAAAGCTTCGGCCAATGAAGTAAAAGCTTTGGCCAATGAAGTAAAAGCTTCGGCCAGTGAATTCAAAGCTTCGGCCAATGAACTAAAATGCCCGGCCAATGTTTTGAAATGTCCGGCCTATTGATTTGGCCCTGTAGGGACAACCTGGCTAATTTTATGGCCAGTAAAGCAAAAACCTGGGTGAGTGAAATCTCTGGCCAGTTAATTTGGCCAGCCAGTGGGGCTGTTTTGTGTTTTGCAGCTTCACTAGGCATCCCTAAGTCATGGGAAAATTATGCTGTGATCTACTAATGATGGTATACCCCATAGGTGCATAATACATATAGTATTTCAATAGCCCCCAGGGGGCTGTGACCGGCCGGACCGTTTGAAGCAGGACAACTCCTGCCCGGCCGGCCTGTTCGTGGAGTCAGTTTGTTTAGGCTGGCCAACCCATTCTGGACCAGATAGACTTCACTCCGGCCGGTCCGCTTGCAATGAAGGGATTTTATCCTGGCCGGAACATTTGAAGTGGTGGGGCCTGAGTCCGGCCGCTCTGTTTGCAACGTGGACCGGCCGGCCGCTCTGTTGCATGTGCTAACCCTGCCCTCCACCCGGCCTGTTTGCAGTGATGTTGTATGGGTCCGGCCGGACCGTTGCCTATCCAGCCGGACTGTTTACAACAGGTACATTACCCCGGCCAAAAGCCCGGCCGGCCTGTTGCAAGCGGTGCATTGTTGCTAACGGTAGACCCGGACTACTCCGGCCGGAGGCGGCTCTACCGTTTGCAACGGTCGAAATGCACTCCGGCTGTACCGTTAACAGCGAGGTTTTCCACTGAATGGGCTCCAATCCCCGCCTCCCTGGGGCAGCGACTCGTGTCCCTGCCCGGACTGTTCACAGTGCCGCAGGGAAGGCTGCGCACACCCGGCCAAGTGCCGCCAAGCCGCTTTCCGCCTCCTCAGCGAAATCCTTCCCAAATGGAACCCGCTAGCGGACGACATTGTCGATGGCCTCACCCTGACGACGCGACGCCGTGCTAAGAACCTTGAGGCGAATTTCGATGATGGAGACACTCTCACCTTCGACCCATCAATTACCACCCGCGGAGGCCTAACCGAGCTTTTCCGAGCCTTTGTGAACCCGAGCTCTCTCACCCAACCTCCATCCCACCGCAGACGACCAGGACGTGCGGTGCCAGATGAGTCCACCACCGTGTACCTCTTCCGCATGCTCCCCAGAACCCGTCAGAGAGACAACCTCGAGGACCACCTGCTAACACCTGCATCATTCGCCATCTGGTTCGGACCGGATGACCGTCGCAACACTCTGTTTAATGCCATCGTGGACCCCTCCTCACATGCGGAAGTACCGAGCGAACTGGCCGGTGCGTTACACGCCATAAACAATACCCCACTGGACGCTCCCTTACACCTCCTCTGCGCCACAGACACACTCGTGGACATGGTGATGGACAAAGCCCCTCACTGGGAAGACTACGGGTGGATTGATGTGGCCTTCTCCGCCTTCATGCGCGCCCTCCTGAACAAAATGCGTCAACGCTGCGCCGCGACGACTCTAGGAAAAATTGCCTCACCGGGAGCCTGGGCGTCCCTCGAACGCGCTCGCCAAGACATGTCTAGCAACCTACAGGCCCACCTCCCTCGCATTGACCAAGTTGAACAGCTGGACTTGACATGCGACCCTCGGTTCAATATCTCGGGTGCTAGGCTACACTCCGTGACGCAGGCCCTGGCCTACAAGGGCATTCTGGAGTGGAAAGACGCCCCAGCCCGCCCCGCCGCGCAAAGAAACATCCAGGCCATACGGGACCATAACGAGGCCAGAGGCCCCCTGCCAGACGGTACGATTTGGACGAGTCTCCGCCATAGAGATTTTAGCCGAACTTTTGCGGTCTTCCTGTGGAAGTGTGTCCACGACGCGTTGCGATGCGGTGCGTACTGGCTAAAGATCCCTGGCTACGAAGACAGAGCTCAATGCAGCTTCTGCGGCGCACTGGACTCGATGCAACACATTCTCTTCGAGTGCACAGCAACGGGCCAGGCGGTAATATGGGAGGCAACCGCCACACTCTGGAAGAAGAAGGGCCTCCAATGGCCGACCCTGACGGCGCCCAACATTCTCTCCCTAGGTCTCAAACAGTGGTCCGACGGAAGAGGTCGCCCCCGGCCAGGTGCCACACGCCTCTGGAGGATCCTGATCTCTGAGGCAGCGTACTTAATATGGAAGCTCAGATGTGAACGTGTCATCGGACACGAGGGCGAACCAGGCTGGGACCACGACGCATCCAGCCCTGCTCGACGTCTCACCTTCGCAATGAACAGACGCCTATCTACAGACGCTGCAGCGACGAGAAAGAGTTTCGGAACACTGGCGCTGAATGTAGACCTCGTACTAGCCACTTGGAATCAAACCCTGTACGATGAACAAGCGCTCCCCGAAGATTGGACCAGGTGCAACGGTTTTTTAGTGGGTAGTTCCCCGGTACTACGCCTCGATTTCGACCCGGGTTGACGAGTCCCACACTGACAATGATGTCGTGCGTAAACGCATTTTTCCTGGATTGCACCATACCCCCCTCCACAGATCGCGGACTCCGTCCGCATGCTGGACCACCGGGGTCGACCAATTGTCGACTGCCGACGTCCGTAACAGCCCTCCAAAAAAAAAAAAAAAAAAAAAAAACATCTGACTTTGAAAATACGTGGCCCGGCTGGTAAACATGGCCAAAGGCGAAATACCAACCATTGATAGGACCCCGGGCAAGGCGCTTATATGTCCGATCCGAAAACCCCGGATTTTGGGCCCTTATGCCCGCACGATTTCGACCCTTTTCGACCCTTGTTATGTCCGCATCAGGATAGGACCTACCTTTAGGGGTGCTTTATGGCCGCATGACGGATCGGACCTCTAAAAAATGCAGTAAAATCGGCAAAAATGCCCAAAAATTCGCTGCATACCCTACACACGGCGTCGGAGTAGACTACCAAGAAAAATGTCCACATTTGTCTCTCGTTATTGTCAAAACGGTTGCATGAGGAGGAGGAACATATAAGCGCCGAGTACTATATCTCGAGCGCCCAACGTTCGTAAGTATGAATGTACTCTAGGTACCGGGCCACAAGTAGTCGCTAATTGACATGGATGGTGAGAGACAATCAAGCAGGAAAGTCAATCGGTTGCGGGATGATAGCAAACATGGGGCGTCAGGAGGACTGATGGTCCTTCATGACTTGGTTGGTACTCAAGTTCGACGAAGAACCTGGCGCATCTTCAGAATGAGGTCGACCGTGAGATTTTTTGTAGCTGGTCACTGCCAGTAGTCGTAAGGCTCGTATCCGATGGCTTCAACTTGACCGTGGCCATGGCAGTCGCATATTTGAAGTTCGCGAACAATGGTATGTAGCCGACCGGGACAAATGCGAATGCGAAGAAGTGCCCTCGTTAGAGTACGAGAAGTGCGCCCCTGCGAGTCAAACACTTGGTCAGTATGCCTGTATAGCCAACATCCTATGGGCCAATTGCTCTGGCTGAACCTGGGACGCATATTGCCCTCTCTGTCTCCCAAGCGGTACCACGACCATATCGCATCTCAATGAGGCATGCAGCGATGACCTTTCCAAGCTACTGAAGCACTCACCAGTGGTTCTATCACGATCGCCTTGCTCACGTTCTCACGTCCGCGCACATCGCGCTGTGTTTGTAGAGCGCTGTCTCCGCTGGCTTGTCCGTGCCGCCGTAGCCAAGCATGTCAGGCGCAGTAATTGAGTGGCCCCCCGCCTTGAAGAACGTTGGTTGCGCCAGTCATATGACATTGCCGCAGTGACAGGAAGCCATGTACAAACAGAAGGGTCGGGTTCGACGCGTCTCCGGACGAGTGGTAGCTGTGATCGAAGAACGAGATGCTTTAGTCTCTTGTATCTGGGTGAGCCAAACCAGGTCGAGCGCACCCTACTAGCAATCTCCATGTGTCCGTGTCAAGCCATCGCCGCATGATCTGCGAGAGAGGCTAGTAGGGCCTACGAGACGAGTCGGACCCGGAGTGCGAGTCATTAGTGATGTCACTAGAGTGTGATAAGTAATGTAGTTACTGAGTGCGCAGACTCACGGAGAAAGGAGAGGTGGTTGGGACGGCCCGAGCTATGGTGCAACCTCTCGAGTGTTTGCGTCAAATTCGGAGGTGGGCGCCAATGACGCGCTGGGCGTGTAAATCCTACACTGCGGTGCATGAATTCAGATTCAGCTATGTATAGTATTCTGTACAGAGGAGGCGAGACTCACATTGTTGTGAAATCCAAGCTTGGCCAGTCTACCAAGTCCCACATGACGGACACATTCAAAGAATCTGCAATTTCGGGGTCCCATAACAAGCAGTTGCATGCGATCATCATAGTGATACAGTATCTTCCAGGCCTGAGCAGATGCCATCACCCACGATGCCATCCACAGAGGTTAGTAACATTGCTCAACTGAGAGATCCACGACGCGAAGTATGCTACGTACCACATCGCCAAAAGTGCACGACGCAGATCTCACATTATCGCACATTGTATGTGAAATCTGTCCTGTCTTGCTTATCTGTATTAGTTGCCCTTTTTCTTGCACTACTTTCGTGTTGGGTTGCGATGACTTACCATGTATTTGTCATCTTCAGTTCCCTCGCCGCATCGTGCAGCGGTGCTAATGGCCGGAAAGAGATGTGTCAGCGAAGGTAAGATATCACCGAGAGAACACAAGAAATACGTACTGTCTCGACCAGACAATGTCCACCGCATTTCGGTTCCAGTCACTGTCTTTACCTTTCAACGCGTTCGGCTTCACCATACATCGCACATCGCTGACAGAGATTCATACCCACATATGCAGGTACAAAAAATATAATACAGCCTTTACACACCGTCAAATAACGTACACACTCGCTGAACGTACTACCAGCGCGATGCTGACGAGGCGAGACCGCGAGATCAAAACTGGAAGAGAGGAATGGGATGATACGAGCTGAGCGCCAGACGTGGCGAATGAACTCTGGTGCAAAGTATATGAGCAGAATGAGGGTCCGAGTCGAGAAATACCGACAATACTGTGGGCAGAAGCCCTTGAATGGTCACGCGCAACGACGCAGATCGAGCAGCTAAATAAGCATCACTAACTAGATGACAATGCGAACAGAAGAGGGTAGGTACTCACCGAGATTCCAGTGGCGGAAGTGGTGAAGTCCTGAGGTTGAACTTCGCGAGTCGCGCTTGTTGACATAGTCATTGAAGCCGAGGCCCGGAATGTCGATGACGGTGAGTCTGTCGAGCTGCTCGTGGTCGCGGCGGCTGTAGTCCCTCGGCGGGGACAGCTCAGTGGAGTTCAAGAGCGTGTTCACTAGTCTTGTCGGCTTTAGCTCGCCCTCTTGTTAGCTAGTAGCCCGCCGGTCTGCTGGTTCGCCCACTCACCTGCCTACCCTCGGCTTCTCGCCAGCCTGCGCTCGGCTCATTACGCACTCGCTCGCCCTTTCCCGCCCGCTCGTCCACTCGCCGCTGGATTGTTGTTGCCCGCCCGCGCTCACCTTCTTGCTGGTTCTCCTGCCACCTCGTCTACTCACCCGCCTCCTCGCCTACTTGCCTACCCTCTCGTCCGCTCGCCTCGGCTCGCTTCCTCGCGGCTCCTCGCCCGCCTGTTCTTATCCGCTCACCCATAAGTACTCGCTTTCTCGAATGCTTGCCCGTAGCCTGCTCACCCGCTCGACCTTGCCTTGTCCATGCCAACCGCGCCAACCGCGCACACCCGTACCCGCTGCGGCGGGTTTGTACCCGGGCGGGTACGGGCCCGGGTAGAGTACGGGATACCCATGCATATACTGATGCTCTTCCTGAGGGCCGGGGCTGGGGTCGCGGCCATCGTCGACTTCATTGACGACAGCACAATGTGTATATGCACCAGGAGCAGCACCCCCAGCGCAAACGAGTTAAAGGACGAGGCGAGCGGGATAGAAGTGTGATGAGAACAATCAAGAGAGATCGATGGTTGGGCAGGCATGCAAGGGCGGGTGGGCGCGTGAGATCGGGCAGGTGGAACCGGCGGGCGGGGATAACAGCGGCGACAATAGAGTTGGTTCACAATCAGTAAAGGGGATGGCGAGAGCGAGGTACTTGGAGGACAATGTCGGAGTGTGCAAGTGAGAGGATGGTGGTTGTGGAAGAAGAATTTGAGAGACGACACAGCGTCTCAAGATCTCAAGACTGGCTATATGCGCCCACGTGACCGCGTGCAGTCGAGCACTGCGGCTGAGGTCCAGGACGCGGACTTCGATGTGCTGCTAAGTCACACCGTGCCATGAGGCCTTGAGGGTGTACCTCCCCATCCTTTACGCTGTTTTCATGCCCTCGTTCGCAACTGCCTGCATAGGCCCCAAAGGCGACTTTTGTGCCCGAAGGATGACCTGAACAGCCTGTAGTATGCGCCTCGTCGCCGCTCTGAGCCTACCCGCGCTGCATAGGCCCGTACGTGCCTGCAACTTCCCCGTTTCCGATCGAAATCTATATTGATAGGTCAGCATATACCTCAGGAACTGTGTCATACATGATGGGTACATGCCGCGCAGCCTGAAACTTGAATGGTCCTAATTCAATTTATTCCGGAGATCGCACTGACATGCTGACTCGACGATACTCATAGTCTCTAGACAGATTACGCGTCCGCTCTCGCCGTCTGCGCTCATCTTAAAAGCGGCACCAAGCGGTGCCAATTCTCTGCGCATGTCTTCACAAGTCTGGTACGTTGTCGACTTACAATGGCATCTCAGAAAGCTATCTACATCCAACACCACCTCTTGCAGTCTTCCCGTTCTCTCTAGTTATATCTGGAGCGAATGTCAAATCTTACGAGGTAAGTAACACAACTCGCCGCTTGTGAGATAATTATCCGGCACTTTTGCTGATGGCCAATCTCGCGATACTGGCTTCGCGTCAAAGGCGAATACGAGGTCATTTCATGGCCGCATACGGATCGGACATGCGAACGTGACAGCGTTTATGGCCGCATATGGATCGGACATGGCGCGAGCTCTGGCAGGTCTATGGCCGCACCAGGATCGGACATGAGCGCCCTATTTGGGCTGGTTATGGCCGCACCAGGATCGGACCTATAAGCGCCTTGCCCGGGGTCCTCCATTGATGCTGCGTCGACTCCCGGCCTTCGAACGCTCCTCCGTTCACCTTTGACCATTCCACTGATCAGTGTCCCAGGATCATCCTCTCCTCCGTCAAAGAGGTATTTCTGTAGGGTCTGCCTAGGGGAGACTACTTACTAGTACAGTGTCCCCGCGCGTTCATTCCTCTCTATTTCTTGGGCCAAGTTGCCTTATAACGATTCCGACGCCTACCCAGCTATGAATTCATTCATCTCATTGCCCACGGGCCCAGCCCCGAGGGACACTCCTTCTGGGCGCGAACTCCGAAAAAATGGTACGTTGATCACCCGCAAGCCATGGCGAATGCACGCTGACACGCAAGCTCAGCTCTCTGCAAGCCTTACTCGATGCCTACCCAGCCGAGCGTGCACAGTAACAGCGTCCTCAGCAGCGACAACGGCATCCACTGGCAATGGCGGAGACACGAAGACTGGGTCAAGGAGCAATACCGCGGCAAAATCGTGTGGAACTTCGATCCAGCGAAGTTCATCCAGGCTGTCTGGGGCTTTGGACCCGAGGATGTACCACCCAGACGATTTACGAGCGCGGGAAGACCTAGCGAAGGCTCCGCTCCGCTTTCCTTCAACTACAAGGCGTCCTTGCGTGCCTACTTGCTGGAGCGGAGGGAGAGGAAGTGCTACGTGCCGCTGGCGAACATAGCTAACGGGCTGCTGAACCAAATGTACGGCCCGAAGAGCGGCCAGCAGCGCGAACGTCGCGCGTTCCCGGCGCAGTTCAGGAAGCGCGACAGGAAGTACGAAGGCCGCTACATGGACGAGCGGGTCGGTATGACCTTCGGCACGGTGGAATTGACTCGTGGGAAGTGGCCGCAATGGGACTTCGAGGCCGCTTTCATGGAGGTCAAGAAGACGAAGACCGACCGTGTACTGAGTCGCACAGAGTTGCTGCTGGTCGATAGGGACGCATGTCGTGTCGCGGAGACAAGCAAACGCAAACGAGCATCTGCAGATAACGGAACGGAACTGCCGAAGGCGAAGCGAGCACGGTGTACGCTCTCGGATGACTCGGAGGAAGCCCAGGACGCTCCTGCGGCCGAGGACACACAGGCGAAGGAGGTCGATCCCGTGCGGCCTCAGGAGGTCAATATGACGCACAACGAGGTGCAAGCGGTGCAATACATGAACCACTTGATGTCGTCCAACGTGCGGTCGTTCGGGATAGGCTGGCTGGTCGAGGACACCAACATGCGCTTGTACTACGGCGATCGGATGGGCATCGTCGTGACGAGGAAGTTTAAGTTCCTTCGCGAAGAATCTCGGCTTTTCATGAGATGCATTGCGGCTATGGGTCAGGCGAGCGTGCACGGTATGGGGATTTTCCGTGATCTGCACTTTCCGGAAAACAAGCAGAAGGAGACGGAGTTCGAGCGGTACGAGGGCTCTCAGTTGCGCATAACGGCGCGGCGGCCTGATGCCTCTGAGCCCGAGCCGTTCGAATTCGACGTCGACGTCGACGGCAAGACGAGGTGGATATACACACAATACGGAGCGCTGGGTCGGGGCACAAGCGTCATCCCGATCAAAGCGACGCTGGAGACAGACACGTACCAGCACTTCAAGACCGACAAGCTCGTAGCGAAGATTGCCTGGCCAGATGCGCTGCGCTCGGCGGAGGACTCCATCGTTATCGCCGTGCGTACAAAGCTGAGCGAGACGAAGCGGCAGTACCTACCGCACATCGTGGACCTGAAATGCTACGTGACGCGTACGATCGAGGAGATGAAGCTGCCTCGGGCTGCGATGGGCCTCGACCATGATGACGAGCGCGTCTGCCGAGTGCTGGTAATGCAATGGTACCAACGACTGGAGACGGTCGAGTCCGTTGACGATTTCAAGAAGGTGTACACTGACGTCGTGCGAGGTGTGTGCCAGCGGCATTGTGTCTTATTGTTGCATCCGATTGACCAGGGTCGTAGCTCACTATTGGGTATGGACGACGTCGCACATTCTGCATCGTGACATCAGCACGAACAACATCATGTGGATTCGCATCGACGGCAGGCTGAATGGTGTTCTCTGCGACTGGGATCTAGCGGAGGAGACCATCGACGTCAACATTGCATCGACGCGTGCTCGAGGACATACTGGCACCGATGAACTACCTGCATCCGCGTCGAACAAAAGGGCTGATGGCACTGCGACGCCGGCCGACGCAGGGCAAGTCACGTCGGGTGGTTCGCGTAAGAAGCCAAAGTACCCCACCGGCACAGCTCCGTTCATGGCCATGGACCTCCTGCACGTCGGTCCGCCGCCGTTTCATTTGTATCGCCACGACCTCGAGTCTTTCTTCTATGTCCTCGTGTACGTCTGCGCGGTGTGGGATCCGGAGAAGCGGAAGTTTGGCCACCTAAGTGTGTGGGAGCAGGGGACATTGGTGGAGATTGGGCGACACAAACACGACTTCCTGCTGGACCACACCGCTTATGACATAACGTTTAAAGCTGCCCATCCAACTCTACAACATCTCGCAGCTTATGAGCCGGAGCCAGGCTGGATCTCGAGCCTCGCTGCTCAATTCGGCTTGATTGAAGCCCACGGGTTCGAGATCAGATATCTGAACTTCCAGAGGCTGCGCAAGCGAGGTACTATGCACGAGGAGAGGATTAAAAGGATTGAGGCCGAACGCGAGAATGAGATATCGTACGAGATGTTCATGGAGATCCTGGGAGCACCTCTTGATATTTAGGATGATGATACGGGTGAACGATTGCCTTGATAGATGTGTCCGAGCAGCGGCGCCATTGGACCTTTTTAATCTCTTAGAAAAAGCCTGTGTTACGGTGAATGTCCTTCGCCTGCCGTCCGAATGTTGATTTGACACGTCCTACATCTTCGAACTTGGATTCATGTCGATACATCCCGACCTCACCGTGAACAAACGGTATGCATGGGTTCGTCAGTATGAGCAGTAACAACAAAGGTCGCTCCTCATTCACCAAACATTGCGAGATGTTTCAGGCCGCTGACCGACAATAACCGACAGTCTGCCAATACGGGATATTTGAAGGTACCTGAGATTGCTCGAACGTCACGTACGTTGTCTGCGCCCTGCGTGTAACTGCACATATGCAGCACCGTCCAGCTGTAGGTATACTGTCACAAATGGCCCATACACATCTCGAGAACACGCTCTGGTCATGCTTTGCCCCCTCACAAAGAGTCGTCATTCTCTGGGGAGCCTACTTAGAGCATTGTTCGCAGTCACGCAGGGAGCATACAGCAACCAGTGAGGGTCCTGGGGCTGCACAGACTCATAGCGGGCGCCCGGTCGTGAAGTATGTATATACTGAATCACATTTTTGTTCGTTATGAGTGGGTACTATGACCGTGTGTACAGATTGATACCGTCTCCCGATCCAACCAACCCTATGACAGGGTGGCAAAACCGACGGAGTTCTGATCGAACGAAAACACGGAGTACACGTTCTTCATAAAGCTGTCCCCAAGCAACCAGACGTTGTTGCCGAGACCGAGGTCCTGGCCTGCCAAGGCGCCGACGCAGTACTGAGACCCGCTCGACGTCTGCCCGAGGTTGAAGCTGGACGGAGAGTCAGATTGTTACACAGTCAGGAGGAATAACTTGGACTCACTTCTGGGCGCTGACATTCCAGTTCTTTCCACCCCAGTTAAACGCGACATAGGGTACCGACTTGCATGGGAACTGGTAGAAGCCGTTCTCCGAGTCAAATTCGGATGACCCCGGCACGGACGCGTAGAATGTCTTAACGGCATTGGGCGGTCCATACATGATGGTAGTGCCACTATCAATGACCTGAAACGGACAGCTTAGCCTGATTCAGTGACACAGAGAAGTATAGCACATACGGTTTGGAACCCAGAGTTAGCAGTCATATTGTTGACATGCGCGCTTGCTCCGGAGATCTGCCAGAAGCCAGAGCCGGTAACGCTGTGGTATTCGACCGGGCCCTTGTAGAGGGACGTGTCCGTCCCACCGATGTACAGCTCGGACCCAGTCTGCGCGAGCTTCATGCCGAACGTAGCGGTCTTGATGCTGCCCTCAGACTTCGCCTGATTGACGAATGGCGGCTGACCGAGTGCCGAGATCTTCTGATAAGCCATACCGAGGATGCCGTCGATAGGGTCATTGGCGAAGCTGCTCGACAGCGATGTCACAGCGGAGAGGCGCTGCGCTGTCGACTTGATGCCGGCGACGCTGACGGTATCGGTGAAGACGGGCCCAGAGGACGTAGACCCATCTCCATATTGAATAGAGAACGTGCCCGACCGCATCGCCGACGTCGATGAGTTTGCAGAGTTGTATTTGTGCTTGGAACTGCACGCAGACTGAGTGCAGTTGATTGATGGCACCCACAGGTCAGCGGAGCCGGCTAATACAGAGTTAGTATCGAGTTGAATGGACCAGTATGATAGTATACTGACTGTCAAAATCGATCAGGAAGTTTTGCGCAGGAGTGCCGATAGAGATGGTACCAGCCCACTCGAGGTCACCCTCTTCATCAGTGGTAGGTTCGTTCTGGCGCTTGTCCAGAACATCATATGTGCGGAGGGGTTTGACCTCAGCTCCCTAGTACTCTACAGTCAATAATACATCTCTGACGAGATGCCGCTGTCATTACCCACCTCGTTCATGCTACTGGCATCGTTTTCCTGCAGGTTCATCAAGTTCCTGCGATGTTTGCTACAAGGGATGATCGATGTAAGTATTGCGAAGAGCATCACAACCACGGAAGACTTACTTGTGAGTCTGGATCACACTAAGGATGGCCCTCTGATGGTCAAAGACGCCGTCCTCCGTGGTAAGTCCACTGCGCTTCGCGAAAGAGATCGACATCCCGTTCCCCGGTCAACAGGGTTCGCAGAGCCGAGCAGCGCAAGAGTGACGGTAGCAACGAGAGCAGCTTTGGGGAACATAGCGTAAGACGATAGATGTTAAGACAGTGTAAAGTTGGAGTTGTTCGTGTCTGTGCAGATTCGATGAGCTTGAGTGAGTTTGCGTTGGCTATTTATGCGATTTTGCGTCGGGACGTCGGACATCGCGGCAGCGCGGACAGGACGCGGGTGCAACACGGATGGCACGATATCCATATCCACATTCGACGGCGTCCTTTCCGATCCGGCAAGGGATACCTATGTGTTTCATTCGCGGAGACCATATCCGCATTTCGGAGGACTCGTGTCCGATTGCAATTCTGACCGTCCGGATGTAGGACCCGTAGTATCCGCGTTCTTTGCGCTGCCCTAAGACGAGCGAATTTGTTAGCAATACTTCGATGTGAAGCTCGTGGTGCTCGATAGGATCCGTGAGATGATAGCGGAACCGATGGCGAAGACGGAGTGCGCATGGCAGCGTTGGCTCAGCATTGTGGAGCGTAGAGGCCGCAAGATTACATATGGCTTTGAATACACACTGCATCTCGGCTTGTCGGAAGGTAGTTCGTAAGGTAGTGCATTTCTCCCGCTCAGCCAGAGGTCCGAGTTTGACGTAGACAACGCTAGACTTTCTGTGTACTGGCAGCATTTCACAAAGAAGATGCATGACAGCAGCAGAAGAAAGCAGAGACACTTCCGCAAATGTCATAAGAGGTCTCAATGCGGTGCGTACTATGATGTCCGAGTCGTGAGAGAAGTGTAGTATACGTAGCTAGTGCTAGCTCACCGTGATGTTCCGTGCATGACCAACGGCCCTGTTGACTCGACGCACATATCCGTTACCCAGTACAAAGACAGCTGGCTTGAAGCATTATTTCGCTGCTCAGCACAAGTATGGTGTAAGAGAGGAATAGCCAGCTTGTAGGTGGCGTTCGAGGAAGCGGATTCCGGAACGCCGTCTCCAAGTGACGGTCACGTGGGCGCATAGTTAAGTTTCTGTTTCAAACAGTGTTTGTGGACCTATCCAGTCTCACCTTATCCCTCACAATACAGTGCTCTGTAACGGGGTTTGATATACAGCTTCGACAGATCAAGGACTGCGAAATGCGCTTGTACCAGTAAGTCTTTGTACAAGGAACTTGTAGACGCCCGTTTGGCGTTGAGTATGTTTTCCGAGAAAGGAAACAAGTTCGAATCCGGGTCACGCGTTTGCATTGGTGGCAATCAAGTGGCAATGGTGCCGATGAATAGCCCATCGCTCTCGCTCATACAAAAATATACATCCGAAGAAAGTACATCGACAAATCGTGACAATGACAATTCTAGTCTAGACCTCGAACGCCCATAGAGATACAGGTGACACAAGTACACGTCCAGAGAGCCCTGATTTAGGCTGTGGAAGGAACGGTCCATCCTTTGGCAGCCGCAAACACGGTGATTGCGTTCTTCAGGAGGACACTCACGAGAGAGATCGTCGCATAGAGCACGGCGCATAGGACGGGCAGCGCCCCGAAACAACGAGAGCAAAGCTTCAGCCAGGTTGTGAGACGCCCGGTGCGGGGAGAGACGGCGGATGGAGTCGCATTGTACGCGTTAGTGGGACGACGGCGCGGTGCTGTCTCGCGCTGACGGGTAGCCGTCGACGCCTCGGCCCGCCGGCGACCGTCACCACCTGTAGACGTGGGAGCGACGAGCACTTCGTTGAAGGCTCTTCTCTGTGGAAGTGCAGTGCTGAGTGCTCGGCGCAAGCGAAGGTTATGTGTTGCACTCACGAATGCGTCCACCCATGCCTCGGCGTCATCCTCCCGAGATTGGATCCTACGAGTTGAGACTTGCGAGGGTGTATGCGACATAGAGATCCTCGGGTCTAGCGGTACTCTAGACGAACGACTTGTGCCTGTCACGGACGCGGAGCCGGTGTGCGTGGAAGACGAGGGGCCGTTTCTAGTGGCTTCAGTGACAATAGAAGGTTCTCTGTGTTCCGAGGCCCTAGGTGCAGTGCCTACCGAAGGGCGATCGACTCGACTCGAACGCGGATGCAACATGCCAGACGTTGCATCGGAGGGGTAGCTTGTGTCTAGTGATGTTTGTCGTCTGTTGGGGAGACCCGCGGTTGCGACGACGATGTATTGTATGCCCGGGCTTGAATTTGGTCCGATCTCTTGGTATGCCACAGAAGCTCCCGGTCGTACGCTCCTCCGAGAGCGTCCATGAAGAACAGCGAGCAGTACGAAGGTAGTGGGAAGCGAGCCTAGAACAAGCAGACTCCAGGCAAAACGGTATTGTCCCAATGGCACGTCCACACGCGGACACGATGTTTGCGATGCGCTTAGAGGTTCGTAGCTCGGAGGAGGCTCTGGGGCTCCTGCTAGTTGACCGAGAACGCAGTGGTAAGGACCGTGGGCTGGGGTGACGCAGAGAGGGGTCTCTCGTACTTCCAGGGTCCGCAGTGAGGCTCCGCCCGCGATAGATGACATCCTCCGTACGACCGACGCGCTTGATGCGCCAGCACCAGCCGTGCACGTTTCAAACATGCAGGTCATGACCTAGACAACGGTATTGCCAGTAAGTTTCGCTCCCGGTGAGCTTGAATGGGACTTACAAAATACAAGCAGGATGGATCCGACTGGCAACAGAGGGTAGCGCAGAGAGTACGAGGGTGAATGTCGAAGGTCGGGCGTGGTTCGTAGTGGTAAGTACGCCCGATTCAATTGGCAGAACACCGCAGTGTTAACCCGGGACCAGTGGCTGAGTACGCACACAGCTGCCGACACGTCAGAAGATGCGGAAGGTGAATTAGACGTACGTCATGCGTGCATGAACGTTTGAACGGCGGCGAGCGATCATGCGCTCTTCTGTCAAGCTTCAACACTTCATTGTTTGCTTTTTGGCCAGGCTTCCGCCACTCTAACTTGCAATTAAATTGTGCAATATTACTCCCCGTCGAAGCAGGAGCCTCTCCAGCCTGTAGACCGCCGTGAGTGAAAGCCAGTCTGACGTCCGAACAGTGGAGGTCTGGATCACGGTGCATTGTATGTCAGCCAGGAGCTGAGCAAGAGGGGCCAATGGAGGCCGTGCGAGTAGTCACGCAGCAGCAAAGTGAGCCGAGCCGAGGGACCAGGAGAACGTGACAATACACAGCGACCATGCATAAGCGGCTTCCGCCCACACCCTCGCTGCGTTAAATTCAACGCATCCAGAACACAGAGGTCGCGCTGCTCGTCCGAAAGTACTCGACCATCACCCTCAATGTCTCCCATCCAACGGACAAGTGCGCTTACGCGCTCTCTAACGCGCTCGCTCGCGACCCTCAACCATGCCCCGCCTGCCGGGAAGAGGTGAGCACTCCTCGGACGAGCGTGGCCCGTTACTGACTGTTGTGCAGTCCAACAGGTATGATGTGTATTTATCCAGCGGTGTTCTGCGGGATGACACGGTATAGCGATTGTTATGCTAAACATGGGAGGGCCCTCCACGGTGCGTACACTACTCGCCTCAACCCACGGCCCAATAATCTGACAACAACCCAGCTCCCGGAGACGCACGACTTCCTCAAAAACCTGTTCTCCGACGGAGACCTCATCCCACTCCCCTTCCAGTCCCTCCTCGCGCCCTGGATCGCACGCCGGCGCACGCCCAAAATCGAGCAGCAGTACGCTGCCATAGGGGGTGGCTCGCCCATCCTGAAGTACACGAACATCCAGGGCGAGCGCATGGCCGCCCTGCTCGACGAGCTGCACCCCGCAACCGCGCCCCACAAACACTACGTCGCGTTCCGGTACGCGCAGCCGCTGACGGACGCGACTGCGCGCCAGATGAAGGCGGACGGCGTGAAGCGCGCCGTGGCGTTCACACAGTACCCGCAGTACAGCTGCAGCACGACGGGGAGCAGCTTGAACGAGCTCTACAGGCGGGGAAGGCGGGCGAGGTCGGGGACGTGCAGTGGAGTGTCATTGACCGCTGGGGCACACACCCGGGCTTCATCGAGGTGCGTTCTGTTTGACCCGGTCCGGATCGTTAGGTCCTTCGACGAATGTGCGCGCAGATTACCGGTTGCTGCTTTACTGTCTGGGTGCCAGCGTGGGCCATTATGCGGGTTTGTGCCTGCCCAGCTCAGTCTGGGATCCGGAGTCCGCTATGTTCGGTGCATTTTCATACAAGACAGATGGACACTGCGCGTCCGTCCGTGTCCAGGTCCAACGATACGGACTCAACGATCGAGAAGATGTCTAATTTGCCTACAGGCGGTCGCGCAGAACATCGAGCGGGCGCTGGCGGAGTTCCCGGAGGAGACGCGCTCGGACGTCGTGCTGCTCTTCTCGGCCCACTCACTTCCCATGTCGGTCGTCAACCGTGGGGACCCGTACGTCCCGAGGTGTCGGCCTCCGTCTCGGCGGTGATGGACCGGCTCGGGCATTCTAACCCGTACAGGCTCGTCTGGCAGTCGCAGGTCGGGCCGTCCGCGTGGATGGGGATGCAGACGGGGACGCGCTGAAGGGCTCGCGCGGCTGGGGCGCAAGCGAGTCGTGCTCATCCCGATCGCGTTCACGAGCGACCACATCGAGACGCTGTACGAACTCGACCTCGAGTACGCGCAGGAGGCGAAGGAGGTGAGTGTCGCCGTTTGCCGTGTGTTCTTCCGCTGACTGGGCTTGACGCTAGCACGGCATGGAGGTAGTCCGCGCCGAGTCGCTCAACGAATCGCCAGTGTTCATCCGTGCGCTCGCGGACCTGGCGGCAACACATCTGCGGGACGTCAGCGCTGGAAAAGCAGGGCCGATGAGTGTGCAGATGGGCCTCCGGTGTCCAGGGTGTACGAACGCGACGTGTGGGCAGCAGAAGGCTTGGTTTGCGCGCGGAGGGCGCTAGCAGGCAGGCTCGCCGCCCGGGATCGGTGTGGTAGACACGGCCTGTGACATGTCTCTTCTGTTCTGCTCTGTCGGCGAATATGCAACGGTCCGATGCACCCCCCTCTCTGCGTTGTGTGCGGTGTGCGTGTGAGGATATTTAGACGCGTCTGCGTCCGGCAGAGTGGCCTTTCTCCGACCGCGTCGCGAGAAATGGCGGGCTTATGATCGCGTATCGTCCGACGCAAGCGTCACGCCAGCCATTTATCGCCCCTTCCCTGCGCTGGCATTGTCTGTGTCTCAGATCATCAGCCTGCAGGCCAACAGAGGGGCAGATTTTATATAGAAATGTATACGCCCGTACTAGCTGCGTGCCTTTTGAGAGGCGACCGAGCGGCCGCACTCAGATCACCCTCACCACCAGCACCGATGACCACGACCGCCGTCTCTGCCCCTGGCAAAGTCCTTCTCGCCGGCGGATACCTCGTCCTCGACCCTGCATACTCCGGCGTCGTCGTCTCGACGAGCGCGCGGTTCTACACGACCGTGCGCGACCTCGATGAGGCGGCGAGCGTCGCGGCCGCGAAGGCGGACCGACCGATTGAGATCCGCGTGCGATCGCCCCAGTTCGTGAACGCAACCTGGATCTATTTCGTGGTCTTCGACGGCGAGGCCGTGCGGGTCGAGCAGGTCGCAGACATGTGAGTCGTCTACTCGAGGATGCCCCGCGCCGTGTCGTGATAGGCGGGACGCTGAACGGGATCGGGCTCATCGCATCTCGCAGCGCGTCCTCGACCTCCTCCTCGAAGAACAAGTTCGTCCACCTTGCGCTCCAGCGTACGCTCTCCCTGGCACTCGAAGCTCGCGGCGCCGGTGCCCTGCAGAACAGCCTTTCGTATGGCCTCGACATCACCATCGCCGGCGACAACGACTTTTACTCGCAGAGGGCACAGGTGAGTGGTCCTCACGCCTGCTCTATGTGCGTTCCTCCTAAGATTCTTCTGCGCATAGCTAGCAGCGAAGAGCCTCCCTCCCACGCTCGCATCTCTCGCACAGCTCCCGCCCTTCGCCCCGACCGGCGTACAGCTCGCTGACGTGCACAAGACGGGGCTCGGCTCCTCCGCGGCACTCATCACCTCGCTCGTCTCGAGCCTCCTCGTCCACCTGCGTGTCATCCCTTCAGATTCCTTCGCAGGCGACGCAGAAGGCGGGACGGTGTCTGCGAGCGATGGCCGCAAGCTCGCGCACAACCTTGCCCAATATGTGCATTGTCTGGCGCAGGGCAAGGTAGGGAGCGGGTTCGATGTCTCCGCGGCAGTGTTTGGGAGCCAACTGTATACGCGGTTTGACCCCGGAGTCATCGCTCCGCTCATGTCCGACAATGTGGTGAGTTTGTATACGTGACAGGGCTGTCTGAGAGGGAGCTGATAGAGCTGTATAGACTGTGAAGCTGCTCCCGACGATCTCGACCTCGAATAAGGAATGGAATCATCGCGTGGAGCCGTTCAGGTTGCCGCCCCTGACACGACTGATGCTGGCTGATGTCGATGCTGGGAGCGATACCCCTTCTCTAGTCGGGAAGGTGCTGAAGTGGAGGAAAGAGGACAGCGGGACAGGTACGTCTCATCGTACGGATCGGCTCGTTCGATTGCGAATTGTGTTCGGAAACAGCGAACGACCTCTGGAATGCCTTGGACAAAGTCAATCACGCATTCAGCAAAACGCTCCTGACGCTGTCCGACCTCCACGCGCAAGATACAAAAACATACGCGAAAGCAGTCAAGTATTTATCCACTCTGCAGACAGTCCAGGTGCGCTCGACCCCATGGCGTCTTCCCCGAGTGCGAGCTCATCCCGCGTTCACCGCAGTGGCTCGTCAATCCGAACATCTCGGGTGGTGACCAAGAGATTATGGAGGCGTTCGCGCAAGCACATCAGTATTCCGAGGTTCGTCTTCCTGTCCTCCGCCCTACACGCGCATCCATTCAGCCCGGATCACTGCACTCAGGACGTACGCGCCAAGATGCGCGAGATGGGCACCCTCTCGGGCGTTCCGATCGAACCGCCAGAACAAACCGAGCTCCTCAATGCCTGTGTCTCCGGCGCTGGCGTTATCGGCGGGGGCGTCCCTGGAGGTCTGTCCACTCTTCTTTCTTCCTTTTTCTCCCAACTGATGCTGACGCGCGTCGTTGCGCAGCGGGTGGTTACGACGCGATCTGGCTCCTCGTCCTCGATCCAGAGATCTGTCCGCCGGAGGAACTGCCCTCCGCGCGGGTCGAGCGTGTCTGGGCGGGTTGGAAGGGGCTGGACGTCTCGCCGCTTTCCGCGTCAGAGAGCGTCGCGAAAGGCGTGCGGCTAGAGGACGTGGCTGGCGTGAAGGGCTTGAAGGATCTCGTCGATGCTCCGTGGTAGGCCTGGGAGGTCGGTTTAGGGGTATAGGACATTCTCCCCAATCTCCGTACTGAAGGGCCCGCCGTCAGCAAGTGCGATGTGACACCATATACCGTCCGGGATTAAGTCTTATGTTGCGGACCGCGTCCGTAGGCCTGTGCTATAGGCATGCCCGGGTTGGCCAGAGTACAGTCGTGAGCGATTACTTCAGCATAGCTACATGTTTTATTCTATCGTCCTACTAGGTCCATCGGGAAAGCGAAAGAAAGCATTCATAGCATCCAAACACCCCCGTATAACGATGAAGTACGTGATATCGCGGGAAGAGGGAAGCATCAACTACACGCATATCCGCGCCGCACCGTCCGGAGTCCATACCTTGCCCAAAGCCAGAAACAGTGAGATAACCAGAACAGTGACGCCGAAGGCAACTGAAGCCAGGGCGGGTAGCTTGCCGCGAGAGTACCACTCCGGGCCCAGATTCGCTAGGCGCAGGTAACATGCTGCGGGAAAGATGAACGCGAGCGCTGTTGCTGAGGCGCCTCCTGTGATCTCGAGCATCACTCCGAGGTCGCAGGTAATCAGAGCGACTGATATATGGAGTTAGAATAGCCCATGCCATACAAGGTAAATTTGGGCACTCACCGATCATCGAGGAGCACGTCAGCGCTGTCGTGAAGAAGACATGCCGCTGCATGTTGAAGGGCTCGTGCGGGAAAAAGAACTGCTCTATGACCTGCAAAGCATTTCTCAGTACGTAGCTGGTACGAATTGAGAGGTTATAACGTGCCTCCCTGCAGACAAAGAGCTCTAGGGGCAGGGTCGTGAACATGTTCAGTCCGAAGCAAAAGCGGGCGACGTTGATGAGGGTGTCATTCTACGGCTGCGTAAGCACACCGTCGTTGCGAGACCAATCATAGCTACCTCACCCCTGCAAAGTTGTTCAAGATGTTCCCTTGAGTCTTGTCCGTGAACACCACATACGCCGAGATCGCCAGCGTGCAACACGCAACCAATGATATCGCTGTCGATATGTGCGTCACCCTCGCGAACCGATCCAGCGTCGGCGTGCGCAAGCTCCCATAGATCAGCAACGAATTGTGGTGGCACACGAACGCGAAGCTGATCACGCCGATCGCCTGGAAGACACCTGGGCCGAGGACGGTGAAGCGCTTGGACGGGTCACCCTTGAGCTCGAGCGGGACGCGCGGGCTGTCGATGAGCACGGAGACGACGATGGTCACCATGCCGAGGAGCGCGAGGAAGGACGCGCGCGCGAGCTTGTCGATGGAGCGGTGCAGAGAAAGCGGGTAGGAGACGCAGATCGTGCAGAGGGCGATGACGAATTGGCGTTTTGTGAGGATGGAGAGGACAGGTATCGTCGAGAGGGTGGGGAATACGGAGCGGATGACATGCGGTATTGTGTCGCCTGGCAAAGGGATGAGATACGTGGAATGACAGGCCACGCGAGCACTCACCAATGATGATCCCGAAGGCGCACATGCCTGTCCTGGGATGAGCTTCATGAGGTTAAGCAATGGGCAGACCGGCGTACCTCCGAACGCAAACGCAAATTGGAAGAAGGACACTGCTGCGCGCCCACTTGGACCGAAGCAGTGGTTCATTATCTCAATATAAGAGTTGCGCCCGCTGAGCTTCGCGTTGATCACAATGAGGCGGATGGTCCAATCTGTCACACCACACAGGACGACGAGCAGGATGAGGCCTGTGACAAACCCCGCTTGTCGCACGGCATACGGTAAACCTGACGCAATACGCAGTCAGACACGAACAGTATTCATCGCAGAGAATAGTTACCAATGATCCCTGTTCGCCATCGAGTGAGTACAAGAGCACCATCGACACCACCAATTTACCTGCGCCTAAGATTGAGTTGGCCATATTCGCTACGGAGTCCAGCATCCCTCCTCCGGCCAAACGCTTTGCAGCAAGGGCCTCCAGGTCCACTCGCGGGCCATCCTCTTCTGGTACGACACCATTCTGCTCTAGGCGAAGCGTCCCATCGGTGCTGTCCCTCCGTGCAGACGCTGTATCTAGTAGACCTACGAGCAGCGGCACGGATTGTTCGCGACTTCGACTGCTTGAAGAGCGTGAGGAGCGTGGTGGATGCGATGTCTCGAGCTGCGCGACTGCTTCATTATCTAGGTCGTCCGTGTCTAGTTCATACTCTGTACGCACATGAGCACCATGCGCAGTATGATAAACGGAAGTCCGACTCACTCACCCGTCTCTCGGCTCTCAAACATAGATCGCAAGGGCAGGCCGATCACCTGCACGTCGTCCCGGAAGCGGACATGTCCTGGGGTGTCCTGCGGAGAGTCTGCTCGACTGAGGGCCGAAGACTCGTCCAGGTCTTCGTCGTCTGCGACGGAGAATATGACGTCCTCTCCTTGATGCGATGAAGCATCCTCGTATGACTGTCCGAGCAATGGTTGCGCCGCAGAGCCGTCCTGGTCGTCATGATTCGTTGCTCTTGTCCTACCGAGCATCTGAGATGGTCATAAACGTGTCTGCGAGGTCGCCGATGCTGGTGTGGGGCGTGGGTGACCCAAAGCAACCACTCGCAGGCTGAAGCTGCGCCCAGGGCAGGAAGGTCTGGGGATGGGCGTGCTTCCGGGAACACTTGCGTCTGGTAGTTGTCAGACGATGCAATCGGTATGTGGCTTCAGACGCAGCTCCCGCTCGCTGGAGGACACAGAACAACGTAGACAGAACAGAGAAGGGCCGCGCGAACAGAACGTGGAAGGCTGGGAGGCGTGCACTGCACGCGTGCGACCTCCCCGCCCGCGCAGAGACCATTTCCGGACGAGCGCCACGCCGCCGTCGTCGCGCGCTCACTGGCCTCAATCCTACCTTTTGCCACCATGCGCGTACTTGCCATCGAATGCAACATCTGTGTCACTACCTGACTGAGCAAAGATATACCACATTACGACGCTGCAGGATCAGACAGTATGCCCCTTTGGTGTGCGTTCGTGAGCTCGTCGTACATCAAACGCTCCTGATATCATGAAGGTGAGCATGTGCCTGAAGGCCTGTCGATTTTCGGGTCACTGAGTTGGCATTTGCAACCAAGGTTCTGTCTTGCGCTGTTGATCAGTGCTATAACCGTGTCCGAGAAGTCCTTGATACAACCGGTGGAATCATCGGGCGCCATGAACTTGAAGCCATGCGGGACCAACGCTATGCTGTCTGCCCCGAGGACAAGAATGCACGAATACATACACTGACAGCTCTAAGCAGTGCCAAACGAATAAAACAGATCTCAGGTACCCATAGACATCGATGTGTTCTGGACGAGTCGAGTCGAAACCCCATCAACCTGCCGCCATTTCAACGGTTCTATCTTGGTTCTATCTGTCAATGCGCCATCATCATGTCAACTCCTTGTCCCTCCTCTCGCCGATATGTACCTCAGCACCGGAGTAACCAATGCCGCTCTTCCTTCCCCCGTCGTGCACTGCACCGCACCTACGATCTTTCCACCGTGGTCCCTCTTCCTCCTTTCCTTCTCCGCGTGTATATCTACTAACTTATGTTCTGCTTATATCCGTTCTCCGCTGCATTCGTTCTCACCTTTCTTGCTGGACCTGTGTTGGGTGGGGCAACACCACTTGCGCTGGGAGCGCACTCGACTGGTACACCGACACAGTCGGCGAGACACCATGTACGTCTTCGCTCTACTCATCCATGGTTACTGCTGACATGCAGCACAGGTATGACCTACCAGCGACTGCGCCAGATCTGCAATAGCGACTGTCAGTACCGTGTTCTCAACATGAAGGCATCGAAGCCTAACACTTGGTGCTCGTAGACGAGGTCCATCCTTCCGTCCTAATACCCCTGGGGACAACTGCGATGATCAGCTATGTATGTTTTTCGTTCTTGAACGCACTCGAATGCACCAGGCTGACTATGCGAGCTCTTCAGCCGCCTGCTGCTGCAACTCGATCGCATGGCATTGAGCATGCTCTGCATGAAGT